TATAGAATATAGAATCTGCCATCATAGTGCAAATAGCATGTCCTAATTGGGCAAATTCTTAAATGAATGAAGTATAAGTAGCAAAAGGTGATTCTTGACCTAATATGGATTGGGTTAATAAGAAAATTAGCTTTATATAGCGATGTCTTAATATGTGAGCAAAAAGTTATCGAAAAGAAACTCTTTTACATGGTTTGTTCGGATCTCTGTCAAAGTTATTTTTCCTTTCACCATCAAAAACTCCCTTGAATCAGCCTTGCTTCCCAGACTTTGGTATTTTTTGGTTTTTTGGAATAATGTCTTTGCCGCTTTTCTTGGAACTCGAAACTTGCGAGATAAAGCATATTTATTGTAATATTCAGCTGTTTGTTAAGTTTTTCTGGAGCTGTGCTGCTTTCCCCACCTGCTTCTATCTTATTGTAAGTGGGAATCAGTCTCTCTACATCGACAGAATTAGGGTTTGCTGCGAGAATCCGAGCCATTGTCTCATCTGGTAGAATTCCTCTGAGAACAAGTCTCAGACCTCTGCGATCTTAGTCGTTTATTTCTCAAAATTTAATGCATGATTGAATGAAATATTTTGTCCGGGACAAAAGCTGGGTGAAGCTTTCTCAAGTCTCTTTTACTTATGGAAAGTTTTTAACTGCATTCAGGCCATCAAAATCTTTCCTATCAAATCTGTTCTTTAAAAGCTTTGATACTATAAACGAAAACCTCGTTTCAGATGACAAATAAACTCTTTTCTCACTGATGTACAAATTGTGCTTGTTTCTTCTTATTCTCTTTTCGTGCAGTTTGAAAGCATGATTTTTACCCACCATCTTGTTTGTAATGAAGACACCACGCATCAGATCTCAATTTTGGATTTACGAATTGTGCTAGATTTGCAAAAATTATGCTAGATTTCAAATCAAAGCAACCCTGCTTGAGAAAGAGGCTAATGCATGCTCAGAATATCAAAAATGGCCAGAGTTGCAATTTGGCCTTTTTTGACATTCCAGTGTACTTATTCTTCATAAACAAAAAGGCAATTTAGATCCATGGATTGATGGCCAAATTTCTCCATTTTGGCAGTTTCTCAAAACCCCCTTGGCCGTCATAAATTGATTTGGCCTAGGAAGCAAAATTTGGCTTAATTCTGGCAGCATGTTGCAAAAAACAAAGAAAATGCAAAGGAAACAAAAATTTTTGCACATATATTATTCAAAACTTTTTAAAAAAATTGCAAGTGATGAATGATGAAACAAAGTAAAAGATAACAGACAGTTTGAGATAAAAGCAAGTGAAAACTTTTGTAACCTACAAAGCAATTTTGATAACGGTATCACTCCCAATAATTAGCAAAAATTAAGCTTTTTGTATACTGCGTTTACCTGGCTGCCAACCATTCAAAACAACTGGCAATATCCTGAAGGTGGAAAGTCACAATTTACTCTTAAAATGAAACAACAGATGCTGGTGTGAAGTTTTGGTGTAATGTAAAGTGTAAAGTGGTCTGAAGTTTCTTAATTCGTCTTTATTGTCCATTGCTTATTTCTTATCACAGTTTTCTTATAAAAAATGGGTGCAATACATAAGGCTGGGATTGGGCATTCACTCTGAATTGAAAAAAATGTTCCCATTTCTTTCTTAGGCGTTTCGATTGGTATTTTATGCTGCACTTTTACGAACATGCATTATTTACAAATCAACACTTTCTACAATTACAGGTCCACAATTTTAATTTACAACTCCACAAAGTGAGTCAGCTCCACGCTTATTTAGGCCCTGTAGCATTCAGTTATAACTACAAAAATACGTTAATGTAGAGAATGATAAAAGAGAGGAAAATTAAGTAAAAGTCTGAAATAAGCTCTAAATGGGGGCTGAAAGGTTTTTAAGATGCACAAGCTTTCACTTTCTAAGCCATAGCTTTAGGCACAGCAGTCCGGGAGGCTGGGGGCTTTGAAGCATGTACCCCCCCTCCCCAACTTAAGCCCCTTCCTTGATGACAACTACACTTTACTTTTAAAAACGTTTCCACGCCCCTGTCATGGAATAAACAGTTCAAGGCAAATATGTTTGTGATTAGAGACAATATTTACTTGAATACGATACTGTTTAAATGTTGGATAGCTTAGAAAAGTCTCTCCAACAAGCAATATTCGGGCTTTTGAGCGTAGTGCTTCAACGATTTTCGCATGGTTTTATAGATACAGCTGCTAATTTTTTTCAATCCTGCATAAATTTATGTTAAAATGCAAATGCATAAGACAAAATCAAACAGTGACAGCAGTGTTTCCTTCGATTTTGAATTATCAAACAAGGTAGGCTATAAGGAAATTGTTTCCTTGACAATGTAAGCTACCAGCAACTGGTTGCAAGCCTCGAATGCAAGTATGCAACCCTGTACGCATAATGTTTTTCTAAGAAGTTATCATCAAATTTTACAAGGGGAAGTTTATATTTGAAGTTTTTCATAGAAGTAAATGGTTTGCACATGTTTTATTATTCCAGACGATCGGGAATTTCATGAGACCCAATAAGTCGTCTCTCTCTCTCTCTATCTCTATCTCTCTCTCATCTCTCAGCACTACCAGAAACTTATAAAGCCAATTTTCACAAGATGTCTACATTGGGTGCGCCTACGGACCCACGCCTAGATATTCGTATTCGGTGTATCAGTGACCCAAAGGATTATCTTGTTTTGTCTTACTCGAAAAGAACTTTTTGCAAGTTTTCTAGAAATGAAAAGGCGACTCAGTGACTCAGTGGCGGAGCTACGGGGGGGGGAATGGGGGGGACTAGTCCCCCCCACTTTTGCAGAAAGTTGGTCCTTGAGATTCTTGCAAACATGATGAGAAAACTTCAGGTGGGGGGGGGGGGTATGTACGTTATCTAAAATCGTCACATGTAAATGACATTTCTTGGGAGAAAACAGGTGTTTCTTCCGGAAGAAAAAGTTTAAAACAGGGGGAAAGGGCTTTATCCAAAATGGGCGTTGTCCCTGACACACCTTTCCCCCCCCCCCCCACTTATCCCAGGCTGGAGCCGCCACTGTTGTGACCCCGTGTTCCCTTGTTCCTGCGTCACTGTAGATGAGTGGGAGAGCCCTCTGGTACTCTTTTAAGCATGATTCCTGCAACCCTATAAACATAAGCAGGGGGACAACGGGGGCTTTATGTAATAGGGTTATTTTGCCAAATGAATGTATCCACCCTATCATTATCTTCGAAACTAAATGGTTCTTCCATCAATGATAAAAGAAACAAATAGACACAATGATAATGTTGAAACGTCTTTCTTCAGATCAAACGATCTTTCCGCGATAAAAGGTTCTATAAATATAATGTTTCTCTACGGTCGTCCCGTAACGTCGATTTGTTCTCTTAATAACAGGCACAGTCTTTCTCAAGCACTGTCCTCTCAAATATGTCAAATAATCCACAATAATCGTCACGCGCGATGTCTTAAATAGCTATACGTGTCCTATAAATCCATAATTTATGCCGACAAGATCTTTCACAAGCATCTTGCCACATAAGTGAAACGTCAAGAACCTAAATATACAAAATATCAAAACTTAACCCTATCGCTCTTAACCGAATTCCATTTCCAACTTCAACTCCAACTCCAACTCAAAAACTAACTCTAAAATGTAACACGCCCAAAATATAACTAAACAAGAACTTTTTGTAATGCTACATAGCTACGTAAATTTACATAATAATAGTGAATACAAAATATATTAGTCCCAAGATTAATTACATAAACTGAATAATGATCCTTAATATCCCAAAAGAAATAGTTAATGAATCTAAAGGTGCAATTAGAAAACAAAAGGAATTATAAACAATCGAATGTGCGAACGGTGATAAAATTACTAAGGTTACAGGATGTAAAACAAACGAAATCCAAACTAGCACTATTACATTTATCCCCCTCAACAAGCTCCAAAATGTATTTAAAACCAGACAAAAATCGCCTGGTTCCCGGTTTTTTGCATTTTTGGCCTCCCTAAAGCGTTTTTGCCCCCTCAATCTGTGATATACTCCGCTGTTATTAGACTGCGTTCGTGCCATTAAATCTGATGATGATGATGATGATGATGATGATGATGATGATGATGATGATGATGATGATGATGATGATGATGATGATGATGATGATGATGATGATGATGATGATGATGATGATGATGATGATGATATGATGATGATGATGATGATGATGATGATGATGATGATGATGATGATGATGATGATGATGATGATGATGATGATGATGATGATGATGATGACGATGACGATGATGATGATGATGATGATCATGATGATGATGATCATGATGATGATGATGACAACTTTTTTCTTACCCATAAAAGTTTGGAGCGTTGAGAATGAGAATATTGAAAGATCACGGAAAAAAAGTGGAAAAACTTTTTTAATGTCTTTTTTCTTTTAGGGACATTTTGTCAAAAAAGCGAGTCCCCCACAAAAAGTAATATCCCCGCTCTAAAGAGCTGCTCTTTCTTGTTTGTTGAATTCATGTTCTGTCATAATCTCAATGTTTGAGCGTCTGGGATTCCATGTTTTCTCTCCGGTTGCCTAGCCCCTCTGTCGAAAGGTCAAGCCCCTCCCTGTCGGAGAATTTCTAGCGCCACTACTGAAAGAATCATATTTAAATGTAGATAACATTAAGAACACACGAGCCTCAAATTATCCAACAGAGCTCATTCAGTACTTATAATTTAGAGGTAAATGTTGGGGGTGGGGGCTCAGTCACTGAAGTATACAATTTCTATTTTTGTCACTTTTTTGCGACATTTAGTGCTGCACCCTTGTCAAAGTTCAATTCAATTGATCACGAGAAATTTTGGATTCCTTATTTAACCGTTAGATTGGTTTTCATTTTCGCTAAATTATCAGCTTCTGTAAAATAATATTTTATGTATTCAAGCGCAAGTGATACAACCTGCTCACAACCTGTATAACTTGCCTAGTTGAACAAAAGGACAATCGAACCCGCACAGCGTGGGGTTTCACTCGTGTGCTAGAACTATGCTATAACAGGTCGAAAGGAAGTGTTTTTGAGTATGATAAAAAATGGACCCGGCAAGGATGGTTGGAGGCTCTCTTGTTAAGCCAACGATTTGAAAACTACATCACTAATCTGTTTAAATATTTATGACCCATTAGAGACGCAACAAGACATCGCACACAGAAGCTGGCGGCACAAAGATTCTTGAAAAACAACTAGATCAGTATTTGCAGGGATTCGTCAAAAAGACAGTCAATCAGCGACAGAATGGGCCTAGACGAGATTTTAGCCAACCTCGAAAGGAAAAACATGTCATTTGTATGGAAACGCCGACTAACAGTGACAGCTTTTTGCATAAGGATGTTTCTTGTTGGAGTGGAATATGCCATAATTTTACCATCGGTTTGGTTATACTTGAAAACCTTCCAGGTTCAAACTTGGTACCTTGGTCTTGTCGTGGCAATGTACACAATAGCTGGCATGATAAGCCTCCCAGTGATTGGGCGTTTGTTTGACAAGACAAAACGAACGAAAGAAATCTTACTCGTTATGAATGCATTTGAAATTGTTGGGAGCTTGATTTATGCTTTGCCGTTTTCACCTTATTTGCTGCTTGCGGGGAGATTTATTGCTGGAATGGGTGACGGTTTTTTTGCAGCTGCGAGTGGAGAAATCACGCTGATCTACCCAGCTTCGAAGAGGATTGGTATATTTGCATTGCTTGAAGTAGGCAGAGTTGTTGGTATTACTTTAGGTCCCTCCCTCAATTTTTTCCTGCAAGGTGTAGACTTTCATATAGGAAAATGGCATATTTTTTATGGACCAGCCCCTGGCTTGTTCATGGCATTTGTTTGGTTGGTAATGGAAGTGCTAACATGCTTCATGGTTTTCGATCTATCAAAGCACGAGGTTGGTGAAGAAGTTGAGAGTTATACCGAAATTAAACTTCAAACCAAGAAAAAGCCGGAGGAGCCAGATAGATATGAAATCATAGAAACAACAGTTGATGACTTGGCTGACAAGGGTCATCCAGTAAGCAATACAGCCCAAGATGATAAAAGTCCACTTCTTGAATCTCCAAAAAAGCCATGGAGGAGTCGTAGTGAATCTGAAGAGAGTAATTTGGATGCAAGCCTTCAAACTGCAATTACTGATCTGTTGTCTGTAGAAATTTTAGCAATATTTTATGCTGATCTTGTTCTGTGGCTGGCCCAAACAGAATTTGAAGTTCTAGCACCACTTGTTACTCAAGAAGACTTCAAATGGAAAGAGGGGTACCTGAGCGTTATATATATGGTTGGGGGTTGTGAATTAATCATCATATTTCTTGTGATCTGGTATTTTGGCAGCAGATTCCATCTTGAGGATTCATTCTTGCTGCTGTTTTCTCTTGGTCTTACAACCTGTTCTCTACTGATGATGATTGTCTATCAATCCAAACGCACAAACCATACAGCTATTGTTATATTGTTCTTGCTAATTTGCTTTCTTGTGTTTTTCTCTGTTCCACTGAATCTGGTAGCATCGAAATCGTTGCTGACCAAAATCACCAAGCCGGAGACTCAAGGCTTTACTCAAGGAGTCTATTCATCTGTGAGCAGAATTGCCTTAATTCTTGGCCCTGTACTTGGCAGCTCTGCGTTCCACAGTCTCGCCCTCTTTGGTGCTCTCATGGCACTGGCAAATGTAGTTGCTTTTGTGTGGCTACTTCTTTGCTTGAACCGGATCAAACAACGTGTAGATGCAATGCAATCATGAAATTATCTCTATTGGTATGTATTTTTTATTTTTAAGTATTTCTCGATATTTTGATCAGCCCAATAGAGAGTATTAGAATGAAACAGTTTTTCTTGCCTAAGACAGCTCCATAACCACTTTTACAGTACAAAAAAGTTTTAATCTGCCAAATGCAAATCTGACACACTATTTTTTAAAGGGGAGTCCTGACCTGAACAATCCCTAGTGCTTACACCTCTGGTTTAAACAATGCTCTAAAGGAAATTGAATGTCAATGCAACCATCTGTATGTATCTAGAGAATAATTGCTTGTAAATTAAATGGTAGTCCCTAGAAACATAATGCAAACAAACCTAAACAATCCACCTGTAAAAGTAAATCAACTCAAACTGTCTATTTAGCTTGAAGTTATTTCTCATTGACACATATACTTAATGTAGCAGCTGAGTTAAGATTTAAGATGGGAAATTAAGGTAAAAGTCTCCTTCTTAGTAGCTATATAGCTCAATGTAGCTATAAATACCGTCTGGTGTGGCTACTGAAAGAGTCTTGCATGCTAATATTTTGAGAAAAATGATTGTTACTGTTCATCTGAAAATAGGAGAAGTGGCACAAAATGTAATTTTGCACAAGCTGAATAGCAAGAAAATATTTTTTGGGGTTTCTTTCTATCTACTAGAGAAACAATGCATGGTTGATGGGAAAAACCTTTCAATTGCACTTGAATCACCCATTTGAGCTATTTGGTTGCTTTGGTTTATTGTCTAGGAATGGAAAATCACTTTCGGGAGAATGATTCCTACAAACGATTTATGTCAAAAGACACAAAAGAACAGTTCTATATGTACTGATACACATTTGAAATGCAGCTGTCAAATATTTTATCTACATAGTCATGTAAAACTGAAAGCATACAGCCTTTAGATTAGCTTAAAAACATTTTCAAATATTTCTTGAAGTTATTTCTTGCTCTCCTTTTAAGACCTTTTACTATTTTTAGGCAAACTTTTGTTATGTTTGTTTCAATCCATTCTTAAAATGGATTCCATTATTCTATGAGGACCCCTATAACCCCTCTTGGTAGCCCTGTAACTGTCTAATGTTGCACATTAGTCTGGATGTCATTAAAAAGCATTTTTCAAACCACTCTCAATTTGGCCCTTATAATAAAAAAGGACCTTAAATATAATAAGAGTGCACTTCTAGTAAGTGTGCAAAAATCAGTTTAAACTGTTGCATATTGGCTAATATGGGGTTTTCTGATGTTTTTGTTTTCAGCTTTCAGATCATTTTATAAAAATTTCGAAATTTTGATTGCATATTTCTATGGCATCATACAACTCTAATTAAACATTTAAAATTTGGAATCAAACTCTTAGAACTAAACATTTAGAATTGAACAAAAAGAATCTCAGTACTTGCAAAAACTGTGAACAGTTAATGTAATTGTGATTATGGTGATGGGCAAGCAATTTGGAAAGAACAATATTATTTGGTTAGGAATTCTATTTCAAGCTGAATAAGAAATTGTCAATTTAAGCTTTATTTCCTAAACTTTAGTTTTTTATTGCAAACCAGACATGTTCCCAGTTTAAAAAACGCATGTTTTATAGCTGCTCAAATCAATATTTGTGTTCCAGGGCGTTTTCCATTAATATTTGGCTATTTGCTATGCTATTTGCCAAACTTTAATGAATATTGGTTTGCAGGTTTTGTCTTATGAATTATAGATAGATATAGAGATCAATTTTAATCACAGCAGATGTCTAGCTACTCTTATTCTCTGTTTATCTTCAGAGAGACAGCCTTTCCCCACCGAAATCACTTTGCCATTCAAAAACTTATGAATTATGAATGAATTCATTAAAAATTCTCCTTGGGAGTTTTTAGAATGAATTTGTGAAAGCAACAAAACTGTTTTCGTTATATATCCAACTTTCTTCAGTCCCTGACAGCTGTTTTGCATTACAATTCAAGGCGTTGTCTTCTAATCCTAATTAATATCGCTATTCAATATCAAGGATAATTGCATTTGTTGTTGTATAGGAGTGATCGGGGAAGCGAGTGGATAATAGGTATCCTTTTTAGATATAATCCCGGTGTATATGTTTCTAAATGTTGAAGGCCTAGCCAAACATTTTAGACCTTCTTTGAAAAATAAGAGGGAAATGTAGCGAGACAAGAAAATACGACCACAAATTATAAGGAACAATCGCTGCGCAAGGCTTTGATTGCAGAGAATAGATTTTTGAACAAAATTGAGGTTGTAGAAGGAGAGACATACTTGTCATCAGCCAGGCGATAAAAGGTCCTGTTGGTCACTAGGCAAGACATTTGCCTTCAGATAGGCAAACAAATTTAAGTCAAAACTCCTGGTTCGACCAAACGCAAGACGCTTGGGAGTTCGTTATTGAATTGCAAAGGAAAATAGCCTGCCACAGGACATCTACGTAGAGCGGATTTCGCTTTTAAGGGATGTTTATTTGCCCATGTAGAAATCATTTTCATTCAAAATAGCCAACTTAGGGGATAAGCACAAACGCAATTATAACATTAAATCAACACACAGGCAAACATTATAGACCTTTGCTGAAAACACAAGAAAAAAACGTAGCAAAAGTATGCGATTATACACTATAGGAAACAATTGCTACACAAGGTTTTGACTGCAGAAAATATATTTAGAACAAATTTATTTGCCCTTTCATTTGAAGTTTCCGTTATTGGAAGGTGACCGTTAATGGAGGATTGTATTGGGGGAAAACTGTCACACCTGTGACTAAAATGGAATTATTTCGCAAGAGACATGGAAGAACTGATAAAAAACTTAAATATAGCAAATTTGGTAAGCATTTGTGGGATCTTAATTCGGTTATAGCAGTCGTGAAATTCCGTTGCTTGTTTCTCTATAATTTATAATATTTGCTAATATTAACAGTGGCCTTATGATTAGAACTGTGTTTATCGACTTGCGAGAGGCTTTTGTCGCGGTTCACCATGCCGCTTCTATCTATGGTATAAAAACAGCAAAAACGAGTGAACACTGTCAGAGATGCATTCTATCAGGTGTTGGGTACCACAATGGTCGATATTAGGTACATTGCTGTTTACCTTGTTTGTAAATGACGTTGACCAACATTGATAGCAATATGAAAATATTATTCTGTTTTTACGTTGCTGTGGAAATGTGCGAGAAGATTAAAATAAACAAATAGTGATCTAAACAGATTTCCAATTGTTTTGTGAAAATAGTATTGTTTTTTATATGAAACAGACCAATACAGAATGTTTTCTTTGCAGTACACTCCACAGAATCTCGCACTTTCAGCATCGCTTTTAAAAGCTTTTAAAATTAGCCACACAAAGGTCACGAAATCCATTGTATATGAACACCTGGGAGTGACGACCGAGAAACCTGCTCTTTTCATTCAGTCTTGAAAAACCAGAGTAAAATCTCTTTCACAAATATGACAAAATGCAGAGAAGGATTTAGCGGGGGTTTAGGGGTGCGGCACCCCCCCCCCCCCCTCCCTCCCAAACAAAATTTCTGTTTCTTTCGGTAAACATTGTTTTATTCGGCAAAAATCATTTGTTGGTAGTCAGTAGTAACAAAGTAACGCCAAGATTTTTACTTTATTTTTTTCTTATACGTAGCGGGGGGTAGGAATATTCTGAAATGTATTTCAAGCTAATTTCAAGGGCGTCGTCGCAAAAATTTTCTGCTCGCTTCGCTCGCAGGAGACCCTCCTTTCTATCTCTGCAGAATGTTCAACACTTTCCCCTCGTTTTGGGATTTGTATAGAAAAATCCTTCACGTTCTTGAGACATTCCCGATAAAATAGAAACTAAAATGCTAAAGCAATCCAATCCTAGAAAAACTGGATTCTGAAATGCTTCTCGTGAATTTTGTTCCAAAGAGAACGGACTTGGTTTAAAACTTTTGAATACTGTTTACTATTTTTAGATATTTGATTACAACTTTGGAAAATCACTTTTTTACACGTAGTTTTTCCTCGCCTTAAACACATCAGGATATAAACGTTAGTGGAATGGTGAAGGAAATAGACAGTTGTAGAATATAGTCAGCCATAAAACGCTACATGTGAGATTGTATAAAGGGAAATTGCCACGTAAAAATGCCATAGCTTTTCCGAACGCATTTCTAAGATGGGTGTTTTCCCAAATTCTTAAGGGTCTGGTCAGCAAAAATTTTCTCCTCTTTGCCCCACCAATCTTCCAACCCTAGCTACGCCACTGCTTTTTATCATCTTTACCTTAAAGTTGAAAACCAAATTTAAAAAAAAGCGTTTCCATCATTTACCAGTGTCCTGAAGGGTATGGCACCAAAACAAGTGTCTATTACCTTGCCAGTCATTGTTGCTTAAATCCGCTCCTGTATGAATGTCAAGCGTCATACTTAACAAACTTAATTTTCAAACGTAGTTATCCTGTTCATGTACTAGGCACCATCAAAGCAAACCTTTTTGAGAATATCCACAATAGAACAACACCTAATAAAATCGAATACAACTGAGCATAGGTGGTAATAGGCACGATATCAAGTTTAAAAGACTCATTCGCAAACGGAATATAACGTACACTTTTGATAGCACCAAAATTTTGAATGGCATAAAATCAGGCGCCATCAGAATTACACTGTTTGGACCAAACATATGCATCATATTAGCGCCAATCCTAAAGGGAATTCTGAAGCCAGAAAGAAGACATTCCATTTTCAAAGAGGTTTTTGATAAACTAACAATTTAACATGACATGAAGACCGGGCCCTTTAACATATGTGTAAATTTTGCAACTATTACTCTCAACTTTTTATTCCTTTATTTAGGACACTAAATATTTTTTTTAGAATTTATCCTTTTTAGCCTTTGCCTTCCAACTTTCTATTCTCGAAATGTGTGCCACTTACAACTTTTGATTTACTTTTGTCTACTTGAACAAGCTCTTGACTAATAACATTGATTGTTGGTGACAAACGTAGTTATCCTGTACCAATGTATTCTAAATTCTAAACATGTTTAAATATTGTCTTTTTGTTAGTATAAAGTGGAGAAGCTATAGTTCTTTGACATATTTCATTCTGATTTCAGGCGGATTCATAGAATTTGGTCAATAGAAATTGGTTTTGGGCTTTTCAACAACGAAAAGACTGAATATTATATACTGAGGTTTGCTGGTTGCAAGTCACAAGGAAGATTGCTTCTGGGGAGTTTTCGCATGGCAGGACTTAGATTTGAGATATTCCGATGAAGATGAAATAGTGTTTATCGCTTTCTTCCGTTTCGAGAACCATGTCGTAGCAGCGAAAACCCTCTTGCTTGTTTGATATCGCAAACTACGAGCTGATATCATTGTAACATGCCCGATCTCATTACTTATCCCGTTTTTTCTGTTCTAAGTTATTTAAGAATCTGCTTTTCGGCGACTTCATTGAAGTACCTGCCCATATACCAACCCAATGAATGTACATAATTTTTTTGTCCCGTATCCTGTCCAGTGGACAAAATTTCGTTACGACTTAAACAGGAAGCTACGAAGAATGAATTTATTTGTTTGGCTGAAACCAATATTTATTTGTTCCATTAAGAATTGGATTTCTTTGTTCGCTAATGAGCCCTGTGGCATAACTTTGAGAAAAATTATAGAGCTCTTATTACGTGAAATATAAAATATCTTCTAGAGAATTCTACGTTGGGTGCCATTAACTGTGCCAATATAGATATTTCAGAAAAATATAGGACAGGTTTTAAAAGAAACTATTGAAAATTTATAAACTATGTTATATTCTGCCTTTATTGCTTTATATTACAATAATTTCTGACCGCTTTGGTAAAAAGGGCGAAATTGAGAGGAATATTTATTTTTGCTTTGATATAACTGAAGATTATATCAAGATTTAATTTAAGATTAGTTTGCCTTTTTGTTTAATTTTCACCGATTGTGTGGGTTTTCTTCGTATCGTTTATTGCAGATTTTATTTTTGTTAAAACTGTTCTCCTTGGTGAACATCTAAGTAACTACCGGCTGTAAGGGTTCTTGGTGGCATTAGTTGTAAGAACGTTGATAGCATATTAACTTAAGATGTGTTAAACCTCAAATATCGTTATAAATCTCAGATTGCCAGTCTCCTAATCCCGAGATGACGAGATAGGTCATTATGCATCTGTAACAATCCTGTTTCAAGTCTCTAACCATTCACTAAAATCGTATCTGGTATTCACCATCTCATTTTTTCAAAAGTCATCCTTTGGAGACCCAGGCATCCAAATATTCGTGAAAGCCTCCACCTTGACCGTTTCTCGTAATTCTTGGAAAAGATCAGCTTAATCTTTGCTCTATTCCGTCCTTAAGCTGAAAGTCGTTAAATTTACAGTATTTATAAATTTATATTTGTTACGCCCATACTATCTTTTATTTATGACTATTCGTTTCTTAGTATAACGTGAAAATGTGTATGTAACATTCTCTTGAAATAGGAACTTTTTGCGGGAACTGGGCACTAGGTTCCTCTATTATGATTCTAATTGCAGTGGAACTTCTACTGAAGGACTCCTCCCTATAGTTTACACTTCCAAAATAAGACTGAAAATTTCTTCCGTAAACTAAACTTTGTTCTTCACTGTCAAATCTATGTAAAAGAGACGTTGGGAAAACAGACAATGGATTTGGTGGTAGCGATTACCAGGGGCCCTGGAGGCTACTGCCTCTCTTTTCCCTCCCAGTTCGATATGATTCTTAAGATTGATCCTTAAAATGAGATATATTTAATTGAAATCGCGAATGAAAATGCGACTACAAAAACTCATCGGACTTGCCACACTGTTAAAAATAAACAATTTCCTCCACTGTATCTTATCATAACGCATGAGTACCCCCTGCTCCATTGGTCCTTGTTATATCGATGCTTAAAAGCTTTGAACAGGATTAAATACTGGGAATAGCCGTATCTATAGTAGAAATTGCATAAACTTTATTCGCTTGTATAATTTTTTGTTCAGATAGATATTTTTCCGGGAATCTTTAGTGTTATTATTTCATTAGATTTGAGAGCTGGGGAAAGGCGGTATTAGATTGATGATAACACACGTTAACAAGCGTTTTTCATGTATTTACTCTAATTGCGCGCAACATAGATGACAGCGCATATTTTCTGTTACCGCAGACCAATTGATTGGATTGATGCGCGCACGAATGGTCTTTTTTCAGGTCTTATACCTCAGGATAACGAACTTAGTTGCAATGACTTGAAGTAATATTTAACAAACCAGTATATGCTAAATAGTTCGTAGTGAATGCGGGAAAATAACCGACCCGAGCGAGGTACGAACTTACGACCCCTGGCTTTGTACGTCAAGTGCTCTACCACTGAGCTATCGGGCCACACAAAGTCAGGTGTCGCGAGTTCGTGCCTCGCTCGGGTCGGTTATTTTCCTGCATTCACTATGAACTATCTTCAGAAATCATGTTGCCTATGACATGTATGCTAAATGTGGGACCATTAGCCTATCCCTTTTGTTTCTTTCCTCTCTCGCTTCTCCGCTCCGCTCCCACATTGCCGCGCTTAAATTTTTGCGGGTCTCGTACCCAGGATAATCCAGCTATGACAATATTGTTTCAAAAAGCGTTAATCCAAGAATAAAACGGAGGCTTTTTCATTCCTGGAATTTACTGTACCATTCTTTGATTGTCATGTCAACAACATACTTAAAGGAGAAGCAAGGGGGCGTTCACCCCAAATGTTCAACCAAATGTTTTGTTGAACTGGCGAAAACAAATGGGGGAAAGTAAGTTCACTTTGTCGTGGCAGCACGAAAGCCTGGGTTGAACATTTGGGGGTGAACACTCAAAATTTACTCAAGACTTTCTATTTTTATACCCATATATTTTCAATGACCTTATGTATGTTTACAAACTTTTATTATGACAGCATTCAATACAGTACCTGTACCCGGCTTATGATAAAGAAAATAAAGTTGCCAGAAGGACTAGATTCTGCGACCATCTTGTTAGATTTTAGGACTGTATCTATATTTTTTCTGATATTGAAAAAAGGGTAGGAATAGAAAAGGAAAGGTATTGTTGTGTCAAAACAGCAAGGGGTCTATGGCTAAAATTGCATCAATTGTTAACAAATATGGATACAAAATTCATAAGAAGATTATCAAAATTTATCTGAGATTCAATTTTTCCACTTTAATTACTTTCTCTGTTATCATTGAATGTAGTAATCTAGCCAATACCTCTGCGCAAAAGAGTTTATTGCCAAAAAGTGAAATATTTAGGGGTTTTTCTAAAGACAAATATTGAAAACCTAGATTACCGGTTAAACATGATGTTACAGCTACGGGGGTCGGCAGTCAGTTTTCAAGCGTGCATGAGAGCACCCTGGGTATCAGACTCACTCTAGCTTTATTAAGCCCATTTCCAGTGACCTGACGAATCAATTTGGATCATATGTATTCAAGTTTTTTCAAGCCGGGCATTCATTAGATCTTTAAAAATTGGTATTTATTGCATAATGGATTCAAAATTGAAATTCACATCTTGTGCATGGGATTCTTTATTTTATTCTACAGAGAAAAGCGTTGTGAACAATATTTGCAAATCGAAATCATTTAGTGGTTTTATTTTGAATGAACGTATTGAAACATTAAACAGCAAAATGATCACCTTGCTCATTATTTTATCAGCATTAAAGGCAGAGATGTCCTCCTAAAAAATTAAGAAGCGGGCTGTGCTATAGCATAATAAAAGGTTTTCCAACACAGAAATTGTCCAGCCAAGCATGTGCCCCCCTGTTATAAGCTTGTTGCTGTGAGCACCCCAACATTTCCTTGAATTTTAACAAGGCACTCTTGATATAAGGATCTTCTCGTATATTCCTTTGAATGAAAAGGAAGGCATTGTAAATTTTCATTAACAGTGAACAAAGTTTGTTTCAATTTATTTCCGGATACCTGATCGCTATATAGTGCCAATATCTTGACGTCATAAAGCCTGCTTTCAAAATTTTTGAATTTTGGACATGTAACCTGAAAAGTAAAATTAAATACCTCAAAATCTACAAAATCAGTAAGTTTTGCTACAGATTTCCCGAGATATTGCCTTGTGAGTACAGGCTCTTTCCCTATTAAATCACTGCAATTTGATCCTGGTTCTAAACCTCAAGAACCAGGCCAAAGTAGTAGTAATCTTTTGGTAAAACACGAGTCATCTCAAGAAATCTGCAACAGACTTGACTGATTTTGCACATTTTTAGGTATCACCGCTCTACGTGTTTGGTGAATATTAAACAAATACAGAAATAGATGTTATGGTGTCATAACTTTTCCACCTTACGTAATCATTTTCTATATTTTTCAATATGGATAAGATGGACTCGAGGCATGTTTTCGTAAACACTATAACTCATTTGCTGTAGAAAATTTGGAGGAGCAACTACGTCTTAGCAATGCTGACAATTTTCCAAATTTTATAGAAGATTGTCTAAAATGGGGACGACATTTCTTCACGAGTTGAAGGGTATGCTCCCTTAGTGGCTTCTCCCTAACCCCCCTCCCCCCCGCTCTGACGCCCATGCTCCCCAGACAATTTCGCTAGTATTTTGACTGTTTATTATTGTTATTTAACAACAGTTCCTGAGTTAATCTGCTGGCCTTATGGCAAAGCAATTTTAACAAAGTCCTTTTTGCCAAAGGTGCATGGTACATGATATGCTTTTCCCATTATAGATATTTATTTAATGACCACAATTGAAGGTCGATCGACGATATAAAGATTACATCACCATTAGCAAAATGTTCGGGTTAATGTTAGGTTAAATATTTGTCACTTTTCCTTTCAGTTACAGCCAAAAAGAATAAATCTACCCTTGAGATTGCGGTTTTTAAAGTAAAACAGCCCTTCAAGGACGGATTAAATAAGAACTGTTTCTAATGAAGCAATCCGATGCTTAAAATGGAACAAAAGAGACTCGTCATGATCGGTCTTTTTGCCCTTCCAATTTATTACTTTGCAAGATTGGGCATCTGTCAGTTTCGGAAAATTTCAGAAGCCAAAAGAATACCCTCATCTGTTGATACTGGAAAAACGTATTTGGTTTTGTGTTCAAACTGACAATATACATAACAGGTTAGCATGATTTCAGTCAGCCTTTAGGCCGCACCAAGCTACTCAGTGACTTGCACCGGATTCATGTCAAAATTGGACGAAGTGTGGGAACTAGATTGCGTATAAAGTGGATTTCTGGAAGCTATGGCGAAAAAGTTATAAAAAAATAAAACATAGGCAAATATTTGCAATAATCAATCAACTATGATATAAGTGCTTAGAAAGCACGAGCTAAAAATTTGATAACAATTTTCGAAAAGCGATGCCATTTAAGTATATCCTTAGGGAAACTCTACCTTCGAATTTCAAATTAATACCTGATAGCTACGATACGCAAGATGTTTCAACTACTGAGCTGTAAAACCTGAAGCAGTGCCCCCCCCCCCCTTTACAATAAGAGAAACAATTTTGCGTCATTTAAAGAAAAGTGAAAGAGTAGCCAGTTAGCTGGGATTGACACAGAAATTTGAAAACAACCTCCTAAATATTTGATTTTATGCAAAATAACTATCTATGAAAACTGATAAGTCCTTTCAGAACAATGCAAAGCATATTTGTAGCTGAAGATGTATTCTGTATAACTATTGTTAACTGAAATGGATGGATAAAATATGCCAAAAGGGTATTGCTTCATCCAAAAACTTACTCTTCCCCTTTTAATCAAGAAATGAATTGTGAATGAGCAGATGTAAATAGGATACCTCATTTCACTTCAAATATTTATCCCTTGGGCCGAATTAGGTTAAAATAAAAGCTACACAGTAAAGATTAATACACTTTTCTGTTAAAAACCTAATAATCTAAATTTGTAACGATTTGCTAATATTGGGAAAGAAAAAAGGCCAAAATTGCTGTTTATATAGAGAAGACCTGTAAGAAAAGAATTTTGCCAGTTGAAGATTTTTAGACGTAGCCTGAATTTTTTTCAGCATTACGTGGTGATTCTTTGTTATGAAAAGTACAAGGGGGCTCTCGCAGAGAAGTTCTCAAAAGCTAGCAATTTTTACCTGTAGATCTTACCTTGCCACGACGAGTATCTGTTTCATTACCTCTCGTTGTAGAACTTTGACAAGTCTTCATGTTTCAGCAGTGACTTTCTATCATGTCCGAAACATTTCAAAGTTGGAGAGAAAGAGGTAGGAAGTGCCGTTTTTGCTCAGAAAAAGAGGCGCTTTCCCAAAAGTTATAAAGAGGGCACTTCTATGAAATGGGGCGTTTCCATTGGGACCGGTACACCTGGTACTCTCCGGTTCCGACGTCCCTGGCAACAGCCTTGCCTTCATTACAAAGCCAAATTAGACCAATTATTAGAAAATGAAATGTGTTAAGCTTTACCAAAGCTTTCGCAAGAAGCACTTACAGGGAATTTATCAAGTTTGAAATTTGAAGTTGAAGACGCAAACGTGAAAATATTGTGTCGATTCCCTCATCCTTCGGCATTACAGGCTACTGCGAGGGAGAGACAATTCAAACAGTCGAGCCTTGTTCTATTGTTGAGGCCAAATACTTTATCAGCATCGAACATCTGTTATTTGTTATCCAAGTAATGTAAGCAGAAAATAGCAATTTGAGCTGCAGAGCAATTTGCCTTTTGTAGAAAGTTTGCAAAGTGATTTAATTTGTAACGAGAAGAGCTCCACCGGTCGCTGGTAGATTTATAAGCCCTCGGATTATTGGAATGTGTTCTGAAGCAAACGCAAGGATGATGGCCTAGTGTCACGACTAATGACTTTTGCAGTGAAGGAATTCTCGTGATTTTTTTTATTGATTGTTACACCCATGCTTATTCGATATAGTGAATCACAATGTGAAGTCGTGGATGAAATAGTGTATTTGCAAAGACCCTATTAATGCAAGAACATCAAGGGATACCGTTATAAGGTGGGTATTTCTCGATTAAACTAATGGTTGTGTTAAGTTTTCTGTGCTTGCTTCCGATCATTTTTGCAAACAGTTGCCGAACAAAACATTAATAACAAAAGTGATACAGCAAGACACGAAAGTTGAAGTTTTAATTGATGTTCAATTTTGGTAACGGAATATTAATTTGCCTTCGTTACGCTCAGGTAATAAATGTTTTCTTCCAGATTTGGCCTTTTACTTTCCACACCTAGGCACATAAAAGGTGCCGAAAAGCTTTTCACTTGAAAATCGTAAAGTTGTGTCACAAAACAATATCTTAAAGCATAACTTGGCCTTGTCAAAGTTTACGAACATATTTTAGGTACAGTAGGATTAGCAACATAGTCTGTAATGTTTTGTTATCGTGTGCTCGGGCTGGGGACCTTCGCATGAATTTTACTCATTTATTTACAAATTACATAGGACCTGAATCTATTTAATTTATTCGTACAGTTCAAGCCACAGTTTGAATCAGCAATTGTATGGCAGCTTTTGTCAGCATTCTATTTGTTTTGCGGTAGTCAAGGCTGCTTTATCATGCCGACACATGCATAAGCAACATTCGGTTTTTGGATCTCTTATCTTTTGTTCATGAACAACCTCACTGTTTAATAAGAGCATTAGCATTTATGATTCGTTCCAAATGACTAAAAAACGAGCAATGATTTCTGTTTATCATGATTCTAATTTTAAAGCCTTTTGATTCCCTCAAAACCAAAGCATTCAAATATTGAATTATCTACCAAAGCCCACAGAGATTACATTGCGTTTTCTTCTGGGAACAATCTTTTAACTCTTCATAATCGCCTATAAATAAACCAATTAGATTTATCATGAAGAGAATCTGTTATGAGGTTTCTCCGTTGTGTTATTTCCCAAGAACTATTATTTTACATGACAGGGAGCTGAAAAAGCTCTTTGGGGGAATTCGCATTTTGATTTTTGGAAATCATTGCCTTTGATGACTCAGTATCGTAGCAGACAGGATTGCATGTCTGTTTCCTGTTCTGGCTATTCTTTGACAGATTTAAGAAAGATATGATACAGCTGAGGAAATCTAGAAGTTTGAACTAGGAAGTGTGTATTTGTCATAATTGGCAGCAGTACAACAGATTGCAACTTGCAGTGTGTGCTACAGGATGTTGAAATGCAAGTGTCATTTCCCATGTTTCACAGATAAGATATTTCTGTTTTCCTTTTTTGTTAAACTTACTATGATTCCTATAGCCTATTTAGAGGGGGAGGCCTATAGTCAGGGACACCTGAGAGGGGGGCATGGGGGTCAACTGCCCCTGTTGCCTTTTGATAGGAGGGGCAAGGGGAGCTAAGTGCCCTTTTCATAGAAGTGCCCCTGACAAAGAGCGAAAGAAAATGACTGTTATGAAAGAATTGTTGGTAACTGAGAATTAATTTTTCAAATGCCTTTTACTAAAGCCTGCCCCTTGCCTTTTGCCCCTTGGTCGTTCTGGCATTCCTGGCTATAGTTCCCTTGCCCCCAGCATTGTGCTGCTGCTTTTAAAGTCTTATAAGCCATTAGGCTGTAAAGCAGCAACAGAAATTGCTTTGGTGTGAAGGAATGAGAGCACCCCAGCTTTTGCAAAATTGTTTTTAAAACACAATTTCAGCACTTTTTTTGTAAATTTTTCATTTGTTGGCAAAGTTGCTTGTTCTTGGAGGTTTTGCCCCCCCCCCCCCCCCCCCCCATCTGAAAAAGAATTTCCACCTCTGTTGTGCACACTTGGGACCTGATATTCCCAACATTTAACAGACTTTGCAAGCCTGAGGACAGCACAAGTTTATTTCACTTTTGGCTGTGCACAGTAGTCTGCAGAACTATTGTTACCCTGGAGCCTGGTCCCTGCTCCTTCCTGAGTCTTGGCCCCTGAAATTGCATTCCAGAGTATGCTTTTTGGAATTATTGAATTTTATACATAATGTAACATTAACAATTTGATTGCTAAAATAAATTTTTAAAAAACAAAAGGATAAAAGTTTTCATTTTTAGTTATTTATTATCAAGACACTATTCTACAATCCTTGAAACAGTTTGTAAAGCTTTGCCAATCTAGAAACAGTTTCTAGATCTAGGAAAGTCTGTTATTAGTGCATTCCCAAAACATCATTTATATATTACACCTTTGCAAAAGATATAATTTTTTGCATTATGTATCGTTTTTTGCATCAATTGACATTATTTAACCAAACAAACAGCTTCTGGCATGGGTACAGAAATGCAGGACTGTGATAGATTGGAACATTTGCCTTGGTAATACTTGAATATTTTTGTGAAGAGCCTCATGCAATTTCCATAATTTAGCATCCAAAATGCTTACCAATTTCTATTAAACCTGAAGTTTTTACCAATCCTTATCCTGTCATATCTTACAGGCAGGCCTACCTATTTTTAAAGGATGCTCCAACTCTTGAATATCATGTTAAAAATTGAGTTTTTTTGTCCAAAGTAGAAGGTAGCTGGCTAAAGACAAAGCAGAAAGGTGGTGAATTTTGCTGGTGGTCAAACAATACTGTCAAATGATCCATTGAATTCTAAATGTCTGTCTTGTAAACATCAGGGTTACAAAATTAAAAAATTCATTTTACCGCACTTTTGATTAATATTTAATGAAGTTTGGGGTGTGAACAGAAATATTAGGTTTTACATAAAGAAATTTTTAGGATTATTATATATTGCTGGTGTTATTTTTTAAGATTTGGACAGTCTAGTTGTACAGTGTTTTTCTAACAATAAATGTTTTCTGTCCTATTCCTATCAACCTAAAAGTTGATAATTCATAAACTTTTTTTAAATTCTAAATTAGAAATTGTTAGTGGAAAATTGATAAATATTTCAGAAACTGTTCCTGTTAATAATGGGTCTTACTAGCTAGTTTAGAAGCAAATATACCCATAAAGAATTTCAAAACTTAATTTAAAGTCTAGCATTTTGCTATTTTTTTCAGTGGCTCACCCTTTCTTATTTACTAATTCAGCAAAGTTTAAATGGTGTTGAGAAAGACGGCCATCTTGTTTTGCTTACTTCAATGTGTAGCAATATATCACATTTTGGTTCCAGTGCAACCTTTACCTGATCTGAGAAGTTCTGTGACCTCAAAAATAACCTGATTGCCACTAGATGTGAATAGTTTTTCATTTTTAAACTGTATTGCCTCAGATCCAGCCCAGAGATAGATCCTTCATTCCTGCATTCTTGCACTCAATGCTGTGTATCTTATAAACCTTCACTGCTGATTTCATTGGGTTTCTTCTAAACTTTTTTATTCTAATCTCACATAATTTTTCTTCTTATATCATTCGTTTCATTGGAAAATAAGAATCTCTCAGTTGGCTATCAATGACTCACCTATACTTCAGTGGGTCTCTGTACTTCCGAAGCCTTATAAACAAATTATCTACGTGTAGAAAATAATTCATATCAAATATAAATCACACATATATCCTAAAATCTATATAACTTTTTTTTCAAACACGTTGGAATATCGTCATGAGATAGTGAAAACATTATGTACGTCTGTTAACTCTGGTTGCTCAAAAAACTCTGCTTTTGCACCATGATATTAAAATGTTTACTTAACTTCAGCTTTTCGAATAAATCAGTGTTTTATATTCGTACCCTCGATCAAGTAAGCAAATAGTACTAGTGCGGAGTAATCTGTCGAATTTCCGGGTGATATCATGTTTTCGAAATTCTTATCAAATATTTTTCTGTATATCGACCCACATCGTGTTATTGAAAAGCAGGTTATAGAAAAGTTTAGAATTCACAATATTCTATGATAAAATTTCTTCGACCAAAAAGTTGCAGACTATGTTTTAGCTGCTTTAATGGACGATGGGCGTCAACGATTTGCCGTAATTGGTAATTCAACTCTTTAAATTTGTTGGTTATATATTAGGTAAAAAGGTTTTATTCACGATGTACATTTAGGTAAAATTGCTTTCGGAAACCACTGATAGCTGTCAAAGCTTAATCCAAACAGCCCGGCCAGATTAGGTCTTTTTCCTGATTGGTTAAAAACACTGCTGTCAAAAAGGATTGAGGTAAAAAAGGAGACCACAATTGTAGACCATACAATATTTACGTCATCGTTATTGTATCGAGAACTTGAATAACAACAATCAACCAAAACAGTTCAATGTATCGTTTGGTCCAAACTGCATGCTATAGAAATGTTATAGGACTGGTTGTGGAATGATTATTATGATGCGAACGTCTCCTGGCTTCTTTGACTTTGCTAGTACTAGAGCATTTGATAGAAAGGGCGTTGTTGTTGCATGATTTTGTGTGCGAGTTTCCCCGATCTTATTAAGAAAGGTTTGCGTATTGAGCCGACTCTCATATGAGTTGCTGTTCAGTTAGGCTTTGTGTTCATAAGAAATTATGATAAGCTAGACGGTTTTACGCTATTACTCTTGTATCACCACGTTGTGACTAAGACAGGAGAACGAGGACCTGTCGTCATTGTCGGCAAAGTCTGAGATACTGAGAAAGTTTAGATTTGCAAAGATTCAAAAAACAGGTACGGTATTTTAACTCCTTTGTAACCATGTGGCTGTAATCTTATTTAATGTCGACGAGGTTACGTCAAACTAGAAGGCAAAAACAAGATTAGCTGATCAGCCGAACTCTTTCCACAAAACACAACGGACCAATGCAGTTTTGTTTTAAACCTCGCTTGGACCTGTTGAAATATTGGTTTATACCAACCACGATTCAAATTCAATTCAAATATACTGTTATGTTAAGATATTTCACATTCAAAAGCCTAAGACCATTTAAAAGACTTTCTCCGTACTCTCCCTTGAAATGCATCAGTCTGAGCATATGCAAAGGCAGTTGTGAGCGATTCCCAGGCGGGTGACTCGCTTGCTCTTGAATCTGTGCGTGTAGAACATTATTTTGCAATTTTTAAACTTTTTCCATTGAGAGGGTTATACTTGCGAGGACTTGGATACCTTTGTCACTCGTGTAAGTGTCACAAATCAAAGATGGGGCACAGATTGATGATGTTCATAAAGTTGAAAGATTTATCAGTTTTCGACCTCTTTGATGTGTCTAAATTGCTTCTAGAAACCTATTTTTCATGAAACAGGCGTTGCCGTTTGAATATGGTTTTAAAAGCAATTTGATTTGCATACAAACCTATGTACTCTATCCACTTTCCCGACTATTTGGTTATCTAAATTGCATACAGCTTTGAAACAACAGAGACACATTAAAGCCAGTTTTACTGTCAAATGTTGTCCAAATTGGTTTCCTTCAATTCTTTCTCAGGTTACACAGTACAAAGTCTTTATTTAAAAGAACCATAAAGGCCAGCTAATTCATTTACGGACTGCCATAGTGGCCTTTTAATTGAGTACCTGCTGAGATAAAAAGTCGTGTACCCATTTAGTTCGAGAGTCCCATAACACTTTTTAACTACATATTGTCTCACTGTTGCATTTTTCGTTTTAGACCTCAAACTGGGATAATTGTATCTGGTAGGACCTCAGTCAGTGGCAATTACAGAAACCCATAAATGGCAGGCTTATACTTGGATATTTAAACATGTTCCCTAGCTACGGCGCATCGTCAATATCATCATCTGCAGCAGTTCTCAATGTTTTTGCAAAAAGGTATGTTATTTTATGCTCCTAAACTCACTTTAATTGCAATTTTTTGGCCACATTAACAGGGATTTTGGGCTCGTAAACGTTTGTTTGCGCCTCTTTTTAGTTGGTTATGTTGGAGATAACCCGGGGTTCTATAGCAAGCCAAACAAGGGAATGGGGAAGGACAGGAGTAAGGGAGGTGAGATCAATCTCGTTGATTTAGTTTTGAAAGAAGCATCTAAAAGAATCTTTGACGCAAGAAAATAATTAGCTACATTCTCAGTTTTTTCAAGTATTATTTACATTCTCAGTTATTTCTTTCCCTGCAAAGTTCGTATGATAAGTCATTTTTAACCGCTGGCTTTGTGTTTTGTCTGATGACGTCATTACATTTATCTCAAATCATATTTTACGAAACCCTGAACTGGATTTTGGACGCTATGGTTTACCAAATCTCCATCGGTTTTCTCCACTGATTAATATCCTCCGCCGAAAAAGGAGAAGTTACTGATGCAACAATAGGATACGGGAGTGCACTTTTTCAGTCATTTAGTTCTAACACGTGCAATTAGGTCCCGTTACAAACAAAGTGGTCAGAATGAACGGGAAGGGCTGGGATATTTTTTGTGAAATTTGATCTGTCAGGGGGGGGGGGGCTAAAAAAGCAAGTGGTTGCACTTTGAAGTATAGGGTTTTGGTAAGTCCCAGAAAAATACAAATGACGACGAAAAGGAGGGAGATCAAAAATATTAATTCCGGACAAATAAATGAAAATTGTATATACGGAAAGCATTTTTTGCGAAAAAATAAGCAGCCTTAAAGGGGTGAAGATTAAGAGCTACTCTAAGCCTGAGAAAGCTATGAGTAGTCTGAATGTTAGAAAGTTTATATTAAACAATTAAATGAAAGGATCTCTCACTGGCTTGTTTGTTTGTTAAGCTTAGATTCGTTTTTAACGACTGCGTGGCATTTCCCGAGGCAGCAAGGACCAAGGCCTCTGCGTGCCTTGCCCTGTGTGTCCCTGCTCATGATTAGAGAGCAAGTTGAAAACAAAAAACAAATAATCGATGAAACTGTTCAACGCTTTGGCTCTTTGCCTCAGGTAGAATTTGCTTCTCTTAATCAGCACTTTATACATACAACCGCTCTTACAAAATCTCTTTTTTCTATTCATAGAAATTTGAAAAACTGAATTTATACCGCATTTATGCCAGGTGATCATTAAATCGGCTTTTATATGATTGTAAGGTCATTGACTTATCTTTAAACAATATAAAATGATAGGAATTGTAGCGTTGTAACATACATAGTGAAATAACGTGCGAGCTTTCGAAGCTTTCGCAAATGGATAACGAGCTTTCGAATACAGACGCAATTTTTCAACGACAAACTGATACTTTTCAATTACTCTGACACCTTTTCTGGTGGTTTATCCTATTTCATTGAAAATGGCATTGTTTCGCATTCGCGAGTATAGACAGATATTTATTATTGCTATAATCCAATACTCTGTTTCTGTTAGAAGCTATGTAACTTCTCCAGATAACTTTTATTGTTCTTTATGGATTGTTGTTGCAATAGCTGTCTACTAATGGTATAAACACTTCATTTTGAAATTGCTCCTAAAGAAGCTGTAGAATCAAGTTCCGTCTAAATTAGAAAGTAATTGATGAATGTGGATGTAATATTAAACTTTAAATAAGGAGATATTTCTTTTCTTTCGATAATAACTGCATTTGTTGATCTCTCGATTGTTATTATGTCATCTAATTTGCATTCAGTTTGTGGTTGCCAAAATCGCTAAGCAAATAAACTAGATCTTACGGTCTTGCGATTGACGTTGTAAATAGCAATTTGTTTTGTCAATTAGGCCATAGTTTGTTAGTTATGCGAACCTATTTTTGTAATCACTGAGGAGAAAAATGTTGGTTTGTTGTCGCTCGCTTTTTCATGGACAGGGAAATAGCTTCAAAAGATTCGCCTGCGATTTTTCTTTGTTCATTAACAAACTTTGTAGCTGAAATTTTAAAAAAGCTTGAAACTAAACTGATCTGTGGAGAAGTAGTTTTTTCTGCAAATTATTACGAGACAAATAGAAATATTTATGTGTCCAGTCTACTTAGTTTATATATTATATGAACTAAGATATTCAGTACAACTTGTATTCACATGGGTAAAGAAAGTTAAGTTTAATTTATTTATGTTGACTTCGTCATAATTAAATTAATTTGCAAATTTGAACTTGATAGGTGTAAAATACTTATTAGAAACTGTAAATTGTTGTTTTTGTTGATGAAATAATTTTTTGTTCTTTCGGTATATGAAGGAATTCTATTATTTTATGAAATTGTAGTTAATTAATTATTTTATGAAATTGTCGATTAAGCTATTGTCGTTGATTATATTGTTGGTATGCCTTTTTCTTTCAACGTCACATTTTCAATGTTTTGATGAAGAATGTGTATCTCTGCATTTTAAATGTCGGAGAAAGATGAGTATGCAATCCTGGATTGCCCAAACATTCTTCAAATGAGTAAGGCAACCCTGCATTCTGGAGTCAGAGAGCATGCGTAATGATACCTTATTTCAATGCGCATGCTCTTTTTTGACTCAAGGCTGGAGGGTTTCCCCACTCATTATAAAACTTGTTCGTCTCCCCAAGAACAGGGAAAGGGGGGGGGGGCTTGCTTTGCATGTTCGAATCGACAATATATTCTTCCTGCTATGCCTCTTTACTGGACGTAAAGCATCTCCGGGAAGTATTTTGTAAATCGCCGTGATCAAAGGTAGTACGTGACATTTTAGGTTTTATTGAGAGCCATAGAGGAACGAGGTAGTTATCAGCTGTAGCAGAAATTTGCACTCAAGTACTTTTAGGAAAGGGGCAACCAAGCAAACATTAAGAAAATTATAAAAAGGGAACTGATTGTCTCAAAACCAGGACTTCTTTCTGTTTCTGTAAGCCATTTTACAACCTGAAGTCCAGGCACATGATTTCTCCCAACCGAACACCGTTAGATCACCGATCTAGCATCTAAGCATATGTTTTACAATTTACGTTTCGTGGCCACATGAACACTTGCCGTCAAAACCTTTTAGGTACCATTATCCTATTTATTATGGCGCTGATTTGAAATTAATTGCTTTAATCATATAATAAGTCGTGATTTCTCCAACAGCTCAAGTCCGCTCCCACCTCACAAATCTGGAGAGAGACACGTCAAAAAAGAGATGACCCTTAAACAGACGAATTCGAGCCCGGATAAAGGTAGGAGTGTTAAATTCAATACTATTAGATGTCATTGTTCTTATTCATCCTATTAGCTTTGAGAACAATATAGATTTATACGTAAACAACGACGTAGGATTTGAGACGTTCTTGATCCTATGGTCCTGTTGTTGGTAGACAATGTATTATAGAAAACGCTATACGCCATTAAGATTTTGAGAGTTCGGACACAAATCGCACGATCAGGCACAACTGGTATTTGCAAGAGGATCTTTGCGCCTGCTTTTCCAGCCGTCAATTTTACAGCAATTACAGGTGAACAGCATTAGCCTTTTCTGTTTGCTCCAGGATATGCTTTACCTAAAACAGTCGTTATTCGGAAGTATTTCATGGAAAGCCCCATTGCATTTTAGCTATATTTGAAAACATTGCTTTAGTTTTTTTTGTGTAGGCTTTGTTTACGATTGTATGAATGAAAAAGGCTCTGGCTTTTGGAATCTCCTATGAAAGCCATTTGTTTTTAAGTACAAAGTTTGAGGTTTTTACGGTCGATGCCGCTGTAACGGTCCGTCCAATGCCAGATTACACACACACGATACCTCTGGAATTTCATAACAGGCAAGGGACCTTCATGATGGTTGTATCACCATAACATATCTGTTGGTAGGCGTTTTGTCTTTTGATAAATTAAGTAATTGGTTGCCGAGGGCTAGATAACTTGTTTTTCGTCGTGTGTTGGAGCTTCGCCTTGATCCTTTGCGAAGTATCCCTGTTTTTGTAAATTTGTTCTTTAAGGAAACCTTGTTTTTGCCTCTTTTGATGTCGGCTTGTATGCAAATTGTATCTCTGTCAGTTCATCACTAGACCAGATTTAGTTTCTTTATATCAGATGTTCATATTTTTAAACTTAAGGAAAGCAATTCCGAGTTTCTGTTTGTTATCTTTAAGTCATTTCATCCCATTACTATGAAGGTCTTAGAATATACTGTATAACTACAATTATTAAGTTTGCTTGGAATTGATATGTCAGTTTCCAGCCGGATTTTTAGGACGTGAGAAATATTCCACAGATATAAGAATATCCAGGTGCTGTCGGCCTATGTTTAGCTCTATACCGCAATAAGACTCATTTTTCTATGTTGAGGGGTACTGCTAGTGCCTTTACAGTCCCATCATCATGTTTTGATATCAATGAGATCTAGACTTTGCAACCAAAGCACTCTTATACTTTTATATCCAGATCAAAACGTTTGTTCTCAAATGCAGTTCTTTTTGCTTTTCATAGACAGTTTTTTCCAATCGATAACATTCACATGTTGTTGATGAAATCACCCCCTTAGGTAATGACTTTATTTCAAACCTGGCCTCTCAATAGACCTATGACGTGGGTTTGAGGCTTGGTGTTCTTTATGTTGTCCTCATTTCAACATTCACTTTCTACAATGACGTAATAAAAATTGTTTCTAAGACCACGAAAAATCAGTGTTGCATGACATTTGTTGTCAAATGATTGATTAGCTGATAGGTCGGCTCTGGATTATTTTTAAATACACTTTGCTTTTTCTACAATTTTTCGTCGAAGTCTAGGCGTATTATTATTTCTATTATTTAGCAAATCGATCCTTTGTGTTCTTTTAAATCGTTTTTTAAAGAAGAGTTTATTTTGGGTTTAAACAATGCCAAAGGGAACCCTTGCTCTAAGGATTAAGGACCACCAAAATCTAATTCCGCTACACTATCAGAGATTCGTAGCCTTATAACCCACCCCCCTCTACGCATTTCATGTTGGAATGGCCTGTAGACATCCTACAAATTTTCCACTGCACTTTAACGAGATGCTGCTAAAACCCATGTCAAAAGAGAGTTTGGACAATCAACTTTAGATTCCAAATTTATTTCAACATATATCTTATCAGATATATCTCAGCAGGGGCAATTCACACTTGCAATCGATTACCACATTTCAACGAAATTACAAGGATTTTTAAGGATTTCAAAATAAAACAAAAGGATTTCCACCAAAGGTATACGAGATTTCCATGATGTTATTTGCCCATCGTATCTTAGTTTAAAAACTATACTTGTCATACCCTTAAAAATAAAAACTCTCTTAGAGCTCTCACTATCGTGTTACGTAACGCTAACATTTTTTATTTTCTAAGGAAGAGGTCGCAGGTATTGCTACTCAAGTTTTTTAGGTGCCGTTTCTATTTGGTGTTTACAGTGCTTCGAAACGTTTTAACTCCATACAAAACCAAACTATTCCATATTGTCATCGTTTATTAGCCGGTATTGAAATGTTAAGTAAACCATAAAACTTTCTTTCTGAGGCTTTTAATTTAGTTCTTAACTTTTGACCAATTTGAAACTCATATCTGTTAACGACGTGTTCATGAATTGTTCTTATAACAGAAGAGTGTAAGAGAATATGTTGAGGTAGAGTTCTTTTTTGATGAATGTTACTCCGCCAGTTAACGATTCTACGATTGGTTTAACTTGGGTCCTTTCACCACAACTGGAGCACATTGTCAACTTGGTTCAAATATCCATTCTAAAGTGGCACCTTTTTCTACCTTCTTTCGTTCCGTTTGATACCCCTTTGAAGTAGGCCATGTTTAATACTGGTGTTTGGATTAATAGGGGTACCATTAAACCTGCTGTCATTTTTCGGATGAGCATCCAGCATTCACTTTCGTTGTAAATTGATATAATTTGACAATGAACTACATAAATCAGTGCTCTTGACTTTAAAATGCATGTTACATCCCTCAATATTCAGGGGTCCTTTTCTTCTTTCTAAAGCGCTAGCCATTGTCGAACCCAACAGTAATCCGCCGGCTCTAAGTGGTGCAGTGACTTCAAGATGTCATGGTAAATATAGGAAGTCAAACAGAAAGACAGGAGAACACTGACATTACACAAGTCGGCGGCCTTTGCCTGTCACGAAAAATCGTTCTTTTGAGTTGAGAATCCATTGGTTTACCCTCTTTGAATGAAGTAATCTGTAGGCTTGGTTTGATTTGATGAGTGGGTAGGTGATAAGCTCCGTGGGGAAAGGGCACGGTATTTGATAATTTTAGCGTTGTTCTATAAGAATACAGTATTTGCTCGGCAGTCTTGTGAAGGATATCTCTTCTTGTAGCTAATTCGTTCTTAATCTCCGTTTACAAGGGATGTATCTTAAAAGAGGCCCACCTCAAAGAACAATTTTGTTGGCTTCGTCTTCGAAGGAGACATTGATATATAGACATTATATTGATAATAAGAGCATAAGCAACAATAGGCACTATCCAGCAGTAGGCTGTTGCAAATATTCTTGAATATCAGTGTTCCTTTCGACCACCCCCATTCCTTACCAACTCATCCTCATTATTGGCCCAGCTTTTCTGTCACTTCTATTGTAGTTTGTTTGTAGTTTGATGATGTTTAGGTGGAACTGACCCCGATGTCTCTACTTAACGTACTCCCAGTTATAGTTTGTTCTAGAAAATGAACTTCTCGAGATCTATTGGGGTCACAACATCTGCCATTCCCTAACAGCATTGCAACCTTGGTTCCGAAATGAACGGCAAAAATAGATCTCCCCTTATTTCCGATACGGCCAGCCTAAAAACAGCCTACACCATAGTTTTGTGCTGCATGGTCTAAAGTCATTGCCAAAAGTACTTGGAACACCAAGCAATTTGCATAGTTTTTTCATATTTTTCAATTCTTTTCCCAGATACTCCTATTTCTGTACCCCCTTTTCCAATTCTGAAGCTTCCTTCTTCACTTAGTCCTTGAAGGTTTGATAATTCGCTCATACTGATAATGCCATCCTTCAAAATATCTGCACAGTAACATTCGCTTTGGACATGTCGCTTGCTTACTGTTGCCAAAACTACATTTGTTTGGAGACAAGGGAGCGAAAATCTTCAAACGAGGGAGGCAGCCCCCGTCCTGGAATCAAAGAGCACGCGTAATGATGGCTTTGTTCTATGCGCATACTCTGACTCCAAGACGGAGGGTTGCCTTCTCATTTAAAGACTCTTCTTCGTCTCCCACATACGGAACCAGAAAGCGGCGATGATATAACCATCATAATATCTTAAATATCTTCCACTGCAGTGTGCTTTTTGTCTTGGCGCCCAACCTCTTTCGTTGCATACAGCTCTCTATTATTGTCTAGAACACTCTTATTTTCGCAGCGTATCAAAATTAAGACCGTAAATGCGTTTACACAGTGCTGGATCACTTGCATTCCGCTTTCCTAGCCGGTAAACCGTATCAAATACGTGACGGATCCGCTCGGTATATGTAAATGCGAGGCCGTACCATGACAACTTCGCGACGTATCCTACGATCTTTCATGCGTTAGAAAACCCGGAAGTTTAATGCCCTTTTTGGCCGTCAAGAATCCTTGTGCTGGGTAAATTTCATCACCCATGCTTTGTGAATCAAGCAGTTTTAATGATGCCGTATTAATGATTCAGTACTGTTGACGCCGATGTTTAATTACTCCGTTATTCTTTCGTAATTGTCTAAGAGAGACCGTGTAATAGCCCACTCTTGTCGTAAGGAACGCCCGCAAAATTCAAAACTGCTCGTTAAAAGAGGACAAACAAGACAAGGGTGGAAAAATGCAGCAATATGCCTTGATAATATTCGCCTTACAGTTAGCACAGTTTTCTATGAAATGAAGGAGCGAAGATGCTCAATATGCTTGAAAATGGCGACCAACCTAGTAGGTTCAGTTGTAACATGCTGCTTGTATGCAGTGATGTCACCAAGTTTGATTCTTTGTTTTGGTCGAAGGAAATATCAAGGTATGAAGTCGCTTTGTGTTGTTGTTAAGGGTTTCGTCTTTCTCTTTATCCTGTTACGGAACCTGATGCAATTAAAGGCTTTCTCGTGGCTTGCTTAGCATGTTTTGAGTGGAGAGTTTGAAAAAACAAGTACTATAGAAATGCAGGATTAATGCATATATTTGGTTTTGATTTTATAGAATTGACAAAGATAACTTCTTTTGCTGCTCGTCTTAAGATTTAGGATGATCTGCTTCTAATAGCCTAAGTTGTGACGATGCTTAGAGAACTGAAAGTTTCGTATGGGGTTCTTAAATTTCGTCATTTTCCTTAAATGTTTTCTGTTAATTTAACAAAGATTTAAGCAAGTTTGCATGTTGTACATTAACTTGATTTTGCTTACAATAAATTGCCTTTTAGTTCGAATTAAAGTAGGAGCCTATTAAGTTACAAAATTAGGTCCTTGGCGTATTGAAGTTTTTAGACACAGCTTTTGGACCCAGAACTGGCTCGCCGTGGCTACTCTTCATTATCAATTATGATTCATATGGTTTCCCTGAAATGTGACACATATTTGGTTTTTTTATGTTGGTTCATGTTCTCTCCGATGGCTACTATACCTTTGTGTATCATTGTCTTTTATGTTTGTCTAGAGATTTTAGTTTCATTTCTTGGGGTACTGGCACTGTATCATCCTCTCTAATGCCACTTTATCGTATTTTATAACAGCGTTGAAATCACTTGTTGTTAATGTTGCATGGTGCAACAAAAATGCTGTTAGTATGACTTTAACAGTCCTCGCTCCCCTGCTCCTCCGTACATCAAGCAATGTCTGCGGCGCAGGCTGGTACTCACTTAATACGTTGTGAAAATATGCAGAGTACAAGAAAACACAGTTTGACACCTACATTATATTTGCACGCAAAATTTAAATAATAAATGCTGAAGATATATTACGACTCCTTGTCTATTATTTATATGCCTATTATTCATTGTTTTCCTCGTGAAATCGTTTTATGATCCCATCTTTGGTGAGCTGCGACCAAGATTTTAAATGTTTGATAACTTCATTCAAAGTGGCAATCTTGGCGCCATCTAGATGACTCTAACAGTTTTGTTAGGTTTGAACCTTAGAGAAGAAACCCTGGTTTGTAAAATAACTTTTGTATGTTGATACAGCTCCAGATTTTGCAGTAATTAAAAAGTTCAATGAAAACATTTGTCTCAACTGGATTTGTTTTCATATTTATTCTCCTTTGTACTGCCGTTATTGTCTTAATATTTCTATGACAGTATGATAATTGTGTTCTTTCCTGTCCTGCAACTAAATCTCTTTTCCTTTACTTTCTGATAAACGTTACAGAACGTCCACTTTAAAGAGTTCGACTTTTGTGGCTGCCCACGCGTAATATGGCTACTGTATATTTCCCTAAAATATTTATCATTTACGAACAAAGATCTTTTCTTTTGTCTTTGAAAAGTTCTTTAAGAAACACCGATAAAACCTTGTGTATAGTTCACCAGACATCCATTTCATATTAAAATTATATTTCTCCAAGTGGCGGGGCAGATCATCATCAGCTTTATTTTGGCTGTATGGCCTAATGTTACAGAGATACAGTAATTTCAGAGCGAGGAACACACATCTTAAACCCGGTATGTTTTAAAGAACGTCAACACAGTATTAATATTTGCATATTATCTCTGTCGGAGGGTTTGGCAGTAGCTCATGTAGAAGACCCCCATCAAGTTGATTATAAAAACATATTTACGTATAAAATATCGTGTTTAACTCTGCTTATTCATTTCGTAACTGAGATGATACTTGATAGTTGATCCTTCAATTCGTCAATTCGTTACTGCATTTTTTATCTGAGGTAGTCTGGGTTTTTACAGTTGTGTCCAGCATTGGTGATCCTGCAAATGAAACTGTAAAATATTAAGAAACACCAATCGAATTTTTGGATAATCGGTTTGTAGTCGGTTTGGATATATTCTTGCTATATAGAAATGAAAAGGAAAACCGTTAATGTTGGCAGAAACTATCTAACTATAATTTTTTTCGCTCGTGAGAGTGGCTGTGGTGGTGGCCGGGCCTCCTTGCAGGAAAAGTACCACCAAAGAAAATCTTGCGAGAAACTGGCTGACCGTAAAAGGGGTGTGAACCTTCCGTTGAAATGTAGATCTTTTTCATTTGTATTTTGGTTCACTTTGAAGCAGTTCCCAGGAATTCGTTTGGCAGCAGGCTACCTCAAAATCGTCGATAAAACAGTGTTGTTCTCATGTTATTTCTGTCACAGATGATCTAATGTGAACAGGGAATGGATTTCCCCCTCTGCACCCTGTGGCTGTTTCTTTGTGAAATTGCTAGAAGGGATTGTCTGACTGCCTCTAAATGGAGAATGGTTAATTCTAGGATTTGTCTTGATCTCTTTCGGGATGTTAACGCAGCAGAGGGATTGAGTTTGGCTTATCTTGGTCTGTTAATAGCCATCACCCATGAATAGTTAGTGTCCAGTTAATATCTGAACACTAGAATTGAACCGAGCTTACTTGTTAGTGTGGTTTGCTTGTTGTAATAAAGGCGTCGTTTTCAGATTTGGGCCAAGGCTGGCAGCCAAGGGTGTAGTGCTAGGGGGCTCAGGGGGGCAATGCCAGAAATTGGCATGTTACTACTTTTATGCAAATGCTCCCCTTGTTATTTTGATAGCACTACACCACTGCTGGCAGTAACACACCTATCGTGGTCAAGCTTAGTAATAACGAATTTTTACTATAAACCTAACAATGAGACATTGCCTTTTTTATAAGAAATCGCTTTTTAAAGAAACCTAAACGTGAAAGGCAAAAAGAATTAGAAAACCGTTAGTACTAAAGACATTGACCATATTCATCGTTGCAAACAGTCAGGAATTAGGAAGCTGGTTCCATTCATTTCGAGTTGATAATCTCTTAAATTGGGTGTTTCGAAGGTAGCTATCGAGTGTTTCATTGTATAAGTTCGTGTGTCTCATTTTCCTTATTTATTGAATTCTTACTTTTTCATATATCAAACAACTTTCTAGTCTTCCTTCTGTTTTCTGGCTACAATTAAGAATCTAGCGACGCTGATACAGACTTTCAATGTATTATGCGCAATTCTCATGGCACCAAATGTGCAGTTAAATTACTGACAATTATGGAACTTTTAGTATTACAATTTGATCAAAAGAGGTGACCAAAAATAAGGAACTTTAAGAACTAGGCCTCGAGCTAGGATCCTTATAAAAAAGCTTTTAAAACAGCATAACTGGCTCAGCTAATCAGTTATTAAGGTTTTGTCTGTGTTTGATATTAAGAACTACAAAACAGACTACAAGCGTAGATTGAGATAGCAAGGACAGATAGCCCCGCCTAATTCAAAGCCACTTAAGCGAAAAAGACCTTATTTTGAAGTGAAATATAGGCCCCAGTACTCTTCCTTCGCCACAGTTTCCAAGTTTGACTCAATGAACTTTATGCATAAGACGAACGTCAGCTAATTCGAAGACATGCCGCTTGTCCATGTTAATTCGACTTATGTGAACTTCGCTGCCTGATGGACACGTGGAATCTTTTAACTAAAGGCCACTTTAGCCGTATGACTTGTTGACGCTATTTTTATTTGATATACTGTTTCAGATTATAAAAAGTCGTTAGTAACGAATACAGGCTGATTTCCATGGAATGATTTGGCATTAAATCGTCTACATCGTGATAAGGCTTGCTTTTATTTGAAGGGGTTTAACAGTGGTGTTTTTGCTCATTTCAATCAAGGATTGAATTTGACCTTGGAATTGAATTTGGGGTACCCGATGTACTCCTCCCTCGAAAGAAAAGAACATTTCATATAATCTTCTTTCAGGGGTAAAATTTAACAAAGATTGTGCAGGCACGCCGGAGCCAGGGGAAGGGGTGATATGAGATGTCCCCCACATTTATGCTGATGCATGTTATTAGGGTTATTGCATCAAATATAATGGTGGCAAACCGCCATAGTAGTTTTAGAATTTTTGTAGAGCCCCCCCTCTCCCCACTCCAAAATTGGCTCCAGTGTCCCTGTTGTGGATAAGGGGTTCCTTTTAATAATGTAAAACACCCTTTCATACTGACTCCTGTTATGATTTTTATTACTATTTAGGACGGAGAAAGAATCAAGTCTTGCTTTCTAATCCTTGTTTAGCATCGAAAATTATCTTCTTTAACTGTGAGCCACCTTTTAAAATTGGGCGAAATCGTCAATTTTACTTAAACTGTTTCGATCAGTGTAGCGGTTTTCAGTTGTTTGTTTTCAATAAATCTTCCAAGAACAAAAGTTTGTTTTACCAGCTGTAAACCGTCTGCTCTCTCTACCCAAGGGGAGATGGAAATATTCATTTACTTGGTGACGTCGCATCCTGTGAAAAGTTATCTCCATATAAGGAAGGTTGCTCGCTCATACTGAACTGCGACTGTCGTGTGCCTGTATAGGCTCTGTATAGCTCACTGATTCAATAGCTCTGAAAGAAAATTAGATTTCTCAGCAGTTACCTTTGATTTGAGTCTATTAGAAAAATTCAATCTGTTAGACTGTTAGATATCATGAAATTTCGCTTGTGTAATTGCAGTTTCGTCGAAAGCTAGAGATCAACGGGCAGCCTTACCAATATCAACATTGACTTCAAGCAGAGCATCCTCGCAGGGGCCTGCGGGCTGCGACTGTGAAGACAGAGACATGGTCTTCATGAATTCTACGAAGAACAACGAGACGGCTGTAATACCGAACACTTCTGAAGGCATTTTTACCGACTCAGATATTCATGACATTTTGAAGCCAAGCAAGTCAGATCCGGGAAATAAAAACACATCGTCGCCTGCCCTTCTCGTCAATGGCTCGACATCGCCTAAGAGACTCTCGCGATCTAGTCGAGAGTCAGTTGGTTCGTCCTGCTCTGAAGGTCAACTCGAGCTGAACAAATCCAGTTCGTCTTTATCGCCTTTGCCAAAACTGCTGGAGAGCCTGTCTCCTGCTGAACGGGCCTCGATGACACGACCCCAGATTGTTGCCCAAGAGATCTTGATAACCGAGCGGATTTATGTCAGGGATTTGCAAGAAGTAATCGAGGTATAGATTTCGGATTGTTGAATCATTGATTCTGATAATTCTTAACTCAATACACTTCAACTTATACAAACTGGTCGTTGGTTTTAATCGCAATAATAATTTCGATACAGGTGCTGACTTTGTAAAAACATGGATTGTAGGGTATTTTGTATCAATTAAACGGTTTAAAACCCGTACTTACTAAACCCCTGCTATATCTAGCTGAAAAACTACTTCCACTTGTGTATTCCACTGTGTATAGCAGAACAGTTCGCTTCATACTCGATTTCATTCTCATGTTTACCTTACTTTCGCGATAGCCACATGTATGCTGTGTATATATAAGCGGGATTTCCGCGAATTACTTTAATGTACTGAAATCTAAAAACCTTACTATGGCAGATATCCAGTTAATTTCTTCTGAATTGGTTTAGTTGCATTTTGGTTTGCAAAATAGTATTAAAAAAGGCTAATTTTTCGGGGTTAGATTTACATAGTTTTAGCAGTAAGCTACATGAAAATGCTGTTTTTGTTTTGGATTGAAATGTTTTCCCACCTCTGCACAATTTAAGGGACTCATCCAAACATGGAGAATGACTTTTGAGTTCAAAAGGATGTTTTATTGAAATAAACTTTAATACAATTAACCTCGTTTTATAATACCAATACTTTGACTAACCGCCTCGATTTGGAAATACTCCAGAAATTTTGTAATCAAAATCTCAATTGGCTTATTCTTCACAATATTATTCAATAGTTCTTCACAATCGTTTCGTCAAATATATTCCTTCCTCTCCGTATCATGGTGTTCGTCATTCATGTAAAGGGTAACATTTCGATTTCTTGTTATTTATGTTTTTAAAACTATTTTAGGGTCCAGTTAATTTCGAGTGTTTGGCTGCACAGCCTAATCAGCTCCACTTGATTTGGCCCTTTGTTTCTCAAAAAGTCTTTGAAATGCTTCATTTTGGAGACTCAAAGATAATATTATCTTGTTCTTGCGACGAAAGTAGCGTTTATCAACGGATTGATGTTTCTTCCCATTTTATCTAGGGCTATCTCATCCATCTCTTGCATCATGGCATGACCGATGTTGATATCGAAACAATTTTCGGAAATCTGGAGGAGATTTATGATTTTAACAAGTAAGAAGATATTTGTTTAAACTTTTTATACATTGTTTAAGATACGGGAGCTTTCATTAAGTCACTGATCAAATCAAATATTACTTACTTGCTTCTAAGGGACCTTCTGACATTTATCTTAAGAGAGACCTTTGGTACTTTTTAATCTTTCTAAAATTATTGTGTTCATTTTATTCTAAAAAAAATTTTGTTAGTAAGTATTATTAAATTTTACATATGTAAAGTACCATTCATAGCTAAAACTCGGTGACTCCGTTGTCCTGAATGGTACATTGTATTGCAAGTATTGCCAGGGGTGGCGACAAGAAATTCAATGTGCCCGAGCTGATAGCATTATTTGACAAACAAACCAACTTTTGAAAAACGCGCTAAAATGCTTGATGATATGTCTTGCCAATGCTTTTTGCCGGGGCTCGTTATGCTAGCGATAGGCGAAAGGTTGTTTGAGGCACTAGGTACAATCAAGAATATTTCTTGCAGTCTTCTTTTTCCAGTCGTTTAAAACATTCTACTGTACTGTTGGGATTTATTATACTGTTCTTTTCTTCTGTTTCTTTTTTCTATTATTTCCTTTTTTCTTAAAAATCTTGTTTTCGAAATGCGGGGGGAGAACCCCCAGCCCCCTTTTGCGCCGCCCATGATTGTGTTTATGTCAACCATCAACGATGGTGCTAATGCCAACCGAGTATCCATGATTGAGTTTTTAATTGGTTTATGAAAAATCAACCAGTTCATCAAAACTCAAACAATTAGCCAATACTATCGTAAATAATCCTCATTAGGTATCATTGGACAGTGAGTATTCTTAAATTTTATGCGTGGTACGTATTGCATTGTACTCTTGTTAGTTGTGTTTTTAAGAGGACCTGACACTTTGTATTTCTGATTTTTCAAGAGGTATTTTGGAAGATCTCGAGAAAATTGAGGACAGCAGAGACCCAGTTCTTATTTCACAATGTTTCCTGAACAAGGTAAGCCGACATTGAATATTCAATCATTTTCTTTTGTTTACTCGATTGATGTCAGGTCACCACTGAGTAATTCTGATATATCTGCTTGGATCCTTGCATGTTCTTTGATCTCAACAAATGACAACAGAACGCCTTAATCTTGCGATTATTTGAAACAATCAAAATATATTTATCTCAAGCATGCTTTAGTTGCTTCAACATGGAATATTTCACTAGGACTAGCATAGCGTTAATGCAAATTGAGAAACTTTTCAAAGAGGCTCTTTAAAGGTGCTAAGAAACTCCAGCATCATCATCTGTGTCATGCAGTGGTCTCAGCTTACCAATATTTGAAATGTATCTCCCAATACTAAATGCTCTGTTAACTGTTCAACTTTTGATTTGTCTTACGTAAAGACTGTTTTTAGAGCTCAACTTAGAACATTGCCATTAAATTGCGAAGGACATTAGAGAAACAATTTACAAGCAAAAACCTTTTCACTTAGTCAAATTAGAAAACTCGCTGCTTTTTAATGGCTCTTAGTGGTTGAGGTTCAGAGAGCTTAGCAGGTAATAAGAATCAAGGTCTTTTGACTTTGCCCGACGCTTATTCCAAAACGCTGCTTTACAATTAATTACTTTGGGCCTTCGTAATTAGAAAATTGAAGTCGTGTAAACATGCTTGTTTGCTTAAGCTTTGCAATGACGTAAGCGAAGCACTTCGGTTCTAATATCGACAACAGCAAAGAACAGCAAAAGCAATGAGCAACGAAAACATTGAACAAAACAGCAATTAACAAGAAAAGTTTTTCGACCAAAAGTATAAAACATATGTAGATAGAAAATGAGACATAAAGGATGGAATTTTGGAAGAAATTTGTAGAAAAATATGAGCTGATCCGCTTGTAATGTTTCTAGCTCTGTCGTGATGCGAATCATAGAGACAAGTGAAACAGATCAACATATCAAAGTTAATTGTAATATTCAGGCTGGGTAATGTCTGTCCATATAAGGAGAGACTGAAAGGGGATTAGCCAATGACATTTTAATTAAGAATATCCTGGTTGACCTTCCAAGCAGACAGTAATTAAAAGCCTTTGACCTATCTTGACGTTTTATTGAATACAGTGGCGTAGCCATGGTCGTGAGGTTGGAAGGGCAAAGACGAGTCTGACAACGGAGGGTCCAAGGATTTACACCTGGGGAAATTTTTTATTACACCCTTAAGAATTTGGGAGAACGCCCCATTTCGTAAATTTGTTTGAAATAGGCTCTGTCCTTTGTACGTGGAAAGCAATTATAGCTTTTTGTAACTGGCCCTTTCTATTCTTCAATTGGCTATTTCCTTTACAATTTCTCTCACGTTTTATGTTCTGAATTTTTCCAGGCGAGGAAGCTCTATGTCTAACAACTGGTTTTTTAAAGTTGTAAGCAAATATCTAAAAAATGAACAGTGTTCAAAAGCTTCAAATTAAGTCCGTTCTTCTAGAAACAGAACGAGTGAAAATGGCAAGACACTGGAACTAGTGACAAACGGAGAATATTTTTGCGACCACGCCCTTTACATTAGATAAGCTTGCGACCATGCCCTTTTATCAGATACCATCTTTCTGTGCATTGTTCCCTGGCATCGTTATGTACCGTAAATGTTACTCGGTTTTGCAAACTATAGTACGAATTGTAAAGGCAGAATATATTTAAGGACGTTGTATTATTGTATTCTCTATTTTTTTCTCAGGCCCACGGTTTCAACTCTCTTTACGTTCAGTACTGTACGAATTATCCAGAGTAAGTAGTTGTTTTTACTACCTCACTTCACAGGAAAAAACAACGAAAATATTTCTGACATTATCGTTCAAATGAAAGCTAAAAGAAATATAAAATTTATATAGGGTTATTTTCCTTTTATTTGTCTTTGACGGCCTTTGCAATAGTGCTAGTCGGGATAGATGCTTGTCCCCAAAGCCTTCAAGAAAATTGAAAGCCTTTTCACTTTGTTGTCAGTTGTGTGCATGCATGTCTATGTTCGATCTTTCAAAGGATAAAGTTAATTTTAAAAGCCAATTATCACTCAACAAGATAATAAATATAAATTGAAAGCGGCTTTATTTGGCGTCGCAAACCTAACTCTTGAAACTGAAGAAGCTGTATGCGTTTAGGCCCATAGCATTTGATATGGGCTATGTTGTATGCAAAGTCTGACGTAGGTGGGTGCTACTGGTGTTGCTGCATTATGCCAATTCCTGACAGAAGCCCATATAAAAGCAGAGGAGAATATTCCTGAACCTGAATACACCCTCTAATTTGGGCTTAATTCGGCACTGTTCTTATTCTCACTTGTGTGAAATGTGCAGCATAAAGATTTTTGTTTCTCAAGCGTAGATAACACGATAAACGTGGAATGGTATATGACATTTTTTCTTTGTAGGTCCGCTGCCTTCCTGACGGAAATCCTAAAAGACAAGGAAATATCAGATTTCTTTGCAGTATGTGGACAGACTTATTTTCTAATGTTAGATGCAGTTTAAAAGCCAGAGAATGATTGCGAATTGATCTTGGCGGGGTGTGAACAGAAAAATTGATATGGGGCTTTGGTTAAATGGTCTTATTCGCATTGTTGGCTTCGCGATCACAAAACAATATAGATTTGCAAAAACACCAAAATTCTACTTTCTCTTCTGAGCTTTAACAAATTTTATCCTATGCCAAAATGCATTGATATAGAAGAGCATAGTTGACATTTCACTTTCCGTTTCGCTTACTGATTTCCATACTTTGAAGGAAGTTCCGGATGAAAACCATAGCAGTTTAATGCTTAATCTTTCTGCTTTTCGTGCTGTTAATGCTGTGCATATATATTCAAGTTTTATTGTGAAGAACGCTTCTTAAAAAATACTTATAATAATAAACAAATTCTTTGATGAAGTATCAAGCATATGGCTTGACTGTAACACCGCTGTCTCGCTTCTCTTTGTTCAAGCGATTTATAGCTTTCAAGCCTTTGTATTTTCTCTACATATCTCGTTTTTAGGAACGACAAAAGGCATCTGGCCACACTTTGCCAATTGACAGCTACCTGATGAAGCCAGTGCAGCGTATTCTAAAGTACCACCTGTTATTCAAGGTTCGTCTTAGATATGTGTTTCATATTGCTCATTAGATTCTTTTTAAATATTTTATATTTAGGCTTGATTCAGAGATTATTTACCTAGATTTACCTAGGAGCAAGCAATATTGCCTACCCCGGAGTCAGGGATGGATTTACCAGGGGATGTCAAGGGGTGTGAGACCTCCCAATATTTTTGTAAATTTGGTTCGATTCGGTAAATTTTGCTTTGCTTCTGTAGAAAGCATTTTGTAGTCCGTAGTAACAAATTATTTTTTATTTATCTTAATATCTTCTTATCTTCTTTACCTTGAAGTTAAAAGCTGAATTTTCAAAATGGACGTTTTCATCATTTTCCAATCACCCTAAGCGTTTGGCACCCAATTATTGTCTAACCCCCCCTCCCCTAATTTTTGATGCTTAGATCCGTCCCTACCCAGGGTCGTGAACGCAGTACTGAAATAAGAATGGCTATATGTTTTCATTTTGTCATAATCGTTACTGTTAATCGTTTTTGTTCTTTTTTTTCATGTAAACTTACTTTCAAAGAAACTCAGAAGACATTATCCGATATGATTTATTACAAAAATAATTAATAATCAAGCATCGAATATAAACAAGATATACTGTAGAAGCCCAACAGACTAATTTCTGTTGGCACCCAGTTTTCTTAATGACTCACTTTTGAGATGGTTACTAGGTTTTTAAGCTCACGGCGAGTTCTCTTTGTTTACACAGGATATGGCAAAGCATTTTAGGCAGGAAGAAGATGGCTATGAAATTGTACTTGTGAGTATTTATCTTTTATAGCTTGCCAAACAAAACGTTAATTTTTTATTTAGAACATTCCATTGAATTTTCGTTGGCGAAGGGGCTGGAGCCATTTCTTGTAAGAGATGCGGTTTGGTAATTTTTATCACATGTAATACACTGCCTGAAATATCACCCCTAATACCTGGCTTGAAGTTATATGGAAAATCTAAACTACAGTATAAGACCAAATAGGTTTGGTGTTCAGTATACTATTCACGAAGTCTTGAGCAGTCAAGAAAAAAAGTTAACAAGCAATATACACGGTGGCGTAACAAAGGCAGCCGGGGCCCAGTTAGGAACTTTTCAGTTCGCCACCCCCAGCTAAAAGCATTAGTAAAGCCATAAACAAAAACATAAAATGGCAATCAGCAGACTTTCTCTCGTTTATGCTTATATCATACAGGCTTGGGCCTCTTGAATTCTATTTTCACACCCAAAATGCTATCTTTGAACCAAATAACATAGAAAACATTTTTGCTTGGGGCCTCTATAGGTTGAGGACCCTTTTAGTCTTTTAACTAATAAAGGTAACTTAAGTCCGTTACGCCACTAATGCACGCGTCATGATTACCAGAGTAGGCTGAACACGTTTGAACTATTGTAACCTGTCCATGCCATTTGCAGACTGCGGCAGCAACAATGACAGACGTAGCCGAGTATATCAATGAAGTGAAGCGCCTGCATGAAAATGCACTCAGGGTGCAGGAAATACTTGGCAGCATTGAAGACCTTGAGGTATGTTCTTTCGGTTTATTTTTAAAGTCCAAAATGCTACACGCTGTCGAGAGGTTCTATATTCTGTCATGTTTAGTAGTATATATGAAATACTAAGATGTTTAGTGACCCTCCCCCTGCTTTCTCTGTATCGCTTATCCCATATTGTCACTATATACTAATCTGAGATTTGTTATTTTTAAGTATACTGTTGAGATGAATTCCTGTCAGGAACTGTCAAAAATTGAATATTGATTCTGAACTGTATACAGAACAGAGGAATTACTTAATTCAAGAAAAGAATGTCTGAGTACCTTCTTGACCTTGTCTCGATCTCGAAATTTCTACAGAGAGATACAGGCCCTGTTCACACGATGACGCTACGCCTCAACACTGCTCCGAAAAATCTATTGTCTTGAAGCAGTTTCATAGCAACGTGGAATATTGTTCGTTTTGCTCTTTTTTGATTGAATGCGTTCTTTAACGTGACGGAACTGATAAGCTGTTTTGTTTTGAAGAAGAAGTATTTCAAAATCAATTTTCAAACAATTTAATTTTCCTTTGCGTTAATCTTGTGAAGCTCATCATCGTCGCAAGGAGCACATTTATTGTTTAACTTCAATCCAATGTGATTTTTTGTCTTGAAAAGAGTGCCAAACTGTTTTTAAAAACCCCGAAAACGAAGCTGCCTTTTCGAAACAGAGGTTCCGGAGCGAAACCGTATCGGATTCATGCGTTCACTCAAGCTCAAAAGCGATCCGATATGATTCCATTCCACATTCACAGCGGAATAGTTTGACTCTGCAAAAACGATACGGAGTGTATCGGATTCAAGCGTCATCGTGTGAACAAAAGGCCTATCCGATATGAAAAGCGATCCGATACGAAATGAACCCGGTATCATGTGAACAGGGCCACAATGCATTTTTACTAACTGTCTATTTTGTTTCAACAGGGTCTTGACGTATTTACCACTGGAAGACTTGTCCTTGAGGTCAGTTAGTTATTACAAAACGATTCAGTTGCTTGTTTCTGTGTTTCCTCCAATGAATGTCTAGTCTCAAATAAACGCCTGCCTTTAATATTCGCCCCTCCGGTTACAACAGCAGTAATAAATAGCACCTTTCTCAAAAAAGCCGTATACCACTAAAAAAGCCCCATACCCTTAAGAAAGACCCATACCTCAAAAATACAGTGTCTTCTTTCGCAGTAATGACTTTTAAATACCCCATCAAAATAAAATCGCCAAGTACAAAAGACACTGATGTTAGGTTCCACTTTAGATTCAACTTGATTTTATTCCCAAAAAATTGTGTAACCTTTCTTTCTGGTGTTTCTTGAGAAAATATCTGATAAACCCCACCTTCTAATAAACTAAATCTCACAAATTGATAAACCCTACCTTCCTCTCAAATATTTGCTTCCCGCCAATGTGCACTTTATGCTCAAAATAGATAACGGTCGCAGGTAGATATTAGAAGAAATATGGTATACAGAAATTTCGTCCCTATTTTCTCATATGGATAAATTGATATCTCATCCCAAAGTGACTTTTATCGCGTCGAATTATTCCGCTTTCCAACTTTCAATCAATACTTGATTTTATTTAAAAGCTTGAAAACCAGTAAATGTGCATCATATCGATATTGTATTTTGTTCTACCTTCTACCCAATCGTTAATGCAGTCGTTGTAACTGTGTTAATAACATTATTTGTATTTTCTTGTAATGGAACTACTATTTAGATTTGATGACATAAATTCCATTCAGTTCAATGTCGATAGTCATTCAACAACAACGCGCAATGTTTTTTAGAACTGCTTCCGGGTTCATGGATCAAGAGGCGAAAAGCAGCTCTATCTCTTTGAGAAGCTTCTTCTGATATGCAAGAAAATGGACGAAGGCATGTTTCAGTTTCGAGATGGATTGTCGGTACGTTGATGTTTAAGTTGTGAAATAAAAATTGCCAGTAGGTACTACTTATACTTAAAGATGCCATTTACAATCGCATTGAAGGAAATTTGGAGTTGCAACTTAGTACCGTTATATTCTACTCGCCAAAGCACGCACAGCAATTTTTAAACGTCATCAAGCGCTACACAGCAAATTTAAAGCCGAAAAATTTAAAGTACACAAGGTCCAAAATTTTTAGAATTTGTATAGTACTGATGAAGCAGAAGAGTCGATGGTACTAGAATGTACCCAATATGCATATATTTTTTCCTCAAAAGCTTCTGAGGGTACGAAGCACGAGGTAATGGTCAATCTTGGTTGGTCGGGCTTAACCAGTCATTATCTTTGCGCTCGAAAACTTAAGTGAAGAGCCCATGGTGCTTTTTCTTCGAGTTGTTGACGGCTGCCTCCTGTTTGTTAGGCCAAGTAGCTAAAATAACCCAGACTTCTGTCCATTTATACAAAAATGTTCTTATTTGAATTGCACATATATCGATCAATGACTAGAATAAATACATCAGTTGAGTACCAAAGTGTGACGTCATCACTTCTTAACTCTATAAAGAGCTGTAGCAGAATTATGATTATAATGACGATATAGTGCAGCTTGATATGCTTGCTATTGATTATGCTTTGCAGTGCTCAAACATGATGCTGGTTGAATCAATCCCAAAAGAACCGCTATGCTTCCAGCTTATTCGTTTCGATAACCAGAAGATTTCCTACACAATACAAGTAAGTTACTAAATTTTTAATCATATGTTGATATGTACCTATATTGTAGAAGACAACACGACGTCTTTTTTTATTTTTAAGGTGCACCGTGGTTAAATAAGCATTTGAGATTATCATGTTGCAACCCGAGCAATATTAAACGAAATTATTACAGTATCTCGGGAGGCCATATATTCATGACGTCTCTTACAATAAAGTCTGCGCAATGACATTGTCCTTGATATAATAACCCATTATTTTTTCAAAACTGTTTTATAAGATATTGAGAAAGCTATATGAAAATATTTTACACTGAGATGAAAAATAGTATTCAATACGAATATTTAGCACCGTCGCACGTAAAAGCCGATTGCAGGATGATGCAGGAATATTGCGCCATTTTATGGTTATAGAATACCGGGAGAGTGAATTAAAGTAAATTACATTAATATAATAATAAATTACAATATTAATGCAATTTACTTTTGCGATTCTTAGAATTTGTTTTACTTATTCCAAAGGCAAAAAATGTTGATATCAAAAGGGATTGGATGATGCAGTTAAAAAGACTGATATTGGAAACACATTCTGCCATGATTCCCAACACAGTAAGTTCTCCATTGTTGTGCTTTTACTAAATGATTATTCGATTGCTCTAATGTTTATATTTCTCGGGAAGTCAAAATGTCTCAGATCTCTAAAGCAGATACAAAAAGTTTAAGTTTTTTTTAAATTTTCATGGTGATTCAAACCCCCTCCTCCCTCCAACCCTTGTTGATTAACAATATTTACAGAGTCTCTCTGCCTTCTAATATGTCCAAATGTACTGCAATTTTATTAACCAACATTTTTTAGAACAGGGAGATTCGTTGTGCGCTAATTCTTTTAAGACTGCTATGTTAAAAGATAGTCAATTCTTTATAGCAGCATTTAGGCTACAAGGGCTTTCGGCAGGCGGCTCAATTTGTTCTGAACCTTTTTTTCATACCATCTTATCCATGAGTATAATTACCAATGACGTACATTTCTTTTTATTCAGGCAAGAGAAGCCATTTTAGGAAGAAGTGAAAATGTCAGAGAAAGTAAATACAGCTCAAGTAAGGTTTTGTCTTACTTTGTGATCTAGCAACCCCCTTCAAACGAATCATTTTATTTCCTCGCTCAAGAATGATCAATTCCTTTTATGTTAACTCTTTCTTTAAAAATTATGTGACTTTTCGATAGTTAACCGTTTCGTTCCTTCACCTTAAGTCGACATTTGATAATTCGATATTTCATTATTCCGTAAAAAATGTATATTTTTAGTACAGCGTCACTTTTGGCAAAATTGCTGCCTTTTTAGTGCTCTGGCTGAAATGTAGGCAGTAGAAAAGTATATATTCTTCATTATGACCTCAAATTCCTCTCAAGAAGCGCTCTTGATTCTAAAAGGATAGATTTTAGAGCTTTCAAATTATGATTAAAGCGAACGAGACGCGGAAGTCCTCTAACACTATAAAAGTCACCCAGGAAATAGGAACATTGAGACAGCTTATAGATAAATACTTTTATTTGTTGCATGACACTGAGATTCTTTATGATATTCTTTATCTATTTATGATTTCAGTTAATTTGCAAGCTCTTGATGATACAAGAATACACTGGCGACGTCAACGACCTCTTTCCAATTCAGGCAAAGAGAATCACCATAAGGACAGAAGTACGTTCGCAGTCTTTTGAGTAGATTACCGTGTGATATATAACGTGCATGCTGTAACGTTGATCGTGTAATTGCTGATAAATGCATTTTGTCGTGATAATAACAAAATATCTTCTTCTGTTGGTGCATAGCCATGCGTTTGAAAATACAGACCCAAGTAACTGCATTCTCAAAACCTTGTTACCCAGTAACTTCACAATTCGCTGAAAAACTGCTGCAATCAAAGGACATAACTCGTGTCATTGGATAATTTTAATCCTCTTGTTAGCTTGGAAAATGTAACGCTATGGATTTTCGCTACCGTGTAATAAAGTATTGAATGATCTTTATTTTGTCGTAGGTTCATTGCTTGTTGGAGTTAAGAGGGTATGTACTTTAAATTTTTCTTTCCTCTACCTGAATAATAAGACTAATAACTTGGTCTTAAATTACAGTGTTCAAACTGTCTTCGCAATTCCTTCTGCTAAAAGCGACCTCGTTGTTTGCTAATTTATTCTGTCTGAAGCTTGTTGCTTTCTATTTCTGCATTTTTCTGATTATTTTATTGCCTAAAATATGGCATTGTTGGTTCACATTTTTGAGGAGCTGGCAGTCTTTTATTGTTCCAATTCCACATTCAGGAAAGTGTCTTAAAAGAAGACTCCACAAATATCCCTAAGAAAACTTTAAATACGAAAGCAAAGGAGTTTCTTGATAAGCAAACCAAGGTAAGACTACAATTTTTGTTCGTTTCTGTAAAGATTGAACTTTGTCCTGTACCAAAAAAGTTCATTAAGCATTTTGTTGACTAAAAACTGCATCTTCGCTTTTATTCTATCGATTTTTAGAATTAATGCCACCAGCATCCATAAAATATTTCTATTAGGATATTTCTTCAAATTTTCCGGCAAAAAGGGTAGTTTTACTCCTCTTTTTTGTCAAACTCAAAGGTTAAAGCTTTTCGGTATATTGCTTTTTGGTTCTGAAGGACAGTCGGTCTAATAATAGCCCCTTGATCAAATTATACAGTATTTTTGTTTAACTAGACGTCACACAAAAAACAGGCCTTGTCGTGTTGGAATACGGAAGAAATTTCCCTAGGCTGAGCAGTTTGTTAATAAACAATGTATGTAATAAACCTTTGGAGTCGTATAAATCAGGTACAGTAAAGTTAATATGAATGTCATTCGATCAACTCTTTGAAATATAGTGATTTTCTCACTTGTAGGAAACAGCTGAGAAAGTGAAGGCATGGAAGTTGAAACGAAGCAAACCGCGAAAAGCTGATGGAAATACATCATTTGAAAACGAGCTGCCTGGCAAAAAGAGCATGCCGCCAGCAAGAGAGGTACTGCCACCTTCTGCCATGGTCAAGTCAAGAAGCTTAGAGTCTCTACGCGATGCTATTAGTAGCTCACAAGAAGAAGTAACAAGCAATTCCAACATACCTGCAGAGGTACCGTACATTTGTTTATTCAATCAATGTTAAAATTTATTTTGCATTAAAATGCATGTCATCCTTTATTTAGAAACATGGAAAGTTGATGCTTTACGTGATAAGTTGAGCACCTCACAAGAAGATCAATTTGAACTCAGCAGTTTTTTTACATCTATTTGTCGTGTGAAATCACTCTCAATTTCATGTGCAAATCGCTAGTCTAGCTATCATTGTCTAGAGTTTACAAAATTGTTGCTTAAATTTGCAACGAGGTCTTGAAACGACGATTTTTAGAAACATTTCGGGTAGCGGGTAGAAGAGACAGAGGGCGCTTGTCATAGTCATGGGAAATACACATGTTTCCATCTCAGTTGAAATAGCCTGCGGACACGTGTTTTCTCCTTGTTATCTGCTGATTTACAAAACTGTAGTTTGCTGTTCAATGCAATATAGATACATACGTTGAGAATCCTGTTTGAATCACAATGCGGCGTGATGTTGCAGCAAAGTATAACAGGAGATTGTTTGCGTTGAATTTTGTTTTCACATTTCTTTATAGCCATATTTTAGTTTTTTTGTTTATTGTATAGTCGAAGTCTGAAATGAGTTTAATCGAGGATGTTAAGAAAATATCGCAAGTGCGTTTCTTTAAACTGCAGATAGAGAATAAAGATTTATTCATGTTTCAAATTAACATTAAATTTTCTGTTTAGAACGAGAAGTCACAAGAGGCATCTGAACAAATTCGACGGCTAAGCATACTACATGACCTCGTATCAATCGAAACACCTGATTCCGAGGCAGACAACAAACAAAACGCCGATGAGGCGCAAGATACGCCAAGATCTGTCCGAGAACTTCGACGAAAACACGCTAGCAAATCGGTTTATATCGACAGTGCTGACGACCCGATAAGACCCGGCGATCTGAAACGATCTCGTCCGGTTTCTTTACCTCCGGGAGTAACGTTAGAGGACGCAAATCAAATCGTAAATTTTTATGAAACTGATTTTGACACTTTGGAAAGGACTTGTAACGAGTTGAGAAAGTACGGTCTTACCAGAACCCGCAGCTTTAATCGTAAACATCGTGTAGGCAGTGTGAATCTATCTGAAAGCACGCATTCTGTAAGTGCGCCAAAAGATGATAGTGACAAACGAACCCCGCCTGCCAATGAGAACGAAGCAGACAAATTCGAAATGCTCGAGAAACGGCTTTCTATCATATCAGATGACGAAAACACAACTTCGTGTATAAAAAATACTTTGCGAAAAGTCAGCCAAGCGTTCAGTTCGTATGGCAGCGAGCATGCTTTAGATACGATGCGGGCACCATCTACAAGTACATCGAGCCTAACCGCAGACATCGATGCGTTTCTCGCGCAGGATGATGTATGGAAGTACAATTCCCACCCGCGCTCTAAGCGCAGAAGTCTAGGCTCGATTATATCGGAAACAATCAATCCTAGTGTACACAGTAGCTTAGATGATGCTAAAAAGAGAGCTTTTAGCACATCAGTTATCAACGAAGTCAGTCTCGATACAATGGAAGAGGAACTAAGTATAACAGAACAAACCATTGAAAGAAATCTATCTGCTTTAGAAAGAGATTCGGCGATAAGCGTGAAGCAGCGAATAAACGCATATGCCACAAAACTAAGAAATGAAAGCTCGATGGAAAATATTGAAGAGATCTCGAGGGTGCAGCAGAGGAGGAGCAGTGATGTCTCTGAAATGTCGCTAGACAGTCAATACTCTAATGAAGCCATCGAATTTGCTGCATCAAGGCTTAGTCCAATGGAACTAGCTGCGGGGTCTGATGGTGGAACTAAAGACAATGAGTTGTGTGAAGGAGTTAGTACTAATCAGTCAGTGTTGGTTTTACCTGCAAGTAAGGGAAATTGCAATGAGAGCGCGATTGCGAGCACAGACGACATAGCCGAGGATGAATCTGACGTCACTATACCTAAGCGACCAGCCGCCCCGTCGTCGCTGAATTACGTAAGATCCTTCGCAGCATCGATACGCCGATACCGTAAAAATAACGTTGAAATCAAAGAATCGAAAAGTGTTTACGAAAGAATACGGGAGTATACGGCGTTGGTGAGTAAAGAGAAAAATGAACAAAAAGTGAAAACAATGGACGAAATGCTTGAATCTCTCGACTCGGCGAATTTACCAGTTTCTGAAAAATACATTTATAACAGACGAAAATTTACTCGAATGGTGTCGGTAGCAAGCGAAAAAGAGTCGCCTGCTGATTCAGTATTGAATGATCCACATGTCTGGTTTGATACGCAGCACAGCGGCACAAACGAGCAAAAGTCGTCGAATGTGCATCGTGAAAAAAACAAAGATCACAGTAAACCAAGTACGAAGAAAGATGGGTCAAAATCGGGCAGCAAATCAAACGTTCAATTTGCAAATTCGGGAAGTAGCAAGGAAGGTATTGATGTGCGGCCGTTTGCTGGGATATCTAGTGTTTTGAGCAGCTGGAGAACCAAAGAATCCAACACGTTGCCGAGATGTAAAGCAGAGAGAGGACAAAATTCGAAAACGAACAGCCATAACACTGTTGGCAGCTCAAAGGCAGACTGGAGTAAGGTTAGGAGCCAAACTGTCAATGAAAAGCCACTGGTGAGTGGCATCAGCAATAACTTGGAACCCGAACCATCAGTTCGAGATACGCGTAATTCGTCTGTTCCAACGACAAATCAGATTACGACTGAAACTGAGGATTCGAATGAGAATATCGTCGTCGTAAAGGACCTTGTTAAACAGTACCACCAGCAAGTTATAGTCCCAGGGGAGAAGGAAGTGGAAGAAATGAAGGAAAGCAAGTTAAGACGAAGTAAGAAGAAAAAAGAGAAGGAAAAGATGAAGGTACAACTGCAAAGAAAATTGAGTTTGAGGAACCTTGATGTCGAGGAAGAAGGAAAAAGTAAAAATAAATTAAATAGATCGGTGTCATATGAAAGCGTTCAGAGGGGAACAGTCAAACAGCTAATATCGCTTTTTAATGTTTCAAAATAATGTTTTAGAATAATCGGTAGGCCAACAGATTCTGCATGTTTTCTTTCAGTGTTCCGAATAATTAGAATTTCTTTACTGTTCAATTCTCGACTGTAGTTTATCCCTTTTATATTGGCTGTAAAATCGGGTAGGTCGTCTCTTGAGCGTTACTCTTTTCGTCAAAATGGCAAATTCTTTATTCGACCCCACTGATAAGATTCAAGAAAAAGTAAACCTGCTATTTGAAGCTCTAATTTTATTTATCAATGCTTTCTTGCATAACGTTTTTCAACCACGTGCATTTATGTCTGCGCTGAAATGATTTTATTTTCTGCGCATTGCATTTCCCAGATTTACCAGAAAAACCCAGCTTCAGCCTTTCATATTCACTTTAAAGAAATTACTTATATAATTTGGTAATTATGAATTTCGACCCATGAGAAACTGCTCAGGTATTTATAGATGCAAAAGGAAAATCTGTTGTTATTTTGGCTCAAAGTTTTCAAATGAAAATTTGATTTCTAGCTTTCTCCCAAGATTTCATGTGTTTTCTATAAAGCTCTATGCGAGCACCATCGTTTCATAAAGTCCACAGATCTTGATATCAATTTGAAGTAGCTCTTCTTGTTTTTTCGAGTGTATGCAAGTTTATATAGATGGTATCTTTGCAGAGCTAACAAATTTGTAGAATAATCCAATCTATAATTGTTCTTATGTTGAATTTGAAGAAGGTTAGGGATGGCAAGACAGAAACAATAATTAGTTATGATAATTAAAAGCTGTCAAAGAATGTGTCTTGTTGTTATTATTAACTTTAGTATTTTTGCATCCATTTTTAAGATCGAGATTCACTAGTACTAGCTTTCTATGTAATCTTGTGATGGAGGTGATTTCTAGGATTTCGAAGACGGTTTTTCAACCCACTCTTGCACCTTACCTTGCTAGGAGCATCCTTATCTCCTTTGAAAACCCGCAACAAATATATCCAGTCCCTGAATCTTTTTTCCAAACAATTCATTATGTGATTTGTTAAGATTGTCTTCGCCGATTTTCCTCTTCAGAGTTCATACTAATAAAAGCCGGAATTCGTATGTTTCTACACGCAGAATCACTCATTTTACAATTGGTAATTTTTATATGTGAAATTTGTATCCATTGTTGATAACGCGTTTGTAAGCAGAGAAATTTTGTAAGTAATTCTTGTAAGTAATAACTATATGTCCAGTGTTGAACACGTTATGTAGTATTAAAATAATTTATTTCTAGCTATTTTCTAGTACACATACTGTAATTCCGTAGATATGCGTTTTTTAAGTCAAATTTGCATCAAGTCTAAACAACCTGAATTTCTGTTTTATTTCTGTTTGAGACGATCTTTATAGGTTATATTTTATATTTTTAAATTTCTAGTCACGTCCTATTAACTTACACCAACGAAGCATTTTCGCCACGTTTACATTATCAATATTTACTTGCGAAATGTTTTTGATGCTCAAAGTAAACCTGGAAGAAAATGCTTTAAAATTAAACAATTGTTATGGTGACTTTCAGATAATTTTTACATGCCCCTAACCCTCATTCAAGCCTCCCCCTTTTAAAAAGTCCCCGTTTCAAATTGATTCGCGGTAAATTTGCTACTCGCCGTAGGGGAGTATTGAGCGGCGGGGGCACTCAGCATTAAATCATTTTGGGGCCCAGTCTAACATTCTGGAGTGTCTAAATTTTGTCCTGCTCGATATATCTGGGTTTGGTAAATTTAAATAAATTATATCTGATACTTCAAGGTACTGGGTTAGAATAATAATTTATAGTTCAGATCAGAACCCTTCTAGAGGAGTTTCTTATTTTTAAGAACAATTACTGGTGTTTCTTTTACGTCGTTTCTTTTACAGACTCAGTATGATTGTCTCACATTTTTCTTTATATCGAAGACAAGTAGGAATATTTAATTCAGTATATATATTTCGATAAAGCCTCGCAGGTTTTTTAAAACTCTTAAATTCCTCTGTTACGCAGAGTTATGGTCAATAACCAACCACCCTTCCAAAAAATAAGCTGATCTTTTTCGTTGTTCCGACAGTCAAGAAATTGCTTTCGCGTTGATATTCAAACGGAAACTTTTATGACAATGCCGACGAAATAAACCCAAGCAAACAAATTATTTTAAAACAAATCAAATTATTTACGATTTTAATAAACGTGTGTGTTAATGTTTACTCGAAATTATCTTTTCTGACCGTTGTGCCGATGTCGGCCTTTCCCCCGCGTGAAATGAGGGTAGTATTATTGGCTGACTCATTTTTTCTTGTGGCTTCAGGGCATTGAAATAAAAATCAGATTGACAATTAATGAGCTTAATGTACACCCTTCTGAAATATTCGTTTTACGTAAGCAACCTATACTGCAGCAACACTTTGCTTGACATGACATCAGATAATAAGAAATTCCTCAAGATTCCTCAGCCCTGGCCAATCTTTCTGTCAAAGGAAGTTTCTTTGAGCAACTCATCCCTAGGCCACTTCAGTAAATTCTTAAATACGGATACTGTGCTATTTCACCTACCAATAGCTGATTTTACCAACATACTAAGGATCTCCAACTCGTTAAGAATTGCAGGTGTCACACCCTCTACCCCTCCCCTTATACCATAAATGTTTTCTCCCTTTATTTTACACTTGGGCTTTTACCATTTTTCTCTAACATTCTAAGCTTGTACATTGGTTGCAGAGTTATGATGATTATCCCTATCCCAATTTGATATGGCTTAGAAAATTTTTGCCAAATATCCGAAACTTTGAGCTTGGAAATACAAAATGAAAGGGCAACCCAACCATAAAACTCACTATCATTGCTCTGTGATTGATTCAAAAGCTCTGTTTTCACATAACTCGGTTCCTAACTTTAAGGTATACCAGGGTATCATAATAAGTGTGGGACTGAAAAGAGTAGGATCAAGCTAGTTCTGTTCATTGTCATGGCAAATAGGGTCAATGAGCAAAGAAGTTGTTTCATTTAGATTTTCCCTCAATATTGGGCAAAATGTCAAACTTTGAGGAAAATGTCAAGGACAACAGTTTCCAGTATTGAGTAGAATCTCAATTATGCAACAAGCAAGGGAAGGGACAAAATCTTGTCAGATGTCAGACTATTTCTAAAAAATGTGCAGGAAGGAAGAACCGCAGGATGGGCTGTCTGCCAGATTCTGTGACTTTGTTTGTTTGTTCCATCCACTCTAATGAAGCCATGTATGCCAGGGCAAACTATTAGTATTTGTTTTATATAATTTATTTTGAAAATTTATCTCATTGCATTGGATTCTTGCCATGGTATTGCTTTGTTCCTGAATTTTATCTTTCGTATTTTCAAAAAGTCAGTAAATTAGTTCAATACTAAGAAAGTGCTGTCTCCATCTCTTTAAGTCACAAAAAGTTTTCACATTGTCACATAAAGTTTTCAAAATAAAGAGAAAATCTTCAAGTCACATAAATTTTTCACATTGTATTCACTTGCTGTTTACTGTTTTTCCATACCAAAGCAACTCATAACAGAATATAATTCAATGGAAACAAACAAGTGGCCATTCTAATCTAAAAAGTCCCTGGGTTCTTTGCATTTTCCTGTTTGCTTTTTTCAGTATATCTTTTTGAAGTATCATTGGATACTGAAACAAAATATTGGTTTGACTTAAAATTATTCATCTAGAAAAATACTGTGTTGTATTCCTAAATGCCGGACACTGACAGTCAAAGTCAAGCAAATCTGTAGTAAGAAAAGAAAAAAACAAATTGATATCTTATGATGGGCATGAATGTTTCTATAAATCCAACCTAGCTTATGTTATACAAAGACTTATTGGCTATTTGAAATAAGTTTTTCCAATTCATTTGGAACTGGCCACCCATAAATTAACCAAGTGCACTCCAATACATACAAATATAATTAACCAGGTATCATAATAATTTCCTAGTTTACCTGGCAAACTAATCTAATGTGCAAGTGTTAGTTAGTCATTGTTTTTTTTGCTTACATATAATTATCCTGACAGTAATTTATAAGTCGGTGGCGTTTGTCCTAATTAATGATGAAAAGCTAGATAAATATGACCACCATGATTAAAAATGTAGCAACGTTTTGTCGAAGCATCCAAGCAGTTTTAAATGTCGAGTTAACCGTCCACAACTGCACGAACAAAATCCTCTATGTTGACCTGGCCTTGTTTGTTTTCGAGTCCTTGAGTTAGGAGATCAATATCTGCAGGCGCAAGACGCTCCCCAAGTGTGGTAAGGACATGATGGAGTTCCCCAGCTGTAATCAGGCCAGTACCATCTTTATCAAAAACACGAAAGCATTCCACAAAATCATCATTGGATAGCTTCTTTTTCTTTTCTTTTTGAAGAATAGATTGATACATTGGTAAAAACTCGTCGAAACTAACCCTTCTTGCTGTATTTGACGGATCTATCTCCTTTCTAATTTTTGTCACATCGCCAACGGTGGGATTTAGGCCAAGGCCTCTCAGAGCGTCTCCTAGATGATTGATGTCAATCTTACTGTCGCCAATAGTGTCATACAACAGAAATGACTCCTCAAGCACTCCTCTTTCTTTCTGTGTTATGTCACCCATGGTAGACATGATAAGAAACCCACCGATTTGTCGTGTTTGCTTAGAAAATTTTGAACTATTGAAGTATCCTACCAGACCGAAAACAAGGGTGGGTGCACACTTTCATAGTCTCCTCCGCAGCTTGAAACAAAAGTCTTACCGCATCAACGTAGCCCCACCCTCAATCCAGGAAGAAAGAGTTTGGCCTGATTCTCCTAATATAAGAATCCTTATTTCCTTCTCACAAAGATTTTTACAAATACCTGATCTTTAGGAATTTTCATACAAAATCCTGAGTTGCATCACTTACTATTGTTAATCATGGAATCGGTAAAGAACTGAACTTTTTCTTTGTTGATTACATGAAGAAGGAGATGCTTTTGAAAACTGAAAATACTTACTTTCAGGAAAAACCAAAACACCTGACTTCAAAACACAAACATACAATTTTAAATAATCTTTGTCACTATCAAACAAATTGATGCTACTGAAACCTTATGTAAAAAGTTGCACTATTTTGTTATTAACAGAGAAATTCTTGATACAGTTATACATAAAACGTGACCCTATAGTACCCATCATTGTCTGATTTTTTTCTATTTCTCTTCTACTCATTTTTAGAATGAGTCTCACAAATTATCTGTATGACTCTAATGCCAAAGAAAATCTCTAAGCCGCAGTTCAAGACGTGTCGCAGAAATATTCCTAGGAATCTCTATAATTATCATAAAATTCTAACTTCCAATGTATATCGCCAAGAAACACAATTGACGCCATATATAGGCATTTCATGGTTTCAGGTCTTAAGTCGAATAACATTGTAATATCATAGGTGGCGCCAGAAATCTTCCAACAGAGGGGTTGGGGCTTCCGACAGGGGGGCTAAAATGACTAAAATAAGCAGTTTTCGTACGTTATTTTGTCAAATTTGCTCCGACAATAACCTAAAATTTCCTTCGATGGGGGGGGGCTAGATGCTTCCGACGGAGGGGCTGTAGCCCCCCTAGCTCTCTCCTGGTGCCACCACTGAGTAATATTACATAGATTTAAGAAAGAATATAAAATATAACTTGGGCTGGGCCCCTTCATGCTGATACCATTCAGTTTCAGAAGAACGATAACTTGATATTTTTTCTCTACAAAGTATCTTTTAATATGCAGAGACCAGGACATCACCCAACAAACTAGCATATTTCTTCCAAAAATGTAAACTCTACAATTTGATTTAGCTTATCAAAATAAAGCAAATAAAATACATTTTTAGGTAAGAACAATCTTTATAGATTAATGAAGCTCTAAGCAGCTTCCTGAAAATTTCTAACAAAATTTCTAAATACTGAAAGATTTCTGAAGAAGAATATCATAGTGTGATTGGGTAATTGCATACTTTGTATATGTGATATTGTTTAAAGTTTGATGTTACTATAGAGGACACTAGAGAGCAGGGGCAAACCACTATTGTTTTGTTTTGTTTCGCATTGAGAAAGATAGGATATCCCCATGAGTAACGTACCTTACTATACCAAAATAGCGCGGAACAAGTTAATGCAACCACAAATAAATGCGAATAGTGAGATTGGATTTTAAAAAGTGTGGTTATTACAAAAATCAACGGAATTCAAATATTCAAAGGTATTTGATTAACACGAATTTTCAATACCAGCAAATATGTTTACTGAAATAGCTTCAAGTTCAGTACGGGAAAACAACAAAAATTCATTAAAACTTCAAGTCAAGGTGGATTAGAGGCTCCAACAAAAATATTTTTCACGTTTAATTGGCTTGAAAAATTGTCTGCTAAAGTGAAATAAGTCGAGTATCCACTGACCAGAAGATACGTTGATGACTCGGAAAATACTAGGAATTGAGCAAGATGAGAATAATGACGAAGACATGGAATTTCAGGCGGAAACATTTGATAATGAGGCCATTGACATGTTAACAAAAGTTTTCTAGCTTCCCTTGTACCTTACTTTAAACTAGGAAAAGTGTTTTATATTTAATAAAACTTTTGAAAAGAACACATTCGGCCCTTCAGTTTTGGAGGCTCTTTATTATCCTTTTTTCAGATATAAATCGCGAAGTCTGACTACTTTCAGTAGTTTTGAAATGATATGTGAAAATTGAAGCAAAGCAGGATCAAATTAACGGGCGTTTATTTAACGCTAGACATTAATAACGGATGAGAAATTTATACGGGCATAAAATCGACGGGGTTTTAGTAAACGCAGAATTTTTTCAATTTGCGTTAGTTGATGAAATTCGTTATTTTCGTGTAAAATAGTCATTTTCTACCAGCAGTTTGATTCGCGTGTAGCAACCAAGCGGAGGAGCATAGATCCAGACAAACACAGAACCGAGACACTGAACCGAGGTCACTGTTTATTTCCTCAAACAAAAAATCAAAACTTGGGGGAGTTGGCAATCAGCGACACCAGAAGGGGGAGATGATCTCAGACAATTAAAGGGGCGCAATAAACAGCGGTTCTATGCTTGCTTGACCTTCAATTCCAAAATGAATGTTGATGAGTCGACCGACAGAGCGGACGAAGATGACCGTATTTACAGAAGGAGCACGCCTCACCGCCATAAACATTGCCATCCAACTGAAACCGATGATTTCAAAGTCGACGAGGAATTCCACAAGTTTTGCAAATTACACACATTTCGATTAGCATGTGCAATTACTGTATTCATAATTGTTGCATTTGCTCTTGGGAAATTGGGGTTTTCCTGGTCTGTACTGGTGATATTGTGCTCTTTGGCAATTTGGCAATGGCACGAGAAACTAGAATTGATACAAAGTTTTGCCTACCGTGAGGCAGAGATTCAGGAACATCGCAAAAAAGCTTTTGAAAATGCAGAAACTGTTGAATGGCTAAATTTCTTCCTAAACAGATGGTGAGAATTAATCGAAATTCCAATTTGTTCGTACGTTTTCAGCTTGTAATGCGTATCATTTTTTGTTGATGTTGACATGATTGATATCATTGATATTTCAACGCAACATTTTGTAGATTTTTAAACATTTATGTTTCATTTTAAAGTATCAATTTTAAAAAGGTCCTGAAGGGGGCGGCACCTGTTTCTGTCCGTGATTGACTGGTACCAGAAAATGAAAGTACAGATATTGAATTTAAGAAGGGATTCTGTATATCGATTTGTGACATTGCTATGAATAAAAAGCTATATTTGCTTCATACTTGAAATGGCATCTCCTATTGTGATCTGTTGCTTTAATCCACAGTTTGTGGATTCCAGCTTTTAATATCACAACAACTGATATAGCTATGGATAATGGCAAAAGTTGTCTAAAAACAATGGGATAGAAAGACGTGATATAAAAACGTTGTAACCAATTAAATATATTTTAATTACTTTGAATCATGTTTGGGTAACAAAAAGCTCAAAGAGTTTTTTGAAGTTCTATTAATACATTTTATTAATACATTTTCTTTTCTGATGATAAACAAATTTAAAATTACTAAAGTGTATATTTGCTTTCTTGAAATTGTTTTTTATGGCCATACTTAAGGATAATTGATATAGGAAATGAATTATTGAAATTTGTGTTAGCTTGGAATTGTTGTAAAACAAATGAATTTAGTATATGTACATGTTTTAATGTTTCACATTTAAATCAATAACCTGCTGTTTATCAAATTTTTCCTTTGATTAAGGGGAGGTTGGTTAAGGGGAGATTGCTGGATAGAGGCTGCATAAAAAAGAGATATTCTAAATTAGTCAGTAGCATTATGTAATGTGTTTTTGATAAAGTATTTTCCTTTCTAGGTGGGTGTTTAGTGATAGAAGTTTGTTTCAAATCCTGAAAAATAAGCTTGATCCTACATTAGAGACATGCAAGCCAAATTTTATTGGTATGTATATTGTTCAATCATTGAACCTAACTTGCTGTCAGGCCAGCCAATGTTTTTGTTAGTTGAGATGCAAATCACTCAGCATGCTTTTTAGGCCAGCAAAATTAACAACATGCACAATTTACACAGAATGAATAAGAATACTCTAGGAAAGCTTCAAACTTACACAGTTTTATTTCAAGCTTGTTATTCTTTCTGTCTGTTAGGAGGATTGGCCTTAACAAAAATAACATTTCTGCTGTATAAAGCATTCCACAATTTTTGTGTCCAAACATAACCCCACTTAAACATTTTCCTTCCATCTTTAATTTTGAACTGTGATTCATAGCTTGCAAAGAAAGTACATAGGGGACCCAACCAATGTGCCATAAATGAAAAGCCCAATATAGCAGGATTCCTAACATCTTTTGAGGCAATTTGTTTAAAGTTAAATCTTATCTATTGTTTGATACTCCTGGTTTCAATAATGATTAAATTTATTTGTTCTTTTGAAATCAAAGCTGTTAACATTAAATTTTAATTTCAGAATCAATTGAAATCACTGATTTCACACTTGGAACACGGACCCCATTTATAAAATATGTCAAAGTATATGATACAACAGATGATCTGCGAAAAATTATGGCAGATGAGGTTCTATTCAAACGGCCCCCAGAAGATCTTGTAGCAAGGCCAAAATACCAAGTTGTAATTGATGCAGATATTGGATTAGATGCTCCAGATTCTAGATTTGTCCTTAAAACAAAAATGAGAGTGTAAGCTGCATTTTTTCAGTTTTATTTTTAACATAAACAGTTTTATTTTTATTATATCATCTTTCTTGAGACTCAAGGTTTGATGCCAAAAAGCTTTTGAATGATTTTTATCTGGCTACACAAATTTGTTAGAATCTTTGAAGTAAAATAATCAATAGGAATTACATAGCAAAATAGAGGAAATACACAGAATAATGTGACGATTTAGATCTTAAGTTGAAAATCCTCTATGGAACTGTGAGAAAGGTCAGATTCAATGGAATTTTGTGCATCTTGGTTTTTAAAAAATTGGGCTGATGATGTGACAACTAAGATAGTTTTGCTAATGTTTGAGTCTTTGTATAAAGTTGTCTACCATAGCAAGGTCATTTTTTATTTCATAAAAATAAGTACATTTGTGAAACCTTGTCTTTGTAGAGGAACGACAGATATTTGTGTTGAATCATTTCGAATCAGAGGGAGAATGCAGCTGCATATTCTTTTCAACCAGAACATTGCTTTCCCCCATATTGCTGCTATTTCTTTTTCGTTCCTGAAACAGTGAGTCCTTACATTTGTGTTTTTATCAATTGTTATTTTCTTTATGCTGATGATTTCTTTCTATGGGAGTAGAGAACAATAGAATGTCTCTATGAGATGGGCAAGGATTTATTTTAACAATCATTTGCAATATATTTCTGAAAGAGTAAATCATAAATTAGATGCAATAAATGCAGATAGTACAATTTTAATAGTTCTTGTATGAATATGGATTTTATAGAATATGGTTATTACATATTTTCTTTGCGAAATCGTGCAGATCAAATCATTGTGAACCATCTCGCCATTCTATGCCAGCCTATCACAAAGTTGCATCTTTAGACAGTATGGGTGGACAGTTCCGTCTCCCAGGATGACAGGTTTTTATCTGCAGGAGACATCTTATTGTTTCACAGGGTCAGTGATGTGCCTAGACAATTTTGTTTTGGGAGGCGTTAAAAAAAGTGACCAACTTTACTTTTTTTGACCGATAATTTCTGCATAGAAAATTCATGAACAATGAAATAGATGATCACATACACACTTAACGATAACAAGTAAGAGCAAATGATGGTATGAAAGTATGAGGAAATTAAGTTTGCGGAAACTAGTATTCCTAGAGTTCGCATTTTCGGGTGAATCCATGAGCATCTTTTTGCGAAAAGCCAATTTTAAGAAAATCTGCAAAAATGAACTGCAGCTTCTTTTGAGCTCCTTATAACAATAATTCCAGCTTATAAAATGTTCTCCAATCTATAAAAGTTTATAAGAATTGAAGGGCAAATATGGCGGGAAGGCCGCCGATAGGTTTTCAGCGGCTCTGGGGCAGAATGGAAAGACGATGCCCCTGCTAGCGGAGCGAGCATGAAATTTTTGCGACCACACCCTTCAGATTACCTTAAAATGCATCGCAGCAAACTTCTTGCAGTTATTTCTTATAGTCGTTTGCTTGCTACTTATACCAAGTTATTTGCAATACACTCTTCTTTTTGCACGAACCAGTGAATTCGAGTTCAGGTTGACTGTTTTTTCAAAAATATGAGGGTGGATTTTTCTTAATTTGTTCTTAAATTAATAGGTTGTAAGCAATGCGATTGCTAGCGTTTTCGCTCTAGGGAGGTGTTCAGGCCTTATTTGTCAACAAAGTGAGTGAGACAGCCTTCATTTGGCTAAAACCCACATATGGCTAAAAGTTCTCGTTTTTTAGATAAAACGTTGTTCAAAATTGCATTTTACGGCAGCTTAGCCTCAGCTTGTTCGTAACTTGTTTTTATCTTTTGACCAATTTGAGGCTCGTGTTTTTATAAAATTGTTCTTTTAAAAAAAGAGTAACCAATAAAATGAATGAATTATAGGCTGAAATTTGGTCAAACTTCCTATTTAATACTAAATTGCCCGCTGCATGACCAACTTTCTTAAAATCTGCAGACATTGGGGGGCGTGACCCCCCCACGCCCTTCAATCGGCATTTCCCTGCACAGAGTTATTGAAATTTTTACGGGAAATGTCCACCCTTGTCACCAGAGTTTCGTTTTTGGAGACCACAGGCTATATGCAGAAGACCACTTGAAGAGCTCCTGGTCTCCCACCGGAGGACCAGCTTTTTACTGGAATTGTCCACTCCTGGACAGTAAGCTTTCAGAATCCACTTAGATTAGCAAATACAAGAAGGATTTAGATAGTTAATATTGTCTTCTTTTCAGGCCAAAATTTAATTTTCAAGTGAGAATGCTAAAAAGAATTCAACTGATGGAGTATCCATTGATTCGTGACTGGATTTCTAATCTGGTTAGCGACAGTTTGAAGTACAGTAAGTTGAGCATAAGCCTTGTTTTCACTTTAAGTAAGACAGGAAAAGACTGCATCACTTTAAACCCCGTATTATAGTCATCCCTGTATCAACAACTGCGTACAGAGATAAATTTATGTAATTCTTAATGCTGGTGTTATTAAAAGACTTTCAGGGAAAATACTGAACCTTCAAAACAAGCCTTGTGTTCATTATCTTTGTCAAATCACTCATTATTGAATTAAAATTTTTTATTGTATTATTCTTTGTGAAATTAAACCAGCCGATTCAAAAGAGCTTAACTGTTTGAAAGCTAAATGTGTTATTATAAGGAAACTACACAATATAAGCATTTTTTGGCAGTACAGAACTTGAAAATGGCTTTAAAAACAAACATTTTTCTTCTACTCAAAACGTTCTCTTCTGACACTCCACAGAGTATAAAACGTCATAATAAAGGTCCGAAAACACGGTGGAAAATACACGGTCATGCGCCTGCGCTGTTTTGATTGACCTATTTCGATCCACAACTGGGTATATATTTTTCATCGTGTTCTTTCGAACCCTTATTCTGACGTTTTATGCTCTGAGGAGTGTCAGACGAAAAAGCTTTTAGTATGTTGTGAAATGTTTGCTTTTTTCAAAGCATTTTACACAATATTAATTCACTGGAAACAAACTTAAAGGCAGAAAATTTGTTTTTCCATTACGTAAATACTTAATTTTGTGCTTTCTAATGATACCAAAACGATTTTAGACAGTTGAATGTTGCCTGCATTTTTTAGAAGTAGCGTTTGATGTTTTCTTTTCGAAAATGCAGCTTTGGTTGACCCTGGCCATGTTACCTTGCCGCTTTGCGATGACCCTGAAGTTCTTGGTCGAAGATCAGGCTATGGTAAGTGCCTTTTAAATATAATAGAATTTTAAAAAAGAGGGCTGCATTCCTCAGAGGGGCAATTCATTCTTGCAAATAGCGTAAGAGATTTTTACAAAAAATGATTTCTAGATAAAACAATAGGATTTCCACCAAACGTGCTCGATATTTTCATAGAATGATTTGCCCCTTGCAAATTCCAACATCCGATGAATCAAGCTAGCGATGGACAAATTTTATTAAGACTTTGAATGAATTTTAGAATAAGGAGGACTGTAAAAAATGCCACCACCGTTCACGAAGTGGAAAAATCTACAACGTTTTGGTAACGTTTTCTTTGTCAAATTGGACATCCCCAACTTTGAAAGTCAATAAAAACAGCTAGTTAGGCTTTGTTACTTCAAATATAATTCCTACGATTGTGAGGCAAATGGCTTAAAGCTCTTATATGATGCTTGCATGAAACTAACGGAATATCAAGTATGCGCTCAAGACAGCCTCCAGGCTTTTTTGAAGTAGTGAGCAAATATAATGTCTTTGAAATAGAAAGAATGTCTTTGTCGTTGCACTTTTTATGTTTTGTAGCATAACTACTATATAGTATCGTAAAATTCTCGGTATATTAGCTCCGTAGTCATTGTAAACTTGTCTAGTCCTTTTGACGCCATAAGTATGATGCAGCTTACATTAGGAAAGCAACTATTGAGGTGGTTTTCTGTTAGAAGCGTTTATAGAAGGAAGGAGATGATGTCAATAACAAATTTAGAAGGTGGCGAGAAACGATGGGATTTTTAAACTGACAGATGCAATCTAAGTATAATTCATTAGCATAAATATATTTGCTTGGACCTTTTTGTTTTGGCACTAGAAGCGATGAAAAGTAGCAGTTAAGAATGGTTTGCATTGTAGCTTCTTTTACCTACATGGAAATAGGACCGTCAGCAATTCTTCGTTGGCCTAATAAGCAATTTGCTGTCATCAATCTTTATTCTTATATCTTAATCTCTTCGTATTATCTTTTACCAACCACTGACTGTGTGTTTTTTATAAACTCTTCTTCAAGGGCTTCAACCAAAATGCAGTTAAATGCATAATTTCTTGTCTATGTTTATTGTTTCCATATGGTCCATTCTAGACAGAAGCTATTTCTTTCAAAAGAACCATGGTTTGTTTACAGTTAAATGAAATTGTGCAGACGAAGCTTTGAGTTGCTATGATGTGTGTTTCAGTGATAAAGAGATAACAGTGTTGTCAGGATACACTTGCTTTCCAAGTATTCGAGGGTGTCGCCTATTTCCTTCCATGTGTTACACTTTACTGAAACTTGGGTTTCAAAAGCATTTAAGGCAGCAGACACCTTAATTTATACCTGTCTTTATTCAAAGTTTAGAACGTTGATTTTGTTGCTTGTGTTGTCCTTAGGTAGCACAAGAGTAAGTACCATCCAAGTTTCCCACATTCTGCACGGCATTTTTTACTTCCTCTTTTTCTCGTGAAAGTTCCTTCTTTTTGTTGTCTAAACGACCGTAGATATTGAAGAAACGGATGGTAGAAATGCATGGATTTAGAAAAGTTTTAGAAGCTAAGAGAAGAATTATACCACTGGAGAGCAAGTGGATAGAAGCGAAACCTTGTTCTCAGGAAGGGTGCTTTTTAGATTATCGGTGTTTTGGTCCAAATTTGGAAGTTTAAGCTTCCAGACTAAGAGTGCTGGCATCACATCCTTCTGTATTGTGAACAATTAGTCGAATGATCTAGGGCATCGCAAACTTAGTCACTGAAGATCTGTTTTTCTGATGGTGTCAATTTTTGTTTACAGCTTGTGGTGTGCTCACTGTGACTATTAAAGGAGGTGGCAGGGGCAAGCAAAATGGTACGATTTATTATTTCTTTGTAAACTGACAATCTATTGAAAACCCCCCTAACTATAACTTTTCCATCACTTTTCTCTACTCCAAAATTTATAATTTTTATTCAGTACTGTTGCTCGTGAAACTGTAAACAAGAAGCGTTGTTTACTTCTACTTGAAGCATTGTTTATCAAGTTGCTCAATTTTCACCAGATCTCACCGTATGCTTACTATTTCGTCAAATTTTCTGATTTTCAACTTTTTGTTTTCTCTGCTTTTTTGACTCATGACTGGTTATTCACAGAGGATGAAAGATGGTGCACAATTACTTTGAACAAGCAGAAAGTGAAAACCAAAGAAATGGGTGTTGACGTCATATGGCAAGATACAGTGTCGCTATTTGTCGACAGTGTGCAGTACGACAAGGTAAGCAAAGATGGAGAGTGGTCAGTGATTTTAGTAATTGCTTAACGGAACCGAAGACAGGCTATTGAGTCTCCATTTTTTTCGCATTTCTAACATACATGAGGAGATTAAGCTATTTAAATGTGAATGTCTAAAGAGATCAAGGAGACTCAAATTGACTACTAATGCTTGTATAGATTTGAGTATACTAATAGAAGTTAAATACCACTGGGACCTTTCCTAGGCTAAAACGTGTACCATGTAAAAATGGTAAAGGCAGATTTTCTTTACGATAAGGGTTTCAACCGAGGGTATATTCTTGTATCACACCAGTCTATACTCTCAATGAATTTTGCCTACTCAGAATTCTGCCCTCAATGCATTGGTTTAAACCTTTATTGTAGTTGCACATCAAAGTCAAAGCAAAGCGCCGCTTTGGGCCTAACTTCACAATTGTCGAGTACGTTCTTCCGCTTGTCAGAATCAACATACTTCAAGATACCATCCAGTAAGTCTTTATGGGTTTTCTTTTGTGACGTATAAAAGCAGTTTGGTTCCATAAAGCTACTTTACTTGACTTTCGCGATAAAGGTCAAAATTTCAGCTAAATAAATAGATTGAATGGTGATTTTTAAAGAAACCAGCTCTTTCCGTGCCGCCAGACACAATAACTGCTTTTTCATAAACATTTTTAAAATTTGTGACCTTTTTAAAATTTCATAAATTGGCATCAACTCGACAGCGTACCGTGTTTATGCTAATAACCATTCGCTACTCCGTGGCGGAGAGAATACACCAATGTATCGTTCATTTACAGAAGCAAATTGTTACCCCCTGTTGTCACCTCATTTCTCTAAAATATCTAGCCTTTTATGCAAAATTATGACAACAGACTTGCGACTGAAGTTTTAAGGAGACTTCACACAACAGATTTGAAATAAAATCCATTAAATATTCTCGTTAAAGGTATTATTACTAGTTGTCTTTTCAATGTTTTTTTGGTTTTCAGGGACCTAGATCTTGAGGATAAGAACATTGATGGCTCTTTTCTACAAGTGCACTTGGAGTACACCGAGCTAGCCTTGCTTGATATTTGTAATGAAACTGAAAAAGAAACGTTTGAAAAAACATTCCCTACAGATTCCCCACCTGAAGATGGTTTGTAGACCACCTATTTTTGTGACATATTTGCTCAATAATTTTTGTTATTGGTTGATTTAAACTTGACTATCGATTCGAATTTTATAAAGAAACTTCAAATTGAAATGAAAACTAGGAGTTTAAATATACACCAGTAGCAAAAATGAGAACTGTGGCTTTAAAAAATAAAAACTTTGATATAGAATTGAAATAGTATAACATCCGTACTTCGTCCACATGTTTCTCTTTTAATGCCTTTTTGAACATTTTATAACTGTCTTTAGACTGAATGTAACTAGGATGATTGTGTTATATAAACTTGATAAAGTTGGTCATACGTACTTCCTTGAAGGTGTTTCTAAAAACTTGTTCTAAAACGTTGTCTTCAGAGTCTTGCACGCAGGCTAGTATTTCTGTTTCAATGTATGTAGCATTATCAGATTATTATGACTGTTGTTGTTTTCTTAGTTGCTGGTGTGCTGTTTGTACGAGTTCACAAAGGGATTAAACTTATACCTATGGACCCCGATGGACTCAGTGATCCTTATGTGATGATTTTTGGCAATAAGGAACTGGTGAGCTTCCATTTTTAAGTCTTATTTTACAAGCAGTATCAAAAGAAAACATTAACAAAAGCCTTATTCAGAGTTAGAAAATGCCATCTCGGTGTATTGGTAATCGTTTGGCGGGGAGAGTGTTACCCTTGATTTTTTACCTGTTGCGAGAACATCTTTTTAGCCAATCTATACTTTGAACAAATCAATAAAATAATTTTCTTTCCAATGTTAACCTGTTACTATTATAGCTGTACACTAGTAATAGTTATATTTCACTTTACTGTGTTGTAATATTCAATGGTACATTTGATTTTGTGTTAAATCAACATATACACAAAAAGGTTTTGTGTGATTAAAATAGCCAAGTCTGTACAAAATTCAGAATTTTCGATAGCCAGTAGACTGGAATAAGCTTTATATGCTAGATTTAAGCGTTTGCCGCTTTATCTAATCTTCTTTATGTGTTAGATTAAGTACATCGATAACTATTTCTTTGGCTAGGTACATATCAGTCATGTGGTGGAGGATACTCTTAATCCAGAGTGGGACAGCATGGTTGAGTTTTTCACTGCAGATTATACTCAGGTGAGATAAACATACTGTTGTAAATTAAATCAAGTTCCTCGATCGAAGGTAGGCGTAACAAGGTTGAGAATTGGAGATGCAAGTAAAACAATCTAAAGTTCAGACAACTGCTTATTGTGAGAGGTAAGAATTGTAATCATCTGTTTCGTCTAATTTGCAAACGTATTTTTTAGTGTGGTTCTTCAATGCATTTGCTTTAAAGGACCACTCTCCTTCATCCATAGTCTTCTGAACTAACTATATCTAGTATAAAACTATTAAAGCGTTTCCCAAAAGTTTCCTTTCTGTACCTTTTATCATTGTCTTTCTGCTTCAACATGAAGGAGAAGGGGATTGAATTTTGATCTGTAAGTTTTCATATCGATTTATACTAGACCTGTCTACGTGCTGACAACCTATTTCTGGCTTTCTGAATTCAAAACCGAAGCAGAAAACATCGAACAAATAACACATAAGTTTATGAAATTTCATATTAATCGTTTCAAAATTTACTTTAGTTGTTCCACTTTAGTGCCAATGTTTATAGTCACTCCAGCACCATTCCAGCATTCCCTTCCAACCTCTTTTGCAATTTTACAGACCACCCTGTCCTTCATCATCAATGACCGAAACCCTGTCATGTTTTCCACTACTATGCGTGCTGATGATAATGATGATTTCATGGGCTCTTGCAACTTAAAACTGAAACAGGTAATCTTTGATCCACCTTTTATTTATATTTAAGCTTGATTCTGTTACTTTATGTAGGACCTCGATGCCTTTATTAGCTTTCAAATACTTTCAGAAACCATCAAGACATTTGCGAATTTTTTTCTTTTTCTCGACATTTGATTCCGCCTTCGTTAGAAATAAGGTGGAGCCTACTTTGCTGTAAGGCGATTTCTTGGTATTCCTCTTGGTCGATTTCTTGATATATCTCTTGGACGAAATAAATCTTGCACAATCTCAAGAAAGAATCGTTAGTATTGCGCATCGTACTAGCAACTTCGTTGTTCTCTTTAACCGTGGATTGGCTTTCGATTCTTGGTGAGCATTAGGACCTCGATCTTCTCCTTCTCTTCTTCTTTGTAACCTGCTTTAGATCCTTCAAGGTCATACACGTTTCTTCTGTTATATCATCTAGTCATCCTATCCTCTACCTTTCCCTGCTTCTATTTCCTTCCTTTTCTGACATAATGGTTTTCTAATGGCCTTTTTTTCATGATTTGCCCGGCGTACTTTAGCCACTGTTTTATTATTCTTCTTTCTGAAGTAGGTGAAAGGTTGATTACAACTAGTACTTCTTCGTATTTTTTAACATGTTATTTTAATATGACGCTGATTATGTCCGTTTTGTACCATCTTGAAACCTGCTATCACACACATTCAATGGGACTTTTTTGGCGCTTACAATTTTCTGGTGCTTACAATAGCGAAAAACTGGTATCCAGTAGTGTATTTTGAACTTGACTTCTATGTTTTTAGGATGACTGGCTGATTTTCAAGAGAGACCTCGATGTCTTCTTCAAAGTCCGTACATTCACCCAGGAAGAAGTGGAGAACAATAAAATTGCCGGGTCAATTTGTGTCTCGGTTGTGTTCCGCCCCGTTCCTTCTTTGCTCAAGACCGGTAACTTGGCGATTATAACAGCAGCCGTTCATGCAATAAATGTTTTCATATTCGAAGCAACATTTTTTATTTTATCGTAAATGAGTTCGTATTTGATATGGTTGCTTCATTAAATTTGCAATCTCCTTAAGCTTGTCTGGAAAAGGAATACTTTTATTTCTTGCAGTGAAACCAACGAAAAACGAGGGTTTTCCAGAAGGACAGTCATTGGTGCAGGTAGCAAAATATTTATTTAGATTTCATGTCTCTTGTGATCCCAAATAAATCTAATGATCGTACTGTGATCGAATAAAACACAGAAGCGATCATTTTAAACATTTTTACCTTACCTAGCTCGAACATCCAATAACTCAAACATTCGCTAAGTCGAACTAATATTGCATTCCCCTTGCTTAATACATTCATATAAAAATGCCCCCGGTATCTCGAACGCTCGTTATCTCGAACCATTTCCTTGCTCTCTTTGAGGTTCAAGTTATTGGGAGTTAACTGTATTTCATTTCATCTCGTTTAACAATGATGCATCTTTTTTATGTCCCGAGTGCTCATTTATTTGCTTCAAGGGCCTATAAAATGAAATCTGACAACTTTAGATAAACACATTTTTGTTCTAGAGATTATATTGATTTCAATGATATATTTTCTGAAAGTTAATTCATTATTTGTGTGATAGAAACATACAAAAATGGATGCAGTCACCATGGAAGCCCTTCTTTGTGCTGGTATGCAAAAAGCCTACCTATCTGTCAATTTTGTTTGGAATCCTAGAATCTTTTTTAGAAAACCTTTCCATAAAAAGCAATTACTTCTTTTATATCAAACCCAGATGTATACCTTCGTAAGAATCACTAATCATTTGATAAAAGAGATTGAAGCTCTAAGCAGTATTTACGGTCAGTTTTTTCGCTTCAGATTTACCCAGATGATCGTTTCAGGTTTGCCCAGTAAAATTTCCAAAGGCGATACAGCAACTTTACTGCAAAGAAGTGCCGAGCTTTGCTTTTCCCATTTATCACCCTAAGCCCTGGATGTTATGATTTTCTGAATGTTGCTACTAAGCATTTAGTATATGATTGTCTTCTTATGTTGAAATCTATTGTACAAAAGCACTAAATATTGCCACGTGGCTTCCTCTTTGCCTTCTTTACGCTGTTGTCTGAAATTCTTTATTTTCAATTAAGCCTTTATTCTACTAAGTCCAATTCTACTCTTGTTCAGCTGAGCATATATTTTAAATCGAGGCTGATTTATTTCAGAACGAGGTAGCCTGACACTCAAGTTGCATCGTGCAAGGAATCTACCTGCCATGGACTTCAATGGTAAGTGATTTGTAAATAATTCTAGAACAGTTCTAATGCCCGAGATGTTCAAACCCCATATCTCAATTATTAGTAGATTATATAAATTTTTCGCTGTAAAATGACATTTTAATATTACGCATTTTTTATTTTTTCGTCCATTCGTAATCAACCATTGTATTATTTAATACAAATTTAGTTGATATTAACGTGTAACAAGTTGTTGTAGCAATAATTCTATTAACTTTTATTGTTATGTTAATGTTGTTATTAGGTAAGAGGCCATCTTGGCCTGATACCTTTTTTTAATATAGATCAGAACGGTTCTAAGGTGCTACTCCGAGTTTCACGTTTAATACGGATCATTTTTATTACATAGAGTTTATATTCTCAATATGTCTTATATGTCTTTTATATGTCTTTTTTATAGTTTATATGTCTTTTATTTTTACCATTTAACCATGACTAAACTAACTTGGTGTTACAGGCAAAAGCGACCCCTTTGTCATAGTTCGTGTTGGACAAGCCAAAATGGAAAAATACCGGAGCAAGATCTGTTATCGCACCTTGAATCCGATTTGGAATGAGGAAGTGAAGTTTGCTATGCCAGAGTCCCATCAAAGGGTCTTTGTTGTAAGTTCTGTATATATTTTAGGCCAACTTTAGGTGATTTTTCAATTATATCATGACTGATATTCTTGTTAGTCAGCTGAGAAGGTCGAGCGAGAGTCCTTCATTTTTATGGGGAAAAAACTGAAACTTGTGAGCAAAGAATTATTGTTACAATGTGTATTCATATCTTAACATTTCTTTTTTCTCGTTTTTAGGAAGTATGGGACAAGGATCCATTTAGCAATGAAAAAATTGGCCAGATCTCATTCGACCACGTGGCACTGGAGCGTATTTCTGATGTAAATCATGTTTCAAGTATTTGGGAAATTTAGCAATAAGAATTTGAAAAACTTTTTGAGGGACTTAGTTTTGAATTTCCATGGCTGTTGTCAAAAAAGTATTGCTTAATACAACGTAACTGGGTTTCCTGGCATGGATCTTATGTCTCGTGCATTCGTGTTTCCATTGACTTGTCTCCGTCACAGTACAAAGGGACAGATAATTCTTTTAAAGATGTGATCGATTTTGATTTTGTATCTTTTAAAGATGTGATCGATTAATAAGACATAGAAATCTAAAATATCCAATAATGAAATCCGCTCATGCATAGCATGCTTTCGTTATCTTCGGAGATCTAGAAAGTTTTCTTTGCTTAACATTTTAGAAAAATAAAGATAATAAAGAATGGTATACTTTGAAAGCGGCGAAGTCAGGCGAGATTCAGATGTCAGTTGTTGTCGATTCACCAGAAAAGGTTAGATATCTAAATTTGTATACTGCCTTGGGGGCGTCTTAGGCCTCGCTTACCTTGCACAGTTTTTAGTCTTAACGGGCCAACATGTATTTGCTACCTCTTTTCTTTCACGTTGCTCCGCTATAAGAAAGGGATGCATCTGAAAACGCACTTTAACAACTGAGGAAAATGAAAACCTGTCAAAGAGCAAATCCCTAACATGATAATCAAAAACAATTCCAATGAAAAGCAACTGTTTTCAGTTATGAGCAAAAACCAGTTTCGAAAACAGGTCGACATAAAAATGTACCAAAACAACTACGTATAGGTGAGGCCTTAATTAAATTGCCTCAATCTACTCTGCCTTAATCTTATTTGGAATATCCAACAAAAAAGATTGTATGGAAAGAGAGCAAAGAAAAAAATATTCTTGGTAGTAGGTAACATTTTCCGTTTTTTGACGACCATTTTCCGAAAGACGCTTTTTGGAAACGTCAGAACGACTTTGTGTAGCTGAAGCAGTATACTTTGTAGCTGTAAATATGTTTCTTTATGATTTGTATTTTAAGCTTTGCAGTTGTAGTTTTGTCCAAATCTTGTCCAGACATATCATTGTTTATCGATTTTATATTGTCAGTTTTACTCTTATTTGTATTGATTATTCTAGCCAAAAGATGCTCAAAAAGTTCCTGCGAAAAAATCCCCTGCCGTCAAATCCTACTCTCTCACCAGCACTGGTACGTATTGCCTTCGAAGGGTCTCTAGGTCCCTTGTTGTTTGACCGTTTTTGTGTTAAGCATTCGTTATGTAATTTTCACGCAGGCGTTGCTAATAAGTGATGAGATCTTTTTATTTGATAATGAGCCAAAGTGCACTCTTTCTTTCAATCAGTTGGTATTGTTTTAGCACGTAGCCTGTTTTAACAAGATATTTGATTGGATTTTCTTAACAGTTGAGAAAAATGCATAGAATATTTAGTATGATTTGCGTAGAAATGCTGAAATAGTTGTCATCCATGTGGTTTGTGGATTTTATGGCATGTAAGTCGTTAGGGTCCTTCTAAAGGGGTAGTCTCCTAAAAGGGAATCCATTTGTCTTTAATCTGCAAACTACTTGAACGACAACTGTTTTGTTACAAATATTATCTCCTCAAATTTCGCACGATCCATAAAGAAACATTAAGAAATAAGAACTTAATCTGCATTCCGTTATCTAGCGTTATCCAATTTTAGTTATGTAGCTTATCTATGCATTGATTGCACAAGTGGAGATACACACAGCCTGAGGTAGATAAGCATCGCTGTCCCCGGGTTGTAAATAACACACTGCCAGTATTTTATATCTAAACTTTTGAAATCCGATTGTCTTTGCATGCCAATACACCTATGCGTCATGCTTGAATTTGTATTGAATCACTGCTGTGTTCTTTCATTTTTGCCTGAATTTCGCCAAATATGCTACCTCATGAACGAAGCACCATTGCGTTGCTGAACTTATTTCTTATTTCTGTTTCTGTTTATCTTACGCTTATTTCTATTTTAGACTACGTGATGCTGGACATGATTAATGATAATGAAGAAAATAAGCTACTGAAACCAGAAAGTCTTTTCCAGTCGTCATCACTGGAAAGTGTTACAAGCGAAATGGAAGATCTAATGAATAATTCTAAACTTGAGAATGGTGGATCCCCAGTGATACATGCGAAGCGTATAACTGTTTCTTCAACATCTCTGCAGCTGCGAAGGCGGACAAAGTCTGATATGGAGCGCAGTAAGAGTGAAGAAAAAATTAGGCGAAAGCCTGAAATTAATGTTGAAAGTCCATCTATTGGAAGTATGCTATAGTTAAAAGGGTTCTAATAACTTCTTGGTTTTTTATATTAAATTGATTCAACTATTTGATGAGTATTAGCATGTTTAATGTCATTTATTTTATTACTTACCTGGGTTTCTGTTTGATTAATGACTATCATTTTATTGCTCTTTGCTAGTCGATTTAAAAAATTTATACATAGTGTTTTTTCAAGGTTTATCTCAGTTGCACAGCAGTATCGCATGTATTTTGTCAAGAATAACTTTCCAGTCCTACATCAATGAAATTTAAACATTTTTCTTTCAGAAATGCTGGATATTGGAGAAGGATATGATGGTGAGTCTGGATGTGCTTGATCTCGTATAAACAGAGAGAAGCTGGCTAGATATCGACTTTGTTCCTTTTACTGCCGTCACAGAGTGCCATTGCCCACTTGATAGTGGAAAATAAAGCTCTATATTTTATTATGCCTAGTCCTTGTTTCTCTCGTGGCTTCTAGTCGCACTATACGGTAGAAATTGTTCTTTGGCACAAAAACGCCGACCTTTAGTTTCTCCAGGGGTTGGCTCAATTTTCAAAATTAAATGAAGAAAAATAGAGAATCTAATGTACTAAAACCATTTTTTATTCTAAATTTTTCTAAATGAGAACTTTTACCGACTTTTGCTCTTCCTCGAATATGTATTCTGTATTTAAAAGCAGCCAAGGCTGGCTGCGCCCCATACATGTTACTCTTGTCTACCCCGTGTTGTATGATAGGCTCATTATGTGCTACCGTATAGCTACCACTCTCTTCATTCTCATTCAGATATTGATGCTGACGATGAAAGACCCCTCTCTCCAGTGGTCAAGGAAAGTGGCATCGTGGACGTCTCCAGGGACCCTCTCAAATATTACAACCTAAAAGGAGCGATAATTGGGTTGACTGGGCTCGTTGTCCCAACAGGTTTGTTCTTGTTTGGTTTATATCCCATCTGTTGGCTTTTTTAGAACCTGATGCTCGCATTTTTGATCAGCCTATTTCGATCCACAACTGGGTATATATATTTCCTAGCATAGACTTTTTTATCTATCTTTTGACAAAAAGGTTTAATTTGTGTCAAAATGTTTGCTTTTTCCAAATCCTTTTCTGAAGCTAATATTATCATTCAATAGCAGGGTAATGCAACATTGGTTTTTTCCAAAAATGCAGCATTTTTCTTAACATAAGAAGCTGCAATGATATCAGTCTTTCAAAGAAACACCTTTGATAAATACCAAGAGTAGCTCGCTTATTAGGATGTATCCCTGAAATGTTCGAAATGTATTTTTAAAATAAAACGTAAAAAAGTCCTAGATAAATTCAATTTTTGATAAAGATGTGATAGGAGTAACGAATGCTATGTTTGATTCGAGCATGTAGATCGGCTATAATGTTTTTACATTACAACATCATCTTGGTTCACCAGATTTATGTCTCAACATAAACCTTGAGTGGTTTTTCTTCTCTTACAGGTGTACAGGCGATTTGTATTCGGTTGCGTATTGACAAGTAAGTTACACTTTTCTTAAATGTTTCAAAGATTAGCTAGAACCGCCTCCACATCGCTATTAGAGTGACTCAGTATAAAATTATTTGTGTATTGTGTACATGTAACTTCTTTCTATCGTTTCTCTATATCAGAGTTCCGCTGTCAAAACAACGTCGAGCTTCATTTTTCTCATCTCCACCTTTTATTTGGAGAACCGGATTAATTCCTGTAGAAGATATGGCAGAGATGTCTCAGCATTTTTCTGTAAGTTGCATCAAAGTTTGACATAAGTCAATCTTAGCTTTATCAAAATGAGTTAGAATTTTGTTCCTTATGTTGTTTTCGTCTCTATCTAGCTAGGTGTTCTTTGTGTATACGGTTTTTCATCTCTAAAAATAAAATGTCTCGTAATGATGCAACCCTGCAAGTTATTTCGACTTTATCAGTAAACATATCTTGAGAAATTGCCACGTTTGGAAGCTGTTGAGTTGCCCAATGATCGCATTGAGCGCTTGAAACTTTCAGTTGCAACTTAGAACCGTCCTATTCTGTAAACCAATTCGCGTACACCTCTGCCCATAAGGGATCGAGCACTATATGAAAGACCTGTAAACAGCAATTTTCATTAAGTTACATCTGATGTAGTTAGTTATTCGATATTCTTCAGGATCAAGTTTAAGTTGAAAGGGAGATTTCGTTTACCTTACAATGTTTGCAAGCTGATTCTTTTCAAGCCTTTGAATAGTTGAATCAAAATTGTTGCAGTCATTCAGATGCAATTTTTTATTTTCAATACATAAACAATGAGATTAATATTGATAAAACTTTATATTACAAACTATGCTAGATTATACTCATTTAATCTTCACTTCACGAAAAAAAATGAATATGTTTGGAAATTGACCGCTGTAAATTCTGGTTAATCAGCATCCCCATAAAAATCTGTAGCGAATTCCATGTGTTATATGCACAATTACTCTATCCAGTTCTTGTTTACATTTCCACTAGACATTGCCATTTTAACAAGCTCTAAACTCTCATTGTTATTAGACAAAAGGTGATCAAGGATTCACACCGGTGATGTTTCTCAATATAGAAGTGAAAGATGACAGAAAAGATATAATCGATTCTGGAAGCATTACGCTCAGTAACTTGTTGAAAGGTTTGTTTACTTTTAATTTTACGCATTTATCATACAGTGAAATATTGTCTGATTATGATAAATCGCATTTTGGTTATGGAATAGGTTTTGGAATATCAATTTTTAGTATTTTTAAGGCCCTTTATTAACCTCGTACAGGGGGGGGTTATTAGAAAACCCCGCTTACAGAAAACTTTGCAAAGTAGCAAAAGGCGAACTGCCGCTTAGCGCTGAAAAATGTTAACCAAAAACAGGCTGGTGTAGGATAGCGGCTTTAATGTGCTCCTCCACAGAGGTCAGTGGAACTGATCAATGTGCACAGAAAACACGCACTTCTACAAAGTTCAGTCAAATAGGCCCCAAAATATTAGCTTCTTTAACATTTCTTGGACCTAGATTTTATTCAAGAATGATTATTCAGAACATTTATTCTATAGATTTCTTAATTACATTAATTAATAATATATAGTTTGTAATATTAAAATCATTACCGAGTGGAAAAGTTCATGGAGTTCCTGAAATATCAACCTAAAATTTCTATTTGGTTTCTTTGGTTTATTGAAGCATGGTTTTATTTATTTTAAGGCGAAAACCCTGCTCGAAAGATGGTGGATCTTGATAACGGTATCGTAGCTGTTTAATTTGCAACAGAACCTTCTTTTTGATCAAAATTTCTTCGTTTATAGTGACTTTTTCGTTCTTCCTCCATTAAAACTTATGTGCTGTTTTTCACATTTATATTGTTTAATCGCTCATACAGATTTTCAAATAGGTTTTTGGTAAAATAAAATTTGAAAATGGCACGAAACTTGCTTCCGCTATTTAGTGTCACATACAAATTTGGTGAAATTTATCAAAACGTTTTGCTGCAATTAAATGGCATCGATGAAAAAACTCTTTTCCTGTAGGAAGTACAATAAACCTGCATCTGAGCTACGAGGAGAACTCTGCTAGTGCAGCAAAGAAAAAGTTTTCAAACAAAAGGGTCTCGATGCTTTTACCAGATCACGGAAAATAACAACTGAAGATTGTGTCCGACGGAGAGAAGAATCAAGGGGAAATGAATCACTGTTACATAATCGGAGAAGAAAATTTGCAAAAGCTGTTAGAATGTTTTATTGAGCTTTTTTATTTGAAATAATTTCAAAAACTCTTTTATTTAATACTACACGCATTTTATATAAGAAACAAAGCCGATGATAGGTACTCAGTCTCTTAATTTTTTGTTGATTTCATTGTTAAATGTTTTGTTAAAGTTTTAATTATCAAGAACTGAATTACTCCTTTCTAGAATCACCAAAAACTACTATAGGATAACATACAACAGAACACCTAACCACTCGCAAGGCTCAGAACTATAGTTTTTTATTTTTTGTCAGCTCACTTTCATATAGACGGTTTCTTAAAAAATGCGTGTATCGTTTGAAAATCACGTATAACTGAGTTGAAGTATGCACTCACTATAAAATTAAGAGGCTTTCCTATAAAATGGGCTGTGGAGTGACAATAGGCATCCTGTTGTTCTCAGCGTCAGGTTATTTAGATACTTCTTTTCTGAAGATTATTCTTTGGTGCCTCAGGTGTAATTAAAGTAGTTTTTACTGATTTGACATCTTGTTTGCTGAATTTTGTTAAACTATAAATGACAAAAGCTTAAGTAATGGCATTTACAGTTTCAAATTATCAAGAAAACTGGTAGATTTGAGATTAAAACAACTTTTTATTGTTTTTACTATCAATACCAAACTGCTATCCAAGTAGAAGATTCAAAAAGCCATTCTAGGCAGACTTTTTATCAGAAGCAAATTTTTCCTGAAGTTAAAACAAATCTTTCCATCTCCTGGTTCTTCAGGTGATGCTCCTGTATATGGTACGATATTATTTCTTAACGTTTCTTCTTTCCTGAGATTTCGACTGTACATTTAAGACTACTGATCCATCTCTACAATGCCCGTTTTAGGGAATCAAATCCCTCCAAATAAGTGTTTTACATAGCGATGCTGTTTTATATTTTTCATTAGCTGTTCCCGTTCTCTGAATTACTTATTTATTTTTAATGGCATTATTTTTTAAAGATTTATATGGGATGTTTTAATATGGAAGATTAGCCATCCGCTAATGCTTACTGTACAATTTTATTCGTTTCTTTGTCGTTTATTTAGCATACTTTTTATAGTGTAAGTTGGGGCTGTTTACCAAATCTGCTGTAATTAAAATTGAATTTTCTTGTTGAAGTAATCTAATGGAGTCATATTTAACATACGGGGTGCTATTTAGCAGATATTTTAGTTAAAAGCTGGACTAGTTTTATATCCAAAACAAATTAAGTAATTTCTATTCTACGATTTATCATGTTTCCTAAAGTCCCCATCAGATTTTTGCATCCCTTTATATGTGAGAGACATATTTTGCTTCTGATATATTAAAAAGAAAAGTTTCGATGGTTGACATTTCCAAAGATAAAGCCCTAAATGCCCTATGTTTATCTTAAGTTCCCGTACTTTTACAGAATACTTCTCCACACTGACATCAGTATTTTGCGCTTCAAAATCAAATTCCAGTTTTTTAGATGAACATTTTACTCCTCTATTCAACGTAAGGAAAACTGGTTGCTGTTGATTGAAAGTCGAAATAAGACTTATTAGTTGAAGCAAGCCCATTTTGTAGCGAACCAGGTTGGCGCAAAGTAAAAACTCTTCAAATAGACAAGTAGCATGCTATTGGTCAAAAATCCGAAATGGTTGGAACTACAATGCACTTCCACTTTTCGAGTTGGCACTTAATGAATGTTTTAGGTTATTCGAACCAATTTTGATTTCCTTTTCAATGGTCACCTACAATCACATACTGTTAGGTATCCGAGCCCCTCTTTATTCAATCTACTTTTCTATTTCACTTAGAACTTTGAATAAGTGGGGTGCAATACTTTGGTGGCGCAATGCATCAAGCTTACAATATTGACCAGTTCCCCATAACGCTGTCCAGCTTTTAACAATTGTGGGAATTTAAGTCTAATAATTTTCGAATATGTATCTTATTTCTATTCAAAATGTTGTAACTACTTGCTAACGAGAATTAGAATAGAGAAAAAGAGCATTGATAAATTTTTGCAGTATTGGTAATTTGTATCTAATTCGTAACGAATTATTTGATTGGTGTATAACTCCTTCCTTATCTTGGGGAAGTTGAATTTTCTAAGGGTTTTTTGTACAAACGCATCTACTTGGGTTTTGGTGCAATATATTACGCAGTCCTTCTTTTTGATTTCACTTAATGATCGAAGGATCCAACTCTTACCCACTGTGTAAAAATAGAAACCTTGCACGCTTTAATGCAGTTCTATTAATGAATAGATATTGATAAAAGCAAGTTTTCTCTGTTTTGAAAATCCTAAGTGGTTGGTGCAGCATCTTTTCTGTTTGCTCTTGAGCACGTGGGTCCTCAAGGGACAACCGGGAATAAAAGACTACCTTTTGACCCCTTATGTGAATTTGTTTTTGTAAAAAAACGCATCCATCCCCATAAACTTCAGTTTTTGATGGCCTTTAAGCTGGAGGTTTGGAAGGCAAAACTGGGTAAGTTCTAACTGTATTTTAGTTACCAGAAAACCTTATTTCAGATACAAGAATCAATAATTTTTGCTTATTCACAGATAAAATTCTGTTCATTTTCAAACACGTGTGATTGTTCTGCATTCTTAACAACCTATATCGATAACCATGGCGAAGACTACCGGTTTTCCGTTGGCCTTGGCAGGAGACTGGAGGCCACAAAATTCAGCGAAACCAATGAAAAGTGCTATTCAAATGTAAAGTAGCCTAGCTACGGATGCTCCAAAGACGCCATTTTGGCCTATCAACACTCGCTATAACCAATACTCGCTCAGTATTCGATGAAACTTATTTCAACTTTTGACAAGTATACCGGTCTCTTGATTACGTAGGCTGGGCACTATTGTGCAGGGTTGGTATAGACAACTGCACATGCTCGGGGCAAAAGATATTTAAAAACGATGCTAAAATTTTCCAGCCTAATATTTCTGTATATTTTTCTATCAAGCACCCGAAGGCAGTTTTTTTAAACTATGCTTATCGAGCAGTGTCCTTATCCTTTCTCTTGATATGAAAACACTTCGTGATTCCTAGACCTGTAATTGCAGAGGGCTTGCAACTCCTTTCACTCTGGTTGGTTTGGTCATGTCCGGTTTGGTTTGGTTTGGTTTGGTTTGGTCCGGGGCTCGAAGCCCAGACCCTTGGATCTGCAGTCCACGACCCTAACTAATGAACCATCCTCGCACCTAATTTTGAAGTCTAAATTTTGATGCAAAAGTTGCAAGATATTTTCAGATTATGCCAAAATTATTTACTTTTCTATGCCAAAAATTTCCCCAATATTATTATCATATTGCTCTCATTTTTAAGATAAGTGAGATTGCAAGTTTGTTTGACCTGATGTTTAATGTTTATTTTTGAAAATCTAAATGTTGAACTATCAAACCACTGAGTCAGAAGTTGCTAGTGTTTCAATAAAATTAAACACTTCTCATTCTTCACATTGTTTTCTTAGCACTTCTTCTATGAGCTGGAATTTTTGCAAGGTTTATAAAGCGACACTAAACAACCCTTCTGCGACTTTGCCGTGGCTTAGGCAAGAAAGATCGCTTCTTCTATAGTGATTTCTTAACAAGTTATAATTGCTACCGTTGCAACACATTTCATGTCAGTGCTTTTCAAAATGTTAGCCTTATAAAAAATTCCTCCATATTTTATAGATTAAGATTGACGCTCAATTAGAGTTTCTTGATCAAAGGAAACGCATAGTGTATCTAGGTTGTACGTATGCCAAACATTTGATTAAATCTAGCAAAAAATTTATGAGAAAGACTTGCCAAATTCTTTTTGAATTGGTCGTCAACAGGGTACATGAAACTGGCGGCACTAGGGCCAGGTGCCTCCCAGGATTTTTGGGAAACCCCTCTTTTCTCAAAAGCTCCTCCTAGAGAATTCTCGGAAAAGTGCAAACCCAACATTTCTGAGACAAAGTGAAACTCAACATTATTTCTGTAGCCCCAATTATCAGCCTCTAGCCGTTTTCGTCGCAAAAATGCATTATGTTATCTGAAGGTTCCTCGATTCATTATATCGCTTCCCTAATATTTCCAAATCATGCTTCATGTTCTGTTTTAACTCAGATCAAGTAATGCGTAGCTATGAAGGAGAATAAATTCTATCAGTTCAGTGATGTCTCTGTTAAGTATTTTTATGTTTATAAGCTGACTACCAGGAGAGATACACATGTAACAGAATTGGAGACATCAGAAAAATTTGACTGGTCAACTGTAGATATTGATGATTATGTTCAGAGAGAAAATGACGCCCTTTTAGAGCCTGGAACCGAATACCATGATCAAGCCACGAAAAGCCTCGAACCGAATGCAGAATACAGAAAACACATTCATTTTAAACACCGCTAACATCTGTAAAGTCTATTTCGAATAACGGTTGCTTTAGGTGATCATAATTTGTTCATTGAAACAAGAGATACAGAGAGAGACTACTATTATAAATGGCACGAGAGCAAGATTGTATGACACGATATTTTATTTAATAAATATTATCTTACAAATACGATGAAGCTGTTGTTGTTATCAACTTGAAGCCTGGTATTTACCTTGGGACAACAAATGTCAATAACAATAGGCGATATCTTCTAAATAAAACGAAAATTGTTAACTATAATGAAGATCTTTAGAGATAAAACGGTAGGCTATAAAGCGGATAGAGGAAACCTCGTGTTACCCACACTATGCAAGGACGATTTATTTCACCTTGAAAGGTGGGAAATATATACCACATTATCGAAAATAAAAGCGAAAGTAGCAGGCAACATTTAATACTTTCTACACTAAAATTATCTAGGGATATTCTGATAACAACGAGTGTGAAAACGGCAAAAAAACGAGATGATAAAATGTCTTTCATTAACAGAATGGCATCAAAGTTCCTTACAATGAGACATCGGTTTGGAACATTAGATTTATTCCTGGTATTTCAGAATAAGACACGATATTTTCATTTAGATGGCCATCTGCGTCTTCACTTCTTAAAACTACTCAGAATGTGTCCAATAACCAGCCATACCAGCTGATTTGTCGGCATAAATGAAACATTAACACTGTAAATGAGACCTTTTTCTCTCTAAGGATAGTGCTGTCTAAATTCCAAGTTGAGGGGGGGGGGGATAATTCTCGTTCCACGCTAGAATTCTCTACTGCATTCTACATAGCTATGCCCCTGCATCTACACAGAAATTTCTACAGTTTTTGGCTCATTTTGGCTTTTGATTATAAATCTCAAATTCTAAACGTAAAAATCAAATTTGCTTTCTCAAAGAAAAATTTTTCGAATTGAATTAGCAAGACCTCTCTTGATCAGCATCCTTGCCTTTTCCGATCGCATCCGGATTTGCAAGTGGATCTAAATCTGAAAACAGATTAAACCATGCTGACATATCTTGTCCTTTCTTTGGCTTCGGAGTCTTTCCCTTGCTTTTGTCACTTGATTCCTTGGCTGCACTGTTTCCTTTTGGTGCACCGCTCTGTGCTGCAATAGGGTCCGCTTGTCTCATCTGCTCCATAAGAAATGATGGCATATACATATTTCCTGCTGTTTCTGTTTCCAGATCACCTTCCAACAGCATATCCGTTGGTGGCTTGGTGTTTTCCACCGGCTGCTGCCCAAACATATCCTGCCATTGTTTTGAAAACCCGGACTGATCTTCTGACAAGTAGGCCTTTTCATTGAATGTGGTAGAGCCAAGCACGTCACTCAACAGATCAATATCACTTTTACTTCCTTGATTCTGACCAGCCTCCGTCGATCCAAACAGCAGATCATCAACAGAGTTCTTGGCTGCAAGTAGCATAAAACATATAATTATCAAAATAAATGCACTGTTTACAGAACCAGATGCAGAGGTGTCAATACCTCACATCAGGGTTGCCATTTGGTCGTTTTGACGGCCAAATTCTTCTATTCTGGCCGTTTTCAAAGCTGTTGGCCGTCGAAAAATGTTTTGGCCGGAAAATCGAAAGTTGGCTGAATTTTGGCCGCATGTTGAAAGCAACAAAAATATAAAGAAAACGACAATTTTTCTCAAAATTGCAAATAACGAAGCAAGAAACACAGTAAAAGAGAACAGAACATTGAAATTGAAAGCAGGTGGAAGCTTTCGTAACAAATAAAGCCAATTTTGATTACACTATTATTCCAAAGAATGCAGCTTTTTGTATATTTTGTTTGTCTGGCCGAATTTGGCCGTCAAGCGTAAAATTTTTGGCCGCTTACCATTCCAAGCACCTAGCAACCCTGCCTCACATCAGTACGAAATATTACAAATGATTGACGAACAAATTTCTCCTCCTACAAGACTCTTCTACTTTTAATGTGATGAAGACGCGGCCCTTGAGAAGGATATGGAACAAAAGCCTAGTAGAGATGCCTAACACCAACTAATTTGTATCAGAAAAAACTTAACCTGCATAAAATGGTTGTAATATTTAATTGTCAGCGAGGTTACGTAGGATACTATGCAGTCTAATTGGCTTAATATCATACCACTGATTGCCTGATCATCTAACTCTTTCGTTTGCTCAGCCAGAATGTCACGGTTTTCTTTTTCCACTGCCATGCTCATTTTAAAATCATTCTGTACAGTCTGATCCAAACCACCAAGCAAGTCTTCAAATTCTATCGAAAAAGAATTGCCCTTCGTCAGAAATTTTACTATACTTGATGAGACAATAAAAGAAAGAGGAAAAACTTTTTGCTTTTTCAAGTTATCGTCAAAAACATAAGACTATTACAAGACCAATGTAGATAGGGTCCTCTACCTCTGATTCCCTTGGCATTTTCTGAAGACTCAAAGGCACTGTAATGATCATGACTCTGTTCGCCTCCGTTTTGTGGAGCATCAAATATCCCAAGAAGATCTTGATCTTTCTGTGTTTCTTCTGCAGTTTGTTCATCAACGTCAGGCTCTTGTTCTCGAGCCTCATCATTGACGGAAGTGTCGAATGAAATCAATTTGTCATCATCGTCATCATTAGGGGCGTCATATCTTTGGGTTTCTTGGTTCCTATAGCAACAAGAGATGTCTTCATTAGAGACACATTTTGCCCATCGGGAAAGGAACTTTGAACAACATGAACAAGTCAATTTGGAACTTGGAGGATTTTTGATAGAAAGATTAAATGGAATGATGGTAAGATTACTTATGATTGTTAATACTTTGTTTATATAGTGACTTCTACACGTTATAAGTGTTAAACAAGCTAGTATTTCTAAATGACTAGATACGTATCCAAGTGAAAGTCGTTTAGCTACTGAGGTGATAACATAAATATGTTTTCTGATTTCAAGCAAGATTCTAATCATGTTTGTCTAGGATAAAAAATCGAGACTTACCCCTCCCCAGCAGCATCACCATTTTCTTCTACCTCTTGACCCTTTTCGATTTCCATAGACCTTCTCTTCCCTGGCTTAATATCATCCTCTTCATCGTCTGCAATACCATTATTTGGTATAATATGCCTTAATATAGTAAACTGATACGATGGGTGGCCTTTAAATTGCTCTAAAACTGATTGATATGACTTTGATGTGTGTTCAAGGAATTTCAACATACACTGTTGATATGCTGCCAGTGTAGCTGACAAAAGATTGCAGCGGCTGGCAGACAACAAATCAATCTTTTGACACACATCAGCTTTAAGCTTTTCAAATTTTTTCCTGTTGTCTTTCACTTGGCCTTGAACCTGGAAGATTAGGGAAATACTAAGTTTAATAGAGAAATACTACTTGCTCTGTTGCTAATTTTTCTGATACCTACTCTATGAAAATCGTACGCCACTACATAACAAGATGGTTCATGAACTGCCAGTTTCCTTTCCGCTCCATCATCAATTGTTTGCACACTCTTATTTGTCATTATCTTTTTTCCTTTCATGTAAAACAATTACATTCAATTTCCATATTACAGAGTTTAAGGATTTCAAGCTTATACCTATCATTAAAAAATGTTAGCTCCCTATTTTGGCAGCAAGATTTTCAGATATTACCCTTTACCTACAATCTGATTCCAAGTTACTCAGTAGAAATAAACGAATATCAAAAAATTAAAAAAACATACATCTCGAAACTTATCCAGCCTTTTGTTCACATCAGGATCCAGCTCTTTTGAAACTTCTGCCATCCACAATAACCCAGCCCTGTAATCTGACCTGCACTTTTCCATTCTCTCAACTGTCACAGCAGTATCAGCAACTGCTCGGAATCGAAAAGTCTCAAGCTCTTGATAAAGACGTACCAGAGGGACTCTAAGGCTCAACCTGCAATAAAAAATACAATTACATATTATCAGTGGCGGAAACTTGGGGGGGCAAGGGGGTCTTTTGAAAATATGATCTTATGATCATTTGTGCTGTGTAAAAAACTTAAATGCAAATAGTATTTCCATTACCTCAAGAAACATAACAATTAAATATATATCAACAAGCACAGAAAGAGCATTTCACTGATTTATTAATGTCTTGATCTACCCAATTAAGCACAAAACAAAATTTACATAACTAACAAGATGAAAAAGACAATAAGCTCAAGTTTAGCATCAATACCAAAAGAAGATACTCTGTTGTGCTTTGGTTGCAAATGCTATATTGTTTTATTATTCTAAGGACTTCAAACAGTAAGAATTTACCTTTGTTGTGCAGCATAACTTTGAGCCTTGCCAACAGCTATCATCATTTTACCTGCCTTTGTTTTATCTGTTGCTCCTTGATCACGAAGGAAGCGTCCCATTTCATTTTCATCTTGTGACAAAGCTATGGCAAAATTCCATAAAAATGATTAAACTTGCCCCCATATAAATGATAGTAGCAACTTATTGTGTAGCCAAATAAGTACAATAAAATCCCAAAAGGAGAATATTGAAAATTCAAATTCTGAAATGAGCATTACACACAGGTAAAGTTTGGACATCTTCTTTATAAGGCACAGAAAAAAAGAGAAGGCCTCATCAAACTTTAAGTCGTAAAATCTATATTTGTGATTCATTGTCCAAATAATTATCTTTCAAGCCAGTGAGAGAAAGAATCATACCAAATATTCGATTTTGATAAGCTTCTGTTGCCATCATTAGTTGTGTGCATGTTCCATTGATGTGCCTGTAGGCCTGTAAGAAGCAAAATTTTAACTAATTTTCACATCATATGATTCACAAATCAAAAATCTAAATCTTCAGGCAGGAGAATGGATACACAAAAGAAATCATCAACCTTGACAATTTTTGAGTCATACTGGTTATAGCAAACAATTGGTGAAGAAAAGCAAGTGGCAAGAAAAGGGGTTTTCCAATACTACATGGTCAGGTATGGCTACAACTATTTTCTTAGAATTTTCACATGGCATACAACAAAGTTTCTTAACGATATAAAACTGCTTTTTACTCTGAGCACTGTCAGGCAAGATGTCTTCTCTTGCAACAATAAATACCTCTAGTCTAGCATCTACTTCAGCATCTCCAGCCACAACAAATTCATCCTGGTCTTTATTCAACTTTTCAAGAACTTTTTGTTTGGTTTTCCAATACTTCTGCTCCAACTTTCCTTTTAAAGAGTCATTCTGTCTATGATAACTTTGATAGTTATGTCCATAACCACCACTTTGTGAACCATCATTTGGATAAGACCCATATCTACCAAAAAACAAGGCATCAGAGTTGCAAATTTCTTATTGATTGTCTATGCTTGTTAACTGTTATAAGACATCATATAGCTTAAACATGAAATTAAATGATAAGAGACTGACTAAATCAAAGAAGCATGTGGTTTATCATCACTAGCACTTTATTTAACATATATACTTTTAATATATCAACATATCATATTCATCCTATATACACCTATACACATCCAATCGGGCATATGACCTAGATAGCTCCTTGTGAGTTCTTTTCATATGTCCGACAGCAAACATACCAAACTTTGAACTATCTACTGTTTGTAGTTTTTCTTTTTTGTAAAAAATAATTGTTATTTGTGGTTCAAGTATTAAATAGAAATGTAGTAGTTAATTATTGCTGTGAATGAAATGTTTTGAGTTTTGAGAATCCTAATGTTAACTCAAACATAAAAATAATAAATTTTTGAAGTAATAGTATACTCAAAATATATAATTATTACCTATCGTAGACAGAACTAATTATGCATAACTTAAAACCAACTCTATATATTGATTCTTTTGTAGTACCTATACAACTAAATTTTGCATGGGCTTCTATCAGTATAGATTAACCAAGTGCTAGATTAAAGTTTGATGTGCTAGCAACCTTGCATGTTGAGAATCTAAAATAATTTATGTCTACAAAAATGTGGACAAATCACATTGGTTATGATCTTTTGGTGATAAGGACTGCTGCCTACAGACCTAAAGGTCTCTGTTCCCAGCCCCTAGCATGAACAAACTTTCACCCAGAGTGAGCAGAGTTGCCTCCTCCCATCCCACTAGTTCTAAGGGGAATGAATCATGAGTTGTGGTCACATAGAGATTGAAAACTAGGATGCTGCTTGATAAGCAATTATTAAGTTTCCCTAAAAACACCCTTGGAGATGCTAGGTAGCAAATACAAACAAATACAAACATTGCATGTAAAAAGATTCTCCTCTGATGCCCTTTTATGACTACAAAACCCCATTTTAAGCTTCTCATTTGGAACTTGATACATTTAGCTAGCAACTTATATTTCTTAAAAAATTAACAATCTTCACCCTCTGCTGTTGAAATCTTGTTGTTCCTCATACATCTCTAGCACTCAAGTTGTAAGTTAAAAAATACTGATCCTCAAAATTTTCAAATTTCTTCACCTGAAATTTAATGGAATAATTTGAATCAGTTGAAATATCTGATGAGGAAGATTTTTTCAGTCAAAAAATGTCTTGTTTTGTCAAAAGACAATTGCATTAATCGCAGTTCATGATACAAGTAAATGATAAAATGATCTTAATCAATAAAGATAACTGAACAAAGCAAATCTATTGAATAATAAAGACTATCAAACTACAGCGACATGTGTAAAATCTGAGAAATGATTTTTAGGTTCAAGCCAAAATATCACAGTATCAAGTTTTGTTTTGAACCAAAATTATAAATAAGGGGCTTTACCAAAACTTTCTTAAGCTTATTCAGATTATTCTTTATTTCGTCGAAATCAATCACCGCTGGTATTTGATCTTGCGATCGATAGTTTCTAGTTTAGGCCTGTTGTTACCATTACCTGCCTAATAAAATGCAACTGCTGATCAGATTTTCAGTACTTACGGTTTTAAAACTGCATAACCTACGCCAGTGCGGGGCGTAATGAAGCAATACACTCAAATGGCCTCACGCATACTACGTAAGTTTTTCTTGGCCGCCTGCTCAATTTTTTATTTCATTTACACAGCTCTCGGGAAGAAATATTCTCCCATCCTTTTGTTTCGTGTTGACAATTTAGCAGGTTGTTGATAGACTGCGCATGCCCTGTTCGAAAAGGAGGCTGTCAAATTGCTGACGTCAAACCACAAAATTTTGCGAAACGCGCAATGGAAACGCGTCGCTAACACGAGGGTAAGGCTGTGAATACACCCCTCGTTTCGTTGTTACACTGATAAAGCAGGGGCTGCCATCCTAAAAGGTTAGAAAGGGAACATCTATAAGCTGTGCATTAGGGAACGTCTTTAGCCAACCCCTAGCATATCCCATTCTGCTATGGGATTGCCCCATGCTCACACCCTTTATACTTGCATATTCCTCATTCACAGTAATGTTAAATGTAAAGCTTTATCATGTCAAGCAAAAATATTTCACTTTTTCAAAGAAGCCCCGTGCACTGGGTCAAAATATTACCCTACGGAAAATGATAACGACCCTTATCACTACTAAGTAGTACTAATTATCCTGATGACATTCTACTAACGGTGCAGTCACTTTTAGTAAAACCTGTTTTGAAATCTTACGCAGAACCGTTAGGTTCCATTCGATGTGCCTTTTGTGCGTTAACTACCCCACCTGAAATTATTTTTGAATAACCACCGCTATCTTGGACTTATCTAAATGATTACAGTCTTAAAGCTTTCGGAACCTTTTATGAAAGGTTTGATAAGTTCTATGGCTGATGTGAAAAAATCATCTTTGCTTAATTTTTTTTCAAACTTCTTACAAAGTTGAAAATTAGGCAAATTGTTAAGAGATCTGTCAAGAAATTGTTAAGGGTTATTTTTTATTCAGGCCTTAATACACTTTGAGGTTAAACCATTGTCACCGAAAGAAAACAAATTTAGCTATCTCTAAAAATTTCCCAGTTGTTCACTATAGTGAAACTTCAATATCACGAATTATATATGTTATCAAAGAAAATTATAGACCCATAACCCTATTCGCAACGTTGTCTAAATCAATTGAAAATCAATAGCTCCTCGATTCTTTTCCTTACAAATTAGCAAAATATTTAGGTGCATAAAGAGAATAATATTCTTCCCAGCATGCTCTTTCCAATTAAATGGAAATTGGATGAGAGAGAAAGAAGTGTCAAATGTATTGTTCCGATATTGAAATACTTCGATTGTCTTATTGCTATATTGTCTAGGATAATATTCCATCATGTGCAAAGATTCGACATTTAAGGGGTCATAGTTAAACTTGGACAAGAGCACAGGGTACTTTAGAGAACAATGCTAGATCCTTTTCTTTTCATCAAAGAAAGCAAGCAAACTGAAATTTTTTGAGTACCTCTATAAGATTATAGGCACCTCGCTCAATTGTCTTTATGATTTTTGTACCTAGTTTTGAGCCTTTACTCCTAAAGGCAATACAGAGCCACCATAAGCTAATCAAGAAAACCGAAGCTTCATGAATACCATTTTAACATAAATGGGTCAATACTTAGCTTCATTTCCATTCGAAAAAATCTAATCCCGGTAGCTGGCTGACAAGATACCATCTCTTATAGAAGTAAACAACTCATTTTCACACTAATGCCCTAGAGCAAAAAATAAAATATTTTAAAGCGTCTCTAAAGAATTCATAAGACAACTGGGCTATATAGACAGGCAACGTGGAGCATGGGGACTGGCTGGGGGGGGCGGGCTTTAGCAAATATTGAATAATAAACTACCAGTAGAGCCTCTTTTATACGGTTTTAGCCCCCCCCCACTTTTTAGACCCCAACTTTCCTCGATGCTCCGCGGTGCCTGTAAAGTATAAAGGAAAATCTAGCTCTCACATATTTTATATCTAATGAAAGTAAAAATGATATCAAATGATCTAAATTATTTACCCAATATTTATTAATGCAAAACTAACTTAACTGGTCCAACTTTTTATTATTTTCCCCTCAGTGATGTCTCCAAATTCTTCAATCTTATAATAAACGCCTCTATCTTATAATCGCCGCATCAATTGACCAGACCAGATCAAATTGTATCCGAATATTTATTAGATCCAGGTCTAAGTTCGAATCATTACACGAGGAAGCAATCTGAAGGCAATTCCAAAAGAATACGGCACAGTGCAGAATTGCAATCATCAAATAAAATTCGATTAAAAAACCACCAGAATTAATGGTAGCAGCAACAGCAGTAATAATCTAAATGTCAAATAATTCAAGTATCATTATTTCCAGGTCTAAAAGTTAATTACAGAAGGTACCCAAAAGCAAGCCACTCCTTTTAAAAATACGAGCAACTCGGTTTTCTATGTTGTGATTGAAATGGAGCTACTCTGGTGTCTCTGATAGAAGGAGGTTCCTCATTCCGGCCAACTTTCAATAGAAGGGGGTGCTAATAGAAGGGGGTGCTCATGTCGGCCAGTTTTCAATAGAAGGTGGGTGCTAATAGAAGGGGGTGCTCATGTCAGCCAGTTTTCAATAGAAGGTGGGTGCTAATAGAAAAGGGTGCTCATGTCGTCCAGTTTTCAATAGAAGGTGGGTGCTAATAGAAGAGGGTGCTCATGTCGGCCACTTTTCAATAGAAGGTGGGTGCTAATAGAAGGTTGGCCTATTTTCAATAAAATGCCAGCAAATTTCAATAGCAAAGGGGAGCTATTAGAAGAAGTGGATGTTTGTAAATCTTTTTATTGAAAGGAAGTGAAGCTAGTAGGATGGTGACACTGGTTGCTTGACAATGGATAGATGGTTAGAGATAAAGATAGACAAACATAACAAGGGGAATTATGACAATTAAAAAAAACTAAATAACATAACAAGGGAAATTATTGACAAGTGAAAATTGCGTGTTCTGGTCATGACAGATTTGTAAAATTTAATAGAGGGGGGTTTTAATAAGCGACGGGGGGAGGGCAAATTCTTCTGAAATTAATACACGGGGGAGGCGTCTATTACAGACACTAGAGTACTTCAAAGAAAACAACTTCAGGACTGAAATGATGGACATCATTCATGTAACCGAGCACATAAAGAAAACTTTAGCTACTTTCTTTGTTGATTATTTTTGCTACTAACAACATAGAAAATATTTTTTTGTCTGCAGAAAATTAAATTGGTGTTGCACTTGAAAATGCTTGTTGGAAGACTCTTCAACAAAGAGTCTCTTTCTTTCTTCGCGGAGAAAACGTTGGCTGGAAACCCCTTTGTACGAGGAACCACTTTGAATGAATTTACAACGGGTTATTTGTGCGGAATCATTGTAGCTAAGTTTGGTGGTGTAGAAACAAGATGGCACTCGCGAATGTGAGGAACTACGTATTGAGAACAAAAAAGTTAAAACAAGACACCTTTTAATTCGTAGGTCAAGTGGTCAAGTGTATCCCTCATGTGATTTGTGCGCGAACCCACGCCACCTACGCCTTAGCAAAACCTTTTAATAAATGATTTAATTGTTGATCAGTTGAAAATTTTTACTAAATTGTACTGTAATTGCATAGAATTAATTTCTACAAAAGAAATTAATGATCAACAAAATTCATGATTGTCTGGACTCGACAGGCCATTGTCATAGCACCTGGGATTTTCCTCTTCTGTTCGAATAATTTTTCAAATGTTATATCGATCGAAACCATTCCTAAGATCACCACACTTACAAATTATTTTAACAATATCATGCCAAGAATTTTTAGCTCAAAATGAAAAACAACTTCTTCATTTGAAAAATAAGCCGTATAGTTGTAAACAGCCAATCTGGCAGTTCTTGCACGCCTAAGACGTATTTTTAGAATACTGATTTCAGTAACTTGACTCAGTTCATACGCTCATCAGCTGCCGGATAATCGCAGAAATTGTCAAAGATACTGACTTGATCTCTCTGCTCAGTCTTTAAACTTTGCACTTATGGAGGTATAATCATAAAAAGGAGAACTCGATATGATCAAAGCTTTCTCATCAACAGTGTATACAAGACAAAAAACACAGTTAAAGTGAATACGGTAGATTTGGTACTGTGTTTCAAAAACTTATAAATGTTTAAAATTATTCTACATGTGATTTTATGCAAATAAATAGTTTTATTTCCTGAAGCAAACGAGGAGGCCATTCGTGCGTGGTACGGAGATGCCATTTCTTATGATGCTACTGTCGTTACAGGGAGAAATTGTACCCGAAAACATTCCTTGAGTTCCCTTAAACTAACTGGAAGCCACTGCTGAAATTGAGTTTCTGCTGACTCTGAGCCTGCAGGCTATGTATAAGCTCTAAACATAATAAGCAATTTGATGGAAAGGTTTTATTTGCCAGAGAAATCGGATAAAATCCATGGTGTGGATACAGGGCTTGTAGCATAGGACCGAGTGCTCTTATCAAAGGGTATCAGTAAGGCTGTCAAATAGAACACTTATTAACAATTACTTATAGAAAAACAAATATAGCCTTTTCCTATATTTTCTAAATAATTTAAAAGTGCAGGTTTGGTGAAATAATCGGATGGGCAAAGAGCACCGAAAGCCATGAAATCGAGGCAGGATTTAAAGGGGAAATTTTTCAATTTATTGCTCCTAAGCAGTGATATTATTGTTTGAATTCGTTAGCGATGCCGGAACTCGTATTTCAAAAAATACCCTGCAGTTACAACGCTACAAAGGACACGATTAAACAAGCCCTGTATCCTAACAGAGGATATGCGGCTTTCATTCATCGAGAAGAAATACAGACTTTAAACGAACTCCGGGAAACACCTTTGTAAAAATGCAAAGACAATGCTATGAAAACCCCAACAGAATTAAGATAAATCCTCGATCCAACTCCCGAGCCTTTACAAAATCATTGTTTTCTTAAGACGATACGTACAACAGAGAGTAGCGTTGATAAACTATTGAGATAAGAAAGTCTTAAACACTATATCATCCAATTAAGCACCCTAAACTCCCTGGGAAGTCTAATAGGGGGACGTGAAAACTATTGGGTGTTATTTTACTAAGCTGCTCTGAGGGGTGTATATAAAAGGGGGATTTGTAGAGAGCAGGGGCCTTAAACAGAGGATTCACCCGCGAGTAGCGAAATTAACTTTCAGAAAGTGGTGTTAAACGCACGAATTGGCTTCAGGAAGTTACCATGGGTCCCTTGATTAGGTTTCCGTTTTCAATCGCTTTGCAACCGTGCCGTAATCGTGATCGTTCATTGTATCTGTAGCGACAGAGTCATGATTAACCGCCATTAAAGCGTCTTCAGTTTTCAGTGAACCATCCGAGAGTACGTCATCCGTTAAAATGGAAGGATCATTCGAGAGGATAGCGGCAGTCGACGAATCAATCGTTAGATTTCCAGCTGCCCTTGCTTTTTCGAGTTGTCGAACTAGAATAAAAAAAGAGTGTAATAAGAACGAAGGAATCCTAAAAGACCCCAGAACATCGGCTTACAGTTAACATAAATTTCTTTGTTGATCGTGCAGCGAGGCAAAATGCATAAATCCTTTTCAAAGAGAACAAACAAAATTGTCATCTTGAATAGGTAACCCAAGTAAAAATTTGAGCTTAAAGAAATTGAAATTGAATTTGCAAAAATACAATTACAAAAAAATTGTGACAATACAATTCACAAGTTTAAACAGCAGTAGGAACTCTTGGAAGACAGACAGAAAACAGAATTATTCTATTAAGGATAAGTTGATTCCAATTTGACTGAGTTTACTACTTCCAATTGATCCAGCTTTCAGTTAATCTCTGTTTAGCAAAGAAACTCTAACCAAAATGCAAGACACGAAGACGATAATGTTTTCCTGGATCTTGAATTTAATTTCAAATTATCATCCATGCACATGAACATATTGGGAAAGGCATATCAAGACTGACCGAAATTTGTTTGCTGTTTGCTAACAGCTACCTTGGTCAAATGCTGATAAAGTTCTGGAAAGTTTTGGAGATGATGGCAAGCTCAACTTCAAACTAATTACAAAAACACCTGATCATAGAGGTATTTTAAGAAATCAGCAATAGGCTGAATGAATATTTTGTTACAAAATTTTTACTCATTTGCGCTTAGAATTGACAAAAGAGAGAAAAGTGCAGGAAACAACCAACCGGGATCAATTTCAGGGGTGCAGCTGCTATTGTTCTTGGGGGAAATGAACCATCAATCAAATTATTCTCAAAAAATATGGCACTGAATTCAATTTTTTCAGTTGAAAGTTCATGGAAACATATATTTCTTGCTAGGAAAGAAAATAATTTATGAAAAGTGTGACAGATGAATTCTCTTAATTCATGATTCATTTATTTTTTGTTTCAAAAATTTGACATTCTTTCAGTCTATCAAAGATGAGAAGTGGATATTATCTTAATTGTTTACACAATTTTTCTGGGTTGCACATATATTCCTTTTGACCTTGCTCTTTGCTATAACATTGAGTGCACCTTCTGGGAAAAGCCTATTAAGCGATTAGGGGTATTAATATAAGGGGGCCAACAAATAAATCTTACCAGAAAGCGGTGCTTGAGTGAACCATTGCAGTTTATAAAAGTTCAGTGCAAAATCATTACCTTGTTGATCCAGAATCATGTTCTGCCTCTTTAGTTCATCAATATCAGCCTAAAAGAAAAACATTCATAGACTGTATATTCAGTCAAACCACTCAAGCTGCACTTTGATTTACAAATATTCATGAAAAAGTCACTTAATCCATATTCTTATTATTCTGCTTTATAAATAATTCAAAATCAATGGGAGATTTGTACTAAAGGGGCCCAGTTACTCTTTGCTTTTTAACCAACATTGCTTTCTAGCATCAAATCTATTCATCAAATATAAAACATCATCTGGTTAAACCAAACAACGATTTCAATCTTGCAACAATTATGAACAGCTTGTTCTTCGTAGTTCCTTTATCTGTTTGAGTTAATTTAAGACAGGGATGTCTTTTTTGCTGGATGGTCATCTGTTCAAAACTGTCTTCTTGTTACCTTGGCTGCAGCATTAGTTTCTATCATGTGACAATATTTATCCAAACTTAACAGTTACAAAAGCCTCCTATCTACAATTGATGCTTTGTGAGAAGTTTTAGATGTTAAGTGCTTAGGTATATAATGCCAGGTCCTGCATTTTCTTTAAAGTCAATTTGCTTCTAGTGCTATTTTATGTACTTAGTTGATCAGCAAATAGAAAAAGCAAAACCTTCATCTAGTGTACAATTCCTTTGGCTATGCATAATACCTTGACCCAGGTGTATTAAATAATGTTGACAACTGAATGCTTACAACATCAAATGATGAGAATGTAGGGCACAACCAATGGGTAGTTAGGATTATGAGACCAAACATCTTTATAAACATTTAGAAATGACTATAATGAAAATAACATACAGAGGTTATGTACAAACATGTACAAACCAACGCAATCATGGGATGAAGGGTTGGAGGGCAGGGTCTGCCTTGTTCACATATGTGAAGCAAAAGCTGAAGCAGGTGTGGAAGCAGAAGCAGGTGTGGAAGCAGAAGCTAGGCTTCCCCTGCCTCACTCTGACTACCCCCTTGAAGCCAAGCCTAGAACACTAAATTTGCTGGCCAAGTAAATGAATTTTCCCCAGTACATTTTTCTAAAGTTCTGATAAAAAAATCGCTTCCACAGCTTGCCTTGCAAACAACAACTAGCAACTATCATCATCAACTAAGATAATCCAGCAATGCCAGGGTAAAATCCAACCTGGTTACAGAAATGTTAAACTTAGATCAAACTATATTGTAGGATCAGCATGCTAGGAATTATCTAAAGACGTTTTTTATCTCAATCCCCAGATAAGACCTTGGGCTTCTTATTCCCTGGCTAACTTTTATGTGGAATCGCCAGCATAATTCAAATAATCTGTGTTCAATCAACTACTTTCTCTCCTGGTACATTTTATAAAAGATTGTCAATTCTTAAAAGGAACAGATAACAGTGCAATCTTGGTGTTCCCCGAAGGCTGATAAAGATACAGTTTACTTATTTTCACAAATTACTCAAACAAGAACCTCCAATATTACAGTTGTTCCAAACAAAAAATCAAAGAAGAGTCGTAGAGCCATCAATATCATTTAACAACTTATTATTTTCAGATGAAGAAGAAGGGGATGTTTTCAAAATATCTAAGACAGACATGGATATACATAACACATTTATCAAGTGATTTGTGGACTTACTCCAAATCTAACACTTTTCAAATTAAACATGTTTCAAGAGTATTTGAAATTGGCATTTTTAATGCTTTAATATGCTCTATAAATTTCAACAAAGAAAATAGTTTACATCCAAATGTATTGCCTTCAACCTTACAAAAGTGTTTTGCTTATGCTCGATACTTTGTTTGTGTCATAAGGTTTTGTTGGTATTTTTTGCTACATCATGTTTTGACCTATGACCAGCTTGAGTGGTCACTGGCATGTTAATGATGTTGATAATGGATTAAAGTGGTTACTAAAGTGAATATGCATCACTATGATTTCTAGTTTTCCTCTAAACTTTTCATGGACTCATCTTAACTGTGCAGGAAGGAATACTGCAGAATTTGTGTGCTGGTATGTTCAATAAATGACCATTATCTCATTTAAAACAAGTGATAGAAACTGTGAATTTGTGTTGGTAAAGTTCATTTGTTTCATATTAAACTTAGGCTATGATTGACTGATTTTTAAACTGTCTAACTGACAAAATTTCACTTTATCAATTGCATAAACTTTGTAAATCTTTATTTTGGGAATAACTTAAAACTAAATCTAACAGATCTGAGACATTTTCCCAATAATTGAGAATCTTATTAAGAATTATCTGCAAATTAAAACCTAGCAGATTCATTCTGTTATATAATTATTTACTTGATAAACTAATGAAATATTCAAAACAAAATAAACATGCAAATGAATTTTAGAAAATTTGGGAAATCAATCTAAAATAATCTATCCAATGCCTTAAAGGCATTAGTGACCAAACTATGGTACTGTGCAGCTGAGTAAGTATTGGAAATTTTCTGTGCAACTTGTTTAAAGACATTCCTCTGCCTTTCACTTCCTACCCCCAAAGTACTCAGTTATAAGCTAAATAACAGAGTTTCAGAAAAACTTTAATTTAGATAACTCCAACTAATTTGATAAATCTTCAAATCAGTGCCTTCTTTAGGTTTAAATTTTATCGTTGATATGTACCACTGGCCAGTAAAAGTAAAAATACTAATTTCATGTGTATAAAAGTGTTAATTTTTTACTACCATTGTCACTATCATCACCATTATTTTATACTTGCATACTTTTTATTGGTATCACCACTACCCACCTTTATTACACTTTCATTTCACCACCAAGACCCACACTCTCACCACCCTTCCCTCTTCCACATCTATTACCTATTCCTCTCTGCTTTGCTGCATTCACACCATTCCACATCTACTAATCCGACACCACCATCGCCTCATTAAAATTTGTAAATTTTTAGTTTGTTTACTTTAGCTGTGATGAAGCCCATATGCCGGGGCGAAATATTAGCCATCATTGATTTGTGTGTTTGTTGTTGTTTATTCTTGTCGCATTGCGTTGTTCCTTATACACTACTAAAGTAAAAATACATTTGCCTATAAAATCTGCAAATATTATACCTCGATAAAGCAAACAATTTACAGCACATACCTGATGAGTATGATTCTTCCTCCTCATGTACTGTATATAATCAGTTGCTTTATTTAATATTTGTGCTCTTGAAGCCTATGAAAGCAACAAAATGAGATAAAACGCCTCCAAAAACAGACATTTGAAAAGCAACATTCTTTGCATGGTATTTCAAAACTTATATCTAATCCATTTTGTATCAGCACCAAAGGATTTATCAAAAAACAACAAGTTTGTAAAAACTTTGTCATTGTTTTGAAACTTTGAAGATAGTGAAGAAAAATTGATTTTAAACAAAGGTGGATTCATGAAAATATTTGCACTGAATTGCTGCAAATTGGGAAAGCTGTTTATTAAAGAATTAACAACTTTTTCTGGCTGTTTTCTAACAATAAGGTCAATTTCACTTTGCATGAAACAGTGTTATTTTCAAGTACATATTGCCATAATAACATAGTACTTAACATAGGTTAAATTTGGTGAACTTTGCTTCATATTGATTGAAATGTAAGTGTTATCCTTGATTTTTATACAACTACACTCTTTTTTTATAAGAAAAATTTTAAAAGAACACAAGCCTCATAACTGGTCAAAAGTTAAGAACAAATTAAGAACAAGCTGAGGCTGAGCTTCTGCAAAATGCAATTTTGAACAACGTTTTTTCTCAAAATCGACGATTTTTAGAGATGTGTGGGTGCTTTTTCGGTGAATATTCAAATTTTTCAGCAAATTAAGGCTGTCTCACTCACTTTGTTGGCAAATGAGGCCTGAACACCTTCTTAGAGCGAAAAAGCTAGCAATAGCACTGCTTACACCCTCTTAATTTAAGAACAAATTAAGAACAATCCAGCATCAGATTTTCGAAAAAACTAAGAACAGTCAGCCTGAACTTAAATTTACTGGTTCTTATAAAAAAAGAGTGTAATCTGGCTAAAGTTCTTTGCTGTCTGCAAAATCCTTCTTTAAATAGACAGCAACATATGTGTTTCTTAGCCTAGATTACAGTTTCTTTTTAGCCATTCAATGAAATGTTTCTTTTCTAAAGGCCAAATTGTAGCTGGCTAGAATACCAAAACAGTGATAAACTATTAGTTGTTATTTGTTCAGCATTCATTCATCTTAACCAAGCACCACTTTTTTTCTGGGAAGCATATTAACAAAACATACAAATAGCATTTCAATGATAAATGCTATATGAGGGCTTAAATAAAGATTATCTTAATATAGTATTTTCTAGGCTGATAAAACTTAAGATTATATTAAGGTTTTCAATGTGGCATATGTTCAAATCACTAACAATTTCATGGATACAAGTCCAGTGCTAAATGCTAAAAACATCAAAATGAACTGGTTTAATATCAGGTCCTGAAAATTCGTCTAACTTAAATTTATTTAAAGTAAAATAACTCTCTTTCTGTACATATTCATTTGGCAAAATCCCCAAATGGCGACGTTACGTTATAAAGGGAATTCCCATATGATAAAGTCCTAAAAGGTTCCAAGAAAACCATTGCATCATTGCGTTACAAGTCACAACAAGAAAGTCAGCTGTTGACAAATCAGTCTAAACAGATACTGATTTTTAAAAGTTTTGAAGAAATATGAAACTAGCAGCAGCTTATAGCTTGAAAATAGAAGCAAGCATAACACGAGTTTGTTTCATATGCAAATCATAAATTTTGTGCGGGTAGGCATTCAATTTGACCTGTAAGTAGTCTGTTTAATACAGCTATAAACGCTCCCTTTGGGGCAAGGGTCCACTTTATGGATATTCAACTCGTACCTTTTCTCCTTGTAAAGAAGGTATCGAGTCTCGTAGACCACTAAAGCTGTCCTTGATGTGATCTCGTCGTTTCCTCTCGAGTGCATTATGATGTGCCCTCTTGTCGGCCTGAATGAAAAAGAAAACAATGACACGTGACGGTTTAAACGTTCGTGCGTTTCGAAAACCCTGCCAGTCAACACTACAGAAGGAGCCTAGAAGACTTTGTACGAACTTGGCCTTAAATGGGGAATAACCTATTCATTTTTGCAGCTCGAAATAAACTATAATCTGCACCTAAATCAATTAATGATAATAAAACAAGGGGCATTTGAAATTAAGCTTACCAATGTTAGGAATGTGCCGCCTTCTCCGATGTCTCCCTGTCAAAACAGAAAGCAGGAGGCATCATACGTTGTTCGAGCGATCGTGGGAAAAGAAAAGGAAGGAAGCTACCTAAATACAGGTCTTCACTTACATCGTCACTTTCTACATCGATATCTTTGTCTTCATCACTCATTTTATAACACTTGTGAGAAATCTTGCCCTTTATCTGTAACTCGCTGTCTATCGCCTTCCGTTGTCCGAAGCAGCAAGTAGCAACTTGCCTAATACCGCTAACATAGCGCACGTGTGGCTATTGATTGTTTTCCTGTCAATTGTTTCCGTGTCTTTGTTCAACAACCAATAATTGAAGAGCAGCTTGTCATGTGGCAAATTGAATGTTTCGTTTGAAACTGCCATAACGCCCAACCTTCAAGGACTCGTAGCAAATTTGGATAAGCACTTCCTATGTGTAGAAAAGTGAGGCAGATATCAAAATCCCGGTTAATGTTTTCGCTGCAAAATATCGATGGGAATATCTCATTCAATTCATCAATACAGGCACCGCGGAGCGTTGAGAAAAGTGGGGGGCTAAAAATGTGAAGGCGGGCCAAAACTGAATAAAAAGAGGAGCTAAAGCCCCCTCCAGCACTCCTGCTCCACGGTGCCTGCAATATAATGCACTTATCGGCAATCTGGTTAGGACTAGGCAGGGTTAGGGAAAGTCTGGACTTTAGTTAGAGCTGATACTAAAATTAGTTTAAATCTATCGCCACGATTGGGCCTAAAAAGAAACAAAATTCAAAAAAACCGTGGGCACACTATGATCTCGTAAAAAGACCAAAATGAATCAAGAAATACAGACACAAGTTTTTATAAGAAGTAAAGGTCAACATTTTGCAGTACTCCAGTTTTTGACGACGCGGTAATTATCAGCACTAACTATTTCGTAAGAGTTTCTCGATTCCAATTTAGCCTAAATTATTTTCCTATTTTGAATTATTTGTGTATTTTTTTGCGTCTGGAAAAAGTTTGATTTTAAATTTTATTTCATTCTAGAGGATAAGAAAGATTTTAAGTTGTTTGTGTAGTATTTATGAGATATTTGCGTTCAAGAATTTTCATTTTTGACGTCTTCCAAATCGTTAATCATCTTCGTCAAAAGCGCAAAATTTCAGAGTTCTTTTTTTACAAAGTTTAATTGTTTCTTTAAATTTTTGCTTTGAGTATTGAAGGCTCTTGATTTTTGGAAATGTTCAGAGCCCGTTTCTCACGACAAGTTTCTTATATGAAAAATGAGTATAGTTTCACGTTATCATGATTCATATTTTTGAGGAATCTAGTGAAAAATTGCATTTGAAATTCATTTTGAAATGTGTTTAGCAAAAATTTTACCCTAGGTACTTCATTAATCACATATTGGAAACAAACCTGTCAGCATTTTTAGATATGATAATTCAATTTTTATAAGAATATTGTTTATATCAGAATTTATATTTTAATTATTTCAAGAATTTTGTTCAAAACCATTCAATTTTTAATAATATCATAAGAATAGTGCTTTGCCCCAGCTCGTCGCGTATTTGTGACTCGTTTTTCAGCAGTTGTCTGCTTTGCTATGTCCATAACAGAGGATCACATGACTGCTATCTCGTTTTTCCAAAGCGTGGTTTCCACTCGAGGACGGGCGATGTTCCCCGGAAACCATATCAAATTGAAAAGATAAGAATGTTTTAAGATTATATCAGGCGCGAAACAAACATTTCTTAAGAAAATAGAGTCTGGACAAAATTTAAAGTATCCTTATAAAAATAAGTGTATCAGAATAGGTGCATTTATGGAATCAAACTGATTATTCAAACAGATCGCCAACCAATTCATCTAAGATTTTAGGCTGCAGTCTTTTGTAAATCATAATTGTTTCTGAAGAGTTACTTGCTAGTACATGACAAACAATAAAATGTTGATATACACCATTTAAGTACTCACAAATTGCTCTTCAATTTTTTTCCAACTGAAAAGAAAGTAATTTAAAGATGTAATGAAGGAAGTAGTAATTTCATCTAAATTAGAAAGTTTATATCGAGTGAAAAAATTCTATTTATTTGCATAATTGAGTCATATCATCAACAACTTTCTTTTTCTTTTGCATTATCACTCTGTTCTTTTTCCCCGGATTTTCCAACAGGTCACACCAGTGATGTGCCAAAATGTTCTTTGGAGGGGGCGTAATTGTTGAAAGAGAAACTACAGGGCCTCCGACGAAAGGGGGGGGGGTCGGGGGGCCATGGCTCCCTCACTTTTTTTGCAAAACAATAGAGCTTTTTTAAAAAAAACTTTTGTTATAATTGTTACACTTTCTTTTGGCCCCTCCACTTTCCAGCCTGCGTCGGAGCTCATGAACTATAAATATAGTTTCTTCTCCATTTCTACCTCCTCTTCCATTTCTCCTTCTTCAACCTCTTCTTATTCTTCCTTTAATTTTTTCTCTTAAATCTTTTATCCTTATCCACCAAGTCACCTACAAAGCACAAATGTAACAATTTTTGAGGCTGTTCATTTATCTTATATAGTTTCGTCATATCCATGGTCACATCGCACATCTCTCTGTAATTAATTTTTGAAAAATATTTCGTTGCCTGCGAGTGTTACGTGATTTTATTGTGTTTCTACGTGGTACGTGGTTTAAGTGGTTGGTGTCAATCTGTTATCTTTCCTCTTTTTGTTAGTAACCTATGTGCTGTTAGATAAGTAGAAATTTAGCTTAGAAACAATCGTACTACATCTTCAGTTAATAGACAGCGTTGTCACTCAGGGGGCCCAGGCACGTGTCTCTCGAAGCTAACAAAAGAACCTGCAAATGTTACTGTTTGTGACAGGGATGGGATAATGTTGCTGGGAATTCATTCATGCAAGTAAAGAATTCTTTTTTGCTACAAGATGAGAAATGGAATTGATAGAGACAACCGATGTTTCTTTCTTGACATTTAGCTCTAATGTCTTTACCAGGTCAAACTTTACAATTAGGTTCATTCTGGACCTGAAGCTCAGACAGTTGATTTCAAGATATTTAATTTCTTTAATAGAGCATTGCAATTTAGATATCTAATATGAAGAAAGAAGGTCAAGCACTGAAAAACAATTAAATGCTAAACTGATTTTACAACAGTTGATCTGAAGTAGATCCCCAATTCAACAGGGGTTACCAAAAAAATGTGGTAGGCGTATGGTTGCGGAAATGGGCACTGCACTGCAGCCCCCCTAAAGAGTTAAATTACTAGCGCATAAAGGCGCCATAAACTTGGCAAAATTTTGGAAACGCAAAAGTCCAGCGCCCCGAATTTTTTATCGTTGGCTGCTTATGCTGAATGTTAAGAAAATTTATGTGCAAGGGCTGTTTACATTATTTGAAAGAAAGGATAAAATTCAAAGGATTCGAAGGATAAGCAGGAAAAATTCATTGCGAGGCTGTGGTCTCCCCTCGTGCCCATGGGCCTGTCGTTGAGCGAGAAATCAAGGATAAAAAACTTAACAAGACAGGAGAAGAGAGGAAATCAGAAAATGCCTGCCAACGCTGAAGTAAACGATGACCAGCAAGGTACGCAGGAGCCTCTGTCAATAGATGATATAACAGAAGAAGTCAAGGAAGAGGCTGAAAGGATTAAGAATGAGGCAAACCAACTTTTCAAAGGTATGCTCATACTCTTTAGGCCAACAGCCAGTTCCACTTATTTATGGATCAAGAACGCTCTCCCTGCGTCGAAATATTGCATAATATGACGCCTAGAAAATTGAAAAAATGAAAGGGATTTCATCTGGTAAAATTTCGAGACTTTCTTGTGGCTGCCATTTTGCTCATACTATTGCTGGTTTGGCGGGAAACATTTTGCGCTAACAACCAATTTAAAAACCAAAGCAAAACTAGAAAAATTTTCCAAATCTCGAAAATGCCAGCAGTGTAGAGAAGAATAAGTTAACTTCCAGGAGAGAATTTGCATTTGTTATGAGGAGAAAATTCTGGAGTTTAAGGTGAAATGATTCAATTGATTTTTGCACTAGGCAAACTGAAAGTGCTCCATAAAACAAGCTTCTAAGAAACTCAAGTTGCTCTATTTCACACCTCTAGATAAAATTATTTAATGCTTTCTTGGGAGGTCTGTTAAATAAGTAATTCATTGGATAGCCGAAAGCACCCGATTATGAATTAAAAGCATGAAACCTCAAAAAGGTATTCAGATGTTTCAAATATCTTATTCTTGTTTTTAAGCCCTCGCCACTTGAAAATCTCTTTCAGTATCACTCTTGGTGTCTTCGAGATATACACACTTTTTATAAGGATTTAGTCTATAAGAATGTGAAGGCTTAAAATCGCTTAAATTCAGGAATAATTAAATTGTTTGTTTATTTGCGTTTGTTGAAAAGCAAACAGATGCGAGTTTCACTCTATATGTTTTGAAATAAGCGTATCCAGTCTTGGAGTCCTTAACACTAAAATGCAACCCTGATACACCTTTTGTTGCTCAAAAATAATTTGAAAATAAACTTTGGCTCAAAAAATATTGAGAAATTGAGGCTCAACAACATAAAGTAATTTATAAAAAATGTGTGTATGTATGGCTTTGTTCCACAACAAGAAGGCCATTATTAGACATTTTTACCATAACAAACCTTCCTGTAAATCTGTATCCAAAACATAAAGTGGTTTACACAAAACTCTTCACAATGTTTTCATTTCATATCATAGTAAACAGAGGGGCAATACAGTATGATAAGTGGTGTAGTTCTGGTATGATAATAAAAGTGGTTATCATGCAAAATGTTCCATGAAACAGTATAAAAAGTAGAAATCAGCTCCTGTTTGGAATTGTCAGGAATCATATTTATTTGGGTGACCAGGTCTTAGGCCATAATTCCTAAAGTTTGCATTTTCATCTTGATGAAAATCAAACATTATTCTGCTTTGTGGGAATAACATTTTATGTTTTCAGCTGTTCATTAAATGGTTCTCCATGGTTATTTAAAGGTGTGCTTTAGGTGCTTGTGCAAGATCTAATTCCATTCAAAATGTTCCAAAATCAGCCAAAAGCCTTAATTCACAATAAATGTAATGCATTACATTATACGCAAGCACTTATATTATCATGCACTTATACGCAAGGGACTGTTGCTTGAAGTTTCTGTATGTCAAGTTTTTATGGTTCTCACTATATTTCACAGAAACAAATCTCTTTCTTACATTGGTTCAAAACTTATTCAACCTCTACTTGCAAAGATTTGAGCCCATACTGAATTGATTTTATTACTAGAAGGTACTTTGATCTTCATGTCCAGTTGCATTTTCTATTTTTCAGACGTAAAACAATTCAAGCCTTTCTTTACTGGAGGGCAAAGGTTCTATGTTGCTGTAAGCCTCTTTAGAGTGTACCCAATATATTTTTCAGGGAAATGGGATCATCACTTTCTAGTTTTTCGGGAATCAGGAATTGGAACAATTTTGTACGCAGGATTTCAGAATCAATAACATCAAGATTCAGGAATTGATGGTCAGAAATCTGGCTAAAAATGTAGCAAGAATTTGGGAATCAGGGAATCTATTGGCTACCCTCTCTTTTAGCAGCAGGAATTGTAAGTGGTACCAAATAACATCAAGTAAATAAATTTCAAGATGTATATAGATAACATTTCAACTTTTTTCTGTTTGACCTACAGATGGCAAGTATGACAAGGCTGTTGAAAAATATTCAATTGCAATAGAGAAAAATCCTTTTGTTGCTGCATATTATGGAAATAGAAGCATCTGCCACTTCAGACTGGAGTGTTTTGGACTGGCTCTAAGTGATGGGAACAAAAGCATAGAACTTGATAAGAAATATGTCAAGGTGAATATTCAGCCTTTTCATTCCAAGGTTTGATTTTATTCATCACAGTAATTCCTTTTTATCCATGACTGGAACTGGTCAATGTTTGCTCTCAATGTTCATGAAAAGTGGTGTTGTCATTTCTAAGAATATTGTCCCTTTAGAGCAGAGCAATGAATTTTTTATTTGCATACAAGTATATCTCTGCTGAGTATATCATTTCTTTTTTGCTTCCAACAAAGCTACATGCAGCTCAAGAGATTTTTTAAAAATTATTAATCATGCTCTTTCTTACCTACCAAGTACTCTGAGGTAATGACCAGTAATTAAGCTATTGTTGTAGAAGGAAACAACAAACACAAAGAACTAATGAACAGAAAGAAGCATCGAGACAACCAGTAAAACATCTTTGTGAAGGAAACAAAATATATTCCTGGCTCAATCAGTGGTGGCAACAGGGGGGTGTATAGGGGGTAATTACCCCCACTTTTGTCAAAGCATGGTCTACATATTTCTTCTAAAAACAGATTAAAAACCCCTAGGTAGGGGTAGTTCATGTTTCCTAAGGACATCAACCTGGTACAGTGGCCATGCCCATTACCCTCCCTCTCTGTAGTAGCTGGCATCATCACTGTGCTCAATGATGAAGAGCTGCAAAGGCAAAAAAATCTCTGGAAAGAACTAAATGAAGATCACTACCAAATCAATTCTGTGAACAAGTATCAAATACAAAGTATCAAATACAACTTGGGTGCTATAGTATTCAACAACACTTTATATGTGTGCCACTACTTAATTCTCTGGTAATCTTGTACTACTTTGGGTTTCCAAAATAGGAATTTGTTATGAATAAAGGTGACTTGCAATCATGCATAAAAATGTTTTGGATTTTCCTCTCCAATATGTCCAATATTTTGAACCTTAAATTTGCAGCAGAAGCTGGTCTGTATAAGTCTGTATCAATTCAATTGGTGTGATCATGTATAGGAACTGAATTTCGAAAAATGTTGTTAAAGATTTGCAAGGCTGCTCAGTTCTTAAATAATCTCAATTTTTGTTACAGGGCTATTATAGAAGAGCAAGTGCAAATATGGCTTTAGGCAAGTTCAAGCAAAGTTTAAAGGACTATGAGGCAGTATGTATATTTTTTGCAAGGCATAGGTTATTGGATCAAATTGACAATCCAAAAGAATTCAACTTTCGTTTTGACACCTTTTTTTCGTTTGCAACATGATCAGGGTCAGAAATACTTGGTTCAGGTACATAATTTTTCATGAATTTTAATGCAGATATCTCACAGATTGTGGTTGACAATCTCAGTGATCCAGCCATTGGTACCTTAAATGTGAGATCCAAGTGGCAACAGACCTATTCATGATAATATTTAAACAAGAAAAACTTGTGTTTTACCATTTTAAAAGAAAATTTGTGTTTCTGGGAAATTTTTGCAAAATCTTTTGACCTATATTTGTAATTTATGTCAGATCCTTTTTTCTTGCCATGGATTTCTTTGAATGTGCTGACATATCACAACCAATCTTATATAAGATTATGAATTACATGATAGTTGTATTTTTAGCAATTGTTGTTTTGGCAAAAAGTTTTGATTTTTGAAAACATGTGTTTTTCGAATGTTATGCATGCTCATAAAGTGGTACAGTAGCCAAAACTATTGTACCTTTTTCTTAATCCCCTCCTACCACTTAGACAACCTGCTGTTATGGATATGAAGATTTTTTTTAATTATTCTTTAAGATGTCTATCTTGATTGAATTTTAATCTCTTGCAAACAAGCTCTAAGATGTGTGTTTTATTTTAAACTCACAGACATTTAAAAGGCAGTTGTCCCATCACCAACTTTATGTTTTCCTTGTAACATTGAAGCAAAAAATAGTTAACTGTTTTTGTTCACAGTTAGAAACGGTTTTATTAATATTAGTGGATTGGTGAAAAATGTTACAAGACGCCGTTGAAAGAATGTCAGCTAATGACACTCTAAGCTATTCAACTTTTCAGCCTTTTTATTCTTACGCCTTGCGTAACGTTGATTCGCCTTGTTTTCTTTCGTTTTGCGCCGGATTGACTTGCGTTACTTTGCGGATTGCTTGGAAACATGTAAGCAGCTCGATGCGTTGCGTTTCTTTTCATTGCTATGCCTTGTTTTGTTTTGCACCGTGTTGCGTTGCTTTACGTTACGTATTGTTCCGGTGCTTTGCACGTTGCTTCCGAGCCTCTGTTTTGCAATCATAGGTTGCGAAGGTCCGGCCGAATGATAAAGACGCCCAAAAGAAATATACTCAGTGCAAAAAAGTTGTTCAAGAACAAGCATTTGCCAGGGCTATTGCAGTGGAAAGTAAAACAAAATCAATATGTGAGACGTTGAATATTGATGCAATGGGTATGTGTTAGTTTCAGCGTTGTGGTATTTGTAAAGTTGCACTTCGTTGCACAGGTGCGTGACTTGTCAAATCAATGTTCATTGGAGTTTTCGTGTTAAGATTCTTTGAAAATTTTGAAAACAACGTACTTTTTACATAAGCAGGTGGATTAAAAAAACGTGTTTTTGTTGTTTTATCAACAAGTTTATTACAGTATATTAATTTATCAACTCTTGAAAACATGAGGCTGGTGGCTCGGTGTCTCATATGTGACGTCATTTTCCTACTGGCATCTTTTGTTTTCAGAAGATTTCCCCAATCAAAAATTGATTGCTGATTTCACACCTGTTTGTTAGTCATTGAAAATTTTGGAAGTTTTAAACGGAGTTTACTTACGAGAAATAGAAAACTCTCACTTGAGCTTCCTAGATCGATATCCTTGTCGCTTTCTGATGACCATTTGATTATAAGAAAGGCAAATGGACAGATACGAAGCGAACATGTAATTATGTCAGTATTTTGATAGAAAACAGACGATTGATGCTTCCTGTTGTCATTACGTCACCAGAATTCATGCAAACAACATTTGAAAATGTGTTTAGTTTCCTGGTTCGAAAGGTCTAAGACCGCAACATATATGATAAATCTATATGGCTTTTTCTTCAATCATTGAGTCGTGGCCTGGTTTGAAGCACATCGTAATCACTGGAACCATTGTAATCATTTTTAACCGATTTATGTCAGTCAAAACAGATTTTGAATCGATCCAATACTCGGCAATTATTTGTTTTCTTTTTATTCTATCTTACATGTCCAAGATAGCATCTGTATGAAATGTGAGCCCATTTGCCGTTTTTACAAACTTGTTGGTCTTCTTTGTTTATCTTTTTTTCCTAGCTTTCATATTAACTTTTTTTTATCATTCTTTGATTTGCGAATTTTAGTTATTGAGTCAGACTACACTGGACCTTCACTCAAAGATGAAAAGCTCGTCACAGAAGACTTCATGAAAGAATTACTACCATTTCTTAAAAGTCAAAAGAGGCTGCATAAGAAATATGCCTATGAGGTATGTCCACAAAATAGACACAAAATGGGTGAGGCCAGTAAAACAACATTCAATTGTTCAATTTATGCTAAACAGTTCAACGCCCTTTATAGTTCGTCTTCATCTGGGATATCCTATAATTGCTCTAACATAGGGAATTCTGATGCTGCATGCGAAGAACATACGTTCGAAGAACTTGATAATTTGGTTCTGTCTGAGGTTTGGCTAAAGATGAAATGAAAAATATGAGATTAGTTTGCTGTCTAATTGTTTAAAGGTCCGCCATTGTAGTGACGGAACAATCCCTTTTAGCTCTGGTGTACAAATATTTATAAATAGACTCTCTATTCACAAGGTATTTGGAATATTTGTCCAGAAATTCGACCTATTCTTATAAAAAAATGAAAGCTCAGCCTCATCAGATTTCTTCAAAATTTACAGAACGCCGGCGATATATCAATTATTAAAAACTAAAGATTGCCTCGCTAATATGTTATTTGGACTCTGTTTAGGTTTAAGGGCACTGATATTTTAATAGTTCGTACCTTTATCTTCAATTGAGAACTATTAACAAAAAATAAATTAAAACGATCTCTTATTCGAGATACCCTTACTAACTTACTCTACGATTATTTATACCTTAACTCTAAAAATAAATCAGCTGACGAAGGATGTGTGAGTATGATGTAATGATGATGTAATGGAGATGGAAAGTTCTAGATTGAGAGACGAGAGAGGCTGAGTAAGCATGACGCAATGTAGCAATGTAAAGCTGAGAGAAACAGTTTAAATTAACAGCACTATAAAATGAGTAAATACTTTATCGCTACAATATAACAAAGCTGTTGTTGTTATTGCCTATTTTACTTCCGTATTGTAGTGCAAAATAAAATGAATTTGTTTTCTAGAAGGGTAAAGAACGTTTATTGAGTTTCGTCTGTGTGTCAGGAGGGGTTTATGACTAAGTAATTTTTTGTAGGAGCACCGATTAAAAGATGTACGTGAAATTTGATGGTAAACACACTATTGGTGTTCTATTCTAAAAACTATTCACGTGTGAAAGCATGTTTGAGGTTTTTGTAAATTCCTGTTTACACTCCACGGACTTACCAACAGCAAACTCAAATGACCTTAGCTTAGGTGCTGTTGCATATCTGGTTATGCAACTTTGGTTATGTGGAGAAATTTCATTTGAGCAACGATCGTATTTCGAAACAATCTCTTTAGGCATAAATTGTTGAAATGCTGAAACCGAAAGCGTGGTTTAAATTCAATCTTGGAATGGCTGAAGACGAAACACAAACCCCTTTTATGTTGTTGGGTCAACATCTGAATTAAAGAACTGTTGTGCTGAAGTCAGAAAACGGTTTCAGATGAAATGTTTTATGGAACCGATCATGATTATTTTTGGCACAACCTATGCTATTCAGCAGTCTTCGGGCTTCGTTATTTTTCTAATTCGAAATATGTTCATTTAAGAAATATATATACTTCAAATTTTGAGTTAAAACCTCACGGATTAAAACCCTTTAAATCGTTTAAAATCGTTGTAAGCACCAAATGATCCCTTCACAAAATTAATGCTGACTTGAACTTTCAAGTTATGAATATGTTTGAGAAAGTCTGACTCGGTTTTCTTAATGTAACCGAAGATAGGCCATGTGAAAAGAGCTATTTCTGCGTCAGTTTTGTCGATATTGAATAGATTTTTGATGTAATTTGCTGATTGGCTGTATAATGCAATGAATTTTATGGTGCAGAAAAGACCTGAACTGAAGCCGCAGTTTGTTGTTAGCAAGCTGTTTGTTTCAGCAGTCATTTATAACTTCATTTTTTATTACCCTCGAAGTTACCGAAAATTTCTGTTTTTAGATATTATTACAAATCAAGGAATATTTCAGCAAAGGTCCATCGCTTTGTGAAATCGAGATACCAGAGGTAAGTGTTGTTTTGCCTTGATTGTTCTTTTGCGAGGTTCAAAATCGAAATTTCCTAATTGGAAAATGTAATTGTAATTTGTTTTTGTTCATAAAAAGTTTCAATATGCGACCTTTTATCCCCAAGGCTTTTAATTTATTCGAAGTTTCTGAAGTGGCTTTACTTAGTAGGTTTTATTATTTGTCTTAAATTTTAATGATATTATCTTTGATATTCTTCAACTTATCACCAATGAAAATACAGAAATTTTATCGATGCAAAAATTTCTGCTGCCAATATTTGAATTAAGATATTAGAGAGACTGTCCTCAAAAGTTCGGTATTTTATATTGAGCTGAATTGGTTATGGTCATTTTTCCCATAACAATGCTTCTTAGCTAAAGACTCGAAAAATTGGGTGCAGAATTCGTCACAACCCTGTCCCATCTAACTAAGGCACCGGGGAGGTCAAGTCAACAAGACCTAACCACGTGCCGATCAGATTGTTCAAGTTCACGACAGGATAAATACAGTACTTTACGGCAATATTGTCTGCTTTGGTCATGGTAGATCATTACCTCTACGATATTTCCCGAGTAAGGGATTGGTGGATTTCGTTGTTGCTTGGCCAGGTTAAAGGATTGTTTAGACTACCGTCGGACCCCATTTTCAAGCCTAGACTATGCAAACATAGTTATGTGTGGTGAGACACTCCAGTTTCCCAAGCAAGAGGGGGCTTTTACAGTTTCATCATAGGTGTAGAGTTAATTGAGACCCTGCTTTTTTAAGAGCCTCAGGGGGTACAGATCCCTTGAGTTGAACTTTGTTTCAGTCGTTCCAGTTGTTTGTTTGTGGGAAGCCATGGGCGTGGTGGATACTTAACTTTCCGGGGGGAGGCATAGTATGGATCTTACCCGAATATTATCGTTTCATTTAGATGGAACTGCTGGAATGGAGCCTGAAATGCGATAAATGGTGCCTGATAAGGGGGGGGGGGCTGCGGCTATCAAAGCCCCGATGCCTCCTACGCCTATTGGGGAAACTTTTCGTTCTACCATTATGATTAACTGTCATCCGGGTTTTAGTGGTATTTTGTATATTGTTTCCTCTTTTATTGACAAATAATCTTTGAGATTTTCTGCAGGAAAGTACAGTGCCAACGATCTCCCTTTCATAATTTTTCCCCTTCTTTGATGCCTTTTCCTCTTACTAAAATTCTCTACGTTTTTGAGTTTGATTATCTTTTTTAGTTATTATCGATATTTTTGAATTTTCACAAGAAAAGCCCCTTAAGATTGATTTTTCGACGTCTTTCTTGGATTGACTTTCATTTTTGTTTCTTTGAATGTTTCATTCCGTTTTAGACAAATAAGTTCACAGTCTGTGGAGACATCCATGGGCAGTATTATGATCTGCTAAACATTTTCGATATGAATGGGATTCCTTCAAAAGAGAATCCTTATGTATCCTTGAATTTCTGTTTTTCCCTAATAGATTTGCTGGATCGGTTATTTTTTCCAAAAATCTTTTCACTCGTATTATTTAGCAATTGTTTTTTAGAAGTAATAACAGCCTCCAGGAAAATCTCTTTGGAAGGAAATTGGTTTTTCATTATGTTTATCAGCTGTTTGGTTTCTCTGTTGCAATGTTAGGATTAAAGATAAAAAGGATTTAGCCTTATTTTAATCATTTTTCAATGAATTTGACTATTTATGTACCTTTAAACTGCTTCGGTGTTTAATCTTGCGAATCCAGTAGCTCATATATATGAATTTCAAGCCTTATAATCTGATATTCATTTGAATTCTCATTGCTATGTATCCGGCAGTATATTTTCCTTGACTAATTTTTAACAGCTTTTCAACGGCGATTTCGTCGATCGTGGCTCCTTTTCTGTAGAAGTCATTTTAACCTTATTCGGATTCAAACTTTTATATCCTGATTTCTTTTTCATGGCAAGAGGTAGGTCTCGGTGATTTTTTTGGATCAATACCCTATGTTAAACTTTGTTCCATTCTTACACCAATAAACTGTACTCTCAAGTCACTCAACCATGGGATGCGTAAATTGCTTTTGCTCATCAATGCTTTTCTAAGAATGTCTTCCCTAGAACCAATACAAATTAGGATACTGTATTATCAAAAGACTCGTATGTAAAGGACTTTTTTCTTTTACTTGGAAAAAAATATTTTGTTGGATTATGCTACGTACCGAACGAAAATTAATTTATTTGCATCTTAGTGTTCTGTTGTTTGTGTTGAGTTTTCTTGGCTCGACTCATAGTAATTAGAACGGCGTTAAATGAGAGGTTTTTTTTATTCATTCCATCGAAGTTTCTTAAGTGTGGTATATTAAAACCCTCGTCTTTGTTTGGCAATTGTTTGTCAACCATAGCTAAGTTTTTGCATCTTGTTGATATTTAAGGGCATTTTAGAAAACAATATTTCTAGCTTCTAGTGCTATAGTAGCAGGTACACTAGAGCTTTTTAATAGTCCTCGACGCATTTATTTTTAAAATAATGTCTTAAGATCACTTTTATGTTGTTTAATGTCTTTGAATCTTCACTTATAACTAAAACAGCCATGCATTTTCTCACTGAATATAATTTGTTGCTTTGCTAAAAACACTTTTTGTAGATTTAATGCAACCAAAGGAATTCCGCGGGTCTTGTTTTGATGCTTGGAATATATTTTGCAGTTGCTTAGCATATTGGTTTTAACAGGTAACCACGAAAGCTCAACAATGAATCAGATGTATGGGTTTGAAGGCGAAGTCAAGTCAAAGTATCCTTGTTTTTCTTTTTTTTAATACTGTCACCTGCACACCTAGAAGCCTTTAGGTAACTGACTCTTGGCTACAATGGGCAATGACTCACCACACAGATAGTTTGTGTGAGTTACAGGTTTTTTTAGCAATGATTAGAGAAAAAAATTCACAAGTATAAGGGTACCCAATCTAATTGTTCTTGTATTTCAGTGAATTTGGTGAATATTATTCTATGCTAACTATAATCATGACAAAAACTATGCTTCTTATGATCTCATTAATAAAGTAACGGTTTACCGGTTTGTTATATACTGCTCATTACTGTATAGGCAGAGATTCTAACACTTTGGTGTGAGGAAAAAGACGGTTAAAGTTGCAACTCTGAGATTCATGCTTAAAGGCAAATATAAGATACTAAAGTGGCTTAAACCATCTTTCAATCAAAATTGGCCAATCAATAACCGTTATACCTTTGGTTCACCAATAGCCATGGCACTCCTTCGCAATGGAGAATAGAGTCTGCATGCCAATAGTTTATTAATAATAGTTGGTTGATAGTTTGTTTACGTCACTTAGTATCTGTCGCTGCATTATAATTTGATTAGAATGATTTAATGATGATCCTGATTTGGTTATGACGATTTGAATAACCTTTAGCGAAAATTTAACCTCTTGGCAGTACTCCTTTAGGCCAGATGTTTGAGACGATGACAGCCTTAACATAAAATTAGATATTCATCTAGTATGGCTGAATTGTTTACCGAGGTTTATAACTTACTCCCGTTAGCACACGTGATAAATGGGAAAATTTTGGTAAGTTGGCAGCATGAATATGTTATGTAACTTTTGCATAAAATCTCAGTGATAAAACTACCGCTAGTTGCCTATTTAGTGTTCGAATTTTGCCACGAAGCACTTGAGAAATTTAGCATATTGCCTTTGATGATGCATAAATTGTAAGGCCAGTGTACATGTAAATAGCAAAGATACGCATGGTCCACAATGATAATTTTAGTTGTTTAGGCACACCTCATAATTCCTACGCCGGGGAATAGCTGAAAGATAGCGACTCCCTAAACTCCAGACCTTTGCATCTGTTGTGTGCAACCCTAACTACTGACCTATCCTCACTCCCCACACGAAAAAACGTGCCTGCTGGATTAACATTTGCTCGAATACGCGTCTCCCTCATGTTAAGTAGGCGCTCATTTATACGAGGTGCTTTTTCAGGAGGGGATGATTATTCAAGAGAGGGTGCCCATTTGGTCACTTATGGTATAGAACGTTTTAATCGGCGGTGGCCGGTAGCTAATTGTTTAGTCTGTCTTAGAGGCATGATATAATTTTGATACAAAACGTACTCCTGCATCAACTACACAAGTGACCGCCAATCTCAAAAATTTCCATCTTGGCCATCCTGTTGATAAAGCGAGTGCTTAGATCCAACCAACACAAATACTTTTTGAATGAAAACACCATCTTTCCATTGAATCTGGGACTGAGAAAGAAAAAAATTGGAAACCCTCTTACCAGAATGGAATCTTTCGATTACCTAGTAGTCTGAAAAACATTTCGTTTGTGTGGAGACGTAAAACTTCGTTTTCATCTAGATGAAATTGCATCCTTTGAAAACATATCTGTGTGGATGTGCCCTTTCTTACATAGAAATGATTACGGAAATCTGGTGTAGGGGACCGTTTTTTAAAATTTCTAAAACACCTGTCTTGGATCGTAGCTATCAGTATAAAATAATTCTATACCACGTTATGACAAATCAAAATTTGTTCACATAATATTTTTGGCAGGCCATGCATGGAGGTCTTTTTAGTGAGGACGGTGTTAAATTAAACGATATCAAAGCAATAGATAGGAACAGACAACCCCCGGAATCAGGTGAGATATGAATTGATGTTGACCCTTTTTATGGTTTTACGCACACAATGACCATCAGCATTTTAGCATTTTATCTGATCAATGTCTAAATATGTTAAAAATATATCTCTTCTTTCTAGTCTTTTTTAGAAACCTGTACGATAAATGATTTTAGAAGCTTTTTATGGCGTGCCCACTTTTTCGCTTGAATATGTTTCTGTGCAGCGTTTATCAATATGGTATTATGTCATTTTTGAATTATGCCTTGTTTAAAACATTCAATGTTCACCATGAGTCTAATTAAATACTCAATGATCATCTCGAAGCACAGTGTCGCTCCAGCTGAGCTTTTTACTTCAGGACTGATTAATCAGCTGCAAGGTATCAGCAGAATGTTGATTCTAAATTGATGGCTAAAACATATCATCCTTTCCATTGCTTACTTTCTTTATGTTTTACAATTTACCCTAGGTTTAATGTGCGATCTGCTATGGTCTGATCCACAACCACAGGTATGCATTATAGAGAATCTATCAATCAAAGTTTGAACTTGAAGTTAGTCAAGTGCTTTACCTCATCAATCACTGCATCTACTTCTTTATCAAATCTGCCGAATGAAGTCATTCTTCCCAAAATATTTTCGCAAACTTCTGTTGTTTCACTTTAATCAACGTTTTTATTATTGCCAACTTCAAGATCCACTTTAAAGTAGCACAACTTTCTCAGGAAATAAGAGCCCTTTTTCTGTTTAGTTGAGGGGTTTACATAAATAGTTTCAAACAGTCAGATGAGCATATGTTTGTGACATTGTTTCGACTTTGAAATTAAAAAACATAGACCCAAACAATGTTTATGATTGTATGACTTTGGTGCCTTGAAGTTTGATTTGCTAATTTTATTACTACGTTGGAAATAACTCAAGATTTTAGAGTGGGTAAAGTAGAGCAACACAGCTCTTAAATAGTTTGCAACTCGTTCTTATTTGCATGGACAACGGCTTAGAATTGTGTATGGTATAAAACAATCCTATGTCGCTGAACATCTCTTACAACCATGACTTCAAAAGGCTTCATACAAAATGTTTTCAAGAAATCAGCCCTTTCATTATTTGGGTTTTTGTCCTTCAGCCTTATTGGTGTTCGTCCTTGAACCATTTGGCCGTCTTGTTTTTTACTTAACGTATATTGTGCGAAGTTCCTTATCCAGATTGACATTGACTCTTCAAGTTATCTTGCTCGTGTTGCATTCAAAGCACCGTATTATTTAACTAGAATCTTACATTGAGAGATTGTTTTAAGGATCATGCCTCGAAAGAAAGCAATTTTTTTTGCTGTTTTGGAATTTTGTTGAAAAGATGCCAAAAATTTCATTTTTTTCGCTGTTTTACTGTCACTAGCAGTTCCAGTTTGCTCAGAATGAACAAAAACATTTGATCAGCACTGTTAGTTGCTCAGGTTTGGTCCTTGCGGAAGTCTTCGTGACTTGTTCAAAACTCCAGTCGTGTACAAACTTAAACCAAATTCATCCAAAGTTCTTCCTGCAATGCCATTATGCATACCGCATTCTGGTTAATGCGCCAAGACACTGCAAGTAATGCCAAAAGAGATTAGGTCTCTTGTAGGCAGAAAGAATTAGACTTTCCACGAACACTATAAATCTGATCAGAGCTAAGAAAGCTTCGAGTAGTCAAATCTAAGGGACACCCTAAATGGCCCTCTGGTCGTGATGAATATCGAGTAAAAAAGCATTGGAAGATGCTCGTTAGTTTTTATTTTCTTTCTGCTTTGTTGCTTTCGTTACGAATTTATTCAGTTAAACGACGTTTCCTTTTCAAGCTTGATTTTTATAAAGGCAGTCGACAAGTACTAAAGTTACTTAAACCACCTGTCAATAAACCATTGGCCAATCAGTGCGCATAATGCAACTCACGAGCTTATTGAATGGCCTATATTGCCTGACAGTAGGCTTAAGCCACTTCAGTATATGTCGATTTCCTTTCAACTTGATACTGTCGTTTGCTGCCATTGCAGCGAGATTAACGATTTAAAAGCAGATTTTTCTTTTCTGTAGAACGGACGAAGCCCAAGTAAAAGAGGAGTTGGTACTATGTTTGGACCAGATGTCACCTTTAAATTCTGTAAAGAAAATGGCCTAGGTAATTTTAGAGCTGCCAAGTTCACGATTTCTTTGCATTTGCTTTATGAGCGCTCCGAAAAATCGTTTTTACCGCTACTTGTGATATAAAATTAAGGTAAGCTGTGCCCTTTAAATACCGAACTAGGTTTCAAGTGGTCAGTTCCTTACAGCAAATAGGCATTTGAGTGGAAAGCGCGTGTGGAGTTTCCAAACCTGCCATTCTTCCATTAACCAATCTCTTTAAAAAATAATAATACACCATTCTTACTTGATACTTTACAGTAAGACTTCACCAATAACTTACCTTCGCTGATAATTTTGTTGTTGTGTCATTCCATTCATAACTTTATCATTATATTTTTTTATCAGACTATATTATTCGAAGTCACGAAGTTAAGGAAGAAGGATATGAAGTTGCTCATGAAGGCAAATGCATAACTGTATTTTCGGCTCCAAATTATTGGTAAGATCTTATTTCTGAGCAATTACATAGCTTTGACGGATAACTGCTGACAGCGATGGGGTAGGGTAGTTTTCCCAATCTAGTATTGCTTCCAGCTTGAGGCTTTCCATTGTGCTGTAATTCCTTAATTTTACCTTTATTCTGAGCCATATTCTGACCAGAATTCTGTAAGTTCAAATATTAAGAATATAGCACATCTATAATCGATAATTTTTGCTGGTTCCTTAGTAAAATGAATTTAATATTGTATTATGCAAGCGTTTTATTACGGCAAGCACTCGTGTATAAAAACCTACAAGTTGAGTTTTAAAGATGGTATGAAATAGGGGAGGCATTACATACTGAAGCCCTTTTCTTCAGATACTCTTCAGAGTATTAACGGCTGTGAATCGAAAGCAAAATGAGGGGAAGAAAGATGCGTTTGATTGGGTTCTTTTCTTTTTTATCGGATGAATTTTGGGAACTACGCGGCCATCTTAATAAGAACCAATTCAGGCTGCAAATTAGGGCACGTCCTTATTTGCAGATCACTTAAAACTGAAAAGGGAATCTTTTTTCAGAAATTATTGGAGATTTATTGTTGTTATTTTTCATTAAAAAAGATCGGATAACCTTGAAAGACGGAGCTTTGAAAAGATTAAAAAAAACACTGAAAGATTAAAATCTTTAGCTTTTAATTAAGTGTTGCAGATTCCATTCGAAAGCTTTTCATTGCATATTCTATTCGAAACAAGTTGATTATTTAAAATATCGAAGAACGCAATGGTTTTTATACTTGAATAAGATAAGATTTTCTTTACATTCAACCCCTATCATATTCAATTATATTCAGTCCTAAACACGAAAATGTAAGTTTCTATTTGTGGTTATTGATGGTTTCCGTTTTGGCGAATCTGTACCTCAAGCATGCTGACTGGGTCCCATTCCTTTTACTAACGATCTAATTTTTCTTACTTCAAGCGACCAAATGGGGAACAAAGGAGCGTACATAACGCTAGACAAAACCCTTAAACCAAAGTTCACTTCATTCGCTGCTGTCGTAAGTATCACTTTGAAATTTATTTCTTGCAAATTTTCTGTAATTTTTATATGACAATTTGCTTTTCCTTCCTTTTCACCAATTGATGTTTTTACGTTTGCCACAGTAAGTTCCCTCCAGCAGGTTATTTTCAAATTGTCAAAGAGTCTTGATTTTTGAATTAGCTTTCTCTTTCTTGTGCCCTTCCTAGCCACATCCCGATGTAAAGCCAATGGCCTATGCTAATTCGTTGATGTCAATGCTTGGTTTCTCGTGACGATGTTGGGCATGATTGGTGATTACGTCAGGTTGAAGCAAACTCGCGTTTAGATATCCCCCCTCGTGGATTCTTGACATTCAGATTTTGCATCAAAGCAATAATAGCCCAGCGTTTTTAAATAATCTAATATACAATTAATGTTTTACGAATCAAAACTTGATAAGCTTCAAGCTGACGAAAATATACATGGATGAAAAAGCCACACATCATTGTAGAGATATTACACCTATCACATTACAGATGGAGAATGACAGATCTGAGATCCTTATTATTTTCTTGAAGAGAGATATTTGTTTTACAATGCTTTGAACTATAAATTTAACACTATAAAAGTAAACTTGTAGATTGTAGTGACTTTGAGATGAAATGTTTTGCGTTATCAACAACAAAGCCATGGGTAAATCTATGAGTGTTTCGTTCAATGTTACCTTTACCCTGGGTACCAGACTCACTATATAAAATAATATATAAAATTTTATTTAATATATAGTGAGTCTGGTAGGGTAAGTTTCCTTGAGCTAGCCAAGTCATTTAGAAAACATTTTCCTACCTCTACTCGCAAAAAACCCCAAATGGTGCAATTTTTTGAGAAATAACCTGAATTTTCGTTTCGCTAAACAACTTGAAACCGAAGAAGTCGATAACTAATGAAATCTCTAAACTGCTGTTACAGAGCACAGATACCGGTGATAAAAACCGTCAGCCATTTTGATTTTGAGTTTTCGATTATCGAGCTTTGTAGGTTTTTTAACGCTGTTACGAATACTATGATAGTCATATAAAAGAAATTAAAATATCGATGTACAAGGTACTCAATCCATTCTTCAACTCCCCCGCCTTTAATCCAGTGTGAATGTATAGGGCTTAGTTTTTTGATGATCAAAATTTACCCAAATGTTGCTTCAATTGAAGACAGAAATTTCTACAACTTGGTTACCGTTGCACTAAAAACACCAAGTAAATAGCAACAAACCAACATAATCTTAATAAACTTCTTTCTGTTAATTAAAGTTTGGCCGTATATTCTAATCAGTGGCAGTTCTGTTGAGAAGCAGTTACATAAATACGATTCCAGAAATCCCAGAGAAGAAAGTCTTTTTGACTTGGTGTCATCTCTATGGGACAATACTAGACAACGATACATCATTTCGTATATTGTAGTTTGTGCCTACTTCGTCTTGCAAACATTCTGAGCCAGATAATTCTCTGCTTAAATATTATTGTCATCTGGGAACTTCGACTGCAGATCTGTCCGCTCTAGTTTCATTTAGCAGCGGTTTTAGCGAATCGAATACTCCCCTTTCGGCAATCCCGGCTCTTGTCGCGGAAAGGTTGTATTTCCGACCTGAGGCTGACAACCCATTAGCTCTTCTGCTTGTGAGGAAGTTTCCTTTACAAAAGCTTTTAGTCCGTTTTTTTGAAGAGAGAATAAAGGCCTGAAAGAAATTAAAAAAATCCAATAATAAAAGCCCAGCTGGAACACTGTCGAGGATTTTCAGCTGCTTGCACTCCGTAGAAAGTCTTTCAAAACATCTTTCAAAATAAGATAGAAACAAGAGTTGGAAAATAGCGTAGGGGACGGTGATTGGCAAGGAGAATAAGTCCCAAATGACCTTCAAAATTTATTCAGTTGCAAAGCAAAAAACGAAAATTTAAACTCTGTTCTTTTTAACAAGAGTTATTTCATTGCGAATTTTTCACTGAGCGGCCAAGGAAATAGGAATAAATTTCTTATTAGGCTTGTTTACATCTGTACCCATTACCCTTGCTTAGGACCAACTCTCGAACCTCGAAAAATTTAGCTCCGTTTAAAGTCATCGTAAAGTTTGAATTATTGAGTATTGACTGTGTTTACAAATGGTCTCTGATGTGGAATATGCATATTGAATGTGAAAACTTCGTAGGCTCACCTCGGCATTTGCATATCAGGCAGCCATGTTGGTCTCGTTGGTATCCGGCCGTACAAGAGAGCAGGCATATTCGCATTGGCTTGCAAACATGTGTTGCTGCTGTTGTGGTCGCTGCGATAAATGGTAGATCGATTTTAAGTAAATTATCACCCTGATTATGAAGAGGTTTTTCCTGATTAACTGATAAGCCATCAAACTGGTATTATACCCCTTTTTCCCCGTTTACTTCTCATTGCTGTTACCTAATTAAGTTTTATAGCTTAAAAAACCTGCTTGTGAAAACCGAATTGATACAGAATTTTTCAAAATATTTTGCTTATTTATTGAGCAAATAGATTCTTTAAACTTGTAATTTTTATATTGAACATATTATATTGGCTTTTTCTCGCTCCCTAAGTTTGCCTGCCTGTTTCCAAGTTTCTACTTCAGTTAGTCAAAGAACACTTAATACGAGCTATAATCATGTGTTATCTGATCTTATCACTGCGTTGCAGCATGAAGTGCAGCTTATGCCAATTTCATCTACTAAACTTCCTTACATCGATTAATTTTCCATCCAAATATCTTCATTAAATTAAAACCAAGAGTTTACCTGAAACTTCCATGACAGTTGGGGTGTACTCCAACCGTTCATGAAAACAACTTTTCCATTCAGACCATGTCACATTGCTGTTTCTGTCTTTGTCGCATTCCTTGGTGAATTCTGCAGTGCAGTCTGTTGATAATCTGTTCCATTTTCTCTCAGTGCCTGCTAGCTCTGATTTCGTTAATGTTGAGTCTCTATTAGTGTCTATTCTTTTAAATTTCCACAATAATAATCGATCTGTCTTCGTGATTGCTGTCAAACTTTCCAAGAAACTTATTCCTTGTTTTATATAGGATGCGTCATCTAGAAAATAGTTTAATATCCTAACGGTTAAAGTTGACATCTTCTTTAAGAATTATTGAGGGTTTGTTTTCTTACTCACAAACTCTTTAATCAAATATTTGACTCACAAAACACAAAATTATGATTCCAGTGTTGTTTTATATTTGTTTTTTTAAAATTGGGTTGAGCAATAGCGTATGAGAAAGCGTGACAATATTGTGAGTGCAGTTTTACTGACGATAGGGATAGTCAGCTTTTTGAAAAATTACAGAATTTCTTCTACACTTGGTGTTTTTCTTATTACACATTTATGTTGATAAAGCAAGATATAAATTAAAATGAAGATATAGATAAGGAACAGTTGCCTGGTGATCATATAAAGCGTGAAAATCAGTGTTGCAACTTCGAAGCGTCTTGCTATATTCACCAAAGCGTAGTTATAGATTTATTCAAAGATAAAGGTAAAGAATTCTTAAGTATGACGTCATAAAAATTTTACCAAATAACCTAAAAGACCATTAAGAAATACTTCTAAATTAAAGTGTATGTAAGATTGATATTTCACAATTTGTAAAGTGCTTTTTTTAATCTTACATTGTTAAAATAACAGGATGATTTGATAAGCATATGCATATTTTTCCAAAAAAATAATATTTCTCTCAATTAATTTTCGCATCACCTAGAAAACCAAATTCTGCCTTTACCTTTTTTTGTCTCCTCTTCAATTTGTCGAAGATATCTCTCTGCCAGTTGTTTTAGATGGTTTCTTGAACAACCTGGTAGCAGAATGATTTTAAAGATACGCTAGTGCCAAATAATGTTTATAGTTGCAATGTCAAATCTTTACACCAGAAATAACTTTTTAGGAAATAACTTCATACTTAAGGTAGGTTATACAGTGCCAATTGACAGAACAACACCACATTTTAAAGAATCAACGATAATTAAAACGAGTTACCGATTTGTTTGATCAAAACAAATACAGTAGAACGGGGAGATTTCTGCCATAAATTAAGAGATGTGAAAGCATATATCATACTGCTATCTCAAAATGTATTGTCAGATACTAACCTTTATATGTTTTCGGAATATATTTCACTAAAATCCAAGAAAAACAATGAAAACCATGTACACCAAGTTAAAGCAGTAGACAATAGTCAATGAATTAATCATTTCATGAAAATAAGACATAAGCTTCAATCCTCATAGGGTCATACCTACGTGTTGCCATAAGCTTTTTTAATTTATCTTCACAATTGTCATAAATTATGTATAAATTAGCATGCTAATTCTTTAAAAAATTTCATAACGGTGCATCGTGAATAACCTTTTATTTGCACAGGACAAATATAGAATATGTCTTGCAGACTGTGTATGGAACAAGAATGGTTTTACTACTTATTTTCATAAGTCGACTTCGTAGCTTATAGCCTTCCAGCAGCATCTCGTCTGCTAAGGCGACAAAACATTTCAGTCCAATATATCGAACTTACGTATCAATTGACTGATCTCCCCAAGCGTTTCTCGACATAAGTGAATTTTAGACTGACATTATTTCGAAGTAAATATATCATCTATCATTAAGCATACTTTGTAGAAAGCTGACCTACCCGAGCAATTCGGCTTTCCGTATCTCATAGCTCTGCTTGTTCCAGGAATCTTTTGCCCGTAGTTATTGACACACCAACAGTAGCCTGCCTTGACGTGGCATTGAACAGGCTGAAAGGAACCATCATCGGCACATCGCGGCACGTAGTAGGAGCCTCGTTGTGAATGACTGATCACTCTCAGTGCAGAGATTAATGACTTGAAGCAGGATGCGTTTGCTAGGGTAAGAAAAGGAGTTCTCGATAGGTTACTTAGTGATTAAGGTATCTTACAAAATGCCTCCCTTTAGCAAGATACGAGGTTCAGCTTGATCCGCATGAAAGCTATAAAGCAACTTTTTCTATCTTGTAAGAAATACCCAACTCCTATTAGGAGGGTTGTGTCGCCCCGCAAAGCCCACGCCTAAATGTATAAACCCTTCATTGATAAAGCAGGGACAGCCGGGGGACAGCCATTGCTTTCTTTCATCGTAAAATTTCTAATTTTATTTCCTAAGTTGCATGTGACTCACCATTGTAACAGAAACACAAATTTGTTTCAGCAACCTACATTTGTTTAATTTTAGTGGTTGCGATTCCTTGCACCCTGAACAATTCATTGTCTGGTCAACTGGACCTACAACATTTTAAAAAGATAATGAGCCACACCTGATATGGTACAATTTGGTTGTTTGTATTTGACAGAGGAGCCAGGTATTGGCCTGCCATCACCAGTAGAGCACCAGCAGAACCCAGTGAGGTTGTGGCACTGCACCGCCGCGTATGTCCCTTTTTCTGTGCACTTTGGCACATAACCTCCAATATGTCCAATCCCAGAAGAAATCCTCTTAAGAGCATTCTCGCGCATTATTTGGCACTTTGTAAGGTCAACTGGAAATGCAACATATACCATAGTTAGATAAAGCTTTGTTAGTTATGCAAAGATCTTTATTTGTGAAAGCAAGGGTTCCTAGTAATTGAGACTATGCTCTAGATATCTCTTGATATAAGACAACGCAAGCTACCAACAGAAAACGTTTAGATATATCATATTGGCGTCATTTTTCAAATAAATAAACTTATTTTCACGAAAAAAAATTTCAATATTAGAAGATACCCCCAACCACATTTTAGTACGACTGATATGTACTTTGAGTGAAATAGTTCCAATCTGAAGACCCAAAAAGGTATTTTTCACTAAATTACACACGATAAACGTTAGAAACTTGTAACCTTCAGAATAGGCTTCTTGTTGAAAGTTCATAAGATCTGGCGAGGCACCTCAGCAAGTGAACGGCTTTCACTTCATCAGGTGCCCTCAGTGACATAGCACATCGTTTATGCTGTAACTAGAGGCCAAAGTCATCTTTACCCAATGGTCAAATTGAAAAGCACCAGGTCAAATAGCTTGGCTAAAACTGAATAGTTGCTAATAGACAAATGATGGTCATATTTTGCAGTTCTTCACTGGTCAGACTTGTTGATAACTTGAAAGTTGAGAGCTTTTGAGAAAATGTGTTTTTGAGGTCAGACTATTCTGTGTTATTTTTTAGCGTAAGGATATTATGCGTTATTTTAGCGAAGAGATATTCTTCGCTATATTTTAGCGTAAGGATATTCTTTGTTATTTTTTAGCGTAAGGATATTATGCATTATTTTAGCGAAGAGATATTCTTCGCTATATTTTAGCGTAAGGATATTCTTTGTTATTTTTTAGCGTAAGGATATTATGCATTATTTTTTAGCGATTTTCTAATCTTTCTTTACAGGATTTTCTAAAAAGATGTATTAAGCCATTTTTACGGCCTCTATTATTAACTGCTGATGGCGTTTCGCTCCCTATGTTATTCATAGTAATATAATATTATCAAGGGCCAGAGAAGTACTGATAAGGGAGCTGTCATAATATTACGGCGCTAGAACGTTTGACCAACAAAATGTCGAGCCAAAACAAAATTTCTCAATTAAAACAAGGTTTCTTGCTTCGTTCAAGCTTACCTGGAGTGCGCATGCACGCGATCCACTCATTTGAAGTTATTTTTCTGTCTTTATTTTTGTCACAGTATTTGATAACCCTTCTTAGGCACCTTTTGTCGCCATAGTGTCTTCTTATTGCCCTCAGCGTTGGATATAGTTCCCTGCCTGTTAGTAAACCGTCTGCATTTGTATCCGAGACGGTAAACTTCCATTGAAGACAATTCAGTTGGACTGATGGGTCGAAAATACGCGGCTCTGCAAAAAAAGCTGAGAATGACGGAAAGGCAACAGCTCAACATAGGTATGCAATCTATATTATTATTATTATTATTAATATTATTAACATATTGACTGTTATGCTGACTTTTTTCTACCTAAGTTTGTTTTGGGTTTAAGAATTTATTTAGAACCTTTCTGCGAAACAATCCATTGTTTTTTAGCCATTGGTAAAAATCGATGCTACTTCATAATAACTTCCAATGTGCGAAATTGCGAAAAACAAGGCTCTTACTTTCAAAAAATTGCTATGAAGTAAACATTTTTTGTGAAAACAGACTACTCGTTGTCTATCATGATAGGAAAAAATTACAACTTTAAGAAAGCTAGCAAAATATATTAGTTCCTTTTTACTTCAAAGTCTTTGGTACTGAGAGTACCCTATCCTTAAAGGCTACGTATGACACATTATTCCTCTTGACACTTGTTTTTTAGATAAAAGGATTCGCACCTTTTTTATTCCGATCTTTTTTACCAAGTTTTTTTGTGTACATTATTCTCTAAGGAAAAGTTTACATTGAAAAGACTCTCAAATAGAATTGTCGCAGGGAATCGTCTTGAATACTTGAAACACCAGGGAATTTTGAACAATGATAAACTGTCAGATTTTCCAAAACTCAAGAACGTACATTCAAATAGGGAAAACAGTTGAAATCATCCTGGTGTGATGAGACAACTTTGCACAATTAGTTACGTCGTTCAGAAAGGTTGAAGGCAAAGTTTACTTGCATTATACTCGAAGTCCAGTAAAAGTCATGGGACCTTGAATACTGAGACAAACAATAACCGGTAAGCTTTCAATCATACTTCAGTGGGGTTTGAAGCATATTTTAAACCAGAATATGGTTATTTTCGTCTTGACACTTTGATTTCGCGTATTTTTGTGGTATTTTTTCGTTTATTATATAAGGCACGGACTTGCATAAAGTTAAAAAATGTTACCTCTATTCGAGCAAGGAGATCTGCGATCTCTTCTACCATTTCGTTTTCGCCTTTCTTTGAAAAATGACTTAACTGCCAAACGAATAACCGCGCGTATGTCTTCTTCACAGCCTACAAGTAAAATCAAAGTAAAATCAACAACAAGTCGTGTTTAGGGAGCTACCAATTGAATTAACTTTCATATCACCTATGCACAATTACAGCGGTGCATAAAGATTTGTCACGATTTGCAAATGTTCAGCGTTCTCGTCGAAATATTCGGTTTTTCGTCGGATAAGTTACACACGTTTAACGTGCCGATAGCCCTTCCAAGGTGTTATCTTGTCGTAGGTCTGAGCCTACCCTGAGTACCAAACTCACCTTATATAAAATAAGAGTCTGGTACCCAGGGTAGTCTGAGCCTTACCCCCCCCCAATTGAAAACCTGAATTTCCGCCACTGGATTTCACACCAATTTTGCTTCGGGGCCATATTTTTGGTTATATGGAGTATTTTTGGTTTAAATGGTAAAATGTGAAAGCTAACGATAAGAAAATAGATTTAATGTTTCATGGATAATTATTTCCTTTTAAAAGGTTACTTTAAACGGGTGTCTTACTTTTGCAAACACCGCGATAGGCCAAGTCGACATCTTTCCCGTTGCATTTGTCAAGACGAAGCATGCACAGGTTGTTGTAGGTTTTAAGATTCGTTCCGCAAACCGGCCTAACTGGAATGGCTGGACAGCGTCGACGGCTTGGGCAATTGTCTGCAACCTTAAATAAGGATGAGAGACGCAAGTTATGATAAAGAAATATTTGTTGATAAAGTGGGAGGTAGTTTAATATCACTTCGATGGAATTCAGGGTTTATTTTAACGTGCAGTGATAACCAATTTGTGCAGTGAGAAGTCGTAATTGTGCAGTGATAAGGTCAAATTTTGTGCAGTGATAAAACTACAATAAAGAGATTTGATATTGAAAAAGTAAAATTGCAGCAGCTACCAGTAGACACATAAAGCTTAAAAAGGAGCATTACAATATTAAAAACGAGAACACAGCAGTAACAATACCAATGATCATAATCTATGAATCTTTCTAAAATTTGTTCATATCTATAAGCTATCTAGTTTGTTTCGCTCTTCGTCTTCTCCACTGAAATCTTTATTCTCGAAAACATTTTTGAACCTAGACTGATTCTCCTCGTCGAAATCTCTTGTAAGGCTTTGACGAGAGCTGGTGTAATTCGAAAGTTTCACATACAGTTAGTTTGATAGGTGTGGTCATGAAATTTCTTAAAAGGCAACATCCAAATCTTCAAAAATTTTGAATACGTGCAGTGGTAAAAATTTCTTAAAATAAACCCTCGTGGAATTAATATGCCATAAGTTCACTTTTGAGTCCTTCAAACTAGCATTTGATAAGGTGTTCCGTGCTTTTAAACTGGTGTAAAAGTAAAATTTAGTATACTTAGCTGGAAAATAACCGAAGAAGGAACGGAAACAGAAGCTTGATAAGAACTCATTAAAATTCCCAATACAATCCTTACCTATCCTTACGTACAGAGGTACCGACAAATTCAAGCTCATCCACAAGTATTCGTTTATGTTTTCAAGCCATAATGTGTTTCCCTCAATAATGACTTGATGATACCAAGAAGCTTAAATATTTTTGTTGGTCAAAGAATGTTTTTTGCACAAAGCAGAATAGTACACACGCTCTAAAATGTGTGAAAGAATTTTGAGAGTAGAAATTGATGGTATGAGTAGAAATTGTTTCTTTAAAGTTGTAAAACAACGCTTCTTGTGTAGTGAAACTAAACTACTGGTGCACATTAAGAGGCAAGGAATAAAGATGATTGCTTGTCTAACGGTATCGTCTTGTCACTTTTTCAAAAGAAAGGCCCAAATTTGTTTTATAGTCAAAAACTTAACTTCTTATATTGATACATTTTCCATGCCTAGCATGGCTTTGTATTCTTTTTGATGCGGCTTACATGATTGCAATCGGTTTTTAGTCTATTTTGCCTTTTTGCAAGTAACAAGACACTTTTGTAATTTAGTCGTTGTACGTCTCAGTTGCTTATTTTACCTTATAAAGGAGGGGAGGCCAACATGCATGAAATTCTGATAGAAGACTTGAACATTTTCTTCATTTCGAAGAACTACGTGAACATTTTGAAACGAAGTGATAGATTCAGTTCAAATCAGAGGTGATTTCAGTTCAGCTACCCCACCCAACTCACGCCATATTTTCATGATTTTCTGAAAAGAGTTTCAAAACTTCTATTTGATGGGCGGAGGATTGACGAACGCTTTTCTGGAGCCTGTGCCGAAGGGTAACTGAGACTTTTTGCGTATATGAACAAGAAAAGTGTCAAGAAAAGTACCCTGAAATGGGTGTTTCCAAATAACATGAGTATAAACCCAACAACAGACAACAGGGCATGCTCTTAAAAGCAGAGACGGGGGATTGCTCGTTCATTAGAAGACTCGCTTAGCCACTTTCGAAAAGATATATTGCAATTTTATTTATGAAGACAACTTTAAACTCCCAAAAATCCACTGCATGCGACACCTTCTACCCACATTCCACTGAAGCTTCATAGATCGTGTTACAAGAAAATTAAGGCAGGCTTAATGACACCTCATTCCGAAGCCTTTTAAAACAAACACGGAATCTCAGTTTGAAATTTAGCAAGAAGGATTAAACGTAATGGTGTCTTAAATCAACATTTCAGAAAAGATGAGAGGCGTCCTATAGACTTTAAATTACGACAGCTGGAATTGAGAGATCCCCAACTCATACAGTTTGCCAATATCATTCATTTTAAAATTCACAGGTAATCTAGTACTTCGTCCAGCTTAGAGGCCCCCCCCCCTTAGAATGACTAATTTCACACAACCTTTTATAAATCAGTGTAATCGTTGAACAATATGGTGGCCTGTATATTAAGGAGCTCGCGCTCCCGAATTCCTATGTGAATATTCCAAGATGAAATAGTAAATGAGAATTCAAGGTTGAAAAAAGTATTCGAATTTGCTTGATTTTAACTATTAATGGCGATAAATTTCTTCAAGACAAAAAGGCGACACTTGAATTTTCTCTCTCTTATAATCCTGAATTTTCGTTAGCGAAATGTGACAAGATATTTGGTTACAGTAGTTTAAGATTTTCTTCACCGTGCGAAGGGACAAACCTTTCGATTCAACTTTCAATACCTCACAACGTTTCTGAGTCAAAAATAGTTCGTTGCCAACCCACGAAGCAAACACAGGGTAGATATCGCACCTTGCCTCTCGTATTTCCTTATTCACTTTACTATACTTTCAAAGAACAAATAATTGTTTTGCCTTCTGGCCATAAGTTATTGGAGACTGTCATGTCTCGTTGTTAAGTATGTCGAAAATGGTCACGAAGCTACATTTCAGTGCCCAATTAAGCACTGGGCTAGTTTTGGGGAGGGGGGGGGGGGTTGAGTGCCATAATGCCATACTCGAATGCCATACTTTCCCAAAAGACCTTTGATAATTTCATTATAAGAAGAAGATATTCGAAATAGATTGCAGTAGTGTCCAGCTAAATAACTTTTAGGCTCAAGGTTGCCTGCAACAGGAGGCTTTTCCCCCCTGCCCTTGACATAAATAGTCGTTGTTACTGATAAGATGAGGATGTAATAAAAAACTGTGTAGTAAAACTAATGGCATAGCTTAGCTTTCACCACGATGCTGGGACGGAGCCCAGGGAAAGGCCCACACCCTTGGAAACGTTGGAATTTTGTGTTGCTGTAAGAAGGGGACCTTTTTGAGAATTAAGTTTTAGCCAGCATGCGAATGACATGCAGCTATGTGTCGATATCCACACAAGCCTATCTGGAATATAATGGGTCAGAGTGGGTACCTGGTTTTATTGATGGGTAACACACGATACTCCTATGGAGAGCTGAGGTTAACTCTGCTTAGTTCCAATTAAAAACGTATTAAATTGGATAACTTGAGTAAACCTCTGAATGTCAGAACAGATAAGGTGAATGACTGGGAAATGAAGATACAAGACGGGCATGATAAAATCATCATCTATTTGACTATGAGAAAAATAATTCCATTCTTTTTTATAGAATGCAGTTGTTTTACATGTCGTTGCAGGCTTTATCGCAGGCCGAAACGCGCGAAAACAGAGTTGGCCTTAAGAGTAATACCGATACAGGAAGTCGAGTGCATTCAGAATTTTTAGGAATTGGCCATTGTCATCTGGGCCGGTCAATGCTCTCCGTTAGAAATTAAAGTGTAGTTGACGGACCACTTTCTGTGAATTCTTGTCAAAATATTTAATAATTTTCAGTAATACCTCGCACCAAAAAGCTACGATTATGTGCTGAATTTTGTGCATCAATACCCTGATCTGATGCAGCATGTCAATTTCCCCCTCACAAAGCGCTGAAGTACAACATAATGGGGTGTAGAGCTGGTGGGGGTTGGGGGGTGGGGGTCAGAGGGCTAAGCCGCCTTACTAAAGTTTCCTTTTTCTACTTTTTGCTATTGATTTTAGAGAAATTTTTCATGAGGGTCCCCTTGTTCCTCTATCAGCACTAAACTGGTGAACAATATCTACATAATCTACATGCAGGTTGCATTAGCCCATTTACTACGGTGATAAAAAAAAGATGACCTAGTTATCTGCGAGATTTTCTTGTCTTTTGGTCACCTGAACACCCTGTTTAAGAAGCGTCTCAGCAGAAGCATGTTTAACCAAGGGCCTTTTTCAATGATCAATAAATGATATGGCATGGCGAATTTGAAGGGGTAGACATATCAAACAAAGCTACCGCAATGACGGTCCGAGTTTCTTGTGAATCTCTAATAATCTGCTCAAGACTTTGGATGTAAAATAAATCATCTTAAGATGATAGCGTTACTATCATAAATCTTCATATCCTTTTTCACAACTCAACAGCAATTATCAGATTGTAGCAACCTTATACTTGAACGCGATTTACGATAAAGATTTCAGTTTCAATTCCTCGAAAATGAGGGTATGAAAATGTCATCAGGAAAATTGACTGAGTTGAAATGGCTTCTAGAAATCAATTACAATCAAAATTGATAAGAAAATATTATGTGAACGTGAAAATTATGATTCTGAAAGTTCTCGACTTTTCAAAGAGAGGAAACGTTGTAGGTGAATAGGTCTGTTTATTTTAAACTTGAAGCTCACATAGGTGTAGATGACTACGATATTTTTGGTACAATGTGAATGCTTAAGACATGATAGCTTACAGAAACATGTACTCGTTGCACACAAGTGACGACACACTGCACGGCCCATTATCATTCATCGTATCGACAAATTTAAACCATGCACCGAGAGAAGTTAAATATTGATGGAAACAAGAAACAGCAAAAACATACCAAAGTCCGGTGAATTGCCAACATAACAAACAGGAAGCAAATCTCTCTGAAATCCATCGTTTTTTAACCAAATGTGTAAAATAGTGGGTAATCTGACAGCTTAACGTTCACAAAGTGGTGTTACCACGTTACATGTAACTTGAACAGCTAACAAACAAAATAGACTGACTACTGCAGTCGACGTCAGATGACGTAGTCCTCGTTTCCTTCTCGTCTAAACAACTTTGTTTATTCCAAGCGTCATCATCCGTTGAACAACTTCTGTCAAATACAATCTTCTAGAGGTAATACCGGAGAATCCTCGATATTTGTAGACGATATTCACACATTGAACAAGCTGATAATGGCTGAATAGTAACTTCAGTGGTGTCACGACTGATGGTCGTTGGCAAAGGCTTGATCGATGCGAGCCAGAAATAGCAGAAGAGTATGAAAGAGCACTTGGCGCCATCTGATGATGCTAAAGAGTACGTGTAAACAGTCATCGCTGTAAATCATCGCCAAAGTATTTGATCTTTTGGATTTGATTTATTAGCTCTGGGTAAAAGTGTAAAGGCTCAGGGGTTATCCTTGGGTGATCTTGCCTTTGGTCGAGTGAAAAGATTTACTAGGTCCTCTGTTATCGTTAAGGGATTTTGATAAATCAACGATTATGCCAACATATGATTGATATGTGCATGACTGCTCTTGTTACGTCCCCGTCTTGTTACACATGAACCATGTTGCTATCGACGGCCATCGACTGACAATATCCTTTGACCATATCAGCAGTTCCCAAGTGCCAGTTAATAAGAATATGTTGTTGTTGCTGTTCTAAAAGTGACGTTGGCAGGGCCATGACAATGGGGGACAAAGATTCCAGGGAGAGCGCCCGTGAAACTGAATTTTCCCCTTTTGGAGTTTACTGGCTCGTTAGAATCCCCTGTTTCTCTGGTTGGGTACATAAAGAATTTTCCCCCAAGCTGTGATCCTAAGAATTGTCCACCCATTATTATAAATTCTGGACTTAATAAATAAACTATGAACAAAAGTGCGTCTTGGTTTTTTGAGTGGCTACGGTTCCCTGCACCCTTATTGGATCGATGATTACCCAAAGATGACTGTCACAAGCCTTGGCACAAACGCTTGTCACAAGCGCTTGCAACGATTTATCTCTCCTAAAGGGATGAATTTGAATCTCTAAATAGTTTTTAACTTTATGGAAAAGAGTGAATTGTCCCTGTTGACCATTCTGTCTGATAGTTGTTTGGTATCGAATATGCCAGCTTGGTATCGAAAATTTGGTACATGAATTTTGAAAAATTTATACTGTATCGATGTAAACCAAAGATTTATAAATAGTTTGTGGTATCAGCAAGTCACTGTCATTTCTCTATAAAACGATAGCAAATTGCATAAACGATGCCTTCTCTGTCATTGTTCTAATTTTTAGGTTTATCTATATAAACAATTCGAGTTTAGTTTAATCGTTCATTTAGCGAAAGAGTGGGGAGGCCGTTCCCCCATGACCCCCTTGTGGCGCAGACCCCATGGCTCCTGTTGTCATTTTAGGCTGTTTTATAGATGAACTAAGTACAAAATCTGCCCAGGTTGAAACAAGCCTATAGGAAATAAATCAGCTGCCAAGATTAAATTGTCCTGTGTATCTTGAGAAACGATGATGAACCAAACGAAAGGGCGCAATCCAACATCGGAGGAAAATCTTTATGTTAACCGAGCTAAGCAACAAGAAATGTTTTATTCATTTAAGCTTGGAATTTTCAGACTTTCATCGTCCTAAACGGACAATATCTGGCACTTCTACTGCCCTGAAGCTATGAGGATGATGGTGCTTTTTGTGAAGGATTCATCTGTATTGCAAGCCTGTACAGCTTTGCCCATACGGCATCGAGCACTATTGATTTAATCACAATTTAGAGGAATATAATCCATATTTTGGTTGATATTATTAGGGTACAATAATCGTTAAAATCGGGGCATGATTTTCACTGTTATCATCTCTAATTGATAGAAACGAAACGAAAAAATCCCAGAAAGCTCTCAAGAAGGAGATAATAAGTGCAGTATCTACCGGGGCGTCGCGACGGGGGTTGTGGGGGGGGGGAGGTGTCACACCCCCCAATAGTATCTCAATAAGAAAGTTGAGGTAAAATTCGCTCGGTGGAAGAAACCCATTTAGGTATTTCAGAGACCTTTCTGTCGTAAAATAAATCAGACCAAGCAAAGGTAGTTGCTCCGTTAGTTAAATATGATATTTCTTCATATGAATGAAGGTAAACAAACTAATGATATGAAGATTTGAAGATTTCTTATTGGCACTAAATCTAAAAATCCAGGCCCACTTTACGTAAAATTGTGCCTTATGTCCATTTCCCCTAAAATTTTCTCGGTAGAAGCGTCAACTGCAATTCACTATGAGCTCCAGGTTTTCTTAACATTCAAAAGGCATGCTAAGATGGAAAGAGGGATCTAAATTTACAACCAGTGCTGCTTGTTACCTAGCTTTAGAAGTAACTGACAACATGGTATTTTCAGGGCCGGCGAAACGTATTAGAAAGTGGAGGGGCCAAAATATCTAAAATAAGTCTTGAAAGGGATTAGGAAAGAAAAATTTTAGAATGATGGTGTCTTAGGGATGGCCAGAAACTGTATCTAAAATGAATTTTGACTGAAGGTGTCGCATAGTCGCCACTATTTTGATGTTGACTTGAATAGAAAAGTTTTGCAAAGTTTTAGAACGACCACTATCATATAGCTCGTAATGAAACCTTTTTTAGATTTTCAAAGTACCCGAAAGAGGATAAGGGAGAAAAATAATCTTGAGTTTAGATAGAATTTATAATTGCGTCGATATTTTCTCTTTCTTAGTAGGAATGGATTATCCAAACGATCAAACTCTGAAGTTTTCTTGATGATACTTTTTAAGAACAAATCTGCCCATACTTTATTTCTGATATCCTCTGATATTCAGGCAATAATTTTTTAATCAGGCAAATTTGTAGTCCAAAAGTGCATCCAAAAAGTTAAAGTGCATCAGTACCAAAAGTGAATCATCAAAACTACCGCCGCCTCCCCCTTTGAAGTCCCTGATCAGTGTCCCTAAGTGGTCAGTTATTATTTCGAGCCATTAGTATCGTTAATCTCAGGTGTTTCAAGTTATTGTATTTCTTTGCTCGCCCTGCAAAAGTGAAGCTGCGAAATTTATGACTTTGTTTTCATGATTATCTGATAAAGGTGTGTTCAGTGAGTACGAGCTATGAAAATTTCGGCTTTAGACAACGTGGCGATCATAAATTTCGATACATTCACAGCCAATTCATAGCTCGTCTGGGCAAAGGGCGCCAGACTTTCGGCTGTTCAGTTATGTTAATCACAGCTCAGCTGACCAAAGAAGTGAATGACTGTCACAAATGTTTAAGAGGGTACTACGTAACCGCTGCAAGGAGCCAAAGTAGTGGTGAACCACATCAGGGGGCAACACGGACAGATTTGAAGATGCATTAGTTTTATGAATGCTCCATATCTTGTTGGGGAGACGAGCGAGCGAAAATTTTTAAATGAGTGAGGCAACCCTCCGTCCTGGATTCAGAGAGCATGCGTAATAATAACTTCGTTCTGTGCGCATGCTCTTTGACTCCATGACGGAGGGTTGCCTCACTTTTTAAAAAACTTTCTCTTGCTCGTCTCCCCAACAATATCGCAGAATGTTTCTCAGGGACATTTATGGATGTTTCTCTGGACAAGTACCGCGCAGCCATTGGGCTAGCAGGGGCTATAGCACCCAGTCCACCTTTTTGTTATAATACAGTAGGTCGTTAGAAAGTTTTTGGAAAGTTTACTGCAACGCAACTTTGGCACGTTTACTCTTACTAAAGGATCCTAAGTAGGAGCAGTTTTCCAACCCTTTTTTGCTCGTTTTTGGTTTTTGTCTTGTTTAATGATATGTTGTATTTTGTAACTTGGTTAGCTTGGTGTTTAATTATCTGAAACAGACTGTTTATGAATAATAAGCTAGAATAAGCAAGTATTTTAAAAAAGGAACGTTTTTCGGCGTTCTTAAGGACTGGCGTAAAAAATGTTTGGTCACACCTTTTTCAGCCCCCCCCAATTTTTAGATTGGTGCGCGGTGCCTGCCTCTGGATGCGTTTACAGATTGCTCCCCTTTCGAATGCATCCAGATGTCTCCACTAGAAATGCTTTCATTGCTATATCAAAAGTAGCCAATGATCTTGCAGGGCCTTTTTTAACAAAATAAACTCGTTGGCAAATGCCCATTGGCAAATGTTTTAGCTGAGGTATGTTACACGAAATTCTGGATATAATTAAAACTTTCTTTGAACAACATTTAGAGCCCAAACATAGATTTGCCACAAAAATCTTGTATTTACATTGGTTTTCTCGTTTTTATTACCCATGATGTTTAAGTCAAGGAAGGAACAATAAGTTTGAGAAATTGATACGGGAATTGACATGAGCATTGATCACTTAAGATAAGTTCTTGCACCCCGGTCACCCCAAACGTTTCATTGCAATCAATCTTCTTTTACATGGTTGACAGACTAAAATTTTGATAAGTATAGATACTTCAATGAACTGCCTTCAACCTAGATGCCAATCAGTCTTAAGCAGGGGCGAAACTACCGGGGGGTGTGGGGGGGGGTGTAACACCCCCCAATCCAAAAAACAGTCGATTTCGCAGGGCAATCGAAGATTTCGCAGGGCGCCAAGAAGAGCTTTATTGCCACGCAGAAATGCCACTTCTGAAGTTCGTAAAGGGCCTTTTAGGAATTTTGAAATGGAAATATCGTATTTGTTATGAACCTCCCTTCCTGACATTGCATTTTAGAGAACGGAACAGGTATGTAAGAAAAAGCTCCGTTATTTGCAAAGCGAAAGCATTTCTTACCGAAAGTCATAGCCAATGGATGCAATGATTGATGCATATGTTTATGTGAGCAAGGTTGAGTCCATACAAGTTAATTTAAGTTGTAAATTATTTTCATGACAAGCACGGCGTCACTGGAGGTGAATAAGAGGCTGAAGGCCCTCACTTTGGTCAAGATAAGAATTTTTTTATCATTTTTTCTATTACTTTTTAACAGTGCATGAACTAAAAAACATAATAAATCGTTAAGATACCGATTTTGTTTCATCTAATTGCTAACTTTTTCACGTATATTTTTATTATTTTTCTTTTATTTGCATTAATTCAGTAAATCATTTTCTGTATCATTGCAATGTTTTAATTTTGGATGTGTAAACATGGCCTTCTTGATACAAGAAATTGCACATTTCTGTTTAGGAAAAAAATTCTCCCAATCAAAACAACATCTTCCTCTGTCATTCACAACTACGTGCAATCTGAAACGAAAGGTTGCCGTTTCTTTTCTTCCCCAACGTCTAACACTAGAGTTTTAGCATGACATCCCCCTCCCTATTTTTCCCAATAAACAATAATGTTTTCAATAAACAATCAGTTTATTTAGCACAATAGTATTTTTGCTAAATTTTTGTCTGAAAAATGCTTTTTAGCCCTTTTTACAAGGTATACTTTCAAAAAATTTCTTCACGTCGGACCCAACCATGGTGGGTCCTCCTACCTCACTAAACTCGACTCTTAGCCCCACTGGGTTAAATATCGTTACGCTGTCTACATGATGTACCCTCCCCCTCCCCCCCAATTAGCTGTTTATTAGCTAGTATTTTGCAAACCAACATTAAATAAAGTGAATATAAAAGAAACAATTTACGCTCAAGTAGAGAAATAGATATTTCATAGGCAATGAAGTTTCAAGTTTGTTTTTATTGCTTAGAAGTTTGTCCTTGGTAAAGACCAGTGTACACTGGTAAAGCTTTCACTAGTAACCTATAGACAAACCGTTGCTACAATGTCTGCAGGGCACCACTCAGTTTTGCAGGGCAGAAACCCTTTTCACCCCCCCAAACCTATTGGCCAAGTTACGCCCCTGGTCTTAAGCCTGACTTCAGGAAATCTCGTTTGCCATTATCGGTTCACAACATCAGTTAATTGCATGCAAAGTAAATACCAATACACCAACCAAGAAAATATCATATATGATAAAATAACTACATTCATCTTTTCACAGTCATTCTTTAGCTAACTAATCACATTAGGGAGAACGGAAATGTAGGTACAGGGGCACTATGCCCCCACCCCCCAGTAAGTCCCTCTTTAGCTTGAATTATTGCAGTCTTAAATGTTTTCTACATTTCTGAGCAAGACATGCATACAGCAATCACATTTTGCCTTCAATCAAATCAAATCGGATTGATTTAAACTGTCCTAAATTCCAACTGTACTAAATAAGTTATAGCACAACGAGGGGGCAAGGCAGCTGCAATCCTATTCAACAGTCAGAAATTTGTATGAGCAACTATGCAAGACGACAGTATCATTAGCCAACGACATAGCGTATTTCAGATACGTTTTAGAAGAGGGCATTCTACAGCATTTCCAAAGGCGTGGCTAGAAACATCTTTACCCAGACCCCTTGGCTAGGCACGATCAAATCGCCCTTGCTTCCACGACGTATCATACTGACTAAGTTACTATTTAACAAAATAAACATAGTTCAAGGGCAGTTAAGCTAGGATTAATGTTCCCTTTGCTCTCGGTAAAATTTCTGCCTCTTTCCTTATTCTATTGAGAAAATTACCTAGTTTCCTAAAGTTCTGTTGAGATAAAATCGTCGATTTGAAAAATATCGACATTTTTTCCCGTTGATATGCTGTTCTGCTAAGCAAAATATAATGTAGCTTACTAACAACGTTATACGAATGAAAAATAAGGAGTTACATAAGTCTGGATTTTCCCTGATCTTGGAAAAGATCCTGTGTACGTTCAAATGTTCCCTTGATTCTCTTCACCCCGCCTATCACGAGGCCTAACGGATGTAGTGTATTTGACGATGCATTTTCCCTACCTTTGCGAATACACATTTTTGAGAATGACAGAACTGGGATGCCCCTTTCCAATGCCCATACAAGATCTGAATTTTATTATTCTATCTGTAATCAGGGACCTGGGAAGCGGGGGGCCATAATAGCACTCTAAATATAAATCCAACAATATAAAATCAAACACTGCCTTCAAGAATTACGAAGCATCTTGATCCACTCAGGATAAACGATACGTTGATCATACGGCTTGGTCAAAGACTTTCATGAATATACAGACATTTCAACTGCATATGATCTGCAATTTTTATCCAAGACAGCACAAAAAAATCGATGTAAACCAAAGAACTAGAGATTCATTTACATATTCTAATAAACTAATTATCATACAGATGGTTAATTTTTCTAGACTTTAAATTCACAACACAAAAGCTTTATACACTCGAAAAATTCTTAAAGTTCAACGGTCTTTTGAAGAGTCGGAAAATTCTTTACTTGATGCTAAAAGTTGCAGCTGCTTTCGTGGCCCATTTAACCTAAAATGGAGGGAAATAAGGTATAGCTATGACTTTATATGAGCTAAAAGTAGAAGTGCAGGAAAAAGAAGAAGCAGAAGAAATAGAAAAGAACGGAAAAAGGAGAAATAGAAGTAAAAGAACAAGAAAAGAAGAAGAAGAAAAAACAGATGAGAAAGAAGAACAAGAAGCAGAAAAAGAGACAGAAGAGGTTCAAGAATCAGAAGAAAAAAGGAAGAAGAAGAAAAAACAGAAGAAGAATAAAAAAAGATAAAGAAGAAAACAGAAAAGAAGAAGAAACAGAAGAGGAACAAGAATAGAAGAAGAAGAAAACAGAAGAAGAAGGAAACAGAAGAATAAAAGGGGAAGAAAAAGAGGAAGAGAACTGAAGAAGAAACGGAAGAAGAATAAAAAGAAGATAAAAAGAAGACAACAGAAAAGAACAAGAAACAGAAAAGGAACGAGAATCAAGAATCAGAAGAAAAAAGGTGGAAGAAGAAGAAACAGAAATAGAATAAAAAGAAGATAAAGACGAAAACAGAAGAAGAAACAGATACCGAAGAAGAAACAGAAGGAGATGAAGCAAAAAGCAAAGAGGGAGAAGATATAAGGAATTCAAAGAAACAAACATTAATACAAGTTTGTTTCTGAGGAACTGGCAAATTTGAGAGTTATGACGATAACTTACTTTGCTTTTTGCCGAACAGTGTTGTAAACACTAGATGTCTCTTGCTGGACTTTTTCTTGGTATTCCTCAAATCTCCTTCTAATGAAACTAAAGAAAATATCATGGATATTTATGAGAAACTATAACAAGCCTGAAACAAATACCAAAGCATTGCACACATATTTTTCTTTAAATTCTCTCAAAAATGTATGGACAAGACACATACTTTATTTGAAAGTAATGTGCAATGGCACCCGCAGCCATGATGGCCAGAGCAGCAGAAATGATGTATTTGTTTGCAGAGCTGCGTTCTCCTCTATATTTCTCTTTGGCAAACTCAAAATCTCTATAATAAAAGGAAAAGGAGTTAAAATTTATGTTGATACAGTCATGATTTTTAAGGTCTAAAGCTAGTGTAGTTAGAAGACTATAAATACAAGATTGGTACATTTATTGGCAATCAGCAATTTTTTTACAGGCTAACTTTTGCACACAATGACTTAATCTTTGGGGGTAATTTCAAGTCAGTATACAGGAATCAAATTTTTGAATCTGCCTATATATTGGTCTGCCAAACGTTTTGTAAATTAGGATTTAAGGCCTCCACTAATGTAGCATGTCAAATAATGTGGACCTGGCTTTACTCTTAGAGCGGAATCACTTGCCCATTTCCACCAGGGCTGCTGAGAGGTTTTAGAGTAACCCTGCGAGCAGAAAATTTTGCAACCACACCCTTCAGAAAAGCTAAAATGCATTTTAGAATATATCTTGCAGGCACTTGTTGCAATTGTTCAAAATATTCATACTAGGTTGATTAATTATATAGGTGTCTGGCATCTCCTATATTTAGGTATACTTTTGTTACCCTTGATTAATTACATTCCTAAAATTGATTTCATTTCCCTATGAGACCCCCTAAACCTCAAGGCCTTAAGGCAATTTACCCCCCTCTCTCTTGTCCCCTAATAAAGCCCCAGCCTCCCAGTTTAACTGAAATTGCACCCCAAAGACACTTCAGAACTTCAGTCCTAACTATAGATACAAGTTCTACTTTTTAATCATTTTGGTTTCAGTTTCCTTTTATTATCAGCAATGTTTTGGGCTAATTTCATGAGGAACCTGTTCACAAAAGCATCACATGTCTCAACGATCACTTGTATTCTCATCTATCAAACAGCTATGGACTTTTAAACTCTTTTATATATATTGCAAGCTATCAAAGGAACTACAAATGCCCTACCTCTTGGAACTTTCTGTATACTGCTCATCCTCACTAAAACCTTGAAATTTTGGGTCAAACTGTGTGCTGTGGCTATAATGGCTATAAAATATAGAAAACTGGTATATTTGAGAGTAACAGAAAATTATGAACAAGTTTAAGCCAAAAAACTCTTTCCATTGCTATGACTGTAGAGTATAAAGGGCAAAAAATTCCTGCAAGAAGAACATGAAGGGATGTGAGAAGAATGATCTATATTTATTCAAAATCATTACCATCTTCAATTAGAAAGGGGGAGATTCACATTAGAGTAAAGCCTTCCAGTACAGGAAGTGCGGCAAATCACAGCAAAATTCAATTTGCTTTGTAGGTGATATGAAAATCGGGTTAACATGCTTTCGTAAAATATATGTATCAAGATTTTGGCTTCATGGCACAATTTTTTAATTACAGAGAGAGGAAAATTTTTTTGGGATTTAATGAATAAATATTACAAAAAACAAAGGAAGGGACTCATTGTTTGTGGATTCAAGCTAAAGACATCCTGTAATAGCACTAGCCAAGAGTATTTGAAAAGAAACAGGAAAATCTTTGAACAAGTGACAATTCAACATACCAGTTTTGCATAACAGCATAAAAACAGAGCATTTTCAAAGTCTTTAGGCAGAGAATAAAAAGCAGCTTAGTAAGATATTCCTTCAATTATGGCAATGCACTTTGGCTATTATGAAGTATAGTGTAAGCAAGGTCTGAAAAATTGGGTCAAAATAGTCTACAGAACTTACCTATCTCTTACATTTCCAAATGGGTTATCTGTAGAAGCATAACCTGCTTTATACTTTATTCTTGTCATGTTTGTTTTCAAGTTGTCATATTCTGCTTTTTTAACATTATTTCCTAAAACTGTGTATGCTTCATTGACCTATGATAAGATATTGATAAATTACTTTGCATCAGTAATAAGGCTAAGTAACAGATATTTTTTAAAGATATGAAAATATAAGGTCTTATAAAGCTTTTTAGACAAAATATTTATCCCTTAGGCAAACAATTCAAATACCATAAATTATCTTTTAAGCACCCCATTTCAATCAATCCCCCTCTCTTATTAGCCCCACTTTTCAAAAGGATAAATTTAATAAGCCCCCTCTCAAATTAGCCCCCCCTCCAAAAAAAATTCACTTATGCCAAAATAAGTAATCTTGAAAAAACAGAGAGACTTTCATTTCATTCAATGGTAGTTGAATACTTCCTATCTCTCAATTTAGCCTCTTCTCTTATAAAGTCCCTTTAAAGTACTGAACAACAGTAAACCCTCTGAGGGGCTTAACAGAGAATTTACGGTATATTAAAAATATGTTCAGGTAACCACCTAACTTGTATAACTCTAAACTTTCCTTGCACCAACGATTTTGAATGTTGCTAAACTTTGTGAATAGAAATGCCAGGGTTTTAATAAAATTTGAGGATAGTCTTACCTCTACAAAAAGATCGTGTAATTCTGGGTCACTAATATCTTTGTCTGGATGCAACTAGAAAATTAAATTGTTACTGGGATATAATGACATACAGAGTAGAACTGTATTGTAGTATTTTGCTTTCAGGAGCTTTGCAGTATCTTAGGAAGGGTAGAATAATTGGGACACCATTGTCTGAAAAAATAGGGACAAATGCTTACACTCGTTGAGAGGGACTCAAGTCCCCCAAAAACAACAGTAGCTACAGCCCTGCTTTAACAGTTTAAGGGAATATGAAAATTGCAGTGAAGAAAATCATTTCCCATCACACGAATTTTCAAGCAATATTCACCATTAATCACACATAAATCTTTACTCTTCTCTTCACCTAGTTGCCTCGTTATTTGAGACAAATTACAAAATAAGTGGAGCAGAAAATATTTATGGAAATTGTTTATAATTGCTGGTGAAAAATTCAAAGAAAATTGCACCAAATACTGACAAAAGAAATCACAAAATAATAACAAATTTATTGTTTTCAAAGATGCTTCCTGCAGCATGCAAAAGGTGAACTCTATATCAGAAAAAGCAGGAGTAAGTATGTTGATAACAAAGCACATATCAATATAAAGATTTTCTTGAAATATTCTTTCAAATCTTTAGCTTAAATGAGATATTCAAGCATCAGAAATTAAGGTATTTTTGTCACATAAAAATGCCATATCATTCTTTAAGGCAGGACATTTTGTATTCTTTTCAGTAAGAATAACAGTCAATGCATGTGTGAACAATAGAATTTACCTCTTTAGTTTTGGAAACATATGCACTTCTTATTTCTTTTCTTGTAGCAGTCTTATTTAAGCCAAGCACATCATAATAGCATTTCTTCTCAGTAGCATTTTGGGAAATTTTCCTGCAAAACAAAAAGTATGATTTTGAAACAGGGCTGAAAAATGTCCGGCAGCACAGGCAGTGGTGCTGGCAGAAAATTTTTAGCACAAACATTGCAAGAAATTGTTGCTGTTTGCCAGGAAATTTTTAGCGTGAAATGTTCATTGTTTGATTTTAATATGGACATGGAATTTATGTTACTCTCTTTCTATGGAACGTTTTTTTTCTTGTGATATACATACATAACTGTAAAATTTATGTGATATACATAAAAACTAACAAAAAACAAAGATTACTAGCGACTACTAGCTTTGATGATTAGAATGAGCAGCAAACAGGAGGCCCAGAGCAAGATGTAGGGTACATCAACACTTTGATAGTATCTAGTTTGCTAGTACTGATATGAAACTTAATCAAAATTATTAGAGATTTTCATATTATTAACATTAACCTTGATAAAAAACTTTGAGCATTGTGCTTATTCACATTCTCCTTGATGATCTAATACAGTATAAACAAAAAGATTGCTGTTAGAATAGCTATGATCAAAAATCACGGATCAACAATTAGTTAATATTTAAACAAATCAAACAACTTAAAATATCACTTTGTCAAAGCTTCACAGGAAATCTTGAGCTTTTTATTCTGCTGCCAGGAAGAAAAATCTTTTTTCAAGCACTGTATTGAAACATAAATTGCATTTTGATATGTTGCATGTGAACCATTTCCACAGTATGAAAAGCTTCATATTAAAGAATTTACCTTCTGGTCAATAAAACTAAACATGACAAACTCCGTTGCCAATGCTTTTGCTTTATCACTGTACAATACATCTAATGCACCTAGAAAAATTAATCATCATCATCATCGTCATTGTCATCGCCATCCTCATTTTCATTGTCATCATCAGTTTAACATCATTTTGTCATATTGTCTGGTGTTAGACTTGAACATAGTGCAAAGATGAAAAAACAGCAATATCCATTTGCAGATGATGAATTGTCATCTTGATAAAAATAACAAATGCAGTGGCATGGTGGACAGAGGGCAAGGGGGCACATGCCACAAGCAAACAGGAGTTGGGGTAGCTAATGCCATCAAAAGGTTCCGAAAGCCAGTTCAAAAAATTTGTAGGGAATAGATATTTCAACAAAGCAGGGCTTGGAAGAGGAGCATAATTCAATATAAATGTGTTTTTTTTCATTTTTCCTTTATCCTCTGCACTCCCATGTAATTCCTCCTTTTTATCTCTGTGTAACTCCCATGCCACTCATCCATTGAAAAATGTTCTTATTTATATTGAAACATTAGAAGATAAAATAGCATCCAAGCATCTCTTGGCAGTTCAACACTGCTAATCAAACTTCCACCAGTAACATACAGATTTGCTTGACCTTACAGTTGTTGGATATGAGACATAACTATCAGTAAAAAATAATACTTCAACTTTATAAAGCTAGGTAGCTTCACATGATTATCAGGATACTTGTTCTGTTGACATTCTTGTTTTTCGTTGTTAAATATCCAAATAAGCCTTTGGTATTGCAAAATTTGAAAGTTAGCACAGAAGAGCAGAATTTTGTTATACTAAAGTACTTTTAGTCCTATACTCCTCAGAGTAAAACGTCAAGTAATGTCCAAAAGTAAGCAAAAAATTTATATCCAGATGTGGACCAAAAGTTATATTCAGAACTCTTTCTGTCTACACAAGTCAGGATCCTTTGCTTTGATGTAGACAGATTCTAAAACGCCAACATGAAAAGTGGACTTTGCTTGTCCAACGATTTTAGAACTGGTCAGATGTAAAATTTAGATCTTAATCTATTTGATTTAAATGTTATGTTTACTTTTACCTTTGAACATTATACGATGTTTATTCTCTGAGGGGTGTAAGATAAAAAGAACTTTATTTTGACAAATTTCTGCTTTTTTGATCTATTTTCAAACATGTTCCTATGGTTTTGCAAGACCTAAACTGTCATCACATTGCAATCATGTCAATTTCAAAACAGATAAAGCAAGACACATAATGATGAAAACATAAATTTTCTAGAATCTTCATTGGGTGTAAATCTTTGTATGTTGTAGGTATTCATGCAGTTTCTGACCACCCCTAGAAAGTCACTTACTAAAGATATTTGAACAAAATTTTGTGTTACCTACCATGGTGGTGGCCTCCACTAAACCCCTTGACAATCTTGAGATTTTTGCATAATGATAAAGGAAAATTTATGGACATTCTCTACAAATCTTTTCTGATTCTAAATCTATGTTGTAAACTTCTTAGATGAGTTTTTAACCATCTTCGAACATAATATTTTAATTTTTTCTTGCCCTTGTTTATAATGATTGGCCTTTACTAAAACACTGAACAATAATAATATGTAAACATTTTGGCATGATATGATAAGGAAAAGCTGCCGGATATTGCCTATTATTAGCTTCAGTTCAAATCGATGTTGAAATTACTTGAGATGCAGCTTTTTTTATGCATAGAATGTTATTCTTTCAGAAATATCCTTGCTACCAGCCATGTAAGTGACCATAAAAACCCCTGAAAAATCTTAATATTGTAAAATGGCTTATCCCTTTGCCAAATTGAACGACGCCACTGATCAGGTGAATAAGCATGTATTATGATAAAAGCTTTCAACTTTCATGATCTGAGGATACCTATAATTATTTTTACAGACGAAAATGATAGCAACATGCAACTCATATTGCTAGACAACCCGCATTTTGTGAGCGAATTAGGCCCATGAGAAATAAAAACACGGGCCTTTTTGCTGACCGCCTTATTACGGCAGTAGAATTTTTAAAAGAAGCATACAAACCAAAATTCAGTAGAGCCTTTTTTGATCTTTTTCAAATACTTCAAGCAAATATAAGAACTTCATCCTCACTTAACCCGTTGGAATATCATCGAAAAGCGGGTGTGCCAAAATATCATCAAGGTTACACAACTTTTTAGGGCTAAAGCCATTACATAACAGCCTCGTTTTGGCAGAATATTTCCGAGAAAAGAGAAGTAAACAGAACGAGATGTAAATAAATCGTCTTCAATTGTATCACTTTCAAAAGAGGAAAATAGCCAAAACAAAAAGTAGTATATCACGGAGAATGGAAACAGATGAAAATCTTCTATAAACTGCACACAAACCGTGCCTTGAATTTTAAAGTAGGGGGGCCAAGGGCAAATCATATATCCAAGATCCATAACAAATATTTTGCAAAAAGGCCTATTGTATCTGGAGAAATTGGGGTATGACCCTTTGCCCCTGTCGTTGGAGCCCCTAGGAAGAGCCATCATGAAGTAAATATTTAATTCATGGAATTTTCAGCTTATAAACAAACTATAATGATTTTGAAACAAAAAAATGACAAACGACAAAATAAATATTATCAATTAAACCTAAACAATAATAATCACTGGTATTACCAGATGTATTCCGCCTATACTATGCAAAACCAATCACATAGACCTACCAATCTATAAAATCTGATATTATCTAGGTAGATGTCTTTTATGGAGATTAGAAAGAAAACTCAAACATAGGATGTGGCAGAATTCCTATACTTTGTCAAATATTTCTTTCAAATTAAACACACAAAATTATGATTGTCATTAAATATACATCTATTGAACTTTGCAGGACTTTAAAGAATTTTGCAGCATTTAATCATCAAGTAGCTAACTCTTACATACAAGGGTTATCCAGATCTGCATGTCACAAGCCCAATTCTGAGAGTCTACACAACTTATTTCTTATCCTTCTTTATCATTGATAACATAGATTTGATGCAATCTTTTTAAAAATAAAAGGCTCTGGGTCATATCTTTCTTTATATGTTCTTGGCTCTTTCATTGATTTCCCCTCTTCAATTACCATCTTCCATAAATCTTTCACTTTAATGTCATTTTCATATAAAGCTTGAAGCATGCTACCAAAATCATCTGCAAAGACTTTGTCCCCAAATGAAAAAAAATTAAGATGCTTTACATTTGCAGCTGAAGCTCCAATCACTTGTAAAATAGCTTTGATTTCTTTGTCACCACCAAAAGCTCCACATCCCCAGTGTCCTGTGCTAATACCATTTGTTTGAGATGAGAAGCCCACAAAACATTTCAAAACCTCCCGTCTAAGTAAATCTTCTCTCATCTGTTCAAATCGGTTTTCACCAGTCCCTTTCTGAAACCACAATGCATCAATGGCAATGATTTTTCTTGCAGCCCAGTTCCATTTCTGTACATTTTTACCTAGATAAATGGCATCCAGTCCATAACCTTTGTATTCTGCATATTTTTTAGCACCAGTTATCACAATGCATTCATTACTTCTTAAAGGGTCTGCATTAAGGATGGAAATTGGCAATGACTCAGGACTTATTCCAAGCATTAGCTCCTCTTGAGTTCCTCCAGGACCTCCTCCAACATATGCATTTGCAAAATCAACCTCTGTCTCCTCAATGTCTCCAATTCGTCCCTCAGAATGTATTATGACTTTGACAAGAGGATTATCACAATAATTAAGGTTTATCTCTGAACTAAAAAATACTTTTCTTTCAAACTCAACTCTATAGTCTAGTGAGCAGTCAGAATCACTAAGTTTTCCTGCATCCTCAAACAAATTTAAAATGGCGTTTAAGTATATATCTGTTGTTGGATAGGACTTGTTTGAGTACCAGTTGGTGAATGACATCCTGCTGTGAAAAGAAAAGGGGCCGCCAGTATGTTCTTCTTTGCAGTATGTATTCTGAGAGCAACAGCGAAATGTTCCAAAAAACATATGAGCAAGTAAACAATGAATTTCGTTTCTTTTGAATGACAACTTTGAGGGTTTCAATGCTTGAAGAAGCTGAATTGTTCCACTCTGGAACAAATCTTCGATTTCCAGGGCCTTTTGGCATATTGTCTTTATTACTGGCATTTCTGCGTTTTCAGCATGTCCCCTAAATTGTTTAAGCACTCTTGAAAGCCTTGATAAATCATCTATTTGCTCTGCTCTCTCACATTGGTTTATCTTTGATATCTGAAGTATCGTATCCTCTAGGTTTGAGATAGAGGCGTCGTTCAGGAGCGTTTGTAAAATATCCTTGATTGCTGGCCAGTATTCACTTAAATATGGTGGGCTTGTGCTTGAGGGAAGTTGAAGAGCCATATCCCGTAACCAAACTCTCGTCTTCAAATTACAATTTATATATAAAATCATGAAAAAGCTTTAAGTTTCTATACATAACTGACATGACGTGATCCCGGAATTAAAATCGTTTATGCTTTAAGCCTCTCTATGGTGAGCCTCAGTTTCGCGAACTGGCGGTTTCTTCGAAGGTCTTAATTGGAACAAACAAAACATGGTGTCGAGCTTTCGCTAAGCCAACGCAAGTGTAGTGTACGAGATTAAAATATTACAATGGAAAAGTACGAAAAATACAGGTAAAGGAGTAAATTTTATCGAACTTCATCTAACTCTGTGATGTAAACACCTGCAGCTATTTTACAGAATTTAGTGATCCTTGTTTCGCCTTCGGCCTCTTGAAATAACCGCGAAGCCGACCTGGAGAACCTGCCTGTTTAATTCTACATCTTTTTATATTTTATTGTTGAGGACGTAAGGAAGCCACAGTTTATTAATTGCTCGGTGTTTACAACAATCCTCATAAAAAACAGAATATCATTTACTCAAGGAGCTATCGTGTGGATGTAGATGTTATTGACACTAAACTTGAAGTAGCTCGTTACCGCAACAATTGCTTGAAAGCCAGCGGGGCCGTTGGAAATCTTTATGCAAATAATCTTTGAAATTTAATCTAGTCTCCAACAGAAGAGTTTTCCTTACCAAAAATTTGAGTCAAGTCTAACCATACATGCTGTCGTTTTGGAAATTAGAATTCTTAATATGTTTTTACGATGACAATTCATTTTCCCTTTCAACCACACCTGCTAGATGTTCTGTTTAAATCTCAGTCACGCATTCTTTAGTTATAACAAAGACTTCCAGCCGATGTTGTTTACAAAATAAAGTTTTGTTCAGTAAACCCAAATGACAGGTGTTTGGTAGATGTGCTTTGTTTGAATTCTACATGTAATTCCAATAACTATTTTCCATATGATTTAATGCATTTTCCTTGTGAAGTTGCTTTCAATTAATTCAAGTAAGCTAGAAATTTAAACAATTCGTATCATTAGGGAGTATTATCAACAGAGGGTTTTCAGCTTAATTGAATGTACACATTTATTGAAATAATAACTGGTCCTAAATAACTTGTTTTGTGCCTGTGATTTGATTGCATTCTGCTTGAACAAACTATTTATTAAACATTAGGCAAAGTCCCTGGCTTTTGCATATTGGCTGCACAAAGTCCCTAGCTAATAACATTTTACATTATTAACACTACAAATTTATAAATGTGCATAATTTCAGGTGTTGTCTGATTTAGTAAAAGTGCTTTTAGCTTAAAGTAAGTCTAAATCTGTATTGCCTCTATAAACATAGCTTTACATTCTAAAGCTATTTAGGAGCACCCAGGGCTGTGAAGAGCGAGGCAGTGCCCCAGGGAAATCAATGAGTGTAGACCCCTTGCTTGCTTTAAAAGGAGTAAAGGCTCAACAATGTTGTCAATTAATGTAGTTTTCATAATTACGGGCCCCATATGCACTATGCTGCCAGACACTTGCCCCAGCTACCCACCCCTCTGTTGGTGATCCTGGAAGCACCTCAGCATTTTCAAATTTTATAAATTATTTGAAAAGAAAACAGTTGATAAAGACAGATGGTGAAGAGTGGTTTTTCTATATAATGTGATGATTGATTTTGAACAAATCTTGTTGTTTGACTTTGAGATTTGATTTGGACAAATTATCTTGCAGGTTTGATCAATAAAAGAAAATGGGTTCAAGGTATAAAGATGAAAGGCTTATCAACAAGGTTGATGAGCTTGCTGCCTCACTTCATGCAACATCAGAAGTTTTGTCAACAGCTGACAACATGTTAGAACATTATAGGGACTTAAACAGAGAGCAAGATGTTGAAATAGCCAGGGTAAGCCAAACAGCTGAAGCATCTTTGAAGTGTTTTTATAAATCATATAGTTTGATAGATTTGTCTCTTTGATATGATCGAGTGTTAGTGAATGCATCTTTGAATCATGCTCTTATTTCTCCTAATAATTTACTGGTACTTATTGCCGGGGCACAGTAGCTGGAGAGGCAAGAGTTTTTAGGTACTTTTTCCCATAAATTTAGTAAAAACAGTCTTTAGCTCCCACTGCACTCCTGCACCTGTACATCACTTAATTTTGAATTGATAATTCTTTGTTTATTAGCTGCTATTAGAGTGACAAAGTTGATGACCAGTTATCATTATCTAGCCAAGTATTTATTCAGGCTTAGCCAATCTTTTTCCTGATGTCTTTTTGCTTTAGATTTGTTTCTGTTTTAGATACCTTGAAATTTCAGACTAAAAGAATACAATTAGTAATTCTAACTGTACAAATAGGATGCCTCTGAAATTGAAAACAGTTGTATGATGGCCATAACATTTTTGTGTTCAAAATTGATTTCAGCTAAATGATGAACTCTGGGCAACGAAAAGACCATCTGTGTCTCATAGATCCAGAAGACGCAGCTTACCAAGAACCCCATCAATTGTAAATAGTTTTTACTGCTTACTTTGCTTATCACCATTTTTAAACTTAATGCTAAGTTGCCAGAAATTTGGTGCATTTCATGCTCTTTCAAGTGAAAAATGTTGAGGTTTTAGATTGCATCTGTTTTGCATTCTGAGTAAGGTTTTCAGCATTACATTCTGATGCTTTGGAAACCAAAACAAATAGGAAACCAAAACACAAAAAAGATATGGAATATAATCTCTACAAATAAGACAAAAGCTACATGCTATGACCATTTATGAATTGCTGGTAAAAGGATAAGGCAAGAACAAACCTGATTATTTATAAGTAGTATAAACTTCTTTTTTTCTTCAAACACCAGATTAACAAGATTTTCAGATTTAATACTGGATTAAAGCTAAGGTCAAATTTATGTTCACTTTGACCTTTGATCTAGTGACCAACATTTTGAACTATTGGATATTTCTTAAAAGCATACTTTCAATTAGAATTTATGAAGTCATCAGCATCATCTAATATTTACACCTAGACTTTAGAAATAAAAAAATTTAAAAAGCTACTCAAAGAGTAGTGTCTTATTGACTACCATCATTTCCTGTCTTAAGCATAACCAAATTCATTTGTAAAAGATGGTTGCAACTACCCATTGCAATTAATTTTTGTGTAATATGCTATCACTAATATATATTTTTTCAAGCTTCTAGTCTTTTCCTGTTTTGTAAATTTATCAATTTTTAGACCTTTCCAAGTCTTGCTCTTATTTTTAGTCTGATGTAGAAGAAAGGAGAGCCAGGGCAACTAAAGTCAAGTTCACAGATGAAGAGTCAAACTCAGATGTAAGTATAGGGAGTCAGACATTACAACTATTAATCTATTATACTATCAAAATGATTAATTTTGAGGTTAATTCACATGCAACCTAGATAAGAAAGGCCTGGTGTCATTGGAGATATGCGGTTCTGAAACCTAACTTAGCCTTTTTGTAGTGTGCAATTTCAAGATTTCATATTAGTGATGAGAATTTGCATCCCAATTTAATGCAATTTAATTCACATCCTGTGTGGATCCAAAATTACACCAGAAGAAGAATGGTGGTTTTATATGTTTCTTGTTTGACCACTTGGCAACCACAAGAGGAGAGAAAATGCGTTCTATCGATCTCTAACCTATATTTGGCCCTCTGTATGTCCCCTCAAGATTGATAAAAGTGATCTTACCCTTTCTTTTAAATCTAGTAAATTTTTAAATTTAGTGATGTAACAATGAAGAAAACATAGAGACCAATCCTTCTCTTGACAAAACCCTAAATTTGTTTTTGTTTATTTGCAGATTGAAGAGTTTGAAACTGCACTGCGTGAGTTGAATAGAAAGCAACATCGGTTGGAAAAAGAGCTGAAAAGAAATCAAAGAAACGGGACCCAGTAAGCTTTTGCTGTTTTAATGAAAATAATTAATGAAAACGAGTACAGCGCCCTGAATTTTTCTTTTGAATTCAGTTTTTGTTTTCTCTTTCATTTAATTTGCCATTGCTAGAAGATTCGTTCCGAGGACAACCTATTGTTTTTTTGTAAGTAGAAACTATCATACAGAGATAATTTTGAAACAGTTCTGTGTTTAAATTATTAGGCATTTGGTCTCAATGTTCATTTGATTTTATCACTTCGGTCTTTAACCCTGGGCAGAAAGTGTTAGGACTTTACAATCCCCCGTCTTGTGTTGATGTCTCTGCTATTAGAATGTATCCGCCCTCACTTTGAAGGGGGGGGGGGGATGGAGGTTTGACGGTGGACTACGCATGCGTGCTACCGGTCATGTTTTTAGATGTTTGCTTCAATGTGTCAAGTGAAGAAAACCATTTACACCTTAAACAGTCGCCTGTAGACCAGTTTCGGCCTATATCACACCTCGTCAGTACAGGTAGACTGAATGAGAACCTACTTTTGTTCCTTTATTTCAATTGCTGTACCCAGAATTGCAGATAAGCGAAAGAAAAAATAAACTCAACTTATATAACTTAGAAATTTGTTAATCTAAGGGTGATATTTCAAACTAGGATCAAGCTAAAATGTACTGTGATATGTACTTCGTATGCTGCTATGCACCCTCACCGTGTAATTTTTAGAATGGTTTAGTTAGGTCAAATGCAAAAGCTGTAACATGCAAGTCTGAAAGCTAAGCTCTCGTTAATGAAATGTTATCTTTTTTATTTTATTGGTAGCAATACACTTAGCATGCATTCTTGTTGTTTTGTAAAACGGTCTCAACAAACGCTAGGTGTTTTTAATCTTAATAGGGATTGCTTGCCATTTTGTTAATTTATATTTTAGGGAACTTAAAGGTCTAATGGATTCTCTGAAAAAAGACTCGGACGACAGCGTGCTTGAAAAGAAATTGAAGGAAATTCAACAACAGGTAGAGGGTATTTTCAATTATTTTGAAATAGTAGCCACCAGAGTGAAATGGAAAGATCTTTTTAAGGGAGGGGGTGCGATGTTGAATTTTTTATTCACCATTCTATACACCGTTATGTAGGAGGAGCAGTGCTGGGAAACTGTCTTTGGGGTGCAGCCTGGTTTGTTTGGTGATTTTAGCCACTTGTCTCTTCAAATAAATATTCCGTGGATCAGAGCACAGATTGAAAAAAGGGTAGAAAAGAAACCCCGTTCATTGATAATACCGAGTTATCTTACTATCCCTTCTGACTACCCCTATCTGTTTGGGAAGCTAATCCTCTTATCGAGGATATCATTACAACACCGGTTGCTTTTTTCGTCAATTCAGCGAGCTCATTCTTAAACATGTTCTTATAAGCTTGCTGAAAATTGCCCACTTTTCGTCATTACTCTTAGTTAAAAGCCTGGGTTATATACAGGACCGTTGCAACGCCTCTAAGAAAATTTTTTTTGGCCATACCTTCAGACTCCCGGGGAACTAGGATAACCTTTCTCTTAGGAAGAAATGTGTTAAATAATTCTGAAACCGTTTTGTCAATGTTCTGCAAAAACATTGTATTCAAGAATGAAAGGAATATTGAACCCCGTCGTAGAATTTACAGGCATTGATTTCATATAAGTAGCTAGAATTTTTTTGGTTTTCTGCGATGTAAAGAGATCTTGTAGTAATTCGATAGTAATATGATTAAGAATTTGTTTGGCCTCATAAGAACATGGAACCCGGACCACCTACGCCTCCATCGAACTCACCCCTCTTGATGCTCTTAGGAACACCCTTTGTTCCCATTTCAGTGAATAACATCATTATTTAATTATGATATTTTTTCCAGTCTTGTTGAAATTTTTGATCTTAAACAGTGGCTCGTTTATGTGTTTTTCTATTATTATTAACCTGAATCTGACGAATCTACTAAAAACAAAAACATTTATACGTGTTATTTCTTAATTTCTAGACATAAACAACTGTTTAGTTAATCTGCAAAATCCTCCTTTTTTACGATTCAGGGAAGCTTTTTCAATGTATTTACACAATGTCAGACTTCAGTTTGATAAAAAAAATGAAATTTTTTTAACTTTTCTCCACCAAGCTTGAAATTGACCGCATCAAGAAATCGTTCAAGGACGAAAATGTTGAAAAACTCGCTGATGAAATCAGGCACATCAGGGTAAAATTTTTTTATTGTTGTGGTTCTTGTCTCCACATCTTTGCTACTTTATTGTTTAGACTTTGATTCAGATTGGTTAGATATAAGATTTCAAAAGTCAAATAAAAATTTTAATCAAACATTTTTCATTACATGTTTCGATCATAACCCTTTGATTAAGCCAGGTATTTCACACTTGTTATGAAGAACAAAACATTCAGCAATGCAATTTGACCTACTAAAATCCTGCATGTAAAGCATCTGCCTTCTTTTTTCAGGGCCTAGTCCAATCGAGAGAATCAAGAGAACCCCTAACTCCACGGCATGAGAATAGGTATGTAAGCAGTACTGTCGCCTATGGTGCTATTCGTGTTAAGCTTGATAAAATGACCAATATTTCCTTTGAAATTTTTCAACAAATAATAAAATCATTTCGATATTTATTCTCAAAGACCCATATTAGGTATTTTGTTTGTTAGATATGACCCTTAACTCGGGTTCAGGTATGATGTTGCTTTCCTTAAAAATATACCCGTTAACTAAATACTGATAACTATTTTTCACATTTTTCTCGCTGCTTATGAAAATACCACTATTTCTCTAAACGTTGTTCTGTTTTACAGTTCACGGTCGTTCGTAGAAGAACTAAGGAATGAAAGAGAAAGGTCAATACGAGATCAAGAAATGGTAACTATATGAAAAATATTTCTATTGAAATCTGAATATTTCAATTCATTTAAAATTCCTCAAAAATTCCCAAACCCCATGAAACAAAATGAAACTTATTTTCGTGAAGTTTCTCTCAAGTTAGGGTCACTATCAAAAAGTTTAAGATTTGCAGTTTTCCTGATTCTTTTGCCAACTGATGCATTGTTATTGCTCTAAAATTATCCTATGTTAATGGACTTTTTATCAAAGGAAGCCATAGATATAATGGAATGGTATGCAACGTTGACGAATCGTTACCTTTCTTCAGATTTCTGATTTGCAAAGACAACTTCGGCAGCGGGAAGAGGACCAGGAGAAACTTTTATCACAGCTCAGGAGAACCAGAGGGGAACTCGAAGAGAGTGACGCAGGTCAAAGGCGCTTGTCTAAAAGGCTGGAGACTTTAGAAGAAAACTTTGAAAAGGAAAAATCCGAAAAAAGAAAACTCGAGGAAGAAATAGGATCTTTTAAGACGAATGTAAGATATCTATTAAAATTCCAAATCTAATTTGATTTTTATCATTTTGCATTAGGATTTTTAATTTAGTTAAAATGATCTGATAAAGGAAACATGAGAAGTGACTTGTCTGCCTGAGCTCATTTGCTCTCAAAGCGTTAACAATTCTTTGATAAAGATTAAAAACAGAAATATTGAGATTTTTCTGAAACAGAAAGTTCCCAAATTGTGACACAAAAGATACAACGTCTTCATCAATCAATCTCGATTTTAAATTGGAGGTTGATTTGGCTTTAAGATCAAAGATAAGAATCTTATGAATATTGATAAATCAAGGTTACGAATTTTCCTTTTGACATATTTCAAAGTAACTCTAATATGTAACAATTATTGTTTTTTTACTAAACCGGGTATCAACTGTTTGATGTTAAAACTTAAAGTTTCCCCAAAAAATTTGTTAAACTTAGATAAATATTTCATCACATCAGACAACGAAAATCAGTCGAGAAAATGCAGAACTGACTACCCAGATGCAGTATCTTCGTGATCAAAGCCGACCCAGTTCACAATTGAGTGACTTTCAGAGAAGGCTGGATGATTTGGAACGCGAAAGAGAAAAGGCTGTCGACAACCAGAACTCCTATCGCAACGAACTTGACCGGAAAGATGTTCTCGTTGATAAAATGACATCACAGATCAGAGAGCTGACCGGGCACATGGAAAAGGCCGAGTCAGAAAAAAGAAGATACCGAAATGAACTTGAAGACAATATCAAAAAGCTGAGGGATTATTCTCTTGATTTAGAAGACTTGAAAAGTGCTCTTAAGGACAGGGACAGTGAATTGCGGGAAAGTGAACAGAAAAGACAAGAGCTCAAAAGCAGGGCACTTGAGGCGATAAAAGAGTGAGTTAGCTCTTTGTTACAAGCACATAACAATAGTCAATTTAAACGGTATTGGGACTAAAGCCACATCTAAGGATGGGGCCTAAGCTTTGATTAAACTGACAAAAATTTCTAGCGACATAGACAAAACATGAATTTTGCTCAAATATTCCCTATTAGACCATTAATCAGCTTGACATTATCACCCAAAATTTGTTGCCTAAAATATTGTAACATTTGACAGTGACATTAGAAATCCTTGAAATTATGTTGGGCTAGAGCGTGATTTGAATTGATTTGTTAAACGCAAATTCTGTTGCATTACTTGCCTTTTGAAGTTGCTTAGCTCGAATATTCTGAATGACCTGAGCTAAGAGTCTCATGGGAACCTGCCACTTGTCTAACTGAATTAACTCGTTATTTGAACCATATCCTTTATTCAAATTTTCTGCAAGATGAATATGTTATTCATGTTGTAGGAATTTGACAAAAGTTCACATTTGCATCTTTCTTCCATTTTAAGGTACCGAGGAAAATGCCGTGACTTAGAGAAAGACAAAACTCGTTTAGAGGTAATGCTTGCTTGGTTCTAGATCCCTTTTCTTTTTGTTTTCTGTTTTCGATGATTGTCTGCAACGTTTGAGCAAAATTTGCCTATCAATATATTCTTGCTTATTTGAAAAGTATTAACATATTCTTGAAATACTTCTCTTCCCAAACTCTCCTCTCCCTATCTTTGACTCAATCTTATTCATCACTATTTCTTTGTCTATTTACGTTGTCAGAATTTTATTATTCAAAGATTTTTACATCGCAGGAACGCGAGGAAATGCGTCAAAGGGAATTACTCGAAATGAAAAGCCAGGTATCTTTAATTAAGCAAAGCTGATAACTGTTTTGGATACTAACATTTATTCTGGTCATTTGAGCCACGTGCTCCTCTACGACTATCGATCTTTTTTATCAGTTTGTTGCAGCTACTGCCTGTTTATATTTTTTGTTCATCGACGCATGCAAGTTTTTTTAGAAAAATTCTTTTAACTTGTTGTCCTGCAAGATGGATTGGTTTGTAGAATAGTGGCAGATAAATGTTTATTCAAAATGGAGTTCGTTTGAAAACAGGCATGTTATCGTTCAAAGATATGTTTGCAGAATGAAATATTATTGAGGGTGTTATCTGCTCGTGTAGCCGAAGGCCCTTCCACTATCGTAGTAAGAACATTATGTCATATGAATATGATATTCTCGGCAATAGTGGTTTTTAGGCTTACCTTTAGTATCGATCCAATGAAAGTTTTTTTAAAGTCTGAATTATATTGCAAACCTTGCAAGTACGAACCTGTTTGTGAAATATTTATTCAACTGAATATATGCGCGATAATAGGTTCTATCAGTGATGGTAGAAAATGTTGCAATGAAAGTCATTTAATCTGTTACTTGTTTCCTAAATACGGAAATATGTTAAATTCAAAAACTTTCCATGTTGCAAAATATAGAAAGTTAGATGGCTCTATCAACATTTTTTTATTGATAAACGCAGAAAGTATATATTTGATAAAGAATAGTTTCACTGTTTATTTTATATTTTGGCGTAAGAAAAATGCTTTGAAGGCCTATTTTACATCAACTTACTGGCAGAAATTTGTAAGAAAAAGATTTAATCTTTAGAATACGCATTTTGAATTCTAGAATCGTGAATTTGAACTTGAAAGTAAGAAATCGGAACATGACATACGAGAACAAGAGGATAAGACCAGACGGGTAAAGCTGTGTAGCGTTATTTCTCTTGACAATGTCAGAATTTATGTATTCCTCCTCACTTTACACTTTTTAGACTGCCTTACTCATTTCTTTTGCTTGCTGTATATTTGATTAAATTTGGAACAGATTTTACTTTTAGTGTTAACTGAAAAACTAAGGAGCAGTTTCTTTTTCTTTAGTTGGAAGACGAAATCCAGAGGCTTCAAAACCAAGTATCCCAACTGCTTTACGAGAGAAATCAATTAGAAGAGGTAAGTTTGTTCTGATTCGAAAATTTCATTCGAAAGTCAGGCGTTTAATGTCATGATTTTCATGGATGTTTGTGTTTTATACGTTCACAGAAAACTCTTGTTTTTTCATTGCCATATATTCTATTTAGTAACGCTAAAACTATGTCTTCATTTGAGAATGTATCAGGCACTTTCAGGTCCCAGCAAGTTTTTCTCATACTCTGAATTCCTGTTCAGCCTTCTTTGATGGTTTTTGTGTCCTGATTCCTTGTTTTATCTACTTTAGAAAAAGCCCGCTGTGGAAATCAATGATATCCTATCCAAACTTAAGAATAATTTTAATGAGTAGTAACTTACTTTTGTAAAAACCTTCAGCAATCTTTCCAGGGGTTGTCTCAGACAAATTTGGCTAAGAAAGACATGTCAAAAGTACAGGTACTTGATTCTCTTCATGAAAGCTCCTTTCCTTTTATTGATTCGGTTGCCAGATTAATGTGTTCCCCTCCTGTTTAATATTCATTATCCTCATTCTAGTTTGGGGTACAAATATATATTTTAAGGGTTTATAGATATCTTATTAGTAATAGGGGCTAGAATTGTGCAAAGAAATTTCCAGGACTGTTGTCAACTCAAACATTACTTTCCCAACATTCATCGCATGCTGTCGATTTTATTGTTTCCAATAGAGATTAGTATTTACTTATTTTTTAACTTTATATATTTCTAAAAACTGCTCAAAAAATTGCTGCTGAATATTTCACTGTTATGCAAACAGTTTAAAAAAGGTACAGCTAAGGTAAATGACCTCTAGCCGCTGTTTACTTAAAATTGATAGCAATGTCTAAATTGTAGCACGAATTTCAAGATCTCAGTGCAAGAAACGCTGCAATCAGTGGACAGCTCGCTGAAGAGACAGGCAAACGTCGAGTAAGACAGTGGTTTGACTTTTTTCCCATCTCGATTAAGATCGTTCTGTATAAATATCAAGGCTTAGATAGCTGTGCATCCTCAATGCCCGGTATCGTAATTTTCAGTTAGTAAAATAAGCTCTCGTAAAACAACGCTTCGTATAACATACTTCAAGATTACATGGTTAGGCTGATATTATGTATTTAAGTGAAGTACTTTATAACCAATACTACAAAAAGAGTATAAAAACCGGGCTGATCAACAACAGTTAAAAGATAGCTTGTATCCAGATTTGAAAATTTTGATTGGTTCATGGTATTGGCCACCGCCGACATCAGTAGCAAGTATATTTAAGAGGGACCCTACAAATGAAACAATTAACCAATCTACTAACATAAATCACGTTTGTGCTTCAGTATGAATATATTCCAAAACACCTTAAATGAAAATACGACCTTTTGTATGACTTGGAATACATTCTGGATTTTCAAATACAGCCTGTGCTTGCAAATTCAGTGAGGATGTTGTCTTTCAGAACAGTCCTCTTCCTAGATTGGAACATGCAACTGTTTCTTTGATTTGCTAAATGCAAAATGACCTGAGGGTCAGAATTTCTAACAAAGAACTGCTGTCAGGAAGAACCACAAACATCCATAGAGATAACGTCAAATTGGTATCGTACAGGCATGCAAATGTCTTTAATTCACAATCTTCCAAGAAAAAATTGCTCTTGTAGTGTTTGTCATATTATTATCTGGTATGTTCAGCTCCTATAAAATTATCCGTTTCGTTGATTGAACTTGATTTTGGCATAGAGTTGGTTTGAATTTTATTTTATTCTTTACTCTATTTTAGGAACTAGAGGAAAGACTTATGGAACTGCAAGAAAAACAAAATTCAGCAAAAGAAGAAGCTGCAACTTTGTACCAACAGTTGCAAGAGGTTGATTGGTTTTCTTCTCTATCATATTCTTCATAAGTTATCTTTGAATCGATCCAGTACTACAAAACTTTAAGGCATTGAGTCACGGTAGAAGGATAGGGTATACACAATTATGCCGATGCTATTGGTGGACCGTAATGATTTTTGTGCTGCAATGCTATTGGTGGATCTGACACTTATCACATGAATTTGCCTCATACTGAAACTACAGTGGTCACGCTGAAACTAAGAGACCCTCTATAGAGAAGGCCTCTTTTCAATGACTCCTCCAAGTTCGTTGTTTTCACAACTTTGATAAATATATGGCCTTCGCTGCCCTTTATGTGGCCTTCGTGTTTTTTAAGCAAACTTTAAGTCTTTTCGTTTTGATATTGATAAGCAACTCTGTTTGTAGGAACGACTATCACACGCAAAAGCCATGAGAAAATTGGACGAAGAATTAAAATCAATTTCGGTTAGTGATTTTTAAACCCAAAGCATCATATTTGATTTTCGTTTTATCAACAATTCATTCCCTTTCTTCTAAAATCTAAAATATCTTTTGCTTTATTTGTAGTATTAGATTCCCTCTTTGTATAAACACTGAATTGGCTTGATCACTTAAACACTTTTCACTGTCTGAAATATGGTCCAGCTAATTGCTTTGTTTTCTTACAGACCAACGATGACAGGAATCTAAAAGATCTGGCAGAGAAAACAAGCCAAGAGAAAACGAAATATGAAAATGAAATCAAATCCTTACAAGTAATTTTTTCTTTGATTTCACCATTTCAAAATGTATTCCCCAGTAGTCCATCAATCTCTTTTCCTCGTAGTTTTTTAAAAGTGCAATGTATAGAGGACCAAATATCATAGTGCATGCAAGATAAAGATTCTATAACAGGCACTTATGTGCAAATATGATTCTTGAACGCTTGTCTGTACTTGGTGCTGCTTTAGGAGAACCGCTCTGTATATATACAACATCCTCTCTGTATACAATGTTGTTACTCATTGGGCTGAAAATACGGGGACCCAGAAAAGCCAATAGGAAAAAGGCAGGTTTGATTGGCTTTCTATTAATCAGTCCGTGTCCTCAAACATCTGACGTGATTATGAGAAAAGGCGCATTTTCTGCTTATCAAAAGATGACATGGCTGGACCTTTTGCTTGAACAATTCCATATTTTGGTAAAACTTGGCCAATCTTTTCTTTTACCTGACGTTTATAGCCCAGAGTGTGCTCAATGAAAATATTCGGACAAAAAAGTTCGGTTGTCTCAGTACCATCCTGAGATAAATTAGGACACCGTCATCATTTTTGCTATTTTCACTGTTAAGCAATTCCTTTACTCTACAGAGTCAACTGGCAGAAGAACGTACGTTGGTTAAGGCCAACCAGACATCAAAGGATGATTGCCAGAAAGAAATGTTGAAATTAAACTCGGAAAACAGCAGGTATTTACACTTACAGCTTTTCCTCTTTTTTCATCGAGTTTGCTTGAATTTCTTCTGCATGCATCGTTAATTAAAAAGCATTTTATATCAGCCTTTAATGTACATGCTGTAAATTAAAATTGTTTCTTTGACTTGGTGTGAGTCTCTTCGTACAATTGGCAATGTTTGGTCAAAGGTATCTCAATATCGTAATTCATTTTTTACCGCAAATAAATCATATTTATAGTTATATTTTCTTTATGTTAGTTTAAACGTAAAAATACAGTATGAAATGAAAACTGTCTCTGAAACTGATTTGAAATTTTATTTTTAGGATGGTTGAAGAAAATAGACGAATCCGCAGGAAATACCAGTTAATGAAAAGAGATTTCGAGGAAAAGGTAAGCCTATGACAAGTTCATGTTTAGTTTACTTATTTAGAGTCATAACTTGTCATAACTTTTAATACCATTTTGCTGTCTTGTAAATGAGTCAAATCTTCTCAACTATAATAGAAAATTTTTGGCAGCTTTTTTGTGTTATTTCATCTTCTGTGAATTGTAAAAGCCACTTAAAGGGGTACCCTGTTTTAAGTATAAAGACGTAAATGCTCGAAAATAAAGAGAGTTTTTAGAAGGGAGTGACTACAATGCACTGTTATCAGTAAGATGAATGACAAATCCAAAATGCATTACTGTCAGACCAAAAACCCTGAATATTGGTATATAATACCTTCAAAAGGCATCATGAAATTATTTACATAGTTCAGTACCTTAAGCCTTTTGTCATGATAAATAGACGATTTATATCTAAGCAATAAAATTTCCCAAAAAAGTTGCCCGATGATCCAATTAAGCTTGCACTCGGAGAAGTAACTTAAAACCTATACTGCATCGAGCACTTTATGACAATAAACAGAAGCTTTCTAGATAATAAATTTGATATTTCTGCTTTTTCTCTAGCTGTCTAAATCGGAAAAGGAAGTCCATCAGCAGAAAGAACGGTATATTGCAATTTTCTAGTCTTGTATTATCATCACTATACATAATTTATGTATAAATCTATTTAAAATATGAATATCAACCAGGCTGTTTTCATGGTTTGGGAGTTTTATCAATCATAATTTGTCTTTTCATTTTATAAATTAGCGAGGCAAACAATTATTAGTGTGTTAGGCTGTTGTCTGATGATAATCTGAAATATTTGCCTTTCTCAGAATAACCGAACTTGAAGATGAGCTGAGAAGAAATCAAGAGAATCTTCTGCAAACAAGAGAGGCTTTCAAGGTATTTAAATTAACTTGAATAAATATTACCTTTATTGTAATGTGACCGTCTTTGAGATTTAAATTTTCGTTTACCTAATGTTTCTATCAGTAATGTAGCTTCAACCTACAGACATTTTTAACTATGAATCTGGTATCTTATCTCTTCAAAACGTGAGGACATATACTGTTATCTAATTGATTTTTCTAGAATATATGAAAAATACACCTCGTGTACTTGAAGAAGCTTTTATATATCTTGGTAACCTGGCTTGCTCATATCCATAGTACTAGCCACAATTATCTAGGTTAACGATAAACTGATTCGAGTTTCCCATTGCAATCATCGTTTAATGCTATTATTTGATACACGAATATCTAATATGGGTGTAAAGTTTGTAACATTGTCTAGTGCTTCATGTAAAGTAGCTTGTAGCATATTCTTTCTTGTGTTTTTATGTTGATATTTTGTCTTTTACAGCAAAGCCTTAAAGATATACATCAGTCAGTGGATTCCTTGCTGGACAATTTAATGCAAGAAGCAAACCAGTCTGTTCCAGTAAGTTTCTTATTGTTTAAAGGATAAGATACAAAGTTTTAGAACATACATAGAACATCATGCTGGTAAAATGCATATGTTTTTGAAACAATTTCAAGCTTGGACATTTTCTTACAAGCCCGTAGCCAGGCCTGAGGAGGAGGGGTGGCAAATTCGCAGTGTCCAGGAATCAGGCGAAGTTTAAAGTGAAATTAATCGAAAGTGTAGGCAATGTGAAATCTGTCTTAAGTCCTACATGGATCATAAGATACCCCAACAAACAATTTTTCTTCCGTTAATATTAGCTTGACTCAAATTTTCACGACAATCCAATAAAAGAACAAAAGTCATTGACAAGATTGGACACAAAAGTTTTTGAGATGGCAAACAGCCGGTGTTCTCGTGGTCCAGGGGTGGCATTGCCATCCCATGCAACCCCTTGGCTACGGGCCTGTTTTCTTAATCCCCGTTGCTTTGTTTCAGGATTTGCTAATGATAAAATAAAGATATATTTGCTTATTCAGAACAACAGAATAATTAGGTGTTTAAAAATTAATTGAAGCTAGAAATCACTTTTTTCAATCTGGCCTAAATCGTCTTCATTAAGAAGAATTTTATTCTCACATGTTGTCGTGTTCATATTTTCTTAAAGTGCCACTGAATTGAAAAAAATGAAATTTCTTTTATTGTTGATTCTGGTAGACTAATCATCGCTGATTTCGAAAAAAAGTTTAGTTTTTTAATTTGGAGCCCACAAATAGGGGTTTATGGGGTTCTTTTGCGAGTAGGTCGTGCGAAAAGAGGCTGGGGCGAGTGACGCATTCAGATTTATATAGTCAATTCAGCCATAGTGAGGGCTGTAAGAAGATAAAAAGTTACAAATTGTGTAAAACATGATACAAGCATGAAACTTGATAGAGATAGGCAGTTTAATACGCCGAAAAAGATGGGGTGTGAATAGACGCTGACAAATATCCCCTTGTGCTATTTATAGAGTGGGGTACTAGGTTCCAAACCTCTAAGCAGTAATTGACATAATTTAGCCATTAGATCGCGAAACCAGCATGGAACGTGGTAGTAATAGGCAGTTTGATACGCTAAAAAGATAGGATATGAATTGACCCTGAAAAATCCCCCTTGTGCTATTTATAGAGTGGGGTACTAGGTTCCAAACCTCTAAGCAGTAATTGACATAATTTAGCCATTAGATCGCGATACCAGCATGGAACTTGGTAGTAAAAGGCAGTTTGATACGCCGAAAAGATAGGATATGAATTGACCCTGAAAAATCCCCCTTGTGCAATTTATAGACTGGGGTACCAGGACCTAGACCTCTAAGCAGTAATTGACATAATTTAGCCATTAGATCGCGATACCAGCTTGGAACTTGGTAGTAAAAGGCAGTTTGATACGCCAAAAAGTTAGGAAGCGAATAGACGCTGAAAAATACCACTTATGCTATTTATAGACTGGGGTACCAGGTCCCAGACCTCTAAGGAGTGATTGTCATAATTTAACTTTTAGATCGCGACATCAGCATGGAACTTTGTAGAGATGAGCAGTTTGATACGCTGAAAAGGATAGGATGCGAATAGACGCCGAAAAATTTCCCTTGTGCTATTTATAGACTTGGATACTAGATTCCAAACCTCTTAGCAGTAATTGTCACAATTTAACCATTAGATTGTGATACCAGCATGAAACTTGATGGAGATAGGCAGTTTGATACGCCAAAAAGATGGGGTGTGAATAGACGCTTAAAAATATCCCACCGTGCTACTTATGGACTTTTAATCAATTCCATTTAAAATGAACTTCTTTACTTTTTGAGGTCCCCTGACCACGAGGTTCTGGGGCAACTTATCTCCCATCTTGACGGCCCTGGCAATAACTGATGCTTTGACAGTGGCAACGCAAGTTGGAAAGTGGGAAAAGCGCCGAAAAATGTGCAATTTGTGTGGTTCTATAATAGATCAACTTTTCCCTTGATCAGTTTGCTCACTTGTATTCATAATTTATAAAGCTGTTCGTAAAAGCATTCTTATTCGATACGCTCAATAATTCACAAAAGGTAAATGATCGGCATCAAGTCTTGGTAAAAACTGCACGCAAAAAGTTTGCTCATTTCGTATGGGCTCGAAATTTTCGCAAGAAAATACCTTGCACGTGTCTTGTAGTTAGATAGCTAGTGATATTTAGAGCACAAGTATCGCACTATTTCCATCCACTTCACGTTTTTTTTGTTTTTTTATCGCACTCGAAATACAGTCTTCAGTACTGAAGCCCGCATCACTTCCGCGACTTATAAACGTTAATGCGTCACACATTCCTGAAATTCCTCACAGACCGCGCACAAACTTTCGCACAAAAAGTCTTGAAAATCGCAACTTTGAAGCGTTGTAGCTTCAAAACACTTCAAAATTCCGAAAAGCGAACTTCAGCATCGGATTCAGGAGCACCGACTTGACTTAGAACATCAATAAAAAAATTTTTGATTTTTCTAGTTCAGTGGCACTTTAACCTGCATTTTCCTGTTTTCACAGTTAACCATTCATTTTATGCATATTTTTCTCTAAGGCTGTTGATCTGAATGTTTTATTAAGCAAGTGTCTTTACATTTTTTCTTTATGTTTGTTGCAGCTGTAAAAAATTTCAGCTTAAAGTAAGATCTAAGAGAGACCAATAAGATTTTGGCGTCAGCCATTTCCTCCTGAAAGTTTTTGATGCTCGATCGCTGAATTTGATTTTAAATAGCTTAATTTTTTGCCGTTTTGATTTTTAACTTCTACATTAAAGGTGAATAGCATATTGCGCCCAATTAAAATGTTTTGATGGAACAAATTAATTACTATGTTTGAATTTTATTACATACTTGAAAATCATTTCATTTTCTATCTTTTGTAAAGCCATTGACATTTGTGTGATAAAAGTAAAGGGTCAAGCAATTTAATGCGTGTGAGCTAAATAGGATAACACAAAGATAGAAAACAGAAAAAAAATACTTGTTTCCTGTGTCCTGATTGTCCCAAAATAACATTCTTTAAACTTTTGTTTATTTTGTACCTATGAATCGTCATCATTTTGTTCTTTCTCACTGTTAAATTACCATTTTTACCTTTAGATAAAAAGTTTGTCGGAATCTGTCCCCATGGATCTGAATAAATGGAGTATTGATATCTTGGTCAGTGAATTTTTAACAAGCTATTTCTGTTTAATATGTATATCATTTAGTGAATTAAATATTTGTGTGTTTATGGCTATGAGTAGGTATTTAGTCAAATAAAGTTAATGTTTCTTCCTCCAAATCTGTGATGTACTCCTTCGCAGAAATATGTTGCTGCTGCAGTTCGGATGTTTTTGGTAATAAAGAATTTTTCCCATAGGATAAGCTCGAAAAGTGCAAAGATTTACAGAGAGTAATCTCCGAAGGAAGTGCCGCTCAGTCGAATCAGTTTACCAAAGCACAAGATAAAATTCAGGTATGCGCAAATTCGGATATATCCATCGTATTCTTTACACCTCATTGGAAGTATCAAATAACGGAATTCTTCTTTGGAAATGTGACATTAAGATTTTGTTGCTAAATAACAACTTAAATTGCAACTCTTCTGGATAACCATTTGCTCACCCAGATTTATTTCTGACAATTGCAACTTTATTGGAACATGCGACGAAAATATATTTCCAAAGTTGTCAGCAAAAGAACTTATAAAAAACTGCGTAATATCCATACGACTTTGCCTTTTTAAATGCCATAATTCGTCTATTTGTTGCTTAGTCATTGACGAAATTACATCGTTTTAGCTGTTAAGAGAAAGAATGTTTTAATTTTCAAAGTTTTTTGACGCTTTGTGCTTGAGGGTTCTGCACCCATTGCACCCATTTTGCTCAAGTTACTTTGTACCGAAAGGGAACATGAAATAAACTGTATACAGAGACGCTGAGTAGGATCGTGTAATATATGCCCCTTATAACAATACTCGAGAATACTTTTATTCAAGTCTCATTTGAGTCTTTACTGTCGTTTTTTGCAGGGTTTGATAAAAGATTCTGACCAGGACAAAAACTATTTCTTGGCAGAACTGGAGAAACAAAATGAAGTCATAAAGGCCTTTAAGATTGAAAAAAGAGGTATTTGCATATTTGTATTTATAAAAAGAATTTTTTTGTTCGCATCCTTTGGTTTTTTTTCATTCGTATGCATTTTTGATTAATTTCTTTAAATTTCATATTTTCCAGGTGTAGAAAAGTTACAAAAGGATAAAAATAAAAAGATTAAAAACCTACAGGTTTGTTGAAAATTGTTTCAAAAAGGAAATCTTGAGTAGAATTGTCAATTTTTTTCTTAATTTCCAAGAATTAAAAGTACTTTGAGTTTAAGTTAATTTATTCAATGTGGATCGTTTTATCTTTTTTATCAGCTTTCAATAAGAGAAAAATCAGAAAACCTTTGGTATTGTAATGGAATTAAAGATCACGTAATCACAAAATCACAAAAAGAAACACAGAAGGAATCACAAAACGGTGTTTTGATTTGATGCATACTGAAAGATGGATAATTAAATTAATCTTTGCATCAATAAACTGACGTTAAATTCGAATTTAGTTATCAAATTATTGAATTACGACAAATTATTGCATATAGGTTTTATGACGAAAAAAAATATCAGCCAAGTGTAGCAGCGTGTCGAAAATTAGGAGTTTTATAAATCATCCGTCAAGCTTTTTCATTTTACTTTTGTTTCTAGAAAGTAATATTCTGTTTATTTAATTGATTTAAGGAAAGAGTGGATGAGCTGACGAAGCATCTCGAACAGGTACTGTTTATATCTTTCGTACCTAATAGAATTCCTGAGTGTGTCGAGCTCATAATTTCATTTATTTCAAAACATTTCGCCCATAAAGTTGTACAGTTTTTCAAAAACATATATTTTTAAACATTTATTTACAGAGCATTATATCAAAGTGTGGATATTTTTCTACAGAACCGTTTTAACTGTTTTTCTTTTATGTAATCTTGCTAACTTTTGATTTACATTCGACTGTCATCAAAGTATCCACTGCCCTTTAGGCAATGTGTTTAAGCCATTGCTCAAAACCATGCTAAGAATGATGCAATTGTCTAGGGAATTCACAGGCTCAGAAGCCTCTGATTGAATATTGTTTAACCCAGTCATTTATTAATGCCAGTATTCTTATGATAATAAATGCATATTACCCTAAATCGTGTTGCTCAGTTTTATATTGATTGCTAAAATGACACATCTTCTCATTTCTTCAGCCTAGTAACGCTATCTAAATGAATACTAATTAATGAATGGTGTACTTTACGTGGGTTCTATCCGTCTTGTGTGTAGTCATTTGCCACAATAGCTCTGTCCATGATTTTCGCCTTGTATCTTCTGAAAACACGCGCTATTCCTAAAATATATCATGAACATAGTTACTTTATGTTTATATTAGTGTACGAAAATTTTACATGCAACTTTGGCGGCAATGGAAGAGCGGAAAACAGTACTTGATGATCTCGATTTCCTAAAAGTAAGGAACATTTTAATCTATGTACTTCAATAATTTTTTAATACATTGCTGATGTATGGTTTAACTTATACAAATTTATACATAAACGCCACTTCAGGTTGCTAATTGTCTAGTTGATTGCTCACTCAATTGCCTATTTTTCATGTATTTTTGTATGTTGTCCTTTCTTTCCTTAAATTTTGCTTTGCTATATAGATGCTTGCATTTATCTTGTAATATGATTGAATGATTTTTTTCTGAACCAATAGATACACCTTGGATTTGTTTATTGATAAACAAAATGTTTTCCAAGATTTTATTTAGCTCTTTTCTCCTCTAGGACGAACAGTTAGAGAAGGAAAGACTTCATGAAAAGTACATTAGGTAAGATAGATAATTCTTACTTTCAGTTTGTTAAAACTAACTTCTACATGACTTAACGCTTTTACAGTTTAAGTGACTTATTTTTACTTTACGAATTACAGTCTTGGCATGTTTTCTTGCTTACTACATGACTTTCATTATAAAATTATAAAATTGATTGCTACGCAGGCATACTGAGAGACTGGGCAGTTTACAAGATCAGCTGGAAGACGCCAAAATGGCTCTTCAGGGGGTTAAGGTGAGTTCAATCTGAATCATTTGTATAATTTATTATAGAATGACTACAATTACACTGCAGAATGCGATCTGTTTTCAAATGGAATTGCTATTGCAAAAAACACATTTATCACCTCTTAAGATGATGTTATAATCGATCGAAGCCCACAATACTTTGTCCTTTATTCAATAATTCTGAAGAAAACAACTGATGGGAATAATCAAATTGTATCTTGTCCCTTTACCATGATTCCATTCATTTAAGAAATTTTCTGCTCTTATCTATGATAAATCGCCTTTTTATTGAAAATTGAATTTGTCTTTCTTTGTTCACATTTTGTTTTGTTGCCAAGTGATATCATTGTAGCAAGTAGAGAGTAGTATCAGCATGATATTTAATTGATATGCATTCAATTAGACTATATATGCATGTATTTGATCATATCTGTTGGAAATTGCCCTATTAGTAAATTGAAAACTAATCTCACTGCCATTTGAACAATTTTTTAATAATTGTTTACATTTTTGTTCACAATAATAATGTACGGTGAAAAACAATTTTTTTTATTCCTTTATTCATTTATTTATCTATGACATCCTTATTCTCAAATTAATCGCAAAGTTGCGACTAATGACTCTGCAAGAACAAATTTCGTTCTTTTCTATTCATTCGTTTAATTTAGACTACTTCTATTTTGCCTGCATTGAAGTCACATGTTAATTTTCAGGATGAAAACCTTGATAGCACGTTATTAAGTATGAAAGTTTTGCAGGTGAGATTATTCTGTAGGGCCTGTCGATTCTTCTCGTGTCCGTAATTTCTTTTTTCCATTTTATGTATTTGTTTATTCGTACGCAAGAAATCATCAAGCTTACTATCATTTTAAAGATTTCATCTATAGTATTTCCAAAGTTCAGCTACGAAGTTTTGAAATACCGTGGTTTTATTTTTGGGTATTTCATGTTTTTCAATTTTTCTAACTTACAAATAATGGATTAGACAAAGAAACCTTGACTATCTCTTTGCCCTTACATAAATAACAACTTTTGCATCGTTGTTTTAAGCTATTGCCTCGAGATTTTTACAACCTTTATTCGATTTTGATTTTTCCAGAGTTTAAGTCCAGCACCTAAACGACGCCACGAAGAAAAAAATAATCTTCTGTTCAAGGGGTAATTATTCTTTGAGTTCAAAAGCATCAATCTGTAATTTATTCTTAGGCAAAATAAGTTTTTGTTTTGAATTCAAAAGATATTTTTTCAAACCATTTTTACTTTCTGACATTTTTCGTCCTTTTGAAACAAGAACAGGCTAATTATTAATGAAGATGCAAGAATTTTTACAGGAATGCATTTGATATAAGTTTTTCACATTCAAAAACTATCTAATTCTTAAAAAAATCGGCTAGCATGAGTTTTTCCTTACAATGTTGACAGGTCGCTTATTTCTTAGTAGATTTGTTATTAACAACTAGCTATTCTAATCTGCAAGAAACAAGCTTAATTCTATACTCTATCCTGCTCTATTGCTTTAGAATTAAAAACAATTTTCTCTTATAAAATACGATTTTCTTTTCACAGAGGAAACAAAACAAGCTCACATCGTGACACTTTAATCAGTCGTGGCTCCTTTCTTACAGCTTCTGATGCAGAAGGTATGTATTGCTGCAGCCTTGTTCATTTTATTTTGATGTTTGCCTAGAAAGCCGAGTGGTATCCCTTGAAAATTATCTAATCCTTAATTGTATCGACTAAAGAACCACAGGTGTGCAGTAGCACCCTTTTAAAGAGCGCCTCATAAGAGAGTAAATATGGCACATTGACTTTTGATTCAGCCGTAGGCTAATTGGAATAGCATTTCAAACTATTGCAGTAGGTTATTAGACGTTATATTTCACTTCGTTATCTAGTTTATTATGATGGAAATTTGTCAATGGTCTAATTTGTATCTATAGAATACATTGCCTAGGGGACGTCATAGTGCACTTGTCACTTTATATTCTCTAATAAATCAGCTCTCGAGTCTAGAGTCCTCACCACTAGCATGTTTTTTGTCTCTTAAATAGACGAACGACCTCCATCAAAGAGGTCCAAAGAGTTGCAACCAATGGCAATGACTGACAGAGAATTCAACGATAGGTACAGACGAATTTAGCAATTTAATCGTTATAAATTATCTGTAATAAGTGAATAAGTGCAAGCTTTCCTGATAATGTTGTAAATGTCAACATCAAACATTAAAAAGGGTGTTGAACAACATTTACGTAAGCCCTTGAAATGCATAGCAAATGACCTTACTTCATGCTAGTAGATTTAAAATAATTTTTTTTCGAATTTTGAAGTTTCATTTAAAATTTTCACACACGTTCCCTAGAAGTTTTTGCTTTTATTCAGCCTGATTTCTTGTTAAAATATTTGTAAAAGTGACAAAAACTGACTACATTTATTGATGGAAATATCTACTGCCTGCAATAAACGTCAAATGCATTAAACGCATTGTTTGAATAGTTCTATATTTATTTTTTCTACATTCTTATGCAGCTTCGTTCCTAGAAGAGAATAAATTAAGGTGAAATTTCTTATACTTATCTTACTTTATTTGATACTAGCTTATCATTCATTGCTTTTATAATATATTTCACCTTAATTATATGTCATATATTTACCTACTTAACTTTGCGAACCTCAGTGGCATCACTGCATGCTTATTTTATAACGCTGTTGGAATTTTTTTTCCGTCTTTCCTCTTTGAGATTGACACACCTCAAGTGACTCTTTTTAAAAGCACCTTTGATTCTAAAAAACCAAATTATTACTTTGCAAAAATCTGTACAATGAACACCCTAACTTTCTACTGGTTTTCGGCTGTTTAATGCACACCTTAAGACTCAACATCGCCTTTCTTCTGACAGCCCCCTGGGCAATTTGTTAAGGGCAGAAAATGTAGTTGCATGTCTTTATTCCTGTAAACCAGATTATTGACTGTGATTTCACTTCCTGTCTTGAAGCTTTGTGCTATTTAATGTTTTTATTTCAATTTCCAGGTTGCCACTCAAGCAAGTTTGATGAAAGGTCAACTTGGTAAACTCATGGAAAAAACATGTTTGAATAGCATATATACGAAAGTATTTAAATTCTATAGTATTTTTATGTGAATGACTATTTTTGTAAGTGTCTTTCACACCTTATTGTTATTATTTGTACATAAGAATTATCTTTATTTTATTCAAAAATTTTTAACACATATAATAAACATTTATTGTTTGTTACTTGAGTTGATTTAAAAGTTGTGATACGCAAATAAATCTTCCGCACTTCTTTATCTAATTACTCCAATTGAATAAAAATTTTCATACCGATGTTTTTGATGGTTCAGATTTTCCGCTTTTGGTGCAACTTCGAAGTTTCTTCAAATTAAGAGAAGCAGTCCGATCATGTTTGCTCATATTACATCTTCTTCTAACGAACAAGGTCCAGGTATTCATCATGACGATCTTGCAAATTTTTCCGCTTTCTTCATTTTATTCTACTGCATTTAATGTTGATAAACGCCTTTCTAAACAACAGCTTCAATTACCCGCTCTCTTTGTTTACAAGAGGAAGTAGCGTTGTAAACAGAAGGACATTTTGGCGGTGAATGACATAAACAATTATATAAATAACATGTTAATGGCGGTTGTTTAGCTAAAGATAGAGGGAAAACAGATAAATAAACCAAAATATCAAAAGATACGCCTTTTCACAAGTTTAGACCACTTACGCCCTAAGAGCCGTCAGAATGTCGGCATTCGACGCATTTTCTTCATAATAACATACAGAAGTCATGAGAATGATAAAAGATGAACACAACTGGAAATGCAGCTCTAAAAGAAAACCTGTAAAAATACAACAGAAACATTCCGAGTATTTTATAAATTACAGCTAATCTGACATATATCAAATAAATAACTTGTTGTTTCTTCATAATTACAAAATAATGTTAACATTCATTATCCAATAATCAAACAGGTAACACTCTGCACATATTTACACGCAATATTTTAATTCAAAATTCACATAGTCTGCTGAACTCATAAAATTGCCTATCTAGAAAACATGCAAGAAATGAACGCATTTCAAGTAAGTAGGAAAACCACTGGCGTGGAATCTGGGAAGAACAATAATGGGTATTTGAACCACTTTAAACCATAAGATTGTATTTGTGAGTTCATAATACAAAAAGACGCCTTGAGGTGCCAAGGTATGATATTCATATTGCCATTGCGTCTGGCAGATTCATATGGTTCAACTATATTGAAAAATTCAAAAGAATATAAATTGAAGTTCCCATTGCCAAAAGCAACTTGTATTGGCCCTTATTCTGCCACCAGTGGCGCTAACAGCATCAATGCCCACCAAAACGTTGACATAACTCATATAAAAAAGTAAACTTAAAACCTGGCTTCAAAACACGAGAGACTTACTTAGGGTCAGTAAATGGTGAATGGGATAATAGCTACAAATCAGTGCATCAACAGGCTAGAAGGAACGAGTTCCATGTAGTTTAACTGAACATGAACCGTTTGTAACTAAATCATCATTTACACTTTATAACTGGGAAATAAATTACTCTTTTCTTCTGTTTGATTTTGTGTCTGCGTTCTTCGAGTTAAGATTGAAAATACTTAGAAATATCCTTCATTTACTTATACCCATCAGACTTGACTATGGCAAACAGATTTGATAAAATGATACTTTAATGGCTGTGAAACGCAAAATTGATCTTGTTTGTTTCTGAAATGAAATGAAATAGAACCAGACACTTCATTTATTAGCCAGTTTATACCTCTGCATAATACTCTACGAGTCGTGCATACCAATTTTGCACTGAACAGAACTACAGGGTTAATTGAACAGCGAAAAAAGTCTTTTTCTCTATGTCCTCTTAGAGTGGCTTTGCAAGGAAACTGTTTTCTTTGTTGTTGAGAAACGAGAGTCGACAGATGACCTAAAAATCAAAAAAATACTATCAGCCCAAATTAAAACAAATTTTTTCAAATATTGTTTACTCAAAGCTGAAAGAGTACTTAAAAAGTATTTTCTTTCACCGGTATTTATTAAAACTTGAGACACACAAACTTCAAGAAAGATACTTAAAGTGGGAAAAAGGAATCAGACTTTCTAAAACTGTTGAAACTCCAAGAAAAACTTCAAAACCAAGGGTTTGTACATTCGACATGGCAAGTTCCTTTAAAACTCAGGGCAATTTTGTTTTGATAATCCAGAGCATTTTAACAATATGAATGAGCCTAGAGAGATTACATATTTGTTGCTGTCGAGTTTCATACGCTATGCTATAGCTCGATAGAGTTCAAATATTTTTAATGGTCACATCAGCTACGAAAACACTATAATTAGAGTTCACAGATATGGAAAATGTTAACGCCGATCGTAGTACGACTCTCTTGTTACTGAAAAATTGTAAAAACAGTCCTTACGTTTTTGCTGTTTTTCCAGGCGTTATTTTAACTGTTGGCACAGATGCTCTATGACCAACACTTCCTTTTTGTCTCGCGTCACCAGAAGTAAAGCTTTGAGCTCTCGACACACTAATTGGGTTTGAGGGCTGCCGCGATACTAGCGCTTTGCCTTGGTAGAAAAGAAACATATAATTACAGACATGAAGCAGAAGTCAAGGGAAACAAAAGACTAAATGTTTAAAAATTTCAGGCTGGGCCTATCAGCATCAGTTTGTTTGACAGAATATGTACATGAAAATACTCAGAAAAAATGTAGTATTGATAAAACAAATCGATGTTCTTGAAATTTAGGGGATCAAAAAATGGCATATTTAAGATCAGCTTCCACGAAATTTGCCGACCAAATGAGAGTGGGAAGTTGAGCACGCACAACTCTACAGCTATTGCACCAAGTTATATTGTATCAATAGCTATTTTACTTAACACTCTGAGCAGATAGCACAAAATATTCTACCTGTCGATGAAGTTGATCCTATGCTAATACTGCCATCAGATTTGCTGCTGTTCTTTTTCGAATCCAGTTCTTTCACCTTTCCAATGTTCTTAGAAATGGCTAAAGGAAAAAGTGAGGGTTATATTTCCAGGAAATGAGCTAGAAGTTCATGATAGCTACACTTTGGCAGATAGATATGAACAAAGAGTACAAGAAGGGGGCTAATAACTTCATACACACACAATAGAAGCAGAAATGGAGCGCCGATGGCTAAAAGAAGTTGCTCTTTGCGATGCTATAAAAATTGGAGAATAACAATTAAGTTGTTCGCTTTGAATTGATTAAAACGTGTATTTGGCTAAGTGCTGTATCCTCCAAAACAAGTATTGAAAATCTAATTATGGCTGCATCCTACAGCAAGACAGAAAGGGTGACAGACAGAGAAGTAGAGAGACAACCGATGCAAAAAATCATAGAGGGGTGAAACAATGGGTGAAACCTTTTTTGGTGATGTCTTTAGACGATGAGCTTGCCGAGTTAATCTTTTTATGGTTGCTTGCTGAGTTTGCTTGGCTTGAAGCGATTCTGTTGACAATGTTTTCATGTTTACGCTCATCCTGACAAGAAAAGAAGCGGTTTTGATGTGCAGTGCATTAAATTATTTAGCTTACCTTACAAGATATTACAAAATTTAACAAGGTAATTTAGTTCGTGAGGTATCAAACAGTAATTGCTAATGCTTGTTTATTTATTTTCAAGTACATAACCATGAAAGAATAATAACGAAAATCCTAGAATTCCCCGCCTTCTCTTATAAGTCCCAACCCGAACTACCCTTCATCCTGGAAACGGAAATGTTTGGGAGCCCCAACCTCCGAAAAGGCCCCTATTCTGAATCTTAACATGCCATATTTCTCCAATGGTTTTAGTCCATGACAAATAACATTTCATTGAAAACGAACAAATAAAACAAATGAAGCATTTCCACAATGCTTTTGTCGCCAGTATTGACTTGTAAAATGTTTCATCTCAAAGTAAACTTGAAATTTACAAGGAGCTATTTGCATGGTGACCTTTTAGCTTATTTGTAAACCCCGTCGAACCAAAATAGAATAATAAGCACCCAAAAATTTATGGGGATGTCAGTACTACTATTAAATCAGAAAAAACCAGAATAAAAACACTCTGCAAACAAACCTCTACAATTTGCCTTTCTTGCTCCTCTTTTTTCCTATCCACTAGATCTTCTTCTCTCATATTTTCTGAACTCTTGAATTATAAAAAAAACGTTTATCAGCAAGTATTATCTCAGCTAGAGGCATCAAGAAACCTAATTCCCTCAAAGGTGGGGCATCGACTGCGCCATAAATATATCTGAACGTACCCTTCGATGTCCATTACCAATTGAATAATAACTATTTTGTGCAAATACAATTTCCATTAATAGGCATTAAACATCATTACTTCTGCTCGATCCCTTCGTATTACTGTGAAATAGAAAGAAAACAAGGAACAAGAAACAATAAGTACTTTAAAGTACTTTAAGTCTACAAACCGAAGAATCACGAGAAAGGTGTATTCTGTCCATTTCTATAACAGCCTAGAAAGAAACAAACAATATCAAGGTATGAAAATAATTTGGAGTTGCAATTTTGTTAAAAAAACGATCATAAAGCTTACAGTAAAGGAATCACCTACCCTTCGTATAGCATTTGAAACGTCTCTATCAGTCTCTAACGCCATGAGCTGCCTAACATTCTGCTCTAAATTTTGTAATAATAAGCGATCTCCGGGTAAACGTATTTGGGATTTCAATGCTGGCAATATCCGGCAAACTTTTAAACGTACATTCACAACTGGATCCTGAAACAAAACAGGTTAGATTTAAGGCAAGATTCAAAATTGCTTAGGAAGTATAAGAGCAGCTGACATACTGAGATGCAAAACGATAGTTATGCATTTCATTAAAAATTAGGAACAGCTATTGTAATCAATGATTTTAAGGTATGAAAATGCAACCCAATAATGCAGGACTAGATAGTGTGTTGGGGGGGGGGGGGGGGGGCACCACAGCAGGGTAACTCGAGCATATTCGTAATGAAATCATTAAGCAAAAAAGGAAAGGCGACAAACTAGACAATAATTTCATACGTGGTTGTAAGTGCAATTAACGTCTAAGGAAAATAGCATTACCTTTCCAAGTTGCAATACTTCGTCAAAGAAATGCTCTTTGAAAAACGATTTTGAAAAAAATTCCATTATATTTTCACATATGTCCAAAAATTCTAATCTTGCTTTGTAATTGTTACCCTTGCTAAGCTCTACGAAGAAGAACAAGAGAAAAATCAATCGAAGTATATCAAATAAGTCAATAAATCATAAAACAAATGGCCTAAGACGTCAAAATGGTTGAAGTATGCAACATGGTTAAGTGTCATGAGAGATAGCACGTATCTAACAAAACATAAAAGCCATCAATGGTAAAAGTATATTTTGAAATTAACTGTTGATAAATAAAGGTTTAAATATGCAACGCTTGCAAATAATGCGGAGTATGTGTTTGTAAAAAAACTTTTGTTATAGTGAATATATAATAAGATATGAAATCCAGCAATAGTTATAGTAAAATTTAATAACTAAGGAGCATTCCAGTGATTGATTAGTGTCCGAATAGACGAGGAGATATAACCTACCTTGAATTATTCTTTTACATAACTCATTTCGTTGATCTGTTCTTTTATTATTCTTTATAAATGCACATAGTGTTCTCCCAGCAGCTTTTTTTACAGGAATAACACGCTAAAAAGGGAAATAAGGCATTTAACAATATAAATTATAAGAAAGTAAGCACAACATATGGCAGGTTGGCCTGCAAAAATGTTTTTATTGACTTTTAATTGCATTTCTTTATGCCTCAATTGATTACTTTAGCGAATAAATCAGGAAATATAGCATAGGGGCGATTTGACAAATACTTAAAAACCATTGGTTACCATGCTCAACCTAAACGTTTCAACGAGAAACCATCATCACAGTTAAATATTGATTCAAAGTTTAAAAAATATCATTATGAGAGAAGAACTTACGTTTGAAGATAGAAGCCTGAAAAGTACAGGAACAAATTTGTAATAAATTTGATCTGATGACAAGCAGTTTGGAAGACAGACTAAGCTGGTCAGGAACTCAACGTGGAGTCTCCAGTTGCTGGATAGTGAAATTGAAAGCTCACAATTAAGCAGGGCGGTAATAAAGTCCGCAATCACGACCTGGAAAATCAAGGAAAATGAATTAAATTCAATAGAACTTCTGGAACTAATTGGGGCGAATTGAAAGGCCTCTGCAAAATAATGGGGAAATTGCAGAGGTTATGCTCGTATATCATTTGAATGTTAAAAAATATTAAGTATGAGCAATTGTTGCGGTTTGCAAATAAAATGATATTGATTGATAATTGATAATAACATTGACATTAACAGTGATATTGATATTTACATTGATACTGACATTAATATTGTGATATCAATTGTAAAATATAATATTGTGATAACTAAGTCAATAGTAACAATATCATGATAAAATAACATTAATGCCAATACCAATATCCATGTTGATGTTAATGTCAATATCAATGTTTATATCAATATCAATGTATTTGCACACCTTACCAATACAGGCGAAATGAGAAAGGGCCTTTTATGAAATTAGATCATTCTGTTACCACTAGAATACGAAAACTCATCATAAACTACAGATTGTCTTGTCTATCATCAATCTGAACATTATCTTACTATGATGTCAGATCTGATAATCAAGCACCTCGTATGCAAGTGTATAAGCATTTAAATTGCAGGAATCGGAAAATATAAACACATAACCAATGCTGCATAACAATAACACTTCTAAATTATTTTAATTCCGTTCTTTACACTGAAGAAAGGGACCTTAAAAGAGCTAGTAACCGTGAATTACACTTACAGTTGTCGGTCCTGCATTGGCTCCTTCTCTTGTTAAAGTTTCTAAAGTTGCTGGAAGATGTGGTATAAGGCCATCCAATACCTGTTGGTTGAAAACTCACTAGTCTTAAAACCAACGAAAAGGCAGGACAGTTAAGTTGAGAACATATTCTCTGTCTTGTCTTCAATACAGCCATCTTTATCCAATTGAGGTGCTACTTATCTAACAAACCTATCTATTCAGTAATTATAGTGCTGCCAAATTTAGTTTTTAAGACAAAATAAAAAGCTATGAAAGAATGCTTATACAAGATAACAGCCTAATACATGACAATTATATTACATTGTTTTAAAGGTTTATTATACTAAATGTAGCTAAGAAAAAACTAGGTAAACATTGCCAATGACTGGAAAAAAGTGAAGCCAATAGGCATCCTGCCAATTTGTCATGTATGGCAAGCAAAAAACAAAATTATACAGACGAGAATTTTATACCTCGACTGCATCATCCTGAAGCAAAATTTTTATTTCCGTTTGAATAAGACCAACTTTTGAGCCAAGAATTTTGCAAACCTTAAAACATATCAGAAGAATGAGACAAGTCGAAGTTCCAAAGGCAAGTAAAAATCAACAATAGCTCTCCTATTCGTAGCAACATCTGATGAACCTTTTAAAACCGTCAATATCTCGTCAATAAAACCCTGTTTACATCTACAACGTAAATACGAGCATTCTTTACACGAATGAGCTTTTTCGTCCTGAAAAAGGGATGCGTTTAATGGCTTTTACAGTTTTAAAAATAACTTATCTGAGGCAATTTATTGATGCTGGTATTAAAGCAAAGTGAGATTAAAAACACTGCAGATCTTAAAACGGATAATAATAGTAATAATAAGTTTCAAGGCAGCCATGCACAATAGTATTAATCATAGAAATACTAATACTTATGCAAGAGCGCCGGAGCCGCGGGCGCAGCACGGGAGCAGCACGGGAGCAGCACGGGAGCAGCACGGGAGCAGCACGGGGGCAGCACGGGGGCAGCACGGAGGCAGCACAGGGGCAGCACGGGGGCAGCACGGAGGCAGCACGGGGGCAGCACGGGGGCAGCACGGAGGCAGCACGGGGGCAGCAAAGTGCCCTTTCCATGGAATTGATTTCCAAGCAATATCGATTTATATCAATATTTTGAATGCTGAAGAAATCTAGGTTTCAATAATCTCTTGATACCTACATGCAGGAGAAAAGTAAATCGACTTGCAAAGCAATTTGACTAGTTCTCTTTAACCTTCATGATCATGCTGAAGATATTTCAGATTGCTATCAATGTTGGTTCGCAAATGTTCGATACATCAGTCGAGGCATTAATGATGTCTTAAATTCAAGCAAAGACGTAGGGACCGGGGCAGTGGGTACGTGCCCCCCTTTTATTCCAAAATTCAGATTACCTACCCCTTCGCAGCTCACCGAGTTGCTGTTTTTGCCAATTGCATAATAAAAAAGTACCCTTGAATTGTTTAGGTGCTATACGAAATGGGCAAAGGGGGTGACCTTTTTGGGCCAAGATCTAAAATGTTTCTATTCGATCTGCTTGCAGAAACACCAAAAAACAAGATCACAACCAGGGTTACCGAAAGGGGGCGGCGATGGCAAACTGGCCTTGGGCATTGAGGTTTAGGGGGCCATCAAGGTTGCCAGCTTGTGAAAGCAATTAGTAAGACATAACAAAATTGTACAGGCGACACTGCTCACAAACTAAGTCAGAAAATGGTATCTATATCATTGTAAACAGACTTTATGTGACAGCCTTTTTAACCTTTCTGGAATCTTTATTAAGGTGCCTCTTAAACAGTCTTTTAAACCTTGAGTGTTTGTTAGGGTACCCCTTTAAACAGGGGTGTCCCCCCCTTTCATAATGCTTCCTACGTCCTTGCATTCAAGACGATTTACTCAAGACGTTTTTTGAATCAGGAAGTTTTCATGCAGCACGGTATTCCTATTCGACGCTATTAACGTACCGACTGGTTGGAAATTTGCCCCAGTGGGCCCATTTGCTTGTCGAAGTGGGCCCTTTTGAATCCCCCCCTAGTTGAAGTCCTTAAAAAATGTCCTGAAGACTTGGCTTGAATTTGGTAAGCAGTGCTAGAATGCACATGAATTTTTTGAGCCAATACTAAAAGCTTCTTAAAGATTTTGAGCGATTTGAGTTTCTTATAAGATCCCTATGGGAACCCTGGAGCAATCTGAAATTTCAAAAACAAGTTTTTGAAGCCTTTTTGAAGCCGAATTATCTCTCTTCAGAAGTAACAATAATAGAATGATATTATACATTTTGCTCTCAAGATCTTGTCAAGATCTTAAGACATAGCCAAATACGGATCTCGGTTTGAAACGAAATATTCAAGCAAAAATCTCAGAATTTTCATCGTTCAATTGTACTTTTTTCAAAGAATATATACGCTAAAACGAGTTAGCGTGGTAATTTAAATTAGTTGGCTTTATTTAGCTTTAATATAAATACAGATAAATTTCAGCAAGGAAACGCAGATGCGCATGGATGGCGCGAATTTAGTCATTGCAACATCAAACGTGTGCCAGAAATGTCAATAAGTCGAGCAGTTTTAAGCCGTTGCTTAATTTTAAGTTAGGTGATGAAAAATTGCTTGAGAAACATACTTCATGCAAACCACAAGCAATGGTTCTTCGCACGAAAGCATGTGGGTCATTGACCATGTGTTGGAACGTGGGCAGTAATGTTTCTGAAAAGTTGTCCGCACCGGCAAATAACAGCATTGCCTGCAAAAAAACAGTCGAAAATTAGACTAAAAAACTAAGCTTGAAATAAAGATGAAGTTTCTAGAAAACATTAACAGACCAGAATCTCTCAACTCAAAATCATATTCAAGAGCTTTATTTGTATGAATTGAAACTGATATCAACTTTAAACAGAATTCATATTATTACTTAAGACGATTTACAGCCCTTACTAAGCAGATTACAAGCGAGCGTAAAAAACGCTCCAGATATTTTAAAAATAAGTCATTTATAAAGCAGTTTTCAAAAGAAATGTTAAACGTGTTAATTTGAGGGCATCTGGGATCAAATAATGTCCCCGCCTGGCTTTCCAAAAAACCAAGAAATAAACCCTTACGTCCATAAGTGATTTATTTCGTGAGACAGGTGGAAACACATTTGAAGGAGATTGGTTGACAGCCAGGCAGTTACTCCACGAGACTGAATCAAAAAGAAAGACACATATAGACAGGCTAACGTCATCTGTTCCTAGATATTAATTGATGAACCTGAAAGGCTTAAAAACATCAATTTTTCAAAAAAAATTCATCCTTAATCTGAGGCTTTCATGCGCTACGCATTCAGGAAAATAATAAACCATTCTCAGAACATAATTGAGTGGCGAAATATTCATTTTTAAATCCGAAACAGGAGTCATTGGATAGGATGAGGCTTGCTAACTTCTTATGGTATCTACCCCTCTTGTTTCTTCAGACCTTCCTTAGTTCCTTGAAACATTTCTTATTTCCTTAAAAACTTTCTCAGTTCCGTAAAAACCTTTCTTAATCCCTTAAAACATTTTTTAGGTCGTAGAACCTTTTCCCCAAAAAACCTCCATGGCCATGTCATTCAAGTGGTGCTACCGTGAAGGACTGTGATACGCTTGCTAAAACTTAACTTCAGATGAACACAATCTCATAGGGTCAGTTTGAATAATTTTAAGAAACAGTTACATATCTAGCACTCTAACAACCCTTACAAAGTATCATATTTTCCTCAAAATTGGAGCATAATAAGCCTAACTGACGATATTCACATAATCGAGCTCATTTTCTTTTTATTCTTACCAACAATAGCCTAAAAAAGCAAATTCGGGTAAAAACATTTCGAAGCAACCCACCCCCTCCATACAAAAGAGTGTAAACTGCACATTTACAAGGCTCAACGAGCAGAAATTGTAGCCGTAGATTCATTATCAAACAATATTTGTGCACCAACAAGTTTGAAAGATGGACATAACAGATCTGTCTAGCTAAGTTCCTAAATAAACGAGAACATAATACAATGCATCTAAATGATATTAAATTGAGTTAGAATTTAAAATGTGAATTTCTAAAATCATTGGATCGATGGTAAGTCTTTCAAAATCAGTCATAACGACGATCATCCACTTGAAGAAGCTTTAGCATGTAAAGAAGAGAAAAGCATGGCTCAACTAGGTTCAGAAAAAAAACAAATTTGGTTTCGTGACCCACGGGCAAACGTCCTCCGCCGATTCACCATAAAATCGTATTATCAAAAGCTTTGATGCATGCAACCAATTTTCTACTCGGAAACTCCACATTTTCCACCGTAGCATTAATAAATACATAACCGCGTCTTAGTAAAATCCCACCAACACGAAAAAGGCGAAGGAGAAACAATACGTGTAAGACATTAAGCATAGCCACAAAAATCAATGTCTCCAGATGATCAATTATTGATAAGTCTAACCTAAAAAAGCATCGGCAACTTGCATTTTCGAGATTAATGAAAACTCGTCAACTAAATTTAAGATTCGTTCAAGTTAGGAAGCGATTATAGAATCAAAACTTCTTTTAATGCAAATAATTAAGGTGAAGCTTTACTTCAGCACACTAATAAGGTGCTTATGATATGTGTGAATTGGTAAAAAGCTAGGGTTGTAGGAGACTTAATCACACTCAATTAAATGACTTAGGCAACTGCACTGGGCTGCTGCAAATAATGTTATAAAACAAAGTTGGATTGCCTTCACATTAAGAATAGAAAAAAACTAGAAGAACTTCAACGAATTTCTTCTAGAGGTGAAATTGCTATTTCACATAAATCAATACACATTCACATATCTTCCATTCGCATAAAGTTTACGAAATTCCTGCAATGATTACAAAATCAACAAAAATTGCAAAAAATTGTAACTGACTTACTGGGAAATTGTAAGCACACCATCGTCTGCATTCCGCCTTTCTGTCTTCCAAGATACAGGCGCCTTTGATATTAAACGGCTTGAAGAGAAACAGATGCCTATTTTCACTATTTTTGAAAATAAACGGCTCGAAGAGAGAAGAGATTCAGATAGCTCAGGTCAGTTTGAAGCTGGCAGTCTATCACTGAAGTGATGCCCTTATAAATGCTTTAGAGGGCATTATTTCGATTCGGGGAGAGGGGCTGGAACAATCAACACACTGAACCTTTATTATGCGTGCACTTACTTACTTATGCATAATCTTAGAATAAATTCAGCTGCATCGTCTTTCTAAACGTTCTCATCAATAGCTAGCACATTCGTTTATTTGAGACCAAGAACTCACGCTGTGACAACCTCCCCCCCACCCCCTCCCAAAAAAACTATAAAAATATCAAGATCCATTTGTGAACGACGAAGTATCTTTCGCTGGCAATTACACTACGACCAAATGAGACAGAACTTAGAGAAAGCCAGTTTTATTTGACCACGACAAGAGGGGAGAGCTACAATCATACCCAAATAGCTTTTTGTTAACATTTACGCTAGCAGAAAAAGGAACCCTTTAAGAAAGGAATCAACTATTTATGTTTTTCTAGCGAAACCAAAAGGGAACACAACTGTGCCAAAAATAAGGGTTCTTCGGTGTAAACCTGATACCTTTTTCACTATCTTGGGCAAGGAGTCTGGCACGTCCCATTTTAATTTTTCTTTGTCATAACGCAGTCTGTACGTGATATAGCATTTCTTCGCCAACAAGAGACCTATAGGGGCCAGTAACAAACAAGGGGTGGATGAGGTAATATCTACTATGCCAGCTGAAACCAAAAACAGAATACCATACACACCTTTCTTCTAGGGCTAGCAGGCTGTCTTGGTGTGCTTCCTGGGTCGCCAAGATCACATAGTTGCTTGTAATTATCAAGAAATGTCGCTCTCTGGTCAGGTGTTAAGTTTACTGAAAGAAATTGCAACGCATTTTCAAATAGACAAAAAAGGGATGAACGTACAGGGCGAGTAACAATATTTCTGTGTCAAACGGCTTTTTTATTGTAAGTTGGCTAAGAAATAAAGAAAATAAAGGGCGAGAAGACATAAAAAACATATAGCTGCAAGACCAAACGTGAAAGCAGCTTCTGAGGGTGATAATGTAAATACTTTCTCAGGAAAATGAACGGGATCCAAAAATTCATTGGTTTTACAATTCGTTATAAAAACGAGAATCAATAGTGGAGAAAAGGTGTCATTCTTTCTTTCGTAATCATTTACGTGTTTAAGCTCTTTAGATCTGTGGAGAAAACATCAATAGATTTCTACCACATTCTTCAAAAACAAAAATATCTTAACTTGATTTGCGAAAAATTTTTACATAATCAATATTTTGGTTTCCATTTTAAATTCAAGCTAAATTGGATTTACAAATTGAATTTGATACGTTGCAATGCGTGGAGTAAATCTAGAAATTTGCAGGTGTTTGAAAAATAAATCTAGCGATGCAAAACACTTTTACCGAATATAAATAGGTTTAACCCCGATAACAAAAATAAAAACAGACACTGACCCTAAACTGAGCCGGGTTATTTTCAGAAAATTTTACAATTTTGCAACAGGTAAGTATTTGCAACAGGCCAGAGGCATGTAGAAAGACGATGTTAAAGCAAATCCATTGGAAATCCTTAAGGACTAGACAAGAGAATAAAAGTTGGATTCTTAAGCCATTTCATCGACGCGGAATGGATAAAAAATTAATCAAAAAATGTTATAGAAATTAACAGGCATGAAAAATTGATGACATTAAGTATAGTTAATGTTAAGATCTTTATAGAAACATTGATAACAGAATTAAAAATCCTGCTAAATTCTTGGGAGTTAAGCTGTACGTAAACCAATGTAGAGTAATCTATGTTAAGTTTTAAGGCCAAGAAAATGATTTAAGATGAGCTAATTTGATGCGATTTACAATCAAGGCTAGAAAACAAATTCTTGGCACTTTGTGGTTCCGTTCATTCTATGCAATAAGACTCAGAAGCACAGGCAATCGGTCCTTATTGCGCAATTTTTAAATGCTTGAGTACCAAATATGTAAAACAAATTAACACAGTAGTCCTGATACAACTTTAAAGCCCTGGCATTCATCGTTGTTGTGAAATAATACTGCGCTGTCAGGTTGCAATGAATCATACCTAATGAATTTCGCGAAAAAAATGATGGCGAAAAAAAGGCAAAGTGAAAACTATATTTATGAACCTAAGAGCTGAGAAAAGTATAATTAAATCAAAGGAAAAAAGAGCTTTTGGTTTGGGCAATAAAGCATCTGCAGTTTTATTATTGACCATTATAAGACCGATACCATTCAAAAAAGGGACATTAAAGTGTCACATAAGTGTCACAGAAGAAAAAGTGACACTTAAGGGGTAATAGTAGTATAACAAAGTAGGCCGAAAAATCTTACTTGATAAGCCATAACACAGCTTTCCAATATGCTTTGCTATGGTCAATGTCTCGTCTTCATTCTTTGTTTCCAGGACCTTCTGACAATAGTTTTTCACTAGAGGAATCATTATGTCCGTACAGGAATCTGAAAAGGGACCAAAAATGTTTGGGATATTTGTATCAACATCCAGAAAGAAGAAAAGGAAAATTAAAGCTACTAAATCATAGGTGAAACATCAAAATCCAGAAGGGCCTTAGAAAAAACAAAGAAAACTCGGAATATGAGACACTGGTCGCAAAAGAAAAAAGGCACAGTAAGAAACCAATATGCTTTCTAAAGGGATTCTTACACAGCAATGATGATAGATCAAAATTCGCATCTGTAGCAAAGCGCGAATGTTCAAAACAATTATCATGATAGTAACTACTTGGCCAGCTGCAATACTTACACATAATTTACAGATAACGAAGCAGAAATAGAAAACAAGGATTCTTCTAACTCAAGCTGAAGCAATGCATACAAAATAAACATGGAATTGAAGGGAACATACCATCATCAAGAAGACTGAGAATATTAGAGACTGTCTGGATTCCAGCTTGTCTGACAATTAACTGTTCGTCTTTGGTTAGTTCAACCAGTTCAGGTAATATTAAGGTCCTTGTAAGCTCGAGTCTAAAAACAGGAGTTGAAAGTTATCCTTAAAATCTCAATTCCTGTTATAATGAAAATTGTTAAATGATAAAAAAGTATTTAGATATCAACTTAATTCTGGTGTTAACAAGGACTCACAATATTTTCAGACGTGAGACATGAAATATATCTCCGTATTCAAATACGTCGTTTAAGACATGTGAAAGCTTTTCAGTACAGGGAACTTAAAAAAAAGATATGGGCACAAGACATTTTGATTATTAAGACCTACGATTAAGTCAATGGTGGTTGAAAAATATCAAATAAAAAATCATACCCAACTCCACGTGCCACAGAGTCCAGCTCTGCACACATTGCAGCCCTAACTTCCATTTCCACATCTTGACACAATGCAGTTACCAACTTGAGCATATCTCGTTTGACGCTGTTGAAAAGTTAACAAGAATGTCACAACGTGTTTTCGATCAGCACATTAAAAGTAACTATTTGAGCATAGTATCCTTAGTATAAAATAGTACATCCTTAAGTGTGTACATTGAGTCGAATCGTGCCATTTTAAAATCGCAATGCCTTCGTACCTATCGTTATTTGTTACAATGACGGAAATATTTCAGTTCAAATAGAAGTGAAAAATGATTTCGTTCCATTTCATTCAGAAACGGCATTTTGTAAATGGGGTCTTAGATGCAGGATTATAGCAGGGAAAGAATAAGAATATAAAATCATGGGATCTGCACGGCAGTAAGGACCAGATGCAGGCAGCTTTTGCAAATGTTAACAAAATTATTGTTAAGTAGCCATTAGATTCGGTCCTTACCAGGAAACAAGGAAAACATAATCTAAACCTTAAACAGAAATATATCTTAAAAATATAAAGAGTCTCCACAAATCTGTATCCGGAGTTAGATAATTAAATAAATAAGGTCGCAGAATCTGGTTGCGTTATAAGTAAGGCAATTAGAAGCATATCGCTCTTATGAGCAGGCGGAACTCGAATGATATGAATTAAACAGCAACATTATTAGAAAAAAGGATTATAATTATTGGATAAGTCTACACCGATCATTCAAAACCCGTAACAAGGAAGCTAGTGCAGTGACTCTTAGCTCAGGTAAATGCAGCTCTAATCGTATTCCAGAAAAACGAAAAACGAATACATGGATAAATTGGAATGGGATTCGTGAGGGGTTATAGATATATTAAAACACAGCTTTTCGTGGAATGATCTAGCAGAGCTTGCGTGGTAAATTGTGTATAGAATTCACGGAAAATATTACATCTTAGGTCAAAGATTTCATCTTATCAAAACTTTGGACTTCATAGGGTAGCACAGTGACTGAATTGAAGCCATAAACAAAACAGAGCAAAAAGGACAGATAATTTTTATAATAGTAATGGGTACCACCAACCTCATTTGATCTAAATTGATTGCTAACTTTCCCATTAAATTACAGCACGCCAGTCTTGAATGAACAGTTTGGGCTAACGTTCCCATTGATCTTGCTAAGTCTAAGATCTGTAAAAAGGTAACAGATATGCTGCATTATAAAAATTATGATGAATCGAGTTCCTTTATATACAACAGAATATTACAAAAGAACAACTCCGATTTCTGCATTCAATTACCATGCCTAGCGTGTTTGGTTTGTGGACATCAAAAATTTTAGATTTTGGCAAGATACCTCAGAATTCCAATAAAATGAAAGTTATGGGTGCATATTAGAAAAAAATATGAGAGAGTGAATCATCAATAACATCGAACAAATATCCGATTACTACTTTGCACCATATTTAAGCTCTTATTTAAAATTAGGAAGTTCGGGGACTAAAATATCTCTTGAAACCAAGTCAACGTTCAAAATAATCTTAACTTAGCTACAAATACGAAGTTAGGAACAGGTGTTGCTAAGTTGTTAGCTCAATCCAAAACGCGAGGTGTAAATACATGGCTAATCTAATTCTTAAACACCAGCAGCTGTTAGTTAGGTCAGGGCTTCTTTACAAGGCAAGATAATTTCACTGCTTTCTTTTGCTAACAGCTTGGTTTTAAGTGCAAATAAAAAGCGGGTATTTGGGTCAAAATACTGCCCAAGATATAATTATACCAAATTTATTTCGCAGACAGATGAAAATTTGAACAGGTTGGAAAGCAAACAGGCAAAAACGAGCAAGCAAATAAACTGATGCTTCCTTGTGTGGGAATTCATTGTAACTGCCAATTCAATGAGAAGGCCTTTAATTACCTTTTCCATTAACGTTTGAAAATTCTTAAATGACTTAACAGTTTAGCATAAAATTAGTTTATTATATGGAAATTTCAATGCAGATCAGGAGCCAAATACAAACCTTAAACTTAGTGTGCAAGGCTGTAAATTATTGAGATAGAGAGTAAGAACGTACTCAGAGAATGCATCAAACAGGCATGGAACCAGAGCAAGAAAAGTACTCACGGTTGTGTTAATGGTTTCAGAGGGAAGAAAAGAAAGGGATGTGAGAAGGGCATCGCGCCAGGCATCAGCCACACCTGTAATTAAAATACTGGCAATCAACCTCCTTGTTGTTGACAAGCTTCATTGAAAACTTTTTACAATGCTTCATTTTTTTCAATGTTATTTCACGAGGTGATAATATGTAACTAAAAAGGGCAAGGTCAAGGTAGGTCAAGGCAAATTATTGCTGCACAGAGAAATGACTGTTTGAGAGACAACTTTTCTTGTAACCAAAAGCTTGATTATCAAAGCTTGACCATTCTGTTTCGTTTTGCTTTTATTAGCCAACTAGATACCAGTTTCCAGTTATGTGGCTGCCTGGCATTTAAAGCATTGAATCCTGATTCAAGCTTGCTTCTTTAAGCAAAAACTATGACGAATGGGTCATAAATTGAAAATGAAATAATTTATCTAAGGGGGTTATACTAAAAATGTGGTTTAAGAGGAGAAACTCGATGTAGAAAACATAAGCAATCTACCTACCAAAATTTTCATTGTGGATATTTTCTAAAATAATTGGTAGCAGTGTCTTTGCATAAAGAGAACCAGTAAGAACTTGGCTTTCAGCAATATCACAAAAAACCCTTGAAGCAACAATATGTAGCTCCTCCTTTCCATTCCAAAGTGATTCTTGGATGCAAGAAATAAATTTGCTGATTGTATCATTCTTGTATTCCAAAAGAAGTACTTTTAGATTTTCAACTGCATTAACTTTTTGGACATCTTGACCAGTCCTAAGGAAAACATTGTCAGTTTCTAGATAAAACATTTTTATGAAGATGAGTGCTTGATGTTATCGTTTTTTACAGTCTGCCAAAAGAAAATAAATCGTTCTTACTGCCAAATCAAATTAAAAAATGGCCACATACTCTCTTAATACCATTACATATGCAAGATTTTCATTCCAACAAAGGTCTTAATCACATTGTTAACTAATCAGAATTATCATTGGATCAAATCAAGCACTTATGGCTTCCATAGGTTATGAGGAAACAAGATTACCTTTCTATTCGTCAAACCAGCTAATTTTTTAACAGAATTATGTAAATGCTCGTCATGGAAAACATTTTCATCAAATTCACTAAAAATTTTGAATCTTAACTAATACTTCTTTTTCATAAAACATTATAGACAAGGGACTTAATCTCATTTTTATAATCAATAAAGACTTCCATTAAATCAGTGCAGACAAAATTAGATTAATACTGAGAGTATAGGGTGGTCGAGAGATGAGCAAGGAGTCTGTAGCTTTCAATTGTGTTTAATTATAATTATTAAAATGAAAATAGAAAGTTTGTCAAAAGCTTACCTGATAAGATACAGTGATCTTTCCAGGAGATTTAAGCTTTCATCAACAGTTAGTCTTTCTATTTCCTCTTTTGTCTACAAAAAATATAACATTTGCAAATATCATATATATTAAATCATTCAAGAAAGAAAATTTAGAACAATGTATCTTGCCATGGTCACCAACAGGTTAAAACAGAGCATTTTAAATTATTAAATCTAATGGTACTGCATCTAACTGTTTGTTAATTTTTTAAGGAGATTACATCTGAAAGTTGAAAATTGTCTGGTCTGAGAGTCTGGTCTAAAAGAAGCTAGCATATGATAAATGAAGGTCTATCTGAGCAATGTTCACCTTGAGAGCCCTGAAAGCCTTTACAACAAGCTTAAGTACAATGGGAAATTCAATCAAAACTTAAACCCAAGACTTACAGACATGAGGCCATACACTAGCATTTTTGATCAACCTCCCAAAAATACGGACACACATCAAGTTACAGCAAAGTTGATCTGCTGCAAAGAGACAAACTAACCAATCTAGAAGCAAAGACTATGGACAAGTGTCCCTTCTAGACTTATCCCAGTTTCAAGTAACAATCAGTTATAAAAAAGTCTCATTTTAAAAAAGCCACTAATGTCTAGATGATTTTTGATCAAATATATAATTAATTAGATTGTTAAAAACTCTGAAGTTTGATATTAGATTACAGGTTTGAGGTCAAGGAATGATGGTGAACAGCCTCAATTCTTTTGATTGAATAAAAATCCACCACTGGATTAAACTGAGCTATGGCTTACTGAGATTTATAATTGTCAGTCATCACTTAAAATATTATACAAACAAAACAAGAACTCATAATATAGTCAGCCAATAAATTGTGTACCAGAATGAAATGAATTAGTTTGATAGTTAAAAACACGACATTTCAAGCATGTACTCATTATCAAGTGGTAAGAAACGAAACCAAAATAAGAACTCACTTTATAGTCAAACGAAAATTCATTATCAGGTGATTCCAAAAATTCAAATAATATGCCCTTTCTTAATTTCAAGATAAAAAGTAATGAACAGGGTGTTTTAAGTATTTGGTGACTTATTCAGTGAACAGTAGCCAAGCAGTTGGGTGCCACTATAATCTATTTCAATCTTTAAAGATCTTTGAAGCACAATCTATCCAAAAGGCAATGAAAGCAATGCCTTAGTCTCTGAATGTTAAGTAAAAAATTAAAGTTATTATTTCATTAAGACCATTGCAATCCTTCATTTGTCTGAATTTTGCCTTTAAACATTGAACACATTTAGGTTTCAAAACATTGTATACTGTGTCAGTGCATGTAGTTCAAATCATGAATAAGAATGTGTTAATTAAGTGAATGTCAATAAACTGAATGTCAATTAAGTTTGTTGCACTTTACTGAAAGCCTTTTATGTTTACCTTGTCCAGCCAATTAGATGGTTTGTTTAACTCTGTTTTGTTAAGAATGGCTGCCTCTGTTTTTGGCCATCCAGCCAATCAGCGGCAACCATTCTTAAGTTTCATAGCTGATGTGACCTGCTCTAGCTGTTAGGATTTTAATGGAAAAACCCCAGCCCCAAAATATACTTTCTCAAAAATTCAAATGATTTGAAAATATTTTTTTCAATAATTTTCCTAAAAAGATTATTGGTTTTCTAAGCCATGCAGAGGCAGATGCCCCTGCCATGGCACAATAGAAAAACAACACCATATTTCACTTCGCATTACAACATGAAGTTCTCTGATAAATTGCTTCACAAAACTGTAAATCTGTGTGTATGAATTAAAAAGGGAACATTCAAGTTCAACTTGAGCCTTTAAACTGATGCATTCAAAGGTTTGTGTCATCTCAATCTTCGCATTGAAAAAGACTTGAATATACATGTAAAAGTTGAGTTTTACTTCACTGCTCAAGTTTATCACCTACCAAGGGTTTTAAGGAAATTAATTTTTGGAAGAGCTGATATTTGTGGATTTTTTTGCAAATTTTATTAGCATTGATATTTGCAAATGGGGTAAATTTGTATGTTTCATGAAAACTTATTAAAAAACTCAAATAAAAAACTCCAATTTCAAATATTTTTTGGTTGGAAGGTCTGAAGAACACGAGCCTCAAAATTGGTCAAAAGCTAAGAACAAATCGAGAACTTGCTGTGGCTGAGCTACTGTGAAATGTAATTATGAACAATGCTTCATTGTCAAAATGAGAACTTTTTTAACCATTTAGAGTTGTTTCTTCGGTGAATTTTCAAACTTGTTGACAAATCATTGATGTCTCTCTCAATTTGTTGGAAAACAGGCCTGAACACCTCCTTAGAGCACAATAGCTTGTTTGCACTGCTTACACCTTTGAAATTTTAAGAAGAAATTAAGAACAATCAAGCCTTGGATTATCAAAAAAAATAAGAACAGCCAGCTTGAACTTCAATTTACTGATTCTTATAAGAAAAGTGTGTATTAAAATCTTATGACCAGATCTGTTGCAAACCACCTGAACTTAGAAAGATTAAAACTTGCAAAAAACCTGGGCCATAGTCTTATTTGTAAGTCAATAAATTTATATGCTAGTAAAATAGAAATATGTTGCTAAAGATAATAGGATCAGGTACATTGCCTATGGGAAATTCCATGTTGCTTTCTGATAACACGCAGGGGCTAGTTTTATATCTATTTACTATGGATAATCCACATTTATTCAGTTTTGTTTTCAGAGGATTGGTATTCAATTTGGTTAAAATGTTTAAATACAGTGCAATAGCTTACAAGATGTACAAGTCGTTTTTACCCTGGTAAACAAAACATTCCATTGTAAGTCTTTAAAGAAGATTCTCCTCTGAAATAATTCTAAATTACTTCAATAATTGATTTCAACTTGAAATTTTGGAAATTCATGCTAGATTCTGCTGGGTCAAAAAGTTACACAATTTCAAGTATTCGCGTGGTCAGCGCGTTTTCATAGCTGTGCGTTCATCTAGATGTGAAGAATATGCCCCTCGCACTGATAATCATACCAAATTTCTGCTAATTACTGTTCAAGCAAACCTGCCACAGTTGCGGTCTTTAGTTTCAAGCTGCTACCGAATCCTACATCAAATGCCATTTGTATGGAAACACATTCCATATCGTCCTCTTTCGGGGTCACTGGTGTTAACATGAACTTAATAGCCTGCACATTTGCACACCCTTTTAATCAACATTGGAATTAACGTATTTTGCTGTCAAAAAGAAAACAAACAATCAGCGTACCTTAGTGCTTTTTATGCTTCTCTCGCTTCGTAGTTCTTCAACATCTTGTTCTGATAAACTCATTGCTGCAGAACTGTATGCTAGGACTGCATCCCAATCATAGGGTCTTGGAGAAGTGGCTGCCATGTCTTTTTAACAGTTTATACAAACAGTATCTCCGCTTTTGATTGCAGCACTGGCCTACTACAAGGGGAGCAAAGAGTCACAGACACACACCGAGAAAGTAGTCTCACCAAACATTAATCAGCGATTGTCAAATCAATGACATTTTTTGCTACAAATAGCCAAATTATTGGAAAAACAGGCCTGAGTCTTAATTGAATTATGGTCACACGTCTTCACCTCCAATTGTTTTTATATGGACGTTGCTTCGATAACGCAAGTCACAAATGTTGCAGCGTACGCAATAAAACCATGCTGTCCCCAGACTTTGCAAACAGCCTGTCTCTTGTATGCAAAACCCGACCAGTTCCTTGTCAAATACTCAGTTGTATTTCCATTCTTTAGCATTGGCATCTGGTAATTAACTGATACAAAGGACACACCATTCAGCATATTAAACACCGTGAATACCCAGTTAAACTTTGAGCTTTCTACAAAAGCAACCGGAGCAAAGGTCAATCCGTGCTCAACCCGCGTTTTATGCGCGAGAGTATGTTCCCAAAGTGACGCTGGCAAGCTTTCGCTTCAAGGGGTAATGTCTTGGTCGTTGGAAAATTTAATTGTTTCCATATGAATTTCATGATCGTGTCAAATTATTGAGTGACTTTGCTGACATCAAAGATCAGGATTATATAAACAATGTCTTGTTATTATAAGAAATTAGCTATAAAAATCGAGTACTGGGCAATCAGGAAAAATAAAGAAACTTCGGTACTCGAGGCAAAGATTAAGATACATTTGATTGATTTGAATTTCAAAAAAGGCAAGGACCTCGAAGTTTTTTGTTGTCGACAGAAATTGGCGAAAAAGATAGAAACATCAACAATTGCCTTATTTGCTGCTACGAAAACCCTGTCCATAAATATTCTGTTTGAAAACAGTCTAGTATAAAAACCTGAATATTCTAGTATTAAAAACCCGAATAAGTAGCGCCAATTAGGGGTTCAGCCGGGGCAGCGCCCGAGCCCCGAAAGGGACACGTTCTTAAAATTAAGATGCTTTCTTCTTTATTAACGACAATGTATCCTTCTGGTAAGGCTTCAAAGGCCTGAAATTAAATATCAAAGTATTTTAAATTAATTATGTGTTGCCTATGTTTAAAACGTCTTTTCAATGATCTTGAACACAGGCTAGAAAAGTGGGTCCGAATGGTGGCTTACTGAATGTCTTAGCTGTGTCGAGGTATTGAAAGTGATTGCTAAAAATATTGACTTTAGTAATGTTATCGACGCTTTTGCCTTGCTCGAAAAAAATTAATGTGTAACAGTTTGAATTAGATAAGTTGGGTTAGGAAGGGGCTCAGAAGTTGACCCACTTTTAATTGCCGCGTAGCTAATACTTTTTTTTAATTTGTAAGACCGTATCCTGCCTATTTTGTGTTAATGGAGCCCCGGGCTGAAGGTTCATGAGGAAGATTTAGAAATGATGGGCATTTTAACCACGGTACAAAGCAACGTAAAAAGCCCATTTTAGCCACCAATTCCAGAGCAAGAGAGTTTCAACGAACGAAAACAGAGCGTGGCCAAATAAGGCTGGGACAGTCGAACCTTTTGTCCCATGGCCCGTCCCGCCAGTGGCAGCCCTGGCCCAAATGCTAAAATAAGTCACGTCAAGGTTATGAAACTATTGGCTTTTAAAATGCACATCTATAATTTCATGTTGATGTGAATAATTAAAAAACAAAATAGACCAAGTCTATAAACGATATAAAGATCTACTTTAGAGTAGCAGCACTCCCCTTTGGTGATGGTCTGTGACTATGGGAGTTAAGGGGTCCTAGCCTCCTAAAGAATTTTTAACAACGGAGTCTATTTTTTGGTCTGCTTGGATGGCAAATTAGAAAAGCAAAAGCGTAAAATGACTAGCAATAATGAGTGTTATGAAGGGGGTCCTAGGGGCTCAGCCCGCTTCTTAAAGTTCAAAGAGGTTTGGGGGGCTCAACCTCCCGCTAACAAGCAAGCACATATTTAGTTGGACGAATTCTGTGTTGGCAACTCTTTGTTATGCTTTAGATTTCTGTGCAAGAGCAACTTCCATCGGCTCTTCTGAGTGAGCGAATAGTTTCAATGACTGGGCAGGCCTACAATTTTCCGACAAGATAACATCTTGGATTATGTTTAATTTCAAAGAAACTGCAAATTTGATAAAATAGGTAATTTTTGACGGGACGCTTTAGAAATCTTTCCTGACCACACCAAAATTAAGTAGCAAAAATAACAATTTATTTATGATGTTTGCTATCAAGACCCGGGTATCAAGACAATTGATGATACAAGAGGTCGACCGATTACACTTTTGATAAGTCGTACGTTCATGTTATGCATTTTATCTTGTTTTCGTCAGTAGGATAAAACTACGTTTGAAAATAACTTTTATTCAGAAGAATCCGATGGAAATTTCGGCTAATCTTTACGGAATTAAAATTAAATAATTCACAAGCAGTTTTGATTTTGGTCATATATTGTTTGATTGATTATTTAGTACTGGCTAGTATTTTATCAGCTATGCTATGTTCAAGTTTTACAAAAAGGGTACAGAGAGGTCATAGAGGCCCCTGGGGTAAAAAGGGAAATGCAGATCACCTGCGGGCAAAGCGAACAGAAAATTTGGCAATTAGTCCCCTTAGATTAGCTTAAAATTCCTTTTCCAGAACGATTTCTTGGAGTAATTTTGACACGTTAAATGGTTGTCAATTATCCGACAAAAGCCTGAATTTTCCGACGACATCGCTGATTGTGGGGCCCCCATAACCCCCATAATTTCCGCCACTGTGATCATGGATGTGGCTTCTAGAAGCTGCACGACAATGTCCCTTCCTAATTGTTTAGGACAGCAGCCCATAAAATTGATGTTGTAATTCCAATTCCTATTTACATCAGATAGTTATACTACTTAACGCAAATGCTGAGAATTCTGTAGGTAAAGGTTCTGTAGGATGATTTTCGAGGTTCTGCAGGTAAAAGCTTAGTACAATTTTTGTACAAAATTACAACTGGTCTGTTGCCAGTCGGAAATTTTGTACCCTCATCTAAAATTATTTGTCGACGTCCCTGCGCCTGCTAGATTAAGATAGCATTTTTATTTCAGGCACACATGCCCGAAAACCTTTTTATATGCATGCAATTTTTTCACATTCTTTGATCTCCAAATATTTTTTCGAACTATTTTCTTTGCGAAGCTTCCACGAATCGAGTACGAGGTTGCGCAGGAGGCGGGTGCGAGACCATAGTTCAGAGCGCGAAGCTCATTCCACACACACCTTGAGAGAAGGAAGTAAGTTAAAAACACAAGCTCAGATCCAGATTTATGGTATGTTGCAGAGTGATGAATATATTATATATTAATAGTTGTTAAGCCTTCAAACAATTATTCCATGTTAAATATACCGCTCTTGATAAGCTGGTATTTTGCTGATTGGGAAATACAACGTATGTAAACAAAAAATAATCAGAAGCCAAAAGGTAAACAGGACACATTTCGTCATGATGGTCACGTCAAGATATAACTCTTATTCTGTTATCATTTACGGAGCAAAAAATTTGCCATAATCAGCATTTATTTTATCATTTGATCTCCGTCCTTTCGTGGCAGTTTTCGACGAGATCTCGGGAAAAAGAGTACATTTGTGATAAGTGTGCACATTTGAGTGTGCATCGAATTTCTCAGTGAATCTTGAATCCGGCACTTTTCTTGTTTACATCAATTTTACATACCAGGGAAATTCATGATTTAGAGTTAAACTATGCTTACCTACCACTACCATCAGTGGATGTTATTCAAATTCCTATTCAAATTAAAAAAATAAGGTTTAAAAAGGCCAAAAACATGATCTCACAAGCAGGGCCACGGAGAGGGGGGCAAGGAGGCAAACTGCCTAAGGTCCTTGATGTCTCGGGAACCTCATTAAAAGGAATTCCATTTAAAGAATGGAATTTATTTGTATATCGTTGAATGATAGTAATCCGTTTTTAGACTGGAAATAATAGTAAAACGTGACAATGAAACAATTGAAACAAAGTAATATTGAAACAATTGCAAGAAAATGACTGCAAACAACATTCTGAAGTGTATTTTAGGCTAATCTAAAGAACGTGGTCACAAAAATTTTCTGCTTGATTGGCTCACCAGAGTTCCTCTTTTTCAGTTTTGCCTCAGCTCCACTGAAACTTTTTGCCGGCCCAAATCCAAAATGGATCACTCAATTTAGAATGGCACACATTTACGGACAAATTTAAAAAGTCATTTTGCCGTATTTGAAAAAACTTTCTGATTTGCACCACATCCAAAAACATGCCCAAACCATGCCCATCTTTTGGGTGTGCAAGAGTGCACCCATTATTTTACAAAATCTCTCGAGAGTGCAGCTGCCATGGAGTCCATACTGGTCAGGCATACCCTCCTAAGCATCCCCCCTAGTTGCTTATGATGATTGATTTTATAATTGTTGGTTTATTGTCATGCAATCTCTGTTTGCAATATGGACTTTTAATTTCCTTCATTGGGAAAAATCTGTACCATGGATTATCCCCTATCCTGGAGCACAGAGAAGGGTCTATATCATTGTTTTCCAGTGGCACAAAAAGGATCCTGTCAGCAAAATCTATTGATACAAAATAATCTATTTAGAAGGAAAAACAGTTAAAATCCTTTAAAACTGAAAGTGCTTTGTAGTTACTGACCAAGTTTCATCAGATCCTCTTTTTGTTTTCAGCCAGGTATAATATGGAAGATGAGGTTTCAACTGATGTCAGTTTAGAAGTTCTACACTGATCTAGTCTACCCATGAGAACTTTAGACATATAAAAATGGCAAATATACCGGCAAGCCAGGTTGATTCTCAGCTTGCAATTGCACTAGAAAAGGTAGAAAATAATACACTTCTTTTTTTCTCATTGTGAAATTTTTATTTGGTGGCATATTGGTGTCAAACTCCTTTATTTGTTAATGTAAAAAAAGTAAATATTCATTTTCCCACCAGAAATGAAACAATGTGTTTGGCTGCTTGTGCAAATGTGTATCCAATAGTTTGTAAACATAGGCACAGCAAAGTTGATCTTCTTTCAAGGGCAGCCCGTTTATTGTGAAATTTATTTATTTATTACATGCCAAGTCTCTTATAATTACTTAGATTTTGTCATGGTTGCTGTTTCTTAATTAAACCTTGCCTTTATCACCCTGATAGAAAATTTACCAAATAGTTTCTTTGCAATGACACTCATTGGAATTACTCTTTAGATGTATTAAAGAAATGTTTAAATTCTTATAGCCTTTTCAATTATATCTATTTTTAATTTGTTGTTGCTCTACATTCAGATTGAAGAAGTTGTTGTTGCAATGCTAAGTGAGACATCTGGTGTTCCTCTTCAAACAATCAAAAGCTTTAGAACTGTTTTAACAAATGTTTGTTCAGGTTGGTACAAATAAACTTTGACATATACATGGAACAGCTCCAATCTGGAAAGATAATATACACTTACGATCGAAAAGTATTGCACCACCTGCCACAAAATGGCAGCATTTTCACAAACTTTTTTTAACCAACTGAAATTCAAAAAGCTACAGTAAGTTAAATAAATGTATTAAGAATACTGTTTGGGTGGAAAATAATAGAAAATTCATCAAGGGATATTAATAAAAATGAAAGATAAGAAAATACGCTTTATATTTTTTTTATTTCCAAACCATGCCAACCACTGCAAAAACATGAAAAGAAAAAATTGTTAATAGAAGTATCTGTAAGATAATTGCAATAGAAAATATTTTTCTCAGCACAAACTTTTAAGATTTTATTAAGGCAAACTCTGAGACTTTTTGCTCGAGTGCCCAAAACTGCTAATTTCCCTGTCTGATATCAAATAATTTTTTTGAAAATGTTGGTTGAGCTTCTTTTGTGATCTTGCACCTCAATGTGATCTTGCGAATGTTTTTTAAAATCATCATTGTGGCATATCCTGCCTCAAAAGTGTGTTATTAAACTTAGCAGGTCATTCAGAGGTCTCAAAGTTTGGAGGCTGGCCAATGAAAAATTTACGTTTTGATATTCAAAAAATATATTGTTTCAAAATTTAAACTTAAAATGTTTCCAACGTTTTAAAGCTTTATTTGATTGGTTTTGAACTTTAAACTGAAGTCTAATGGCTTAACAAAAGTGGTTTGAAGGTCATATTGTTTACATCTCCCTCGCCATTACTTGTTCGTCGAAGTGGTGCAATGCTTTTCGAATATAAGTGTACAAGTAATTTTTTAGAGATTTTCTGGATTTTTGGTATTCCATGCCTGCCTTTTGAGATGTGTTTCTATAAATAAGAACAGAGGCAAGTAAGCTACACAACACTCAGAAGTATTGTTGTCCTGTTTGATATACTTGAATCAAATATTGACAAGTTTAAAACATATTATAGGTGCTGATCTAATATCATGGCTAATGAAACATCTACGAATATACAGTAGAGGTAATGTCTTGAAGATCTTATATCTATTTTCAATTGATAATTTTTTACAAGACAGAAGCTTGTCTTTTTCAAGCTTCAGGTGAATATAACAGAGCTTTCTGATGAGGATAGGGATTCATAGGTACAAATAAACTTTGACATATATATGAAACAGCTCCAATCTGGAAAGTAAGGATTTATAGATTCAAGATGCTTTATGCTATTTGTGTCTATATTTCAGTTGTAAATTGTTTCTTCAATTTCAAGTCTGGCAATGGTAGAGTCTTTTTTGCAGCTCTAGCAGGTCCGTTTGTTGGTGCTTCAATAGAGAGAGACAAACTGCTCCACTGTCTCACCAAAACAGCATTTGCCCCATTCTAGTTCAATTCTTTTCAAAAATATCTTTATCAAATAATTTTAACGTCAAAACTAAGCTCTGAAGTCATAACTATTGAAATCTTGTAAATTCGAAGCTGCCTTTAATTTTTAGTGTAATTTAAAGTTAACACTTAACACCTTTTATATTCAGCAACAGTTTAAGGGATTGCAGAGTCCAAGGCAAAAAAACACCAGTGAGGCCCTTCTTCTTTACAATTTTATTTTTTCTCAAATATGGACCCCTTCTGGCTGTGAGGCCATGGCCCCTTGAAACCCCCCTGAAACTGCCACTGTCAATGGTTCCAACTTTGTTTTCTAGAGGAAGCTTTGTGCTTAGCTAGAACTATTGCATCTCATGGTTATATTCATACTGTGCCAGACTGCAAACTGACTGCCAAAGATGATGCAACCAGTCATAGATTTCAGGTATGTTTCACTGTTGTACCTGGTTGGTCTAAGTTCTGTTTATCAGTCATTTCTGCATCTCAACAATGAGTTTTGATTCTCTATCCATTGTCAGATTTTTATCTAAGCATATTAAGAGGGCTGCTGTTAGTGGGGTCAAGTCCAGTATTTGATTGGTTTTATGAAGTCCTAAATTTGTTTATAACAGACTAAACCCCATTGCATTTGCCATGGGAATTGCGTTTTGGCCAGGATCCAGGTTTGATTTGCCTGCATGGGTAACATCATAGCAAAGAGAATAATAAAAAAGTACAGTTTTATTTGATGGTATTAAGAATTGATTTACTTAAAGATATGTGTGCCAAAATAGGGACAAACCCCCCTTCTACCATGACTTCTAATTTTTGTTGTATAACCCTGGGCAAAATTTTTGATGTAATTTCACTTAGAATCAACAATCAAAAAAATTTTAATAGCACAACATTAAACATGCAAGTTTTGAGGGAAAGTAGTTTGTAATGGTAAATGAGGACTTGGCATTGCCTTACTTGTAAAATATAACCTACACAGCAAATAGCTTCACTATTTCTACAGCTTTGTCACAAAAGGGTTTGAAATAGTTTACTATTTGATTAAAAGAAACTGGTGTTCAATTTAACCATTACTGAAGAGTTTTCAAGGTAAATGACCTCATTAGGAGTTGTAGGACGCAACTTTGATGGGAAACGATAACAAAGGTGTCATGAAGAGCTTATTACAGGAAGGCTTATTACAGCATAAACTGAGTTCTTTGCTTTTTTATATAACAAAAATCCATAATGAAGCTTAGATTTGCTGAAAGTTAGATCATGTTCAACAAACATTCCCAGGTTGAACTGGAACAGCAAACTTTCAAAATGGCAGTACATGCAAAAATGACTATATAGCGCCATTCTGAAAACAGCAGCCATGAATACACTAGCATGTTTGCAGGCTTATTACATCAATGCCCTAACCTCACCCATTGCAAATCTTGATTAAATAAAGTTAAATGTAGCAAACAATTTTCTTGTTGAGGTGCTAGAAAATTTTATTGGGTAGACCTTTTAAAGAAAGTTACTCTAATTCACAGAACCAATACTTTTGGCCATCTGCATGCAATGAAGTGACTGTTCATAACTATGGTATGTCAGTTTTTGAAATCTAGTAACAGGAAAATATTTTAGGCTTTTTAGCCACTAACAACGTCTTGGTGTTGTTTTCATCAAAAACTGTCGAATCGTAAAGAAAACTGAAAAATATTCTTTATGTGCCAGTAATATCAATATGCGAGTATTTTGATTAAGGCATCTTAATTAGATTTGTGGCATAAGAGTGGAGAAGGACTATTTCAGGAAAGCGTGGCGATAATCAGAATGGATTCTCCACGTTTGCGTTGAAATTAAACCAGCTTCATTTTGTTTGTCTTTTCAATAAAAAACTGTGCAGCGGCAAAGATAGGCTAACGTATCTATTGTCAGAACAGAAGAATGTAAGTGACCCTTTTCTTAATTCGAAAAGCAAACCCTTTTTATATCGAATCAAATGTTTGGCAACTGCATTTTTGTTTGTTGTTTCATTTTCATGACATTTAGCCGTCTATTTGTGCAAACGGATGATTTCAAATAAAAGCCGATTGCAGCTGGATGAATGGGAACTGGTATGTACAAACTGAAATTTATTATGATTTATAATCTGTTTGAATCATGCATCAAGTTTAAACAATTAACTTTCCATTATTATTTGGCTTTTGATGGAAGGTTGGATTTTTCATATTCTCGACGAGCTCAGTAGGTGTTCCAAAAGATCTAAGCATAGATTGCCCCCAAATGGGCAATGCATTTTAGGTTTTATTGAAGCATTGTTACCAAATATATTTTCTCTTGTAGCATTAGCACTGTCGTGTGTTCACCTCTACTCCCGTTTTATTGAGAAGAGTATCATATTTTCTTGTAATGTAGCAATCTTGATTCACCATATCCCAGCATGCATCATTTACAACAGCTATATGGAAATAGTGACGCAATAATAGATTTACCTAGACAATATTACATCTTCAGTTATTCCTTTTCCATTTTTTAAGGAGTAATCGAAGCTGTTAATTGGTTTTCCATTTTGACATCATTAATGATATGTACCGAATGTATAAATCTAAGTTATATTTAATGAAAATTGCAGCTTAAGTATACGATACCGTGAAAACAGATCTGTAGACGCTTTGGTGTGTAGAAGGTTCTAAGTTGCAACTCTAAACTTTACATTTAGTAAGATCATCAGGCAACTTTCCTAGCACGTCACATTAAAGGTAACACTCGGAGTTACAGCTTAGAACTGTCCTGTTCTACATACCTAGGTCTGATTAATGTGGAATAATTTTCCCAGTGTCAGATGAGTATAGAATATAGGAACATTTTGCATTCGTGTTGCAGGAGGTGTTTACGAAGCTCAGAAGACAGTTAGAAAAGAGATGGGACCTAATTTACATGGAGGCTGATGCGAAATACAAGTACATTTTTGCCCTTATATTCCTCCTATTTCATCAAGAATTTTGTTTACAATGTCGAAACCAATCTCGTATGTTTTATATGTAAGAATCTGTGTTATTTTTAAATTTAGTGTGTTTTGCTATGTGGCTTTATTTGCATGAACTCATATTTTCCTGTAATGAGGGACCGCGAAGTTCCTTAAAGTGTCCTTAAAATGTCAGGAAAGTACAAAAACGGGAAGGTTTTGAGGGCCTATCATCTTACCTGAAAAGCTAGTTTCTGTTGTAAAGACCAGGTTAGTATCAATAAGGTAGCTCAGAGGAAAGGGCCCAATCATTTCGAGTAAGGATCGAAGCATTCCATCCTGAAAAACATTGCATCTTTTATGGCGCTTAGGCCATTTGCCATCTAAAGGTACAACATTTTGGTCTGCTGCTATATCAGCTATTGATCCTGTGTATCTATTAAGCTTACAATCCAGGAATCTTAGATGGGTTGTTTTGGTACCATTTTTGTTTAAGCTGCTTTTTTGTGTCTTGTTAAGAAATTGTGAAAATTTTTTTTATTATTCAATCCTTTAATTTCCAGAGTCGAGAAGAAAAAGGACAAAGCGCAGAAGCGAATAAATGAAACTCAAGAAAGGGCCTTTTGGAATCTCCACAGACCACCGGTAAGAAATTAAGTTTTATCTTTTCCTCTGAAATTTTTTTTTAAAGGTCAAATGCATTTCCAATGCCCGCACACTCACAAATTAGGCCGTTATTGACATCATATCCAGCAGTTGGTTTTTATTGAAGTATGTGATTTTTTAACCTACAAACTCATTGTGCCTTTGGCTGATAGAAATCAGCTTAGAGAAAAAATTGTGCAGAATTGCTAAATTAGATCTATATTTTGTCAACTTAAAACTTGAAAGTTTGTCTAAATCTTTCAGCAAGACCCCACTTTTGTTTTCCTGAACATCACGCAGATTTGATCGAAGGAATAAGTCGTGGTTAGAAAGATAAGCTATTCTTGATCCATAATTACTGAAACATTAACCAAAGGTCGCTAAAATTGCGATGATTTAGGAGCTCAGACTAGAAGTTAAAACCATAATTTATCGCTACTAAGTATGGTATGGTGTAGGTCAGAACCCTTTTCATTGCTGAATTAAAAATCTCTGTAATCCATGGACTGTTAGCTTTAGAATAATGAATAATGAAGAACAAGGGATCGTAATTTTGAAAAGTTATATTCATTCATCGATATATGAGAGAGCAGTCTTGTTTTGTGAAATGTCATAGTTCTAATATATACCTATAATTAAGAATTTTTTTCTCTGAGAATCAATTTTTTATTAAAACGTATCTTGCCATGTTATGTTATATTTCCATTAAGAATATAAAATCAAAGAGAAAATGCACGATAATTTTCCTGAAATTTCATTTTCCAGGCTTTGACAGTACTTTGATCACTTATTTCAGCCTGGTGCCAAAAATGTTCTGGAAGCCGACATAAAGAAAGTAAGAATGGATGAGAATGGTTTTGGGCCGAGGCATGGCAAGGTAAGTTGGTCACCTAGACGTGGGAACCAAAGGGTACATGGGCGCACATGCCCCAACATTTAAATAACAAAGGTAAAATGCCTTTTTGCAGCTAACGAAAGGACCCCTTTTTTGCCTATTTTGCCCCCCCCCCAACTTTTAAAATGCTTCCTATATCAATAGATGGGCGATTCATGCTTATTTTACACTTTCAAAACCATGGCTCAGTTATGTATGTCTCACACGTAAAATAATTCTATCATATTATAACCTTTTGATGAAAGGGGTTTCGTGTGACTCCCTTGATCAAAAATTGACTAGACCATCTTTCAACGACCCCAATTGATCGCTATGAAATTAGCTTCTTTCTGTCTGTTGAAATGTATGAAACTGTCACTTCAAAATCGTTTAAAATGCTTCGGGTTTCGGTTTCGGTATAGGAAACCAAGATGTTTTTTTTGCCACGGCGAGGTAGATTGATTGTCACCTGCCCCCCCCCCCCCTTAAGCTGTTAGATGGAGGGGAGGAGACCATTCGTAGCATGGTTGGTATTTTGATTCGAATTCTCGATCTTCTGCACTTTGAAGTATTTTGTAATGAACCTGCATGCCAAAGGCAATGCTGCCATGATTGGGCATGTCACAATATGGTCCAACTTATTGCTGCTTAACCGTAGTGAATAGAGTAATGTCACTTTGACCTACTTAATCTTTAACAGCAATACTTCATGCGGAGGGCGCCCATACTCCCCTAATCTATTCAATTTCTATCAACAAATCAATTTTACATATAAACCCCGTTCCCTTTAAATCTTCATTGAAGCCCATTTTTTCGAGAGTGTAGGAGTTGAAATACCGTCTATCAAATATTGCACAGTTTGACTGTTGTTTTATTGATGTTTTGGTGATTTTATAATTGGTTGACACTTCTAATTACAAACTGTGTTTGTTGTTCACGTAGGCCCGGGTCAGCCTCCAATTAGCCGCAGCAAAGATGTCTGAAGATGCTTTGAATCATGCTCTAGACGATGCAATGAGAAAGGTGTGTTAATCCCTACATTTTAATTTCTCGCCAGTTCTATTCATCTTCTACTTTGCCGATCGTCATAGACGTTACTGTTTGCCTCTGGGTCTCAAAAACGAGACTGATTGATGTTTGATAAAGTGAAAATTTTTGCTCTTGACTGTGTATTACCTTGATCTTAATTGTTTCAGGTAGATGATATTCGGCAACTGTTTCTAAAGCAAAGAATCAAGTCTTCGTCAGCTGCAGAAAGGTACGTTGTTTAATGTCATATCCATGCCATCATGGAAGCCGTAAAGGTTTAAGGAAGGATAAGATATGGAGAGAAACTGACTGACAGAAAGAAAGGCAAAAAGATTCAAGGAAGAGTACAAGTTTCTAAGGGAAAGTAAAGGGAGAGGGAAAAATATAATGATGAGAGAAAATGTCTTTAGAAATATGAATAGAAGAATAGGTGAAGCTTAGATAGAAAGTGAGGAAAGGAAAAAGAATTAAAGTGGAAAGAAAAAACGGGGCTAGAAAATAGAAAGAAAGAAGTAACGGAAAAGGTGAAAGAAAAGAAAGATATAGCGTATTTGAAGTTCTTGTAAAAATCAAATCATTGCTAGAAATGTTCACAACATATGTATTTCTTACATTGTTCTGCATGGTTAATTGATGAATCGATAGTGTGTGTTACCTTCTTCATTTTTCAGGTTAGCCCTTTTTTCGAGGTGCTAATAAGCGATCTTAGAACCTGTTGTAGGTAGGATTTCCAACTCACAAACAAAACATAACTTTGTTATATGGATTCTGAGTTGATTCTTATTTTCTTTCAGTTTGATCAAGAAAACATCACAATACGCAACATATGACCCACTTCTCACCACCCCGACACCATCAAATCCCTGGATATCAGATGACAATGCATTCTGGCAAGATAATAACAAAAAGTAAGAAAATATTGAGGCCCCTGATTAAGAAAGTAAATAGAAGAACCATTCATTGTAGAGTGACTTATACCATTAATAAGGTATTTTCAAAAAATACAATACGCTTCTACCTCAAATGCACGGTTTTTGGTATGTTGGGTGTGGTACTTTATCCAAATAACGACAATATAATGAGTAATAAACTAAGTACCAAAATGAAATAGACTGTTGAATATACGATACTTCGAGCATTTACTCATTATATTGTCGTTTTTTTTCTGTATGTGTATTAGCTGTAGTTTAAAGTATATAAGCTAGTACAGTATATAAAGCCATGGTTAGGTCGGTTTGTAGATGAAACACAGAACTTCAACTTAGAACTGTCCTGTTCTTTACACCAGAGCATGTACAGCTCTGCCTATACTGCATTGAGAACTCTATCACAGACCAGTAAGAGCTGCTCATGATATATTAAGTATTTTTGCAGGCCAATCGAAAGTTTAGGGCAGCAAGAGCAAAGCGAGGTGTATGGAGTATAAGCTTTGCATGGAGTTTATTACGCACATGAGTTAGAAAGGAAATAAGTATAAGAATTAGAAAGTTATTAAAAAAATAACGTAATATAAAAATGTATAAAAAAGTAAGCAAGGAAGATCGTAACAAATAAAATTGATATGAATAATAGGCAACCAGGAAATTGATGAATAAAAAGCAGAAGAAACTGGATGGCAGTTATCTTTTATTTTTGTACAAGTTGCCGGTTGTATAGTTAATTGACTGCTTACTGCGTTCTTTGAGAGATCAGTAATGACATGATTTAAGCTTCGAGTAAAAACTTTGATTTAAGCCTGCGCTGCATCATGTTCTAGAGCTGTGCCTCCCCAAAAGCAAGTCCGTCGTTGGTGCTTTTCGTTGGACGACTTGTTGAGTGATCCCCAAGGAACAATGATATTTTTGAAATATTTGGAAAAAGAATTCAGTGCAGAAAATCTAAGGTAAGGTGCTAGTGGCGAATGATCTTATTAGCATTATTAATTTCGTGGCTTTTTCTGACTGTGAAATATCTTGTTCTCGTTTTTAGAATATGTCTTGTTATAAGTCTTGTTTTTAGAATGTAGTAGGCTTTAAGCTGGCGAGAACGCAGTATTTTTATGATGGATGGAAGGGCTCATATTGTATGCACTATGCAGAACAAGGAGAGCACCCCATATTGACGAAAGGTGAGCAGGATTTGAGGAAAAGGTGAGCAGGATTTGAGGAAAAGAAAACAGGGTTAAATGGGTACGCCGAGAAAAGGACATGACCACTAGTATAAATGATTTAAAAGTGTTAATTTATCTATTCATTATATATTTTTTATAAACTTCCTTACAATGAATGTTAAATTAGCTAGAAATTTGACTTTGACTTTCAGGTTTTGGCTCGCTGTAGAAGAATTCAAGTACTGCCCTCTTTCATCAATTAACAGCACTGCCAAGGAAATCCTAAGGTTTGAATATTTTCAGTTATTGCCTGCGTAATGCCCTCGAGTTCTCTAAATTTTATTTTCTAAGTATCTTGTCTTTATCCTTTACTATGCTGTGTTTTAAAAAAAGCTAAAACGTTATGTTCCGACCCTTGCAACTTGAGAGGGAATGAGCTTCAAACTGTTTCTATTTTTCTTTATATGTAAAAGAAATTCAGTTTTTAAAACTGGTATTAAGAACAGCAGCCATTCATTCGATTTACCGAAAAAAGTAAACTGAAACATTTTTGGTTTAGTTAATTTTCTTAAAATATCGGGAAAGTGAAGTTCTTTTTGCAAAACTTTTCATTTGATCCTTCTAAAAGTACAGAACTCTGAGATATGACGAATTGATAAATTTCTGCTACACTTAACACCCTGTTGAGGGTTAGACGAAAAAGTAAATCCAAAATGGATAGTATGGTTCTCCTTTTTCTTGCAACCTTTTTTTACATTTATATAACTCAAAAAGTTTGATTTGAAACTTATATCACCGATACCAATATGTTTTTAATTTTTTAGCATCTTTTGCAAGTTTGCCAAAAACAGTAAATTTTTACAGAGGCCAGCAAGTAGGAGTTTCTTCCTAAAAATGAGCTAGTAAATCTATCCTCATTTGTTTGTTGTGAATGCAATAATAAGTATTTTCTAACAGTATTGCTATCTGATAAATATGTTGTTTTTTCTATCTTTCATTCACAGGGATTACATTGGTAACAATGCTGTTTATCCTATTAACGTTGATCAGAGAGCAGTTGAACTGGTTAATGAAAGAATGCTAGCTCCAAATCATTCCACCTTTGATCCTGCCCAGGTATTCTTAATTTTCGTGTGGACCTGAGCAACAACTTGGCGCTATATTGTTTATCGATATAACATGTTCTCTAAAAAACACTACCCCCTGTCCCACTTTTCCCCGGCAATATAGTCATGAAGTACCAACTTGTCCCAGACCATTTAGTCAAGCAGCAACCATTTCTCTCCGACCATGTAGGCAAGTAGATACCTCTCCTCGACAGCTATGTAGTGCCCCTTCTCCCTGACCATGTAGTCTTTTAGTACTCCTTCCTCCATGTCCATGCTGTTAGGCACTACCCTCTCATCCAAGGCCATGTATTTGAGGAGTACCTTCTCCTCACCGACCTTAAAAGCATCGTTCTGCAAAGTTTTGATTTTTTTATTTTTCTCTGGTTCAGAGTAATTTCCAATGATAGGACTGCGGGCATAATGTTTGTGATCAACCACGATGTTAGCGCCAGAGTTGATTGTTTTAAAGAATTTCGCATTTTTTGTGTGCTTTATATATAATACTGCTTTGCACAATTTAGAGATAATCTCTGCTCGTTCTCGTATTTCTCTAGAATCAGATTTACACCCTAATGAAGACAGATACCTACAAGCGATTTTTGAAGTCAGAGAATTACTTGTCGCTTTTGAGAGATACTCCACAATCAAGGCGTGGGTAGGTTGAATCTAGAAAAGTCTATTTACTTTTTAAGATTGTTAGACGAAATTAAATATTTGGTCAAACGACTTTCTGGTTGTACGAAACTTCAGAATTCCAAAAAAAACTTTATCTTATTTGAAGACATTGCTGTGCTATGATAGAGATTTGAGTACCCCCCCCCCCTCTTCTACCTGTAGGAGGTAAGCATTAACAGGTCACACTGTGACTGTGTCGTTGGTTGATCCAGCCTTCATAATTATATATACTTTCAGTTTCCAAGTGATCCAACATCTTTCATCAAATTTGTGCCGCAGGGCCTTCTTCATTTTCAATAGAAAAATGGTTTAAGAAGGGTGTGTCACAGCAACCAAATGAACATTTTTGTTTTCCTGGTTATTGAACTACGAATGGTTTGGAATCCTTTTGACTGGGCTTTCCATCCACATTCCTCTATCAATCAACTCCTTCTAATACGTTTTGTGATTTTTTTGGGGCGTATTAAATCCTTTAAGCCTGCCTTAAACTGACATCGTTCTTCAAAATCCCCTCCAAATTCGTTTTCCTATAGTTATTCTATAATTTCACAACTGAAAATGGTTCTTAGTGGCTCATTATAAAAATTTCAGGCGAAGTCGAACTGCTCAGTGGTTTGTGTAGCATTAAGCGAAAGATTATTGCTGATGGCCTGTGATAAAAAGCAAAGGACTGGCTTCTCTGTAGTGATGTCAATTCAAGACTTCATACACGTTTATTTACTAATCATTTCTCTGTATACCCGCCCATTCAACGACATACCCGGTCGTACAAACTGCATGCCCTCATCTTGTATGAAGTTTCATATCCCCCTCTTACCAATGCATTTACAATTTGTTTAAGTTAAGGTGGTACACTGATAAGGTCTCCGCGCCTTATTTCATAGTGTGTTCTATGGTTTCGGCAAGATGTGGCCCTAACATTGAGGAGTCAATGTTCCCAAGTTCCCTGAATTTTTCGAAAATGCCTAGAATAAACCCAGCAAGGATGAAACCATTTGGAATGCATATCTTAGCCACATGGTCAAAATACTACTTTCTTCCCATGAATAAAATCAGTATGTTCTAAAGCATGGAAAAACAATAAGCATGGCCTAAAAACTTGTCCCTTCGCCGCTTTTGCTTATTTTTCATGTAAACATAACGCAGGAATAACGTCCCAGTTCATTTCGTTGTAGGATCGTAGATGCAATTAAAGGATGGCGCAGTCCAAACAAATAATGCGAACCATAGTAACCTCGTTTTCATTTTTCACATCCATTGACGTCATTTTCAAATATTGTTATTTTTGCTGACACTTTGTCTTTATATCTTTTATTCGATTTTTCGAGTAATTGCGTGGATTTTCACTGTTGATTTGAGACAAGACGTCCTTATCTCACTATCAAATGTGATTTCTAGAATGCTAATTATTTGAGAAATCAAAATTGTGCATAACTTTGAGTGAGCAAGGCTCTGACTCCTTTGTCATTTCAGTCACTTGAAAGAAAACACCAGTTCCATAGGCGTAAGAGACCCAGGGGCTGGGAGGACTGCGGCCACCTAGTCAAGCAAATTTATTGCATTTGAGGCTCCATTGCGGCAATTCTTTCTCAATGACTTAATAATACTCGGGTAAGACCCGTACTTAGCCCACACCCCCCCCCCCATTTTGCGTCCGCTACGCCCATGACCCGTTCGTACATTTAAATTAAAGGTTTTTTTTGCCATGCGCTCGACTATTACGTACCTTATCCCCTTTTTTCATTTTATGAATAAATGACTAGTTTACTTTATTGAAAGTATAAAACCCAAAAAATGAGCACGTTGGACGCTGAGCTTAGTTTTTTGCCTCGTTGTTTCGAAGACAAATTCATGGCCATAAGATTTGGTATTAAAAACACAAAGTAATACATTTCTTAATTTTTACTTTATAAATGTTATTATGATTTTATTGAATATGACCTTTGTACGTCACATTCTTGATTCATCCTTGTAATCGCTTTTGTAATTGTATTATCTGTTTAAATATTGTAAATCGTGTACAGATACTTTATAAATATGTTAAATTTATATTGTATAAGCTGATACCTGGTTTTTTGGACAAGATAAATTGTTAACCAAATGATTATGAATATTTTTCAATGGAACAGAAACCCTGTGTTTTATTATCGTTTTTCTTGATGGCGTCTCAATGCAAGACCTGTTATCCAGCGGTCGATCTGACGTGCAGCATGTTCCCAAGCAAAGGCCAGATTCTTTTTCCTTCTGCTCCCATTCACTGTTTTCTTTCTGTTAAATTACCACAGCATGTAACAATACCACACTCATTTTTTTATAAGAAACACAGGTCGATGTTGAGTACTCCAGTTTCTTAATGTTCTGGAAATTTCAATACTCATTGTTTCTTAAGAGTTTCTTAATTATGATGTCATGAATGATGTTATGAAATGTTCGTGATCCTTTTTATCACTTCAAGAGATTCGCTTCCGTTCTGAAGCTGATTTTGATGTGGGAAGTATATTTTTATCCCTTGTGTCTTAAGTTCTAGGCCAACAGGGCAATCTTGTTCTTGGATTTTACAAGATTTCGTTGTTCTCAGTTTTATCACGATTTAATAATTTCTTAATTGTTTTGCTTCGAGTACTGAAGTTTCTTAATTTTTTCTGACTGTCCAGTACTCGTTTCTTATAGCCAGTTTCTTATAAAAAAAATGAGTGTATTTCCTCAAATTTAGAACCGACACTTCTTGTATCAATGGTTGTTTGAGATTCTGACACCGGATAGCTGTCAAAGCACTGTGATTTTCATGCAGATGTGCGTTTGTTTTGCTAGGCACCACTTTATGAAGAACTTGAATTGCCTGCCAAAATTACTTGGAACAACCAACACTTTGCGCTGTGCTTTTCTATCTTATGTTTCTTTCCTGAATGCTACCACTTCCTCCCCCTTTCCCTAGAACAGTGTTGATATTTTATAAACATATCATACAAGCAACAAGAAAAGCCTAAAGAGAGAGGATTGTTGAATTTGCTTTTGAAAACTGACGATAGTGTAAGACTTTCGGCTGGGATGGTTCATGTAGAAGGCCTAATCACACTTCGACGACACACGTTGGTAAAATTAAGTGTTCTATTCGATCCGATACGCTTTGTTATCTGGTTTTAAAGAAAAACTGGATTTAATTTTAAAAATGGAATAGTTTTGATAAATTAGGCTTTTTGATAATAATCAAGGACCTTTAACGTAATATTTTTTCATAGTAATAAAATTGTAAGTTGGGTTTTTAACTTTTCTTTTCTTTTCTTTTAAGCAGGACAGGCATTGAAATCAGCAATATTTTTGTTGAAGCTTTTATCCTGTTGAAATATTTGTATTATTATTATTATTATTATTATTATTATTATAATTTTTCAAAAGCCAAAGAAGGGTGCTTCTTCGCAGCCCCACGGAGGGCCTTATACTGGAAATTACCACCCCCATCCCCCCCGCCCAAACAATGGGAAAGAGGAAAGGCTTTATGTATGTTTTTCGAAGCAAACAATGATAGACTCGCTGCAATTAATCAGGGAAAGCATTCTTCGCTATGATAAAAGCAAATTCGCCTTGAGTGAGCTTCTGCGCCCATGACAAACTTGGTTTGCCTCGAATAGATTCGCTTATGCACTTGCAAAAAGTATCAAATTTTATGAATGAAGCTTCCCTTCGAATTTTCTGAGTGATGTTTTTCAAATTCTTTATCCAAACTGAATTATACGACTTTTTTGTACTTATATCAGAATTAACCAACATTTTTTTATCCGGTTACAATTTTCCATCTTTGCCCTTGTATTGAGGGACTATGCTTTGAAAACTTAAATTTGAAAACTTTTTAATCGTTCTATATGAAAATTTGACCCTCTGTTTCTAATCACAGTTAAATTCTCTAAGAACAGAATGTTTAACTTTATTTTTGTCATATTTTCAATGTCAGCATCATGAAAACTTTATTATATCTTGTTTTTAATCCAAAACTTAGGTCAAAGATTTATGGAAAAGCAGTATTTTCAAAACAAAGCCCTAAATTTAATTGGTGCTTTTCCCATTTTGTGAGCTAAATCTCAGTGTGAAATTTTTGGAGCAGATTTTGGAGAACTTCTGGGGGTCATATTGAATAGTATAATGGATTTCAGATTGGTCTGTTTTGATCCATAACTGGGTTTTTCTGTGCTAACCAAACATCAATAATTTTTTCTGACGTTTTTTTCTCTGAAGAGTGTCAGATGAAAAGCTTAAAACTTAAAAGTATGGGTGAAATGCTTGCTTTTTCATAGCCACTTTAAGAAAATGAATTAACACTATTTGGTGTACAGAACAGGATAATTATAAGTTGCTACTCTAAGTTTCACGCATTATGCGAACATCAGGCAACTTCGAACTATTTTCTTTAGCGTGTACAGGTTGCATTTACGGCATCTAGCACCTTGTTTCAGAACAGTAAACAGCAATTTTCAAACTATCACCTATATTAATCGCCCAGCCCAAGCGAAGTATGAAAAGGCAATGGTCCCAAATGTTGTCAGAAGGCAATACTAACCACTCAGTTTTTTATAGCTACAAAAAGTCTTAGCACATTTGAAAATGAAAGTTCTCAAAATAGGTTTATGGTATGAACAGATAGACTTCTCCTAACTAACGTCTCTATATTGCAAATTTGTCTTTTCCGCTTTAAAATAGCCATGACTTTCATGTTGGATTTTAAAAAATTCAGTAAATTAATGGGAAAAAACGTAAATTGCCTCAAGTATATGCCGTGGAAAAAGACTCGGGCGGTCCCCGTTTTGCCCGCGGGCCCCGTTTTGCCTACGGGCCCTTGCCTCTTTGTCCCTCTGATAGGACTGGCGGCATGCGCAAAATAATGCAATTATTTCCTACCCACATTGATGTAGGTTTGTACACATTCAGTTGAATTGGTTAAATTTATCTATTTTCCTATATTCGATGGAACTTTGGCTGTGACATGCACCAGTATCTCTCCTCTGTATCCCCCCTCTAGCATCGTTAAGGCAAGTTTTTTGAAATCCTCAATAAAAAAAATTGGCTTGTTGGAATGTATGAATCTAATTTTTGTCTTTTCAAATCACCAGGACATAAAAATCTTTTGCAACAAGAAATTCAAACTCTCTGTTTTATTGAGGTTATATTCGAATGTGCAACAATTAGGCCTAATTTTATTCTTTGGCAAAGGAATTTATAATTTCAGTATCGGAATTATGCAAAGCAACTTCATTTAAAATCTTCATTTCTAAAAAAGAAAAAAATTACTTAGCTGTCTGTTTGTTGTATTGCGTCCCTTTGTCACCTCGTTGTGCTTTAAGATTTTTTGTGAAGCTATTGACAAGAAGGACTGTGCCCATTTTTTTCAGGCGATATTCAATTCCATTCACGTGTTTTGTTCTATCAATATTTTTGTGCTCGTTAAAATCCTGTTTGTGTTCACAGCTTGAGCTTTCTCATTTAGCGTTGAATCATCACCTCAAGATAAAATAGCTGATATAACAACTTCATTTTCACCGTTCTTAGATCGACTGCAAAGTCATTAATTTAGTGCGCGACATCTTTAGCTGGCTTGTTTGCTTTCAGGTTGTTTGTGCCAAACATGGAGGATGACAACGATGGCGTTTCTCTTCTTCAGATGACGTTTGCACCGCTGAAGGAAGGAAGGTAAATATTTCGTTCATTTTGGAATGATCATTTTAGCTTTCGCCCATCGGAGTGTTTTCTATAGAATCACCAATGATAAGAATATTCTTTTGGCTTCTTTTTTATCTTAACTCTTTGTTTCTTTTATTCTATTTTGTTGTTTTTTCATCGTTCTTTAGTCTATCACTTTCACGTGGCAGGCTGTTCTACCTTAAATGTGTGACTGGTTTTCAAGCATATCCGATTCGCATGGGTCATCCTCAGTTGAAAGAAGCGAAAAGCGACTTGTCCCTACTGAGTTGCTACTCCCAGCAGATTTTGTACTGTCCCTTGACACTTGAGAATTTTTTACTTTTGTCCTCTGAACTTTGCCTTTCGACTTTTGGGATGTCATATCTTCGTGTGTGGAAATATCTTTTCAATTGGTTTTCGTTCAACTTCTTTATCTTTTGTGACATCTTTGTCTTTACTACATTCACATTTGGCTCCCTTGTCTCTTGTGGCTTCTGTGTTCCACTGGGAAAGAATTTTATTGCATTATCAAGATATTTCCTTACTTTAAGGCATTTAAACAATGCTTCGTTGTCTTTTCAGTGGGACCTACCCTTTCCTGACAAGAAAGATTTTCTATTTTTGTTAAATTCTTTTTTTTAGTTTGATTTTACTGTTTTGCTCACATCCTGGTGTTTTTTTTTATTTAAACAGCTCATAAACTGTGTGTTTTGACAAATTGATTGGAAGAGCAAGGAATACAGTAAACTTTCTTTAATGGCACTTCAGTAAAGACTACAGAATTAAAATTCAGCCGTCCGTCAGACCATTAAAACAATGAAATCTCCACAAAAAAACACTTGCGTGAAAAAAATTGTAGATCACCCTACGCCGGATTTATCCTGCGGAAGGGCCTCGAAAGGCAAAGAGGGTTTTTCACATCAACGGCCTTTCATCTTTCGTTGTATTAAAAATTTTAGCAAATACTAGCACTCTATAAATTTTGTTGAAGAAGAAAAACCTAAGAAAAGGAAGAAAAGAAAAAATTGATGCAGTAATCTGAAAATGAAGATAAAAATATTTCTTTTTTCACCTTAGCTTGTGGAGGCAAAGTGACATCGCAGCAGAAATATTTCTAAAAATAACTGAGATTGCTAAAAGACTAATCAATGAATGTAAAAATTTCTGAGCGCCACGCCCTACAATATCTCTGGCAGTGTTGATACCAAAATCAGCAGCCTGGCAATCGTTACAGATCAGTGGCCGCCGAGGAACTGAGAAAACGCTATAAAAATACAATGATTTACACCATCAAGTTTCAGATAATTAAATTGACAAGATATGTTTAAAAAACAACCACAAGTTTTGACTTAAAAGAAGCAAAGGTCTTAGAAAAGAGTTTTTTGTTATAAAAAGCTAATTTGCGGTTACCATTGAATAAGTATGTAACAGAAACAGGGACCGTGGAACCAGGGGGCTAAGGTCCCCATTAATTCCTAAAAAGTAATTAAAACTGTACAATGTATTATCATGCTCTTGGTGTTATCATATGGTGGCCCCTAAAAGCCCTGACCCCTTTACTCTGTAACGTCCTTGAATGAAAAACAGCAGAAAAATACTCAAAGTATAGCAGTTAATTCAACACCTCCACTGGCCAATTGTACCTTGTCTTAGTGTAACACAAGTGATATTGTTTGTTTAACTCCTTATTTACTTAGCTTATCTTCATGATGACATTCAATTTTTGATGGGTATATGTATTTATTAATTATTATCCTAAAAGGAGGTTTTGAGACCGGTACAAAAACTAGAATAATAATTATATCCTAAATCCTGTTTAACGACAAAAACTGAATAAAAATGAATCAATGAAGAAAAAAAGGACTCAACAGTCACCTAGAGGAATTTGATGTTGTACGGACAATAAATATTGCTTACAGCATACTAATTAAGAAACAGCACTTATAAATAACTACAAAAGGTTCTACAAAGTTTTTCATAGATAGAATATTTTTTATTCATCCTGATATTTTAGCCATTTAAAAACATCAACCCGATGCTACTTTCATTTCCTAGCCCGCATAGGCCTCACACCGCAGACTCGTTTTTTCTGTAATGGAACAAGCTGTCCGCATTTAGATCTTCGACTTCATGAAGGGAGTCAACGAGTAGCTTGACAACCTAGAAAAAGGTGGGTTTAGCAATCAGATGAAACATATATTTTATTTGCAGCAAAGAATGAGATGGAAATCTCTCATTTGAAGAGAAGCAACTCTTTGACGTCTAATTTTTTAATCTCAAAGGGCAGAGTAGTTTATTTCGAAGGATGGATTTACAAGGTGAAAGATATGATGGTTGAGTTTTAAATAACAATACAATGAAGATCATGAGCAATCTTCCCCTTTAATGGTAGACAATGCCAATAGTAATTAATGTTGCAGACACAAAGTATATTAACTTCAATGTTTTTTGCAGTGCATGGATCATAGAAGATAATGTAGGATTTATAGATCTCTTTTTATTCTGTGAGCTGGCGGACTACACTCGACTTAAGAAGCAGCCCATGCAAATTGAATCTTTAACTGAGAAAACGTAAGAGCATTGTCAGGCTTATTTTTATATTTTGAGAATTTCTTCAAATTTTAGTTCTTGAAGAACATTTGCTCACTAGAATGGCTGGAATAAAGCATGGTTTCCGAATTACTAAAAGGGACATTCGTCATATAAGGAATTTTATTTTGAAATAAATTTTGACGCTGCAATCTCTTGAAAAATGCAAATGAGAGTTCTTCGAGAACTAAATAAAGTGTCTCAAATTATCAAAAAGGTTTGAGGCAATTAGAAGTTTAACATAACGCATTTGCAAATAAAATTTAATTTGTAAATAAACTTAAGCTCTTTCTCAGCCCTTTTCTGAATATCAGTTCTTACACAGATTTTTAATAAAAAACACAACTCACGTTGAAGTTGGTGACAAGCGGAGTTCCAGAGTCAATCGCTGCTCGTCTGATCAAGTAATTATCCTTCACATACTTTGTGCTTTGATTGGGCAGATTGATAACCATATCGATCTCTTTGTTCTGGATAAGTCTAAGACAGGAAATGCTTACTACTTATAACTTTATACCAAAGACCTAGCATATTAAAGCAATCAAGATCTAGCAAAATGCTCGCAGGAAAATGTTTCCATCAAAACAAATTCTTTCCCTTCAATTATTGAGGCTTTACAACTAAGGATAGGCTATAAAAGCATTTTTAGATATACTTGTTACGAACACCGCATGAATTTTAAGACTTAAAATCCGTTGATAGATTCTCCTTATCATTTTGAAATCTTTAGTTACATGCAGCTTTGATGTTGGTGATATACGAGCCAATGAATAGAGCCTTCCTATTCGCGCAAGTTTGTACCATATTTTAAACACTTGAAGGTTCTTGAAACCTGTCGCCAGTAATAATCTTACCCTGCATTCTTCAACGGATTGTTCTACTTAGAAGTACGCATAGTGGGAAAGGGGTTTGGGTTGCGCTGGAGCCCTTAAAAGAGTTGATGGAATCATCAACATGAACAGCCAATCAGGAAAAGATCCCATACAGATACTCCAGAAAAAGATTTTGAAGCATAATAGGCCAAGAGCCCAAATTACCCATTTCCCTAACTTTGCCTAATTACCATCCACGCGTATAGTTCATATCATAGCATCCATCAGTATGTTCCAAAGCCTAGCATCCATGGATATCTTTTGGGATCGAGTATCAAAGCGTATATTTTAGGACCTTGAATACAATATTTTAGGATATGAAAGAGAAAGTTTGCACCCTTCGAGCCTTTCCTAATCATTACTATTCCCTGCACCTTTCGAGCCTTGTCCTAATCATTCCTATTCTCTTGAACCGTGATTATCCGTTATCCAATAGCAAATTTTTGAATACTCACCTTGTAGCACTAGGTAGGTTAGGAGTTTCTTCGTGCAGTGGCCAACCGACAGTGATCGCTGGAATGTTGTGTTCTTTCAAGTAAGCTGCAGTGGCAACAGTTCCATATAATGTGTAGCCAAGTTTGTGCAAAGCATTTGCAGTAGGCAAGAACTTTGGCTGGAACGATTGCTACAAAAACATCCAGGATTTCAAACGCTGATTTCAATTTGAGCTATTCAATATTTATGAAAAAATCATCCTAGAAAAAGATCATGAGGGGTACAAAGACGTTGGGCTCCCACAAAGAGGGTACAAAAGCACTGGGCTTTAATTCTTAATCTCTATTTTAGAACATAACAAAATAAAACTAGTCAACAGCATTGTCTCTTTAAACTAATAAACTCAAAAACAATTGCTAAAACTCAACGAAACTCGTGTATAACTAGTTTTGCAGTAAAATCCAAGCATAAAACGAGTTCAGAAAATAAGATAATGCAATTTACCTGAATGCCAATCATTATATTTTTCTTAGGTATTTTGAAGCCAGTCGACATCAGTGCTTTTAAAAATGCTGTATTCACTGTTCTGCCGAAACAGGCGACCTGGAAATCAATATGTAATGCTATCAATATATGAAGAGACTGTGAAAGCGTGTTATTCGACACAACACAAAGGGCCCTCTCTATCATGTTTTGCTGAACGTGACTTAAAAGATACCGGGCACTTGCTAGGGACAGTGTTATTTTCTGCGACAAAGCAAAGAAAATCAACAAAGAAAATGCTTCACAAGCCTCCTTCTCATAAGCCTCTTTCTCAGGAGCCTCCTTCTCACAAGCCTTCTTCTCACAAGCCCTCTTCGAAAAGCCTTGTTCTCCTTCATTGAACACGTTATCGTTGAAATTATTCTACAGAGAGCCTCCAACAACATGCAAGCATATGGTCAACATCATTAGACACCGGTATCAAAAGCTCGTTTGATACATAAAGTAGAATATAATTTTCGAAATTTAGTAAAAACAAAAGCTGAAATGGGTATCTAGACCTGGAAAGAAAGCCCGATGAAACTTAGGGACTTGGCTGTCACACACTAAAATAAGATCAAAAGTCTGCACACAGTCAGAATCTGTATCAAGCGCTGCCTATTTATCTGATATTCAAATGCAGCTTCATTGCATTTACAAGAATTTTGCATGGCTATATTGAAAAAGAATGGCCTTACCTCACCCGTTGATGCCATTTCACACCTAAGCAAAGGATCGGCATCTCTAAGACGAGGCCAAGAAAACATGGGTGCCTTTAAAAGCAAGAGAAATGTGATAAGATCAAAACAAAAACTACTGTTAGAAGAAAATAAGCTTTAAAAATAAATTTGATAAATGAAGAAGGGGTTGTAGTATTGAATAAAAACTATTGAGGAAGATGCATGTGAATTTGAAATAGAAAAAGTAACCTTCATTCTATCAGACAGCCCCTAATCACAAAGTGAGTCACAAAGCAACTCTCTAGTTATATAGAGACATATCTCTAATAAAAAATGTGGAGTCAAAAGCGTTGCAAAATATTAAAGACCTTTTTAAAAGTATGTCTGTGAATATGACTTTTTCACGAAAAGTTAAAAAATTATACCTTGATTCCAACATAATCCGTAGGTACCGTGTCATTTTCTAATGGTATCAACGCGTTTTGGTCCAGCGGTGCGTTCACAAAAACCCGTGTTGCTGTTTTGATGAAATCAGTTCCTAGAGTTTTTGAAACAAACGGAAAGGACCGCGAAGCACGAAGATTCAATTCAATCACCTGAAAGTACAAAAGGTTATTGTAAACATAACTACACAAATACAGACAACGATTTATACAATGACCGTTTAAGTATCCCTTAATCAACAGCTTGGTGATATTCTTAGGCAAAGAGACAAATATAAGACGGCAAACTACGAAAACTGAAATACTTTGATATCATTTCAAGCTATTTCACATACCATGATATCATCTCCTTTTGCCAAAAACTGGATGTTCAATGGGCCTGAAATTTCAAATCGCTTTGCAATCTTCTTTGTCACCTCTTTCACCTTGAAGTAAACCAAAAATAAAATCAACTCTATGTGAACCAGGCACAACTGAGTTAAATCTTTTACAGAAAACGCTTAACCAAAAGGAAACTGAAGCAAAAAAATATTTGCAATAAAAATATTTGAAACAGACCTTAAACGTTTAGAATGAAAATCATAAAAAAATTCAGATCCACAAAATAAATTAATGTCCAGCTGTGGAAATAACCGTAAAAAAAGAAAATTTTATCAAATCAAAGGAAAAATAATTCAATTTCACAAGGAATCGTTTTGCATTTGGTTCTTAAGGCGGCAACGGCGTAAGATTAAAAGAATAAAAAAGTGGTATCATTTATATTGAACCTTCTTTCTATGTGCTTGGCTGATGTTCTGAGCGGGTTGAATGAGAGTGGCATCACCAGAGTGAACTCCAGCATCCTCCACGTGCTCAGATATTGCATGAACAACGATCTCCCCATTTCGAGCAACGGCATCCATTTCAATCTCAGCTGCGCCTTCTACAAATTTGGTCATTACAACTGGATGTTCCTGCAAGTAGAAAACAAGCGTTTATCAACTGGATCATGGCATCTCTTTTCAAGTGTATTTTACTACCCACCAACTAAGCTTGGTCATTGCCACAAAGGCCTGAACAGCTTCATCTACTTACAGCTGATTCTCAGATGTATCTATCAGAGTTTAGAAAATGTGAACAAAAATTGATACAATAAAATAAGGACTTTGTACAAGAAATGAATTATCAGTACGACGTTTTGAGCATAACTTCTCATCTGATCGGGTCTGCGATGATCTCTATGTAGCTATTACGACTCATGTAATGATTAAAAAAAAGCTCTGTTATCAAAATTTACAAAAGCCATAGACTCTAAGTATTGACATACCAGTGAAACCTTGCTTGCTTCCTCAAGGAATGTCTTAAGCTCATCAGGTCCATATGCCACGTTCATAGCTGACCCACTGAGGACATACGAGGGCCTTAACAGGCAAGGATAGCCAACAGTAGCAGCAAAGTCCAGCGCTTCATCCTGTTAAAAAAGGAACTTTAGAAAAGGAGATGCTTCATCTACCATTCATAACTCACAAAGTCAACAGACAAGTGAACATTTTTTTCCTAAACAGCAATCATTGACTATGACTACAAAAAATACTTACAACGGAAGAAAGCGCTCTCCAAGGGGCCTGAGCAATGTTCAGTTCGTCCAATATCTTTGAGAAAACCGACCTGAAAATTGATATTAAGTTGAAAAGGTATCAAGATTCGATTAAAAATTTTTCGTGAATAAATAACTACAAGTTTTCTTTTCATACTGTTTCCTTGAGTAAATGCAAGCAAAGCAAAACAAGGCAAAAGCGAATCATATCTTTATGAATGACATTTTCCATTATTCACATATTTAAAATAAACAATACCTGAATAGTGTAAAATAAGAAATGGAAGTCACGTGTACCTCTCTTCAGCTCTGTCAATCATTAGTGGTGAAGTGCCAAGGATGTTTGCCCCACTGTTGTGAAGCGGCATGCAAAGGTTGTTGGGTATCTGACCGCCAACAGAAATGATCACTCCAGAAGACTTCTGTAAAAGACCAGAGAGGAAACAATGTCAAGAAAATTATGAACGTTAAGATAGCAGAGGCAAATAAAAATGGAGCAAAGATACAAAGTTTCAGGGCCTAAGCTACGAATTTGAAAGTGGGGGCTAAGGCTAGCAAAAGTAGGGGGCCAAGGCTTTTTCCCTTTTACTGCAGCTCTACAACTACTTACTAGTTGGGGAGGGATGGCCCGGTGGCGTGGGCCTTGAGTCTTCCATTGCCCAGTTTAAAGTTGCAAAACATCATCATAAAAAACCATACAAGCACAGTAGACCTGCTCTTTAAAAGGTCTTTTTGACATAAGCACCTCGTCAGCAGGTTTAGATTTCGATATCCTCAACTCATTTAAGCTACAAATACCAATTGGAATCACTACCTCAGCATCGTAAATATCCATGACTCTTTCGTGCGTCAACTCTTCGAAATACAGTCGATCACACTCATCGTAGTCGGTGCTCACAGTTTCTGGGTTGTTGTTGACAACGATCTAAAGCAAGAAGTTGATAGCTAGCAATGATAAATAGTTCTGAGGTTCCTTCAAATAGGGCCAGCTGCACTATTGTTTTTTTCATATTCATGGATATTACATGAAGTATCTACCTACAAAGCTATCAGCATCAACAGCAACAGCTGTTATGATAAAAATACTTACTGTTTTGTGGCCCATTTCTCTCAAAGCTCTGATACTGGAGACAGCACACCAGTCAAATTCAACACTGCTACCTAGAATCAGAGAAGTAGAGATGTTATGAAAGAGTCGTAGCCACTAAAGTATTTCATATTTAGTTAGCAGAAGCAAACGGAGCAAAATAGATCTGTTGAAAACACGTAGGATCTAACCCTTGTCTTTGAAATAAAGTAATGTCAAATAAAAATCAATCGGATAAATGAAAACAAAGGATTCATCACAAGACGTTTTATCAAACTTCTTACCAATATGATATGGACCACATCCAAGGACCATTACTCCTTTATCATTAAAGCCGATGTCATGTTCCTGCAAAAAACAATAGAGGGAGCCTTTATAGAAGTAAAAAGTTCAAAGGAAAGATACTTGTTAACAAAATTACTAGTTTCTCAACTACTTGTTAAATAACAAATTTCACCAGGAACAAAGCTATCATTGCTCAACATTTTCTAACGATGAATATACTCTATTTCTCATCTCCTGCTTTCATTAGAAACATAAAAATAAAAGTATCTTTCCTATAAACGCCATCCTCAAAATAGTGCTTCATCAGAAAAATCAAAGGAAATACGAAAGAGGCATATAAATTAAGGATATATTTACTTGCAATAATTAGAAATAAAAATTAGGTCATTTCGAAATTCCTCCTTCTGCAGTTCATATTGCAGGAAAAGTGCCGCATTTTTTCTTTGCTTTTCTTTTAGTGAAAATTCATTGCAATTTATTTCTTAAATTTTTCAATTTGTAGTAAATATTTATAATGTGTTTCTAATAATGTGTCAAGCTTTTCAAAGTTTTGAAAAAGGAGTGTCTATCAAGAGAATTCGGTTTGCTGTTATTGTGTCAGTAACTAATCTTGTAAATTGATATTCGCAAGTCTTACCGATCCGTTGTAAGTGCAATACAGGTAATTGGTAGCGGCTGGGTACTCTGCTGCCATTGTATCAATCTGCAAAGGAACAAAGCAGTGGCGAATTACAACTTCATGTTTTGCTACTATGATCTAGTTATGTTTGGCTAATATTTATTATTGAATGCGATTTCGGTTACTGTATGTGCTATGCCAATTCTCAGACTTTTCAGCTTCTACCAGCCCCCACGCCCCCCCCCCCTTCTCGAAGTGACTCAGAAAATCAATCGGATATTATTTGTGTAGCAAGTAGAAGGAGATAGGCCACTCTGTAAAGAAATTCGAACTTCAATATCCGCTACACAAAAAGCTCTTTTTCCGTCACTGGGTACACATTTCCTTCTTCTAGCCTTGTCATCTTCTAAGGAGGTAAGGAAATTTAGTTCACTTTCTTAAGTTAATGACCATTTTGTTGTTTTTGTCTTTTGCCCTCCTCGGGATCGTCCTTGTGGTGCGGAAAAATTCTTTTTATGTAGTTTACTGACTAGTTTATTATTGTAACATTATTACTAAAATAGGAAAATGCTTTCTAATTAATGTTACTACATCCACACAAAAAAAGGCGCACCCTTCCCAAAACCGCACATCAGCAAGCGTGTGCCAAGTTACATAGTATACGTTTAGAAAACGCAACTATGCGAAATTTTAGACCTCTATGACGCGAAATATGACTAGGAGTAACTTCAATTCAATTACAAGCCAAATAAATGGAAAAGAGATATAGTAAATCACCAAAGATTTTGCAGTACATTAAAAAAGCTCTTGCCACACAGTATATTATGTAAATATACACTATCTACACTTAACATACTGCAACTTTCGTAAATTCGTACCTGTTTAACCCAGGGCTTGATTCCCTTTTCCACTCTAGATACCCTGACGTCATTTTCAGGCAATCCAAGAATTCTACCCATCTGTTTGTCTGACATTCCCAATTTCTTCGACTCAAGCATCATTTCTTCTGATATTTTATCTCTAATATGAAATTGTTTGCATGTCAGTACATGTAAAACTCGTAAGAGAACAACAACAATATTTCCAGAAACTGTAAACATTTATTCTCTGGATTTTATAGTAAATATACTAGGCGCTAAATAACTGTTATAATACTTGAAAATGAAGGAACCTTAATTCCAACAAAAAAGCTGTTTATGGACAGATATAATTCCTTAAAGGAAGTATTATTCCTTAATTATTCGCAAAACCTTGCAAATGTTCAAGTACACAAAATTATTTCATTATTGGTGTATTTTCTCATGCAAAGGAAAGTAACGCTCTAAAAAACTCACAATGATCCAGCAGCCTTGATGTCCTTCTCAAGATGAAAAATGTCTTCCAGTTTGTGCAAAAACCACTTATCGATGCCTGTGAGTTCGGTTATACGATCAACTGTATATCCCTGGGAGAATGCCTAGAAAGCAGACGTTTTATCAATACATTGCCTATCGATTATCGTATCTTATACTTTAGATGTGGATAAAACTCTGCAGTGTTCATAGTTATCTCTGCAACGGTTAAACTGTTAAAGAAATCAACAGTAACTTAGTTTTATTACGATAACTTTTTCGATAATTATAAACAGTTTGGCAAAATTGTTTCTTTTCATAGCCGAAAACAACAAGAACTTTTTGCAGACAAAGACAAGCGATGAAGCCAGGTATTAACTATGTAAGCCATGTAATCTGTATTTATTTAAACTGAATCTCAACAACTATTTACATTGCGTTTATTGTTATGGACAGCAATGACTCTTACCTTTGCAATAGAGAATATTCTTGTATTTGAAGGTACAATCAAGCGTTTGTCAAGTTCCTCTGTTGGAATTAAATTGTCACTTTTGTCACCAGGCGCCTTTAGGAAAAGTAAATGGTACTTCGTGTCATTTTCACCAACAACAGCATACCAGAATGGCAAAAAACATATCAATAAAGATGCCCAGTCAGTTAGGGAATAGAAGTTAGGTTTTCGGTCTGATTTAACAAGGGTTACAGATCATTCCATATGTTCAGTTTCACATAATGAAGCACTTAACCTCCAGATATGAATATCATGATCGCTGACTGCTTGGGCAGTTATTCGTTATAGATCTCTTGCCAAGACGAGTACAGACCTATAGTGAGTCTCATGACGAATTTCAACTAGAGCTGGCTTTAAGTGCACAAAAAAACAGAAGATACGATACCTGTGAAGTAAAGCCATCAAGAGCTGGGTGTGTCATCCTCATCGCTTTTTGGATGCTTTCTTCAAATGATCGACCGATTGCCATCACCTGCAGAAGGAACGAGGGTTCTGAATATCATGCATTAGTCTATAAGCCAAATCATGCAAAGACAAACATTTAATTGCTAAATTTAATTGTTAAATTCAGAATTTTAAAATATTTTTGAAACCAAATAAAGATGTGCTTGTCAATCTAAAAAAAGATTGTTAATTTTGATAAAATAAATTGTTCAGCATCAACCAACTGAAAACAACGATTCTGCGCATTACTGCCATTTTTCAAGAATACCATTCACAACATCAACAACACAGATAAACATGATTTTAGATTCCATTCCCTAACACCAATCTCCCCAATATAAATGGTTAAGTAAAAGAAAAACATCCTGAAAAGGGATAATAAAGGTTTCAAAGAAGCAAGGTTTTAATAGCACTCACCTCACCAACACTCTTCATTGAGCTGCCAATCTGCTTTGAAGTCAAGTGGAAACGATCAAGGTCCCATCGTGGAATCTAATGGAAAACAAAAAAGACAAAAAATAAGAAAGATCGAAGAACAAGATATGAACCACTGACAGTAATGAGCCACTGACAGTAATGAGCCACTGACAGTAAAGTGTTAACCAAGAAAAAAGGTGAACAAAAAGAAGGTAGCTTTCAAGGATGCAAATAGGAAAGAGACGAAAGATAAAAAAAACGAAGGAAGGATATAAATATTGTTATCTAGCTTGTGATAAATGTTTAGACTTAAACTCTGTGCCCATGCTGGAAGAAAGCACAATTTTATATCACTTTCCACGAATTCCTATCTCAAACACTATGGTAAGGTAACAACAATGCTCATATGAAGTTGGGTTGACAAGAAGCTCTTTCCAGTTACTTAAACTGTGAAAGGAGTCGAATAAAAGTTCTGAAATGATATTTCTACTCTCGTGTAGGCACTGTCCTGCGCAAAGATTTTAAACCATCAAAATACCTTTGTTACAATATAATCCAAACTTGGCTCAAAGCAAGCAGTCGTTTTCTTGGTTGTCGAGTTTTCAAGTGAGGGCAAATCAATACCAAGGGCGAGTTTTGCCGCAATGAAAGCTAACGGGTAGCTGAAAAATAAACGAATCCAGGTAAGGTTATTGTCCATGAATAATTATAAGTTCAAATGGTACCTTTATATCATTTTAAATTGAAGTTATAACGTTTAAATGACTCCCTCTACACAAACTAAAAACCCGGGACCCCCTATAGCAAAGTTGTTGAATGATGTTGAAAATGATTTGAATCAACCTTTATAGAGAGAGAGATTGGTGCTTGGAATATAGATATCGCTAACCTAGCCAACTTTAGATGTATAGATCTCGTTGTCAGCATTGATTCAAATCAAGTAAAGCCTAAGCGAGGGCCAAACGTCCTTTGCTTTTGACAACTTGGGACAGTATAGTCATTTTGCACTTTGCTGCCCAGTGGAGCGAATGTATCACAATTTCAAAGACGGGTGGTCAAACGCTATTGACATTTCACTATGTAAAAAACGAGCGTTGTAAAGTCAAGAGTCGTAAGAGTTTGGCCGGGGCTTAGCTTAAACGGAAAGCTTAAAAGCAGATAAAGAATGACTCAAAAAGCGTTTAAAATACCCTGTAGCCTTTGATGCTAAAGCTGAACTCCTTGACAGCCTGGCATTGATTTCGATGATGCAGTATTCCAATGACTCCGGGTGCAACGCGTATTGAATATTGCACTCTCCAACAATGCCAAAATGACGAACAACCTTAAAGATGGCAAAAACGTATTCTTAAAAATAATATAAAGAATATCTAAAGAGCAATCAGACTGTGTGTATATTTCTCTTTGTAATGCAATCCGACTGATTTGTCTTGTGTCTCTTTGCCTATTAAATCTAGATAATCTCCTACTTGAATGCTTAAAAAAAATGTTTTCGACTCTGTAGAAATTTCTTTTTGGAAATTCAAGGTAAGCTATGGACTCGCGCCATAAAACAATTTTTAGCAAATTGCTTTCATCTCGAAGACCATATACACTATTTAGATGAATTAAAAATTTCTTTAACTGAAATATCTAGAGAGTGAAACCTCCCCCATGCAAAATATCTCTTGGTTTTTCAAATGTGATGAAATTACCCGAGAACTATTGTAGGTAAAACTGCAGGAGAAGGAACGTGTGAAAAGCAAAACGATCAAATTTTAATGACAAATTTATTAACAGTTGAACTGGCCTAAATGCAGGTTTATATAAAAGATAATGTAAAAAATTGCTAGACATGGAGAGGACATACCTTGATAGCAGTTTCTCGCAGCATATGATATTCCCGGTTTGATAAAGTTTGACTTGGTGCCACAACAATGGAATCTCCAGTATGGATACCAAGTGGATCAAAGTTTTCCATATTGCAAACAGTGACGCAGTTGTCAGAAGCATCACGCACCACTTCGTATTCGACTTCTTTCCAGCCCAGCAAAGACTTCTCAATCAAAACTTGGTTGGAAAGGGCAAGAGCCTATTGGATTGACAACAAACGTCATAAGAACAACTGGCACAGACAACTGATTCCAAGTATGAACGAAAATTAACGACATTTAGCAGGTAAGTCATATCGTGAGCGATGCCGTATAGTCAGATCTGTACACGCCCCGTTGCATTGGCGCATTGGCGTCACATTGGCGGATGTCGCATGATCAATCGAAATTTGAAGTACTGAATACTCCATGTTTAATAAAAAAATTTTTGTGTTCAGGGTGAAATCTTAACAAAATATTTCATAATGAGATTCTATAGAAATAGCTTTTAATGTCCAGTGAGTCTTAACAATTTAACATTTATTCAGCTTTCATGATAGAAATGACATCATCACAGATGATCGAATGTCTATTATTACACAGAAAAGTGATACATAAATAATCAAAATTAGAATAGACATAGCAAATAAATGAATCTTGAACTACATGAACTGAACTGAATTCAAATTAATACATACATGCTTGACTGTATTAGTGAGTTCTTCTTTGTTATTGCAGAGACCTGATCCCAAGCCACCTAGGGCGTAGGCCGCACGTACCATGACAGGATAACAAATTTTGTCAGCAGCAGATAAGGCATCTTCAAGCTGAAATGAAAACATCACAAAATTAACTCGAAAATCTGTACTGATTGTGATTCATATCCCATCTTTGCAAGAAACTTCCTTACGGTTTGTTGATGTGTAACTTAATCAATTAACTGCAAACACAAACAGACATCTTTTATTCTAAACCATGTCTTCAATGATCGTGCACGAAATAACGAAATATCTTACTGTTTCCACAGCGATACTCGGTGCTAGTTTTTCCCCAATTTCCTGAAGCCTCTTGGCAAATATGTCTCTGTCTTCTGTGGCCTCGATTGACGACACAGGGGTACCAAGGACCTACAGTAATGCAAAGTATAAAGTTTCAGAAGTTGAAAGGATAAGAATAAAACTAGCTTGGTGAGTTAACAAAATCTAGCGATGAATAATCGGTAAAAAGGATCTAGAAACGATAGTAGATTAAAAAATCGCTTACTTTTACTCCATATTTCTCCAAGATACCACGACGATGAAGCTCAACACCTTAAAGATAAAAAAAGAAAAAAATAATCAAGAACATCTAGATATATCTAACGACATCTTATTATTTGAAAGTAATATTGGAAAATATCTATAGCGTTTGATTCCATACGAGGTAGTATTTGACACGAGGCTAATTCGAAACCTACCACAATTCAATCCAGTCTGGCCTCCCATTGACAAAATTATACCATCAGGCCTTTCTCTCTGAATGACGTCTTCAACAAAATCTGTTGTCACGGGGACAAAGTAGACTGTATCTGCCTAAAATTAAACAGAATAAGCACTTGATAGAGCCAAATGAGATCAAAGTGAACATATTATTCATTGAGCACCATAACCAGAAATTGTATAGAAATTGCATCGGTGTATTTTGTAAACATCGCTTAACATGATAACAGACGAAAAGAATGAATTAAATACTACATAATGCTGAAAATATCGAAAAAAATATAAAAAGAATTAAAATTAGGAGAAATGATTGTGCCAATAACTGGATGGACTGCATACTTTTATTTCAGGTCAAAACATTATCTTGTGTTACTACTAGCAACTAAATGCATGTCTCAAACTTTACAAACGGCCTAGTACCGTGATACATCAACGGAATAGTAACCAGATCATTATTCACAAAATCCTATTAGCAACAGTAAATGTTAGGAAGAAATAAAATGTTGTCAGAACACCAAATACCAAGTTAACTAATCTAAAGGATACCTGTTTTTCTCCTTCTGCATTTGTCTGCACCGAAGCGATGTTTGGGTTCATCAAAATTGTTTGAATGTTTTCTTCCTAGAAAAAATCAGGATTCAATTAATGATTTGTTCAATCAGTTCTTTTTGAATTTACAGTTTTCAACGGGAGATTCGATGCTGACTAATAGTAAAATGCAGTGCTGAAGACAAACGTACTTTTGAGTTCCAGTTAACAAATATACAAAACAAGTGGTAGGCAGCTAGTGATAACAGAAGCCTGTAAGATCACAAGCAGAGTCCAAAACAGTTTTAAGCCATCAGCAAACCTCTTTTGGCAGCTGGGACAAATGTTATTTGGTGCTTCCCCTCATAGAAATACCCAAAACGATAAAAACTATGAGCTATTCTTGCTGACAATTTCATTGCTTTCAACTGGTGAATCGACATCTTTATTGCTTTCAAGCATTTAGAAAACGGCTTGATTTAACGTTGAATGAAGAAAATACCCTTTCAAATTTATTGCTAAAACCACATTTTTTCAATCCCAGCTGGCAAAAGCCCTGCCCCAGCATAGGAATTCCAATTGAAGGGTTCTAGAAGTGCCACGTTACCCCTTCAGACCCTCTATGAATCTAACTGAATGATTTCAAAACAACTGATAGTGTCGTCAGGTCAGCGTTCTAACTGTCCCACGAATTGCGAAGGGATTTGGTTGATGAAGTGGCAAACATTCAAAAGAAACTCAATAGTGATACACGCTGACCAAAAATGCACGTCATTTGATACAAAACCAAGCCTAAGGGTCGATGATCCGCCCACACTAACTTATCAGATATTAGTTTTGAAACCACGCAACACGTTATTCAATTGCGAAGCAAAAATTTCCTAACAATCTCCTCTCAAAAATCAAAGACTTCCTAAAAGAGAGTCTGTGTGCTGGAGCTACAAAGAGTCGTATTTCCAGAGGAATCTGCATCGAATCCTAAATATATTGTGCCTAAGATGCTAGATACATATATATGTTAATTCTTCACATTTCATGCATAGACATGTTGATATACACTACATGCATATAGTTCTTTATCGTTCAACATTTGTTCGTTTTTATCAAATCCTTTTTATCCTTATATGATCTTAATTTCCAAAGCGAAACTCGGATACATAATCAAAGCGATTATGTATTAATCATTTCCAAAGCGATTAAACCAGGTACATAATCTCATATAGAAATTACGTCACAGTATTGTAACCCACACGCCCTGTCCCAAATGAAAATCCGGACACAACAGCTGAATATGTGGAACAACGTAATAATTTGTGATAAATGCATCGATTTAGACACAGGCGTCTAGTCAAATGGTAACACAAGTTCAAGATGAGCAGATTTACAAAGAAACGAAGAAATTTAAACTTTGCATACGAAATAAAGAAGTGGGAACAAGCTCTGCCAATCAAACTTACATTCAGTTTTAGAGCTGTTAAATACTAAAGAAACTTTCGCCTTTAAGAAAGCAAAATTATGCATCTTCTATTGATTTACTTGGGTTACATTACAAAGTCTCAGTTTTGATAGCTTTTTTAACTGGTCATAGCTTATTGGACTTTAAACTTCCTTTTCTGACGAAAAATGAGTTTTATCAACACACTCATTGAAAAATTTGGGAAACTGAAGACATATGCAGGTGATTTCAAATAACCGAAACACGAAATTTATACTCCGTTTATCAGGATTTGACTTCCAATTCACTTTGTATAATCCTTCAAGCTTTTTCTAATCGAAGTTCAAATCAAATGATCAGAGAGCGGTTTTTGACAAAAATTATGAACTATGATTACGTCAAGCTACCATATGTTTTGTAGAACAAATCAATTTCTGTCTAGAAGTGTATAGTTTGGAGGCTCCTTGCCAATGTTAGGATAGACTTTTGTAAACTTTTGCTAATATAGACGCAGCAGAAAGGTCCCTTCACACGTCTTTATCAGTTCGGATGTATTTCAAGGCCTCCGACGAAGGGGGCATGGCCATCCCACTTTTTTGCTTAGAATTTTGTTCAATAAATTTTGTTATGATTGTTAAATTTTCTCTCGCCCCCCCCCCCCTCCTCCCCCTAGTTTGCAACCTGCATCGAAGCCCGTGTAATTGCATTACTAAAGTATTCCAGAATGTTAATTAACACCACACTTGTTCAGCAACGATGATAATATATTCTTGAAATATAAAATTATCGTAAATTGTGCGTTAAACTAAATAAAAAACTTTATTTTCTATATTGCATACTTTTCTTCAATCCATTATTCCTTTCAAGAAATATACTGATATGACTTTGTTTAACAAATAGCTCGCTCATTGATGTTACTTAATAAGTTGACAAATAAATAACGTTAGAACGCTGTCAAATTCAAAAGAATAAATTAAACTGTCATTAAAAGTTGGCATCTACAGTAAAGGAAACATCCTCATGTCACAGTGGAGCCTACGTTTTGACTAAGAAGTCCGGTTCTTCGGTTAATCTCGCGGTAGACAACTCGTCTAATGTCACTGCTCCTTATGCAGTAAAGGAGGGGGTTGAATGAGCTATTCGCAAAAACAAGTAGGCCAGTCCAATGCCACGCGACGTACGCCAAATCCAAACTGAATCCAAGAACACTCTCCAACAAGCCACAAGTTACATTTGGTGCATAACAAAGAATCAATATTGTTATGAGTATAGCCACGGTGTTTGTTTTTTGCTGTTCATTGGCTCTCTTCACGACAGTCTTTCTTTCTTTATCGCTACCTACACACGCGGGAGGAGCTACTGCATTTCTCAGTCGTTTCGCCACGACGTAAATGCAACCGTAACAAATGAAAATTGCCACAATACAGGCGATCAGGGCCAGAAAAAGCACGAGATTATAGCTATTGGTGCTGATGACGCCAACAAAAGGAAGCAGTGTCAAGGCACTCCAGGATGCCCACATTACAGCAACTGCAACTGAATACTTCTTCGTTGTGACGTTTGCTTCGTAAAGAAATGGACGACATACAGCATAGCATCTGTCCATGCTTATGAGAGTGACATTTAAAAACGAGGCACCACTGCATAAAAAGGCGAAGTAAGCGTAGGTAAGCTTTACTTTGCAAAGGTGAATCCCGCGAATCTCGTAAACACGCGAGACAACATGCAATGGTTGAACAATAAGACCAACGATGAAATCTGTCACACATAAGCTGCAAATAAGAAGATTTGATGGCGACTTGAGACTCCGTTTTGTGGCCAAGACGAATATCATCAAACCATTCCCAAATGTTGCAGTGAATGCAAGTATCGTATTGAAAATTGAAACTCCGATTGCTGTGATGACGACAGAGCTTTTACTCTCAAATAGAATTGTCTTGAGACCAAAGCACGCAAGCCTGCCCACTTCGGAGCTGTTGGTTTTATCCATGTGCACTGAATTCAAGTTGGCCGCGTCTGCCGTTAATATTTCCTGAAACTTTTTAATAATGAGCTCGAGTCTTGAGATTGGGACCAGCTGTTCACGGAAAAACAAATATATTCACCCGCTTTTGTCAGTCTTCAAAATAACAGCAATGCTACTCATTTAAAATTGAGACAAGTATTACGCAAGCAGTCTGATCTCTATCGTAATCCTTCAAAAAGAAAATTTCTGATAACTTTTCTACCAATGTCATAACATTCCGGTTTTAATGTTTTCGTGGTACGAAGAATCCAGTCCGCCTACACTCAGACTAGAACAGAGGTAATTCGAGCATTAGGCGAGACACCGCATTCTTCATCCTCGTAAATCTAGATGGACCCTAACCTGCAGCACATGGACTAGCTCTAAAACCAGGGTTGCCAGGTCTCAAAATTGGCCAAAGCCAAATCTTGTGTGTCAAAAATCCAAATTAAGCCAAATATGAAAACGAGGTTTTAGAACAATAGAATCGAAGAAATGAAAACGAGGCATCTAAAGATTTTGCAAATTAATGTTAATTTAAAATTATCCGAGAATTGCTCTCAAAAATAAGGTATAATTAATAGAATTCATATTCTTTGCATGTCTTTCTGATTTCTCGTGGTTCGACAGATTAGATGCTTTTGGAGCAATTGCTTAGTGACATAACTTGCAAAAAGCGTTTTGTGATCCATCAGAAGCTTGTTTAACAGCGACGATAAAAGTATTCACATTTACATAATTTCATCGCACCAGGGATAAACATGTTATATCACTTCACACATCATGTTCTACCTTAAAAAAGAAACCTGAAAGTCTCAGAGAAATGGACTAAAAGGTGTTATCCAATTAAATTGAAACAGATGTTAACCGAAATATTTTTTAAAAATTCAAATGTTCGGAAAAATTTTGAGAATTTTTCATATAAATCCAAAATAAGCCAAATTTTGGGCCAAATCCAAATCATATTTTGAAAGCCAAACAAATTTTCATAAATCCAAATTTCTGGAATTTGGATTAGAAAAATCCAAACTGGCAACCCTGTCTAAAACTCGCGCAATGACGTCATCGATGCAACGGGATTACATAGCAAAACAAAAAGCCTACGCCGATTGAATATGGCTTGGATCTTGATCCGAGGGGAATTTGAATCAATACCAACTACCGGATGTAAACTCCTTTCAGACGAGTAAACAGTTGAAAGGGAACTAAGTCGTGTTTCTCAATAGACTCAGCATTGTGAAAATATACAAAAAAGGGATCAACAGAAAAGAAGCAATTTCATTGCGAAATAATGGGACTTTGTTGATTCTCACATTCATGTTGTTTTAAAAACGAATAATTGGAAAGATTTTAATAGAAGACTTCCTACTGGGACACCAATAAATAATCCCATCACATGTAGATAAAAATTGATTAGACGGCAGATTTCTTCAGAAAGATCTCTTTCAAACAAATATTCGATTTTGGCCATTTGTGAATTTAATGAAAACAATCAAATGTTGGCAGATCCTTTTACGCTATCAAATGCTGTTTTGATACTGCTGGATAAATATATCGCTAAAATAGCTGGTTATCTGAAATTAACACAAAAGGCCCTATCAACAGGGTGAATCGGAAAAGAATCATACTGCCTTGTTTCTTAAAACCTATACCGCCTTAACGGGGTTCTTCTATAAGGGGATGTATGGTCGTTTTGCCTTGCCCAAAAGGTGGCATTGTCGAGTGGCAATGTAGGTTAAAAGGAAAAGTAAATTGGAAAACTGACTGAGTTCTGTGCATCAAGGAACTCACTCTGGATCCGCCTCTGTAAGTGGCAAATGTGAAAGTGCTAGCTGGTGTGTAATTCAGAAACTAGGAACCCTGTCTTGGACACAGTCACGAAAACACGTTTATAAAAAGTGCATAGAGCCTCCTCGTGTTTCTAAAACAGTTGATCTCCTATTTCAGACAATTCAACTTTGATGACGAGATGTTTCCGCTTTCAGACAGATTTGGTTACATCATGAACAGTTTAATGGCAGGCTCAAGGCAGGCAGGCTAAAGGAAATTATACTGTTGAAAATTGGAAAATACTGACCTTTCATCCGACCAAAACTATGCAATTTATAGATAAGTAGATAAAGTGATAATGGAAATATTCATACAAGTTAAACTTTTTCATCTCAAACAATCGAAAGTTATCAAAAACGGTCCTGCCTAAAACACACGAACAAGTAAATCCACTGACAAACATTTCAAGCAACAGCATTGATGAAATTTGACAAAGGTGAAAGGGGGGGAGGGGGGCAAATTTTCTCCATTATTACCTCGTGACCATACCATAAATTTCAATATAAAGATACCCACATTTTAAAAAACGTCACGTCGCTTATTTACACGAATGTTACTAGACAATTATATTGGAGACTCACTTTTAATGCTTTGACACATTGGGATCCAGAGTAGTCGAATTCACCTGCCTGCCCAATAGATAATCCACCAGAGCCAAGAACAAGGACTTTTTTAATCTAAATAAAATTATGTCATAGGAATGTGCACCATAGACTACGACTGAATATAAGCTGGCTTGTAAAAGAAGATTGATGATAAGAAATTAAAAAGACACAATCTTAGAGAGGTTCACAAAACACTGTTTCGATATTAGAAGCTTTGTATCATTTGTAGCCTTTATCACTATACATATTTGAAACATATTTTCGAGACATACATTTGGCTTAAAAAGGACTATATTGAAAAGAGCTTAGTAAAATACCATGAAGGGCTGTGATTTAATATCAGAGCAGCATATTTGCAATCTAAAGATGCGAGGATATGTTCATTAGCTGGAAACATTTCAGGTGCAGTGCCATGCGATACAACTTCATATTTAGCCGATTGCAAATACGCTTATGATTACTTAAGTAGTATACACAATTTTAGCAACATTTGGGGAGGTGAAGTTGATTTCATAATAACATGCACTCAATGTGATCAACCATGCAAACTTGATAACATTCTAAAAACTAGCAACGACATATCTATACCCTTTGATGAAATGTTACGGCTGTGACGATTATTAATAAACGTTAAATGGAACAACGCGTGAAAGGCAAATGCAGAAAACAGGTAAACAAACCTTTTTGTTGTCAGTTTGCATCGGTTTGACTGGAGGAAAGGCTGATGCTACTGACTGACTGCCATTTTTAATCAGATCAAAGAAACTGTCGAACAAAAACTGTTGAAAGAGAAGTAAAATATTAGATTGATGTCAAATAAACCGCACTTGCTATCCAGCAATGTAGGTTAAAAGTCCCCTTTTGTAAGATAAACAGAAGTGGTGGATTGATTTACTAATCGTGAATTGCGATATAGGGGCTACAATCCTGGACAAAACTGAAGAGAAAATGCAATTTTCCCAATTCCTACGTTGCCCCTGTTATTTCGAATCCTCCTCCCCCTCGAATCAATGTTGGACTAGCAGTTCTATCATTTGTGCTTCAAAACATGCATTCAAGGTTGAATCGGGGAAATGGGAAAGTTATTTTGGAAAGAAGAGAGAATACATCAACTGTTTTAATGGTCTAAACTATTTTTGTCCGGGATTGCCAGTCAAATTGAGCACGAACTTTAAAGAATAGAAGAAATAGCAAAGTGCTAGCACCTTTTAGTTTCTTTTCAACGAAACAGTCATATTCAACTACCCATGAACAAATTGACGCTGTAGAGAAGTAAACACCTGAGGTGTCCAAACGACACCTTTATCCAGGGAGCGCAATATGGTGAAATAATAATCAAAATACGATAGACAATTTTAGAATTCAAATTGTATTTCTAGAAAGCAAGATACCCTAATATCAGTACTATTTTATACTGTTCTAAATTTATCACGAAAGACAAGAATCTAATCAAACTTACAAAGCATTTCCTGAAAGAGGTCGATTCCAAGAGCATTCACAGATAATTTGTCACTATTCGAACTTTAGACACAGACTTATACATTTCAACGCTGGTTTGATCCCTCAAAGCATTAAAATGGAAAAAATTTCGCTGGCAGTGCCAAGGCCCTTTGAGAGGGGCAACAGGGGCATTCCATCTCAGGCCCTGAGCAGAAAGAGCCCCAGAAAGTAATAACAAAGTTCATAAAAATAGCAGCAACAGCAGCCATCACAGATTAAATGACGTAATAACGGAATGTTTAATTCTTTTTGCCCCAGGCCCCAAAAAGCTCCCGTTGGACCTGGTTGTGTCCATTCCTTACTAAGTGGTGCAACATCTGTTCAGATTCCAGGGTTTTCAACTGCCTATTGAAAAATGAATAGGCAGCAGCAGGATAAAATAAAGAACTTATTATTTCATCTTGGCAGCAGTGATTAGGTAAAATGATCTCGGGTCAAGTAACGCCGAAAGAGCTGTTTATTCAGCAAATATTTTGGGAGCAAAAATCAAGTGCTTTCCTGGAAGCTTCCAGAAGGGACTTGGTCCTTCCAAAAATTAGTCAAAGAGCTCTTGGTGCCAAGGCCTAATTGGCCTGCACCTTTTGTTATGAGTCCCAAATGGTGGTGATTCAACCTACCTCTGTGTCGGTTGGGCCACCAAAATGCTCAGGGTGAAACTGAGCTGTGAAAATGGGGCGATCTCTGTGCATAATTCCCTAAAATACAAACACAACACATCGTAGAAAAAAGAAAACTGTGTCCAATTATCGTAAAAACAAGTCTTCTATCTACGTAACACACTATCCAACCTAACTGAATGTGAAAATATTTCTTTCTTGTAAAATAATTTAGGATAGAATGTCAACAGAATTAGAATAGATTTTAAACTGATAGTCATTTTTAGTGTTGTGAACATCAGGATGCTTTCATAAAATGAATACAGTTGTCCTAAATTACTGGCATATTTAGACAAAATAAAAAAGATGCTACTTTCTTCAATAAATAAGCTCATAGGAAAGGTACCTCATTCGATCGGTCGTTTGCGTTGCGGAACAAGGGTATCCATTCTTCTGGCAAAGTTTTCTCATCGATGGCAAATCCGTGGTTTTGTGACGTAATATATGCCTTGTTGTTCAATATGTTCAAGACAGGTTGATTGTGTCCTCTATAAGGAAACCGATGATAAGAAAATAAGAGAAAATAAACAGTGGTATATATACGAAAGATGTGCTAGTTCAAGATAGTGTTTTCAACACTAAGCAAAAATGGCAAGAAGTATTTCATTTTGCAATAAATAGATTTTTAAAAAAAATTCAAAACCTGGACAAGACCAGTCAGTAGTAAAAAACAAACAGTTCAGTTCAGAATGAAATTGAAATACTCTTTGGCAAGAAATTCTGCATGAGATAAGCTTCTGGCTAATAAAATTTCAGTATATGCTTGATGCGACTGTCTTATGTCTGAAACCCCTGTTTGGTGTTCCGTATGGTATTTTACTTAAGACCTCTATTATTTCTTTAAAAAAACATGAATAATATAGTTCTCTTGAACGAAAATCAAATACATTTGGAAAAATCTAAAATCTGTCTTTTTAAAAATTCATTGCTGGCGATATAGACACAGACAACCCTGACATTTATACATTTAAAAAGGTTTGCTCTACCATCAGTACACTTTATTTGCCACATGCTCTTTGCGACAGCCACAATGTCTGTCAAAATTACTTGCAACACTGAGCCTTATCTTTATATTTTCTATTTCTTTCCCCGAATACTACTACTTCAGCCCACATTCCCCCAGGAAACAATGATGATAGTTTAGGCAAATATTTAACAAGTCACAAGAAGAAACGCACTTCTTAATATTGTACGTCGTTTGATAGAAAACCATCACTGTTTTAAGGTTGAAAGGGGTATGGCTAAATTTGCTCTTCTCTGGAAAAATTGATGCATTAAGGTGTGTACTTGTCTGATTTATTTAAATTTGATGAGTTGCTGTCAAGAGCGTGTTGGACTAGCCAATAGGATTCCATCTCTAATTAGATTGTAATAAACTGTGCTATAAACAGTGACCTCGATGTTAGGTGGAGGCTCGAAGAACTCAAATTGGATTTCGCCGAGCCTCTTCTAATTAGAATTTAGCGTTCCAAGACTTCTAGCTGGGGTTGTAGTTCGTTGCGCTTGTCTACTGTTCCTAACCTACTTGCTCGCTAAAATATTCTCGCCCAACCTAGAAACCAAGTAATATCGGCAGAATCTGCATTAGCTTTGCCTTCGATATGGTCAACTCGTTCACCTATTTCCAAGTGGAAGCTTGTATGTATTGGCTCCAGCGGCTAAGCCTGTGAGTTGATTCCCCATGCAAATGCCAAATATCGGTTCCTTTCTTTCATCTTTAATTACCTAGGGAAGTAAAGCATGTTAGTCGACAAAATGATAAATACCAAGCAAGATGAAAGGTAGCAACATTTTGAACAAATTCAGGCGAACATTTTGAACAAAATATGTGCTCTAAATAAGGGAATATTCAATATTATAGAAGACATGCTCTGCTCACCTTTCGCAAAACGCGCACAGCAGAATCGACATAAGCAGGGTCCCCAGGACCATTGGAAAGAAAGAGACCATCGTAATCGTCTTTGCTGTAATCATAGTTCCATGGAACCACATGAACCTCTGCATCCCTCTAGAAAAGCAAGTGAATCTTATCAGCATATAAAAAACGTATAAACACTGCAATCAGTAACTAGCGAAAGCTTTAATAAAAAATACCAAACTATAGTTTCTAAGATTTTATAAGCATACTTAGACTCCCGGACCAGATGATGTCGAGATTCTGTATCTCCCCCATCCCCAAATCAGTGCCAGTATGTCTGCAGTTAAATTTCATACATCACACTTAATTTTAGACGGGGGATGAGGGTGAGAGGTGGGAAAATATATGCATGCTACCCTTCATGGCCCCTTCATATATATTAGCGTTTATTTCAGCAGCTGGGTCCAGGATCACAGGAAGTGATAAAAAGCATAATATTCTTATTATTCCAGCTTAAAATAAAGCAAACAGGGAAAATGATTTGTAACTAGATGGTTTTTCCATTTGGAACTTACCTTTTAAACCCATGATGAATTCCTACGCAATACCATTACAAGTTTGATGAAATCCAAAGTAGCAAAAAACAAAAGCATACCACTAGCAAATTCCGGATCATGTTCTGTTTTATTCCACAGTCCAGTGCAATAATTTTATACTTGTTCCCTTTTCCATAAACCTTAACGTCCTTAAAAAGCAAAAAGAAATGTTTAAGGAAGTGGTGTTCATTTGAAACGATAAGCATAGTGTAAGCTGAGGAACAATAGGGTTATGTAGGGCCATACCGTATTTAGCGCTTTGTAAGCCAATTATGATCTAAGCAGCTTGAAATGCAGACTTAGAAATCTAAAGACAAATACTACACTCTTTTTTGTAAGAACAATTTTATAATAACATGAGCCTCGTAACAAATATTAAGAACAAGCTGAGGCTGAGCTACAGTAAAAAACTTATTTTTAACAACGTTTTATCACAAAAACGAGGACTGCTTACACCCTATTAATTTAGAAAACAAATTAAGTACAATGAGCCTCAGATTATCGAAATAATCAAGAACAGTCAGCCTGAACTTTAATTCAATGGTTCTTGAAAAAAGAGTGTATTTCAACTCGACACAAGTTAGACGACGAATTAATTCATATGCCTCGGGGATGGATTAATCAAGTGTAACTAGCAAAAAATTATGATCATACCTTCGTTGAAATTTCTGCAATGAGGTTTCTTGTATTCGGATCATCAAATTCAATTGGCTGGTCTTCAAACTCGATTTTGCCTAACACTGTGCCCTAAAACAAATTGAACATTGGATAAAAAGAATTCTTGATTTCATAGAGTCAAACAAGTCATAACGTTCAGCAGAATTTCAAAATAACACGAAAAAGTTGAAACATATCTGCTAATATTGAAGCACTTTGACGTCGAGTTTAAGAAGGAAAGTGTAATAAAATGCATCAGGGTTGATGACATAGTTCAAGATTGAAATGAAAATGAAAAACATAATATCATAAAATTGGCAGAAAAGTCAGACAAGCAAAGCAATTCAAAGTTCTTACTTTATCTCTGATAATTTTTGTCAACATCCTGGTGTCAATCCCATAAAGTGCGGGAACCTGTAACGGCAAGAAAACAGTAATAGCATAGAGCATTTACTGTTTTCATACAACCGTTTGATTGTGACAGTTAAGAAGAAAGGTTTCTGAGAATAGTTTATAGTTTCTTTCCTCTATTGTAGATCACTGTTTGTCACTTTTAAAAAGCGACTACCTCAAACGAAAAGACTAACTATCCGCCCTGGGGCCTTGAACGAGAAATGTATGATATAACATAAACAGTATTAACATAACATAATTATTAACTGCGGGTACTGTCATAGACGTAGGATGAACAGGGACTGCAGCCCTCCTTATCAGAACAAAATTATAGCATTTAGGCTCCATTCGGGCAGTTTTATCTCAACGAAGCAATTGTATACGGGCAAGGTACATAGTAGCCCCTTCCCCTCTCAAAAATGCGTACCATCCACCAAGTCAATGAGCACTGCTTTCCAAATGCTAATATCATATCGTTGACGGACATAAAATTTTACAGAGAAAGGTAAGAGGCATCCTAAACTGTTGGGTGGCACATACCCCATCCTGCACAAGCCATTCTGACAGCGACTGTTGTGAATTCCAATGGCTATGCGAATGAGAATAATCTTGGACCAACAGCCCAGAGACCTGACAAGAAAATACAAAAATAAATAATTGATAAAACGGGGAACAGAAGCTACATGCATCACAGAGCATCTCATCTTCATTTAAAATAACACTACGCCATAGCTCCTACATTGGGCTTTGGTGGCTTGCAATATGTCGTCACATTATTGATAAAATTGAGCATTGATATAAACAGTGAGAAAAGGCAAAAAATGAACAGTTTATTAGCGGGTTGCTGAATCTTCAATAAAAAAACATTGAAAATGCCACCAAACCGTCATTAAAGAAAATTTCCAAAGAGTATTCTCAAACCTGAATGTTTTCCGACTCGACGTATTTAAGGAGTCCATATTGATCTCTGTCTGTGGTACTTGGTACACCGTAGTTCCCAACTAAGGGGTATGTTAGAGTAAGAATCTGACCACGATAACTAGGGTCCGTCATTGCTTCAGGATACCTACAAAAGGTTCAAATTGTACAGTTGGTTGCAAAATTCTTGTGAGAGAAGGCAAGCATGTAACTTTTATTTCGCCTTTTTTGGCGCCGAGTCACATTTTTGAACACTTGACTCCGGTCTGGACATTTCTTGGGGCAGGGAACTAATAAAAATAGAAAACTAGACTGTTATTTGCAAAAAGATCCAAAACATTTTGAAAATGCCACAAAAAAGATAATACTTTCAAACTTCGAGACCAAAGGTATAATCACGTTCGTCAATCTCTTGTCTACTTCATGAAACTTAAGTCCTTTTTAGATACTGCAGACGTTTCAAATGTAGACAGGTTACACAGCTTGGTGCTAATTCTATTGTTCTTTACCTTCGATTCTGTATCTGCTAAGTCGCTAGCAAGATGGGATTGTAAATAAAAGATGATGTTAATTGCAGATTGCTGCAAAATGTGCAAATAGGTTTTTTGAATATAAGCATGGTTCAGAGCATTTCCTCAAAAGCTTTACCAGAATACCAAAATTAAGTTACAATCCATTTTGAAAATCTTTATAGTATACCCGCCTTTCTTAAATAAGCAAGCTGCAAAGACAAATACAGATTACAAGTATTGCCAAAGAACAAACATTTTTATAGATTTCACTCTTTCATTTCTTACACCTATAAAGAGTGAGACACCTCCTTTTTTGTGGGCAAAATCATTCTGCCCTCTTACCAAAAAATTTTTTGGTTTTGCCCCTGATCTTGAGTGAGATACACTGATATGGAAATTATAAAGAAAACATTCAATTATCTAACTGCTTGACTGGCATTATTGTTACCAGGTATATAAACATATATAAAGAGGGGAAACGCTAGAAATGTGTTATTGATTTTGTAATGAGGACAACATCAGTTTGAAACTGACAGTAACATTAACAGGCATGAGGTGGCTGAAATGATGCGTTACTAGAAGTTATTCAAGGGTGCTATTTGTTATTCAAAATTGCTTTAAGTGGTGTATTGAAACCCAGCAAGAAATTGTCACATCCAATGTTGAGCCTCCTAAATATTTTAGCCTTCCTGGTCTGTAATATGGTTGTGGCACTGTTAAAGAGTTCTAATTGTACTAACTAGATAAATGCAGATAGGAAAACAAATTGGCAAATGAATAACAATTTTTTATGTTGTCAGTACATTTGCTTTGGGTAAATAAGCAACTATAAATATGTGATTTTCAAAAATAAATTTGATATCAAGACTCTGTAAAAGACAGAAATTTCTAAGATCTACACCTCAAACATAGTTTCAATGCCTCAAAAATATAAAAAAATCATTTCTGGCTATTTTTAATATCTGTTTTCCCTTCTTTGAAGGTTTCCACTTCTTTCTTCACTCAAAATTCTTAAACAATGAACAACCTTAAATGTTTCAAACAGAAAATTGATTAATCCTTTTTTAATCTGACACTCTGTAATGTCACCCAAAATGAACAAGTCTACAAAATCTTTTGAAATCATTTTATTAAACATGGCTTGGCTTTCCTCAAATGGTTTATAAAAATCCATCTATATCAGCTGATTCACAAACTATTCATCCTTCCATGACTATTGAATAAGAAATAATCAGATTATCACAGCATTGAGGTCAGAAGTTAAACAAGGCTGATGAAACAAGGCACTAACCCAACTAAGCCTGTATTGAATACAACTTCCCCAGCCATTGATCTCTCTTTGCCAAAAGAGTAGCCTTTCATTTTTGTTCCATCTTCCAAAAAAAGAGTTGCAACCTGTACACAAACAGGAAAACTACAATTTCTAATTTGTTTAAAGATGGTAAATGTAGTCACCTATACTTTTAACAAGTTTTTCCATCTTTCTGTTAAAGAGAAAAATTACCTTCTAGAGAACCTTTAGTCCTATTTATTCCATTCTAACATAATTTAACTATTTGTGCATATTGTAAACCATTATTATTTGATTTCTGTTTTTCTTTCTTTTTAATTGTTATTCTTATTCTTACTGTTATTATTCAAACAAAACTAATATCAAATTATCGTCATTTCACGTCAAACTGGGCAAATGGCTCTGATAGCTCCTTCATGAGTTTTTTCCATGTGTCCATCAGCTGATCTTATAAAATATCTTATGTTGTTCCCTGTAATGTAATCTTTATTGTTATTAATGATTGTATCTTAACAACTAGCATGACGTATCTTGTAATTAATTGATTTGTTGCTGAAAAAAAGTTTTGATTTTATTTTTGATTTGATTACATGCCAAAGTTAACCAAAGTTACTTGAAGAAAGGTATGGTGCAATCCAAGCAATATTTTGATATAGCCCTTTTTGAAACCTAAACAGGATATAGGAAGCTTTTTGTGGGTAATTGTGCTTTATTCCTACCAAAAAATCTATGGGTGTAGTGTTAAGGAGAGGGATACGGGGGTTAAGATATCTTGTTTATGCCAAGAGTTTCTCATATTTTGTTTTAGTTTTTGAGACATTTTTGGAGGACCTCCTTTATTCTTTTATAGCAGAACATCCCCCATTTAAGACTGCAATCCAACTGGCTGCATCCTATTGTGGATTGGAAAGTAAGGTCTTCAACACTGAAATTGCACTCTAATTAACAGCTTACTATCCTCAAAACTCAACAAGCCAAACTTATTTACTGGATTCTTTCTGGATAATCTGAGTTTTGTCATATCTGTAAACAAAAGGGTCCCTTCAAGTTTCATTCTGTACTGCATTTTATCAATACCTTCAGTAAGGTACCTGTTTTTGAATAATGCCTTGAGCTGGTAACTTAAATATGCACTTGAGCATAATAAATTTCATTAAACAGCAGTGGAGGCATGATGGGTGCATTGAGCGCCTGCAAGGGTTTTTCAATCTTCAGAGGCTTCCAATGTAATAACATTGACAATAACAAAGCTGGCTTGCCAGGGACTTATTGGAGCCGAGCTCAAGACACTTTTTAACAAGAGTATGGTAAGTGTATGAAAAACACAGGCAAATTTAATGTCATGAAAAGTTCTGCACCCATTGGATTTCTCATCCATTTTGTTGGCAAATGGGGCCTGGAAACTCCTATTGAATACATCAGCTTGAGCAAGCCCAAGGTTCGGTAATTATGCTGCACCTATAGTAGATTGCTGTGCTATTAAATGGTAGAATAAAAGCTCCACTGTTTCTCTCATAGACATACTTTAGTCTAACATTGTTTTAGAGGAAAGAATCAAGCTATCTTTTCTATTTCAAACAGAATAAGCAAAGTCTTCTTATAGCTTTTTGGGATGATGTTTAAAAACAACTTGAAGTGAAAGTTATCTTGTATCACTCAGCATTTCATACTGCTTGCATTTTTCTCTCACATGGAAAAAAGTTGATCTCATGTGGAGACCAATGCCAAGTTTCTATTCTATTGTGTTTCCACTTCTCCCTAGATAACAGCATTAGGAACTGTTTCTGCCTTTTGGAAATGAATGGTTTCATAAAGGAAAATATGGATTTTCGGAGCATCAAACATGCACACCTCTGGCACACCTCCAAATTAGAAAGGCCCACGAGATCAGTTGAAATTTATGAGCATACTACCCTGTAGGGTGCTATATGTACTATTTTCATGCATCTCGATGCGCTAATTTTGATTGCTGTTTTGTTTTGCTTGTCAAATACACTATAAAAACTTCTTCAGCAGGGCACCAGCAGCCCATTTCTTGATTCACGTTGATTTTATCAATAAGTCCTCCTTTGAGGTACATTCCGATGAGCTATATTTTTGGCCTAGAGAGACAGCCGAATTACAATTTTGTTCTACATGGTTAACTTTCATTTTGAAACGAAATTCATCAGTCCAACATACAACAAATGTGAAAGGTTAGGGCCCCATTCAACATTCCCTTTCTTCTAGAAATATTCAAACAAACCTTTCTGTCGCGAACTTTTTTGAGTGCTGCATTCTTTGAATAAAACTTGTTTTTCGTCGACTTCAATCGATCAAGACTTTTGCTGCGTGAGGCAAGAGTCGAACGGGCACCAAATATCGAAGAGTGAATTTTTGTCTGCAAACCTCCTCGCATTAGCAAGGCCGGCATCGTGAATTTTCAGAAAACCTAACCTAAATAAGAGAGGAAAATTTAACAAATCTCAACTCAGAAGAAGACAGCTTGAATTAACACCTTCAGTTAGGAAAAATACAAGTTTATGACTTACGCCGGAACACTTTCGAAAACCCACGTGAAACACTGCTATGCAATCCAAAACAAAGCTAGCCTGATAAACGTGATCCAGGTTACTGCAAGTTTTCCTGTTTTCATAACCCAGTGGAATTTCTCTCATTGAAATTAGAAATACAACCAAAAGAAAACTGCTTATAAATCAATTTCACTACTTACCAAGTTATTCTTGTACAGGTATCGAGCCGGAGTATTCTCACTGAACCCTGCACCACTTCGGCAATTTGTAGCGGCCTTCAGCCTGACGAAATTGTTCTGACGATGTCACAAATTGAAATTTACGGCTGAAATCTGATTGGCTTGTTTCGCGGGATGGTCGCTTTTGATTAGTTGAAAGAGATGTCTGATCACATGCTAGGACATCTAAGAAAATATATTGTTTCCGCATCTCTTTCACAGAGAGGAAATAGATTATCGCCACGTGTACTAAATTGGCGGCCGGAGAGCGATCGTAGGCGTTTCAAATCAGTCCCAGAGCTCATCACAAGTACGGGGTACAGGACATAGGGGAAAATTATTTTTTTAACTCAAATGCCTTTACAAATCAAGGCAAAATATGTTCCTTGGGTACACACCCTCAGCAGATGGCCTGCTCTATCCTTATTCCACAATTTTTTCGTACACAAGTTTTAATCGAAGGCTTTTTATAATTTGTTTAGTGTGTTTATCGAAGCAGTTTGTTTATCGTAGGAATATATGTCTAAACGAAATGTGTAAATATTTTGGAAATGAAACGAAATATTGTACACAAAAACTCCAATCTATACCCTTGCGAAAGGCCGCCTCCTTACCCTATTGCTCGAGGGTCAGCGGCTCCCTTCAGACTTCAGATTCATTTATTTACATTAAAGACTGATAAGACAACAAAAGATCAATACGGTTTATCAATCCGATCAAACGATCGTCGACTAACCATACGGTTTTGTTTATCTGTCACTTGTAAACAGTGGTTAACCAAATATTTACGTCAACAGTCCAAGATGGTTATGCAACTTTGATAATTCAACAGGGTTTTCTTTTCAAATTGTCTTTCATTCAGGTAGCTTCTCCTCAAATCTGATGATCTAAAGAGGGTTATGGTTCTTCTGGCTATGTATGGTCAGTCATCGATTAGAGTGGTTATAGCTGCCCCCTTACTATTGGCAGAAGCCGAGACATGAAAACAAGGATGTCTTCAAAAATGCTCTGATCTAAAATCGAACTTTTATCTTCTAAATACTTCGTAAAAGCAGGGGCGTGGTGGGAATTTTTATGGGCCGGGAAAATCATGTTTTGAGGGGCACACCATTTTGATGGAATCACTTATTATTGCTCATACAAACAGGCCCTCATAAAATGTTGGAAATGAGTGTCGCGGAGGCAGCATGGGGCCTCTGTTCACTTGTTTTTGCTCACAGATCTGATGTTACAAATGATAAAAGCTCAAGAGGAAGAAAAATCCAAGGGGTGCGATTTGTCCTACATGAAAGTTTCAAGGGGCCTACCGTGAAATTTTCCGAGTCCCTGAGGGCCACCGCGCCCCTGGTTAAAGTGCAATTTCTGGGGTTTCTTGATTAATGTTTATGATGGCATGCTACAGTGACGGAGACACTGCCTATACATAAACAGCAGTGGCTGTTCCAGCAGAATTCCATTTACTCGTAAAGACACACCATATGAAGGGGACCACACCAAACTATGGCAATGAAATGCTTTAAAATTACTGCCAGTGTACTGAATATTTATAGAGACTCTACTTGTCTTTCCTAATAGAAATTAAGAAGATTGGGTTCGGTTGAGATTGGGTTGACTAAAAATTTAAAAGAAGTACCGAATTCAGAGTCATAGACATATCTACGGTATGAGCATTCAGATATGTGAAATAAAATGAAAAACATAGTTAGGAGTGCCTCGATACAATCACTTGTGCATATAGCTACTTGGTCTAAAATAACTTGCCACAGGTTGTAATGTCAGGACTTTAAAACGAAAAATTCTCAGTTTTAAATATATTTCGCCATAAAATCGATTTACCCCTCTGAAGAATGATAACTTGCAAATATTTGTGACAAGTCCTTTACGAGACCGTACTTCACAATCTTAAACTGTTAATATAACGATAAAACTTAAGATACAATGAGCTAGGAAATATAAAAAAATCGATCACTGTCGAATACTAAACCTCGTGGTATAAAAAAATTACTCATTACTCGTGGACGCTATTTGTAAAAGTAATAACGAATACATTTTGAAAAGAAGATTAACACTCTAGATAAACATGGTGTGCCTCTAAAAGGAACAAAACTTGACGTTGTTATTATGGATAGGTGGAAAATAACCTTATGGAAGATGTCTTAGGACAGCAAGGAAATCAACGAGTTCATTTCTAAATACTGCTAAAGCTACTGTCAACCATCATATGGTTAAACACCCGACCAACGATCAGTCAGTATCTATTAGCTTCCTGGGCTGGCAGAACCTCATTATTGATTATCAGCTTTCTATATACCAACGTTTTCTAATCACACCGAGTCTTTCAAAATCATTGTAAAGAAGTAACACACTAATTACATAAAATATATAACCATACAAATATTACAATAATTTGAGCGCAAAGACAATTGTCGAACAGTTCTCTTGTCATTCTCCCACGAGCCATTATGAACTACTCTAATTTCAGGTAAACATGGCGTTGATTTAATAGCCAGAAAGGGGATAAATTCGATCGAGTTAATCGCTGAAAACAGAATAAGCAAGAACAAATTAAAAAAAGTCTAATTGAAGTGTGTTACTAAGTTGTGGGGTTAATTCGAAGAAAGTAACGTTACTTTGTAGAAATAAACAATAATTCGATTTCATCTTGGCGAAACTCCTTCAGTTATTGACTTTATGTCTTCAAACAACATAGAAAAGCTTCTATGTTAGATTAAAATGTAATAGATAAGACGCTGAATTTTATCAATGTGCGCTATCCTGTTTGAATTATTTGGTTTATGATGACAAAAAGTAACTATGTTGTACTTAGCATCAACATGTAACACATTTGGCTTTTTAAAAAAAATGTGTTTATAGATTTAAGCAACTCTGTGGTTATCATTTTTCGCGAGAAATTATATAGACGACACAGTGGCAAGGAATAACAATAAGACGGTTTTTTCGCATTTTAAGCATAAAAACATTTGCAACTACAGTATGCAAATTAAAATAAAAAATAACAAACCTTTATTTACTAGTTATATTTCACCTGTCAGAATAGGATGAACTTTGCTCGGAGCTTCTCGAGCCTGAAAAATAATCAAGTGAGGAACTTTGAAACGTTTCTATTGACAAATGACCTTAAAGTTTGCAATGTATTAGTTGCAGTCTTAAATCTAAGACGCTTCTAATAAGTGAAAGTCCCCTGTGTGGAGAGAGAAATATCTAGTTGAGACAGGCATGGGCTCAGAAAAGGTTGTTACATTTGTTGTGGAATCTCGATCCACATGATTACAAGTCTCTAGATCTTAATGAGTTTATTCGATGTAAAGTTGTTTCTATTGAAACATGTTTCACAAGACTGTAGCATCATAGCAGCTGATTCTATAAGGACTTTCTTAAAGAAACAATTTCTGAAAGAAATTGTTTGATCAGCCAGTTATTGTAACCAAAGACAGAAAGGTAAAAAACTATTCTATGAACATGAACTGATTGTGCTTTAAGTGTTTTGTTGGTCTAGCTTTTTTGAATGATTTGATCATATTTTCTAAAAAATAAGATTTCGTGTATAAAATGACATAAAGTAAGGCAACATAAAGTAATAGCATTTCATGTATGTGGCAATGTGAAAATATAACTCTACCACGTCAACAATGAAAGAAGGAAAAGGGTAGTAGCAATTTTTTGCGAAGTCTTTACATTTCGCTTTAACTGTGACGAGAATTGTAAAATAAGATAAAGACAACATACCCGTCGATGTTGAATCAACTTCGTTCTAAAAAAGAGACACATAATTAGAGATTGGACTAAGGGCCAGATTATAATTCGGGAGAATATGAAGTTTCAATTACTTCCAAAGGCTTTAAACATGAGATAAGGTCGACCAACATTTAATGGCTAACCGACAATCTCAAATAATTAGACTTGCAGATAATTGCAAGCTTTCAAAAACCAGCCAGAGATTTTGATTGCTCAAATCAAAATTCATTCTTAAATTGGCTGAGAAATTAATTGTCTTGGAGATGGAACAAGACCTACAACTTACGTTCGTGTTTTATGCGTGCTGGGTCCGTGATGAAAAAATTAAATGGTTTTAGATCGGTTGTAATTGTCAAGAAAAAAATCTACTATGAATGTACTACGAATAGAAATGGAGAAAATAAAAATCCCCTTACATTATTACATAAGTTTTCTCATTTTCAGTTCAATAAAATGCAGCTGAAACCTTAGACATTTCACGGCAACTTGAAAAGCTGTCCTTCCTTTAAGAAGAATCAACACTGTCAATCTAAATAAAACCCTGGAATCAAAATCAGTTGCTCCATCCCTAAGCAAAATTCTAACGGAAGAAAACACGTTTATGATCAGTTTAATAGAAAACTTTGGCTATTACTTCAGAAAAAGCTCTTAATTTCTAGGACTCGTGCAATTAATCCACGATAAGGCATAGGTCACTAACAGCAACGCACTAATTAAAAAACTTTTAACAAGCAGCAAATTATAAGGCGTGAGTCTTTAGGTTGGTAATTAATGACAAATACTCAAGGAGCTTGAAGCTAAGATTCCCGCCAAAAGCTTTGGAGTTCTAACGTCAGTTTTCAAGGGAATATTCAGCCATCTCCACCTCCTTGCAACTATGTAGACATAACATAAAACGATGCAGAGATTTTGTGTGACTTTTGAAGTTCGTTTTTATGTGTGACTTTTATGAAATTCGCCTAAACTTGAGCAGTGGTAGTAGTATTTCGAAAAAGAAATGAAAAAAGTAAATACTGAAGTTGTTGGTTGTTTCATGTTATTTTGGCAGGCGTTGCAACTGAACTGAAGAAATCAGGTGCCAGAAGACAGATGAGTACGAACGTGCAGAAGTACAATCCCTGCCAAAAGTCTTGGAACAATGACGTCAATTTCCAAAGTCAAAACCAATCATCCCCCTCTCCCCCACGGAAAAATGTTGGTTTACTATGGAACGGGTCAGGATTTTAGAAAGCACTTTTGCGCTTCTTTTATGATAGTTTTCTATATATGATTGTTTCGGGGGGAAGGGGGTGCAGAAAAAGGAGTATCCGGGAAAAGAATTGAAAATTATAAAAACACAACGCAAATCGCTTGGTGTTCCATTACTTTTGGCAATGGTTGTAACTGTCTAAGGAAGTCGGAGAGGCACTAAGATTTCAATGGCACTGTGCCACTTGGAATTTCGATGACCATTTGAATTCTCATTGGTTGGACTATAGAATAGACTATTGTCACGCTTTCTAATCGGCAACGCAGGGCATATTCTCAGTGCGCCGCAGTGCCTATTGTTAATCCCGAAAGGTTGACTGAGGGAAGACAATGCCTCTGCGCATTAATATTAGCATCGGTGTTATGGATTATGTGTAAAAGGAGGTAATTATGTTGCTGTTATTTCGCATGCTTTAAAAACATCAGACAAACAAAATTGACTGAAGTGTGTAAGGGTGAAGTAGTAGGAAACGACGTTAGTAGCTAAAATTAGTAGAAGTACCCGGAATCTTGTTTCGTAACCTTGTTGCTTTCGACTCAGCTCTAACGCCACTCTCAGCTGTCTCTGTTCCTCCCCTGTCGTCTTCGGTCTCAGTGTCGTTATAATCTGTAACACGTAAACGAGGCTTTCAACTAAACGAAGTCCGTGTGGTTTCGAATAAAATTTAAAGCCTCGTGATTTATGTAATTGGTAGGAAAACCAGCCTGAGTTCTTGATTGAAAGTGATCCCCATACCATGAAACGAGTAATGGTGGCTAATTATAAAAGATGACACAAATCTGTCACATCGTCTAAGACAGGACTCACGTTACTCTTAAACGTCACATACCTTACTAAAACTCTCAGGATTCTCCATTCCTTCAGCAGAGAGTGATCTTTGCCGCAAAGGACTACAAGAAACAAAATCTTTTACGAGCAATTCAAAGCATTTAAAAAATTCAAATAACATTTACCAACATTACAACAGTTCTTATATAGTAGGAGAAACAATGAAGATTGACGAAGGCATGGTACATCATAGACAAAGAAAAGACTTATACGCCAGAAGCCTGCATTTGGGAGGGATACGCTGCTATAAATGTTATAAAATACCTGTCAAGTCAAAGGGAAGAGGTATTTTCAAAACGGTTTCAACAGGGAACGTTCAAGGGGCGTACAAAGCTCAAAAGAAGGAGCAAGTTAAGAAGGTAAGTAAGTATATAAGTAAGTAAGTTAGTAAGTAAGTAAGTAAGTAAGTAAGTAAGTAAGTAAGTAAGTAAGTAAGTAAGTAAGTAAGTAAGTAAGTAAGTAAGTAAGTAAGTAAGTAAGGAAGTAAGTAAGTAAGTAAGTAAGTAAGTAAGTAAGTAAGTAAGTAAGTAGGTAAGTAAGCAAGTAAGTAAGTAAGAGGAGGAAGTAATGAAAAAGGCCGAGTCGTAGGAAGGCTTTTGGGCTAAATCAAACGTGGACTCTCAACTGGAACTTTAACATACATTTCTCTGCAAAAAAATTGTTTACACTGTTAATAAAAACAAAATTCAATGAATACCGCAAAAAGTTTTAGAAATCTGTCTCAACTATGTCTTACCCATCTTTATCGTAATCCGTTGCATCCGTTTGTTGATACGCGACGCTGTATGGCCTAGCGGCACCAGCCTGGCCTGCTCCTCTATTCACAGCAGGAGCTGGTGGTTGTTGCTGTGGTTTTCTCGCCCGTGGGCCTTGTGAAAACGATCGATATGCTCTGCCAATGGGGCTGTTCTGTGCTTGCTCTTTTACCTAGGAGATACATAATCTCAAATTTCAATGAAATGCGACTTTTGGTGTATAGAACAGGACGGTTTTAAGTTGCTACTCCAAGTTTCACGCTTAAGGCGATCATTAGGCAACTGTTCCTGCAAGTGTTAGTGAAATGCGATAGATAGCGGATTTCGTCGTTAAATCCTCTTTGCAAGTCTGAGAGGGCTCGAAGTAAAACAGATACACAGAAGATAGTCACTGACGTCACTGAGGTAAAAGATTAGCTACAAAGTTTATAGTTTCTTAATATCTTTAGTTGACATGTATGAATTCATCAACAAACAGCCATTGAGAGATAATGCTTTAGCAAAGATATCGTACGATTATCGTCAATATAAACAAACTTCGTTAGGAGCCTGGCTTAGAAAATTACCAACAAACCCTTACAATTACACTGAAATTATAATTACAACTACACTGACAAGCACAAAAGGTATTCTGCTTTGGAAGAGTCACAGTCTAACATTACTTGATATTTTACTAGAAAATTCGCAAAAATATTTTTTCAACAAAATATGTATCACCTCTGGCAAGTCTTTTAAGATCATTTTGCCATCTCCAGGACCCATATGAGTCACATGAGTGAAATTCGATGGTAATGAAATCAGTTTTTCTTTCATATCAGCTTCTTCGGTTCTGAAACTCTCTCGCTTATTCCAAGCTCCTTTCTTTTTCTTCATCTTCAAAAACCGTGATACTGCTCGTTTTCCTTTGCTTGAATAGATCGACAGTTCTTGGGCTGAAGAGAAGGAAGCATGTTGCAACGATAATTAACAAGCGGTATGATTTAACAAGGGTACGCAACTAGATTTAACTCTGATTTCCGTGATTTTAACAAGCTGATATGTGTAAAAAATATCGATAAATTAGGGCTAAGAAATCTCTAGCTGTAAAATCATGTTTTAAGCTATTTTTGTAACAGATCTAATTCAAAATCTTGAGGAGATACCGTTTTAGGTTTCAATGCATCTATATATTACTTCAAAAATTTAACAAGCATTCGTTGTCGAATAACCCTTACTAAATTTGTGAACATACCGATTCAGAATAGCGGAAATATTTTGCTTGAACATTGCACCTAAACGTTGCTTAGTAAAATAACATATTGAGATACTTAAAAACTGCATGAAGAATTTAAAAAGGATATTATAACTTACACTCTGACTCGATGTTTCTTAAGTAGAGAATCGACAGTTGGTCAAAACCAGAACAGATGTTTAGGGATCCACTTCGGCAAAGTGGCTGACACTGCAAAACAAATAAAGACAGTTACTGGACATGATATAAAGCAAGTAGATACCAGAAGGGGGGATAGGAAACTGTCCTATCAATGCAAAGAGCTTAGAGAATTGGTTATCAACTGTGTGGTATTGGAGAAATGGAAGAACACAGACATAGGAGAAGGATAGGAATACAAAGGTAGAGAAGCACTAGAGAGAGCACTCCACAAAGTTTTAATGAATGTTACAGTATTGGCAAAGGCGAATCGGCAAAGAAAAAGTCAATTACATGGCCGCATAGTGTTTGCCCCTACAAATTCACAATTTGTGACTGTCCAGAAAAAATGTTAAAACATTTCTTTGAATAAAAAAGTGCTGAAGAAGCACTTATTATTTGAATAAAAACAGAGACTGATTTTTGCTTTGAGGATTTTCACGATGCCACATAAGGACTGCAAAGACAGTTGTCCGAAAAGCGAATAATAACTAGTGTCTCCCAGAAAGATTACATTACAAGGGCAAGACTGGTATGACCTGAGGAAGATAACAAAATAGTAGCTTCGAAATATACCCTTCTTATTGATAATGTCTGCAACCACTCTGCTGTTGACGCATTGAAAATGTCAATCCCCCTTTCACTGTACACGACAACATGAGGTGCAGAGAAGGCTAAAACGAAATAAGATATATAGGTGATGGCAATAATAAAATGAAATGGACGGCAATAATAAAATGAATGGCAAAAAACTACATAGATGATCTTCAGTCAATAAACGAAAAAGTAAAATTTACCTAAATGTGTTATTGGTGTTGGCCATGCAATTTCCGTTTGCCTTGATCGGAAACCTTTTTCGTTTACATAAAAGGCGAGTTCTAAAATTAAAACGAAAACCACAAAAATGAAAATGAAAACAACTCAATGTCAAGGCAACTGTTATAAATTGATAATAACGCTAGTTACAAAATGATACTGGTGGACTAGGAGAAATCCTTAACTATTTATAATCATTTTCAGAATGTTGCTAGTATTTCTGTTACCATCTGAATAATTTAATGATAATTGTAAATCCATATAACACATTCAAAAACAAGATTAGATGTAACATTGTCCTACAGTCTCTCGCCAATATTGGCAGACACTTGCCGTTTAGACCTTACTGCTAGGATCTCACTATAGCAAGAACGAAAATAGATGCAAATCGGGTTAGGGGTCAGAAAGCCCTAGGTACCTGGAAACAAACAAAAGAGCTACAGTGCCCAATGTTTACATCAGATAAAATATCGCATCAGCCCATTTTAAGTTTAGCTTTCAGGACAATATCCTTTATATGCATGACCATAATTTCGTAGAAGAAACGGCCATGACTTCTAGGCCCAACAAATGGCAATGGATTTTCTAGTCTTACCCGCAAAACAGAGCAGGAATTCGTTTTGTTTTACTTCAACTGCCAACAGGGCATCGGAATTCATCGTCGTGATGAAACTCAGGGTCTGGTCCTCAGGATTGATCAGTTCTACAAAGTAATTCAAAATTACTAGCCCCAGTTCTCTACTGTAATGTAACATAATCGAAAGGCCATGCAAAGTATTCAAATTATAGGGTGGCACCATTTAAAAATTTGCATTGATAATTGGCAATCTCTACTTCGCTCACTCTGCTACACCACACCAGGTTCACATTTTCATTTAGGGTAAACAACGGAATGAAGCCTGGCAAAGACCTAATAGCTACCACGGTGAAAACTGGAATGCTGACACAAGACAACTTTCAAAGGTAACATCACCAGAGTGAATGTTATTCAATAGGAAACATCTCTTCGGACTTTGAGCTTTCCGTACATTATCAAACTCTTACAAATTACAGCACCACTTTCTACGTGAAGTCGTAACAGCTAACGAGAATGATTGCATAGGTCCAAATTTACTAAGCTTCAGAACAAAAGGCAAGGACCAACAGAATTTCAGACAGGTGACAAAATTCAATACAACAAAAGCATCGAGAGATGAATGAGTTAAAGACTTCTAAGGAAAGAGCCACCCCCTTGCAGAGAAAGTGCACGAGCATTGAAACCAATCAAAATTTTGCAGGCTCTTTAACTGCCAGGACGGGGGTCGCTCTACCATCTGAAGATTTGTTTTGTTCGCCACCCCCAGCGAGTACTAACTTTGAAGCTGCGCGTTGTTGTTGTGTATGTCGAGCATTGAAAACCCAGACGGGTAGCCTAGGAGAACTCTCCCATCCGAAACAGCAGCCCATTGCGCCGATACAGTTAGAGGGAAATCCTGTAAAGAGAAACAAAATGAACTTCACAAACAAATTAGTACCTTGGATAAACAAGGTAAAATAGGCAAAGTCTGGTGAAGAAGTACTAAAAAGAAACATTACTGGGACCATAATTCACTTCAATTTACAATTCAATTCAATTTAATCTAACAAATACAAAGTGAAAATAACCAGTTACGATTGCCTTCTAATTTATAAAAAACAGCAAATTGAACAAATAAGCAAGTCGAGCATATTCCACAACTTCATAGACAAATTGAATGAATAAACATACCTTGAACTTCCTGCGTCTCTCCTTAGTTCTGTTCAGTTCATATAAAAAGACGTGCTTTTTCGTAGTCACGCACATGCAAGTGGCACTGCCTTGGCGGAAGCTGCCCGTCGCAAACTGAACGGCGCCTGAAATAAGACAGAAACCGTGTTACCATTGGATTACTATGACAGAATCAAACTAAGTGTAAGAAACCATATTTCAAAACAAAAGCTAAAAAGGCCATCTCATATTAAGTTTCTCTAAGTTAAGACTCCAAGTCTTTATTAGAATAAGCACTTCCATATTCTCTTCCATGAACTATAGGTACTCCCCACACCCTCTTTCATCACCAGGCTTCCGAAAACAAGAGTAGCAGTTTCAAAGCTAGACCCTTCTTACTGACAACAAACCCCCTTTGAAAAAAAGGCAACTACACAACAGTCTTTAAATATCATTGGCGTTAAAGTTCCATTTTCAAGTATAATCCTTACCTTTCGTTTCTGCTATTTTGATAGGCTCTAAATCATGATGCCCAGATACCAGGACTAACGGGTAGAGTCTCACATGTCTGCCTCTTCCTGTTGCAAACCAAAGTAAATACACATGAATAAATTTCAAAATACGGACATAAACACAATGTATGAAGTAAAAAAATTCGGAACGCAAAACCAAGGTATTTTTGATGTTTTCTGCTACAGAATTAAAGAAAAACCTACCCGAAATAACTACAACTAGCTGCTCGTCTGATATCACCTCGACTTGGAAAACCTTTCGTGCATCCCCGATTTTTGAAACAGCTTGAATTAAATTAAATGGAATGTGAGATAAAAGTCAGGCAAAAAAATTTCGCTTAAATATATTTAGTGAATATAACAAAATCTAAACTACAATCGGTTCACATTTAACGATAATATCTGATGCAAAACAAACTATAATGAATTTGTTAATATTCAGCAGAGTCAGGAAAAGTCGTTACCCTACCTCCAGGCAAAAGCATCCCAGAAGGCAAAACTTCCTGACAAAACAATAGAAAGTGGGCGTGGTTTGGGTGTGTCGTATGAGCTTCTTTTGTTTTTCATGTACCTTCCTCCAGTCAGTGGCCGTGCCACCGTAATGTTTTCCTGACTCTGAGTTATTCAGTCTAATAATAATGTTAAGGTTGAATACAAAGGTTAGTGTTATCTTTGCAACACTGTTCGGGTAATAGTCTGCAAATTCACGAGACATGAAAGAGGGAGAACGTAAAAAACTGGCAAATATATATCCAAGGGAGCAACAATAACATACTCACCATCCTGTTTCGCAGTTAGATCTAATGAAAATAGACCCTCTTCCGTTCCAAAAACAATTTTTGCAGAATCTGAAAACCAAAAATTAGGTTAATAAACAACAATGCTTAGAGCGAAAATCTTCGCAAAGTTGAATAAAATCAAATTTCATGTTGGTTGTTATAACAGCATGGTAAGTTTGTTTTTCTATTTTTCTTTCTATGCTTAATTGGCTGAGATACACTTTGAAAGCTACACAAAGAGAAGCGGAAGTACAGGGGCCTTTTGAGAAAACATGAACGCACAAGGGGGGGGGGGAGGTAAGAAAAAAAGATTCATTGGACAATAAAATGACGTCAATAATATGAGACTTTGGGTTGAATTAAGAAGCAAGTAGTTGCAAGCTTACCAACAATGGCTGCGCATTGTGTCATTTTGACAACCGCATGGTCAGTTGCATCGCAGACTTCCCTGATGTGGTATTTATGCTGAGGTAAAACAGGAAAGTTAAATCTCAAGTTGAACACATGGAAAGGAAAGTAAATTCGAAACAGGAAAGTAAAGTCTGATAAAGAGTTACTGTGCTTCGAAAGAAGATATAAATTGGTTTTAAATGTTGGCCTTGCGCCGTCACGAACTTTTGATATCTGCTGCATTGAGATATGATTGGAAATAGAGATTTGTTCGAGTTGGTGGATATTCGAGATAGCGAAAAGCTTTCCTATATTTGGCTTTATAATAAAACAAAGGTGAATGCGCAATAGTTCGAGATAGCGGGTATTCGAGATAACGACTGTCGACAGTATATTGATTATCTGTATAAAATTTCCAAAATCATTCATAGAAATATGGTTAGTTTCACAATATACATAGCTTAGGAGCTTTTTTAAAAGTGAACAATCATAAATTCATACCTTCGGTTCATCAACTTCAGTTTTGTCTAGAACTTTTTTCAGTTCATGCAACAAAGAAACCCATTTCCTTGCACTTTGCTCATTTTCTGCTAGCAACAGTTGACTACAAATCGTTTCTGGTTGATTCAACTCGGAGATGGTTATCTAAAAATCATAACAACATGAACTAATTTTGCTTCAAGACCGAAATTACTGAAAATTTGATGGGATCAAAACGTTTGCAATTTGTACAATAAACTTTTGACAGCAAACCAGAGAGTAAAATAAATCAATGAGGTTTAGAAACGGAAACCAACCAAGATTTCTAGCAAAAGATAGCTCAAAATTAGAATGTAGGCTAAAAATGTATTGACAATCACTTATTTGTACAACCACAGTCATGCTTTTATAATACAACATTGTGCTGCTCGATGTAACTGAAACACTTTCCACTGATTATTTATAGTTCATCAATCTTGCATCATAGTGTAAGCAATTTGGATTTTATCTTCGTATTCTCTTTCTTTTCCCCACATCATAAGAGCAATGACAGTATACGAAAACTTTCTAAAAATTTCTGGATTAATTACATAACAATTGTTCTGCAAATGAATAAAAACACAAAAAAGTTAGGGTGTTGGTAGCGATGGAATCATTCTAAGCTGGCGAAAATTGCCTCATTGCTAAAACTTAAGTTATACGACCAGGGGCCTTTTATCGAGGCCTTAATCTCGATTGACAAGATGGCTAATTTTATCATCAAAAACAGAACCAAACAAACCTTGAATATGCATGGTACATCACGCTCGTTAGCATGGATAACATCAGACTTTGCCACAGTACTGACCGAGAATTCCTCATCCCTGATAAATCAGATTATTATTAACACCTACATGAAAACAATCTATCTTTATAGGGTTATCATAAATTTAGAATTAGGAAAAACCCGTTCTTTTATCGAAGTAGTTGCAATTGCGAATACAAAAAACGCTTTACATACAAACTGCTTTACATAAAAGCAGTCTCGTTTACTGTCAAGACAAAAATTATTTCCAAAGGGGCGCGCCAGTTAATGAAGAGGAAAAAAGCTGCCACGCAGTAAAAAAGCTGGGAAATGGGGCACTGTAAGCTTTTAAAAGGGTTTTGAAATAAGATTCTGAAATTAAACACCCATGCACTTCTTCTTGCTATAGCATTGCTTTTACAATAGTTTAATCATAGGCAGTGAGTTACACCTTTTCTAATTAAACCATTTACACTTGAAACAACTTGAACCGTGAATTCAGATAAAAAAACAATAACAGAGACGATATTATAAAACTTAACTCCAATTTTGCTTGGCGTTGTAAAATGGTTAAAAGCAGCTTTAAAAAATAACTAAAAAAGCAGCCATTTAATACCTCATGTCAACAACTTGTAGCATTGTATTCGAAATCTGGGAGACACCGCTGACGTCATAGAAAACGATTTTGAAATCACAGACTACTGCGAAGGCTTTCATCCAGCCTCGTTTTACTCCACCTGGCTTTGGCACCTGAAATAATGGAAATTGTCTTTTAAACCACAGGTAAATGTAACTGAAGGTTTTCAAAACAATGTGTTTTAGATTAACTAAATGAGGAATTTCGTATATAAAGAATTGCATATGGAAAAAGTTAGCACTTCAGAGCTGTCTTTTCAAATAAATATTGCTAGGTTAAATAGAAAGTCTAAAATACTGGAGAGCCACAATATAAAGAACATAAGATGAGAGAAAATTTCAGCTTGCAGGATTTTCAGCTTTCTAATCACAACAAGATTTAAGATTGAATAATATCTAGATAATAGGGTGATCACCTTGTTATCAAACGAAGAAAAAACAAAATATTCAGACTGAACTTGCAACAAAAAATCGAGGGAGCTCAAAAGCAAACAAAAGCAGGTAACATCAAAAACAGAAACTCACCCTTACGAAACCTTCATATGCAGTGCCTGTTCCTTTCTTGGGATCGATGCCAAGAGGCCTATTTGATACTAAGCAAGAAAATCATACTCTAATTAAAATTTAAAACATTTCGAAATTAAATCAAACCGTTACCAGTCAATTCTGTAATTAAGATTAAAGGCCAAAGTTCCTGTTTGTCAAAATGGAGCTACTTAACAACTCTAGTTTTAATAAGTTACTACAAAAACATCAACATAGACAATACGACGCAAATTCAAAATTCTAAGATCTAAAATCAAACACACATGATGACTGGCAAAGAGAGGAAATGGGGAAGTGGATATTCATAATGTTGCTGAAGACAAACCCATCAATATGTCTCTAGAGCGTTAATGATGATTACAGTTTTGAAATTGAGGGTTGCACGTTATTTCGTAGAAGCAGCAAGTCGCTAGCAAGTAAAAAATTACAAAGGAGATTTGGAATCCAACTTACAGAGATTTTGCGGCACAGGACACGTCTGAGGTGCTTCTATCGTGCATCCAACGTGACTTGAATACCCACAGGCTAAAAGATTTGAAAAATCTCAGAATCTATGAATCACACAGTCATTCTACTGTAGCTGTGTTACGAAATAGTGCAGACAGAAGTTGATCAGGGGTTCTCTTGCTTTAATCTAGTTAATTCCGATTTCTATTTGTATTTTCAAGTCCTTTAGTAAAGAATATGGCTTCACGTTTTGTTGTCTGCTATGCAAAACAAAACAGATTGAACGTATAAGATTCGCTAAATGAATCTATTTTTCCTGGAAAATGACTCAAAACTGAAAATGGTAGCATCTTTTCTGCACTCCTAGATTCTTCTGTTAAAATCTAACTAGAAGTTGCAATATTAAGAATTTACCGTCGCAGATCATTCCTTGTCTGACGTGTCCAAACATAACAGACATGCAATGATGGCACTTGGTAGGAGATGGGTATGTCTTCGCAACAAATTTGTGAACTTTTCGCTACAAAAAAATGCAAACAGTCAGATGCTGATTCGTGCGTAATTGGCCTTGATTGGCAGCGGGCAATGAAAATGAAATCACGTTATGGACTGCAGTTAAAGCCATCAAAATCTGTTCAAAGCATTGAAAAAGAAAGTAAGGGGTTCCTTTCTTAAAAGCCTGGAAGACATTCTACATATAAGCTACTTTTAAGAAGGAATACCGCACCAATACATATCAGCAGAAACAAATACTAGCTGCTTTCCATGGATAGCTCAACAATTTCAACCTTCACCTGTTACAAGGTTCAATAGCTTCACTGGCCTATCTTGATAATTTGGCAGCATTTATGGACAATGGCGGTAAGAGAAAAAGCAATTTTGACACCACACTCCGGGTGAAAAGGACACATAATCTTGAAGTAAAATAAATGTGATGATGACTGGAACATTAGGGCAAAAGTTGTTCGCGTATAACTTGAGTATTCGTAAAATTTTCTAGGTCTTTGCGAAGTGACCCATGTATGATTTCAGCCTGTTGTGTTGCGAAGTGACTGATTTCAGCCTGTTGCCTTCTGGGTAGTGAACAAGCCACATTCACTCTATAACAAATTCATTTGAACGTTAACAAGAAAAAAGTGAAGACTTACAGGAGCTCCAGCTGGGCTGACTGACGTCATAGCTCTCTCAGGCTGTGCTGCGGCGGGCGGTGAGGTGGTACTCTGTGAAACTGGCACATTCTTGGAAACACTGGTGCTGCTTGTTCGGGATATGGATTCAAAGGAATCATCAGTCTCATTGTCCTAGGAGCAAAATCATTACATGATATTTCATACAAAAGAGAAAGAGCTCTATTACAAACAAAAATTATCCTAGGGCCTAATTAAATTGTTTGCCTGTTAAGAGCCCCTAAAAAAACATACAAAAATTATCCTGGGGCCTAATAAAATTGTTTGCCTGTTAAGATCTCTAAGAGCCTCTGAAAGAACACAAACAAAAATTAATAGTCAAACCTGGGACGTAAGGTGTTTAGTTGGTAAAAGCAGTTCTAAAAATTGTTCTATGATTTTGAAAACATACTTTCAAAAATTTTCCTTATCTCAGCATTTGCATTACTTTTCAGAGACCTTCCCAGAGTTTCCTCATATATGAACGAAAGAACATTCAACTTCAGTTGTAATAAGTTATTGAGGAGAATCCTCCAGCGAAAATTCAAGTTGAGAGAAGCTCCTAAGGAACTTTGCCTAAGTTACTGACATTCAAAATACCTAGAAAAGTATGCGACGAAATTCTTTTAGAACCTTTGAACAATTTAGTTTTAAAAAAGGTAACTTCTCAAAAAAATATACACTTACGACCAATATATCGATTAGAATTAAGGAAGAGGCCCAAATATGTTGACAAGGAATGGATAACAAGGTAAATGTATTTTCTCACCACTGACAGATCAAAACTGGCATCACCAGAATTTTGAAAGAAGTTCAAGAAGGGCAGATTTCCTTGTGTTCCTGTTGGTAAAAGTATTGACATGTTAAAGAGCCTTTGCTGACATTCATGCTTTGCGCGCCCGCAAAACGTTTCGAGAATGGCAATGGCGACGAACGTCTACGGATCACCAATTGCTGTTCACGAAGAAATTGATAATTCGTTTAATGACAGGGAAAGAGACAGCAACCTTGAGGTAGGCAGACCTTTTTAGTAAATTATGCCTACTTTCTTACTTATCTGTAGCTGTTGCCTTATTTCTTACCGGCCCCCTCTTGATGTTGTTAGGTCCAGAAGAGAGAGCACCAAGAGCATGACCTAAGTTCATGAACTGTGACGAATATTTCTTTAGAAAACAATATCAAGCTCCGCTTATACCATTTTTGTATTTTTTTGGTCTTTTTTTTAACAGCATTCAGAATAGGTTTATACAAAAGATTAAATTGTTCAGATTCTGAAGAAATGAGGACATGCCAATGGGAGTTTCTTTTTGAATGCAATAATATTCGGAAAAAGGCATTATCGATATTTCAACATTTAAGTTCAAACAAATGTTGTGAGAAATTTAAAATGTTATCAAATTGATGCAAGAAGAACGAATCGTAATCAAGCAGGTTTGGACAAAGGTATTTATATCTAAAGAAGTAATTTTGATTTAGTTACTCCTTAGAATTTTACAACAAATATTCATAAAGACGAAAGCTGGAGACCCCTTATAAGATAAATAGATAATAAAATTTGTTGGCAATTACAAAAAAAGTTCCTATCATATTGCTATCAGCATTTAATCCTATCATCCTTGACAAAATTGTTGGACCACCTACACAACATCTTCACGGTTTTTGAATGTTGCCCCCCCCCCCTATTGATATGCTGTTTTTTACCATCCCTCGCCCCCCATTGCCATGCTGTTTTATATCACCCCTCCCCCATTGCAATGCAGCTTTAAATCATTATTGCAAGCTTGTCTGTGACAATCGAACTAGGATTGGACGCATAAACCCTTCTTATTGAGGAATCCAAATTGAACGGGGGAGGTACAGAAAATACAACAACAGCCTTGAAGTCTTAGAGAGGTGGTTCAACCTGAGGTTGTCAACTTTTGAACGTGAACATTGAAGCGTCCAAGTACTTCTAGCAAGAATTGTATGGGTTTCTTCTGTCAACGAGCAAATGACTTTATCTATTGTCTGCAGGTTTTAGCTAGAAAGCCTAATGTTTTGATACAGATAACACATTTTGTGACAGATGATAACCAAGAGGAAACATTGGCATAAACTGCATTAAGGCTAATCCATCGAAGACCCAAAGCTTAAGATACTAGGTTACGTGATTGTACTTGTAAACAAACCACTAAAAAAGTTAAAAGACTGCGACTGTACGCAGCTGATTTGTATTAAGAAAACAACGGGTTACGTCCCCCAGTATTCCTTGCAGCATAGTGTGTTTAGGTTTTAGAAATAAAGATGGTTGCAGAAGAATGTATTCTCACGCAACATTAAGAAATAAAACAATACTCAACAGAAATTGAAAGTCAAGGCTAAAATACTTCTTTCCAGGAGCATTAGAATATCACTTAACACCTACCGTGCTACATAACTGCCCACAGAACACAGATATTATTTGAGTCTGCGCTCACAACAATTTAAGCCAGAGAAATAATTGTTAAATGTGCGTTCAGTTTAACTTTGTTTAATTGTGTAACGAATGGATCTTCAGTTTTTAATTAAATACAAGTGGAAAGCAGCTTCAGTGTTTATCTGCCAAATAAACACCTCCTCAGGAGTTCTGCAGATAAATATTGTAAGGCTCGCCCTCTACTTATGGACAGACTGATTTTCATCAAAGAAAAAATATTTAGAAAATAACAACAGCTTACAGCACCTCGCCATTAAGTTACAAGCAGGGTTTATATTTACTAGAACAAATTGTGGACGCCTATATATGCAGTCGGGAATAAAACGGCAGAGAAATTACCCTTCGGCGTAAAAGTACAAAATGTCTTTAGAGCTAACAAAAAAATTAACTTACCTCTTGCTTTCAAACTTTCATTCTCAGATTTCAACTTTTCAACCTCTGCTTTTATGGATGAAAAATCTGACTCCGTTTCTGTGAGTTTTCTGTACGAAAAAGAAAACATCTTTGTTACAAAGTGGAATGATAATGCACTGACTCGCGCTGGAAGCAAAGCAGGTTCACCACTGGCTGGTCTCTGGGTATGGAGCTTAAGATATGAGTGACAATATGGTCACTTAATGAGATACGTGCTCGACATAATAGGATAGCGGTTGGGAATATTCATTAGTGGTTGTTCATGAATGAAGAATTGAGGCCGATAACAGTCTTAGCTTTGCTCAAAACGCGTTTCTTTTAAATACTCGCTTGGAAATTGTTGCAAAGAGAGGTCAAAAAATATGTACCATATCTAGGAAATACTTCAAGAAATTTTTAGTTGTTTAATTTTTATTTATTAAAAGGAACACAAAGAGCAAACATTTTTTTAGAAAAAAGTTCAACAATGCCTTATTAACAAAACGTCCATTGTATAAGTTTCTTTCTTAAAAAATGATTATAAGATATGTCGTAATTGGTACTAGCTTGGAAATGGTGCATTTTCTTTCCAAAATCACAATTGATTTGGGCATTGCACACAGTAAATACAAGTTTCTGTCCTATTTGAAAACGGGCTTATTTATATAGAGTAAAGGTAAAGGAGTTTCGTGACCCCGAAAGAAAATTACCACAAGAAAAACCAAGACAAAAAACCAAAAGGCATTCAACACAAAGATTTAATCAAAATACAGACAGTTACCATTTAGAATGAAAGAGAGAAATTTGCATTTGCATTCTGGTACCAAACCTTGCCTCTTTGAGTATCTTAGATTTCAAAACCTCTAACAAGGCAGAAAAATTAGAATTTATAAGAGGAAAGAGATAACGGACCTTTCCGCTTCAAGGCGAGCCATTTTGACTTTATTCAGCTCCTCACTCAGGTGGTTCTTTGCTTGTACTTCCATTTTTAAGTTTGCTTGTAAAGATAGCAGCTCCTGTTTGTCCATTCTCTGCGATCGCCTAGTTTGCCAGTTTTTGGCCTAAAATAAAAAGTCAAATAAGAGAGCGCCCTATTATATTTAACTTGCCAGCAGTAGCACAAAGAGACATCAAGTCACGTAGTCCCACTACGGATGGCATTAAAAAAATTAAAAAAAAAACAGGGATAGACAGTATCTTCGATACAAGAAAGTCATAATAAAAACATCAGAAAACTGCCATAGCCACAACATAGCAATAAATGGCGACTCACAGCTGCAGGGCCACTTGCTAATCCCGAAACCTTTAAATGTTCAAGTTCCTCTGACATCTTTGATGCAAGAGCCTGCAAGTAGCCTCGAGCATCTTTCTCGTCGCTCACCCTGCGAGAAATAACACCTTATAACAACCATCGACAACAACAATTGGGGATAAAAATTAATTAATTCAGCACGGCCAAAGATAGGGGAACATTTTTTGTAATGAGCTGAAACAGCTCCTTTTTTTCTAAATAGTATTTATCTTATTTAAAGTGCTTGCAGGCATAAAATCAGACTGGAGAATCTTCATCCGCACATTATTTCATGCAGGTTTTCACTTTATCAAATACACTCACAAAATTCCATATATATATTTAAATACATGCTAGCTGATACAGTGTGCTTTATCTCTTTACTTATATTTGAGTTGTGTTACTGGCATTTGAAATATGGTATTCACAACATAGTACTTACAATCTGCCCCTTCAACAAAACAGCAGAGTCGAAAATTCAAATTAATGCATTCTAACGTAGTTAATCGTTAGTATATTGATTTTTGACAACATAAGTAAGTTCCAAGCATCGGACAAATCGCTTGTTGAAAAATTGTTTTTTCTGTAAATAGATTTTTGTTTAGGACATCTGTATATAAGGCACCTTCCTACCACGAGTACATTCCTACGACAGGCGACTCACTAAAACGGGTATTTACCGAGGGATGTTTGCTAAAGTAAGGCCCTTAAAATAGAAGCTTTACATATTTTGTATAACAATAAATGGGGCAAAAGCTAACTTGGAACCAATATTACCATTGAATTATTTCAGCGATTTGCTCTTCCCAGTGAGTGACTGCTTCTCTCTTTTCAGCGAAATCTCTCAGCTCCTCTTCAAGCTGCTTGACCCTGGCATTTCCTTTGTCCGAGTTTAACATTAGCTACAAACCAAAGCACTGACAGCTCTCTTAATTGTACACCACCAATGCGATAAATATAAGCTATATTACTAAATTGTTTTAACTACTTAGGGAAACTTGCCTTTAATTAAAAAAAGGGCACAAAACCCTTGAAATTTGTTGGGGTCTGCGGATATGGTCCTTCGACAGCTATGTGCAAAATATGCTATGCTCAGGTCCCGAAAAGGTGGCAGAAATAGAACCAAATGTAATTTAATGTCGTCAGGATTTAATGGATCTGCCTACCCAAATCAAAATAATTTCTTTGCATTTTCGAAGAGCCGCGAAGGCCAATTGTTGGGGACCCGGACTTCCATTTCCCTTGCAAACCCCACTGCAATTAATCAATGAAGCAATCAAATTTCAAACTTTTCACAGCCAAATGAATGTGATTGCGTTTTATGACGCATGGGCTGAAACCGCATTGGTTTACACAACAGGACGGTTTTAAGTTCCTAGGATGGGCAACAGGTTTTTTGATAGTATGTGATTAGAGTAATCCATACCCGTTCCATTTCTGCTGTCAGCTTCCGGTTTTCTTCCATTAACAGAGCTCTATCTCTGTCGCTTTGTTTGCGGAGTTCAGCAATATATTCTTGATCATGGTTGGAACTGCAAAAGCAAAAACAACAAAGAGTTATTGCAAGCGATTTTCGTAAAATACTTCTTTTACAGCAGTGTTATCGTTGGGAAAAATTCAATGCAGCAAAGGAATGAAATTTTGACATCACAGTGGACAATGCATTATTTTGGTACAATAAGAAGTATTAGACGACCGTATTGCAATTAGCTCAGTTTTTTGCTAGCTACGTCATTCAAATAAATCAAAGCAGCGTCAATGACATTTTACAAAAGGACACAGCAAGATTTCTTGAATTGATCTAACAATCAACTGCTATGCAATCTCACTGTCCAATGAGATCACACAATGTGTTTTATTTTTATGCTCTATCAGTCAACTTCCCGATTTTTCTAAAAATAGATGCCTTACCTTTCTTCCATGATAGAGTCAAGTTTTGCTTTTAAGCTTGAAACCTGGGTAAGAATGTAAATGTAAATAGATGTCAAGGAAAAAGAGGGGATGTAAGAAAATTGCAACAAAAATGGACATAACGTTGGCTTTCTCCAACCAAGGCAAATATTTTAAACATCTTAAAACATCTGCTACCTTCTTCTTTTAATTCCAATTCATTGCAACTGGCAAGGAGATATGAAACACTTTTCAAATATAGTGTCTTTAGTTCAAATCAAGTTCTGTCGCTTCAGGGTTCTTGAGCCCTGCAATTTCAATTACGCGGAATAGCAGCAAACATAACGTTCATTTTTCTAGTAATGCAACAAACACCATAATTGCTAATGCACAAAAAGCGCAGTAAATTCACCTCAGTCTTCCATGACTCAGCGTTGCTTTCGCTCTCCGCTAGACGTGCTTTCAGTTCCTAGATGAACAAAAACGGCGTTTCAAAAGAGATTTTCAACTTGATAAAAAATTCTCATAAATAATATTAAGATAATTACAAGGAATCTTTTGCATATGAGCCTAAGACGCTTTGAGACCACAATATACAACTGTATACCTAGTAATTCTAATCAAATAGATGGGTCAGGATGGGGTCTTTTTTTAACTCCAAGGCGGACTCCCCTTTCTCCATCACTTTCATGTTAAACAAAGCTAAACTGTTAACTCGAATATTTGAAGAAATAAACTATCAAGGAGGTAATTTAAATGTTTTGCAGAGAAAGGCTAAATTGTAAGAACTGCGTGGTTACTGGAAAAAAGGAAACGGGAAAAATCTATATCAGAAAAGTGTACCATGAGATAAAAACATACCTTAATTTCTTTAGAGAATTTCACTCTTTCTTTTGTTATCGTCCCTTCCTGTTCGTCTTTAACCATATCTAACTCCCCTCTCAGGCTACAAAAAGAATGAAAGGCCACTCATAGCTCGGTGTATTACCTGAAAACTAACTTATTTTTAAAATAAACGTCAAATGATGATAATTTCAACTTCGATAGCAGTGCAGAAGAAAACCCAACATAATGAACTTAATTCAACAGATCAGCCCAAAACAAAAAATAAACCACATGAAGTATTATCTGACCAATTGCGAATATAAGTCAAAATGGGCTCTCCAGAGAGGCCAAAACTGACATGTAAGTTATAAGGTAAAAGCATTTAAGATTTTTAAACTATTTTTAATCATGAAACTAACCGCTCGAGTTCCCTTTCTACATCAGGCCCTCCGTTAGTACTCACAGCACTTCTACCACCAAAATGCTGACTCTGAAAATAAATTAAAACCGCACTCGGTAAATTGCTTTTTCTATGCTCATAGCAATTTATAACAGACTGGTACAAACTACAATAAAATAAGAAAACCACAGGGGGCATGAAGATTCATAACAACCCTGTAAATAAAATGATAAACAGAAAAACTCAAATTACAAGATTGTTTGACTCCGAACAAAAAGTCATGACAGAAACTGGTTTGTCCAGCAGCTTGGAAAATTTCTAAGTAGCTCAGAATTAGTTTATTCAGATCGTGAAAGACTGGGTCTTTACCTGAACGTTATCCAAAGACTCCTGTAGCTTTTGCACTTGCTGCAAAAAAATTACAAAATAAAAACTATATGATGTATCTGAATACAAGGGCTTTTCAGAATGAGTGAACAGAGCTTTGAAACTGGGCAAGGTGAATTTGATACAAGTTTCTAGGGTAGGGCTGATCAAATTTTTAAGAGAATATTCTATTCAAGCTGGACAAGCAACACAAAATTTCAATTAAGGGATTGCTCAAAGGGCAAAGCTAGTCATGACTTGATAAAAGAGGAATATAATAAAAAGCAAATATGTAGAATTATTTGCTTCAAAAAAGGATAATATGTTGCGTCATCATCTACATAAATAATCATTAGATCCATAATCACCTGTTCACTTTTTGCCCTCAATTTTTGTTCCTTGTGAAGATCGGCTTGAATCTCTTCCACTTGGGCTATCAGCTGAAAATAAGCAATCAAAATGAAGTGAATATTGGGTAAGAAAATAATATAGATCTTTGAATGAAGCAAACACCTAATTTGAAGAAGGTTGAACTCGGCCCTTTTGTAGAAATCCAGCCACAAAACAATCAAAATCAAAAACATTTCTTATAAGTTGGAAAAGTCAGATAGTATTTTTAGAGACATTTGAGAGACTAGTAACAAGGCCATTTCGAATCATATAAAGACATCTGATAAAAATAATAAATTAATAGCAACCAGTTTCCCTAACAATAGATACATCAATTTTTTTATTAAAATGAGCCCACCTCTCGTCTTTTCTTTTCTGACCCTCGCAGTTCTTGTCTAGTCTGGTCATTTTTGTTCAACATGTTCTCTGAAGAAAAATTAATGGAGTCAGAAACCAAATAAAATAAACGCAACTAAAAATATGGTTGTTTGTCTTACTTGTCCTAAAAGTAGAATGGTTATAAAAAGCTTGTCTTGATTATTCAGGTTGATAATAACTTGCCTCCCACAGAAAGAATCGTGGTGAGGTTGAAATGGTTGACCGAATCAAAACGGGACCACTTCCGGAAGTGATACAAAATAAGTACAGATAGCAGATTCAAACGGGTTCGTGTCTGGAAGGTCTGCATAAACGCAAAACCGATCCGTGCCAGTTTAGGAACAGATCCATATGAATAAGTTACCTTGTGAATGGGGTATCAAACATGTTCATACCAAGAGCTAGATGATCCACGGTGGTTTGTTCGGACTAAGTCATTCATTAGATGTTTTTATTTTTGAGGATACTGTGTCATTGCCAGCCCTCGGGGACCACTTCTTTATGAGAGCTTTAAATTTTACCTTTAAACAACAACAAAATGATTGTGTCTTGTTTTCTTGGGCCATTGCTGAGGAGGCATTTACCCTCGCTTAAATAATTTACCAAATTTCTGTACAGTTTCCCATCAAAACAGAAATCCATCCGTTGGATACCATTCCAGTCAAACAACTGCAAAATGTTAAGTGCGAGCATTCCTTAAAAATAGGTTTAATGGAAGTAGATTTTTCAACAATTTGGTACATAAGATAGCGCTCGAAATTGATTTCCGCATTAAAATCTTTGTTTCTTGGAACATCTGGATTACCTATTTCCTCTTCCTTCTCGTGGACTAAGCGTGTTAATTTGAGCTTGTGAGACCGAACTTCCGCTAGTTTATCATTCAGTTCGCTGAATTCACCCATTGTTGTTTTCCTTTGAGCATGAATATCCTTCAACTCTTTTTGAAATGAAGACGCTTTATCTCTAAACGATGAAAGTTCGTTTTCCAAACCATTCTTTTCCAACGACAAAGTTTTGTTGGCCTTTTCGAGTTCACGAATTCGCACGCTCAGTTCTGTAAAAAAGACAAAGACACGAGATACAAAAATGCAAAAGTATTCTATATTTTGTAAATGCATTTATTTTTAGAAAAGAAAAAATTAAAAAATAGACTTTAATCATTATAAATATGCTTTAACCAGATAAGCGAAATACTCTCATCGCACCTTCACATCTAAATTTAAAAAAATTGTCATCATAAAATCTTAACGCTTTTAAACCATAAAAAGGACATGGGGTGACTCAAAAATCTGATATAAAATAACACAAGGCAGCAGAAACATATAACTTTGAAGATAGGAAATTACACACACGAGATGAAGTCTAGCATTTTAAGCTTCATTTAAGACTATATTTTCTGCATTAACATTTTGAGACTATCTGCATATTCTTATTTGTGATTCTAGTTTATAAGGAACCGTAAAAGAAAACTCGTTCAAACTGTTGAAGAAATGATTGTTTACACACCATCTCTTTGGACATCGAGTTCTTTCCTCGCTCTGCCAATCTCCTTGATTTCCTTTTCCGCTTTCTCTTGTTTCTCGTCAGATTCTGTGCAAGAAAGAAAAAACTTTTAGCAGGTGATCTACAAAAACGTAAATTGCAATTGAAAAAAGGCTTCTAAATGCTATACAGGTTTCTTTCAATCAACTGGTACTATTTCAACGCTTGAATTTGAAAACCAAAACTTGACCATTAAGTATAATTCATCTATTCTAGATACTTTTGTGATTGTAAACAATGCCGACTGAATTGTTATTCCAAAAATTAATTTAGAAAGGACATTCAGATACGTTTAAGACACGCTTCAAAAATAAGTATAGAAAAATATCAATAAAAGTAGTGGTCTTGAAAACTTCAATACATAATGGAGGAAGTTTTGTATTGAAGGATAAGTAGCTTTGCAATAATAACAAAGGATTGATGAGTTTTTAAATAGATTTTGGTCGTTAGTACAGCTAATTGTTTTCAGTTATAAGAACTGATCATTGAGGCTGAATTTGGTGAAGCGATTGAGCTACATATTGTGTTCCTGATCTGATTTGGAAATGGCGGTGATTTTTTCATAGGAAAAAACCGACATGAAACTACCTTTCTACTTAGCAAAAATTCATTAAAATACGCCTTAAAATGAGGATTCACTAGCTTTCTGTAATTCTATGCACAGCAATAGAAAGGGACCGAGCGCATTGATGTATATAGTTTCATTCCTTTTCAAGTGGTTGCCATAGGAGAAAATTCAAGAAGATCTCACTGCCAAAGCATGAACTCAATATAAAAGTAACTCACCAGTTAACTTCCTCTTTAAGGCATTTATTTCATGTTCTAACTTCTTAACAGAATCTGGAGTTGTATTTGACGAAAATTTAAGTTCTAGGTTGATTCTAGCAGATTCTGCAGCTAAAAAGAGAAATAATGGAAGATAACAAATGAGGTACTAAATAGAGTAATATTTCTTTGATAATTAGAGAAATTTATCATGCAAAGAGACATAAGGTTGGTTGGTAAAACAGAAAAATGACTGTAACTTCTGGAAGAGGGAGCAGGCAAGAAAAGTGGCATGGGGCTGTTCAACTTCATTGCTGAAAGCTACTTTAAAAAATAGCATATTTACGGTAGAGAATACCATAGATTAATAAGGGTACTAGAAATATTTAAGAGAAAAGACCAAATCTTGCACTACGAAATTGCTTCTACAGAACCAAGCAACTGGAAATACTGGAATTAAATGCTTGGATCATAAATATAATTAGATGGCATGATACCAAAGAATAAAGTTACATAAAGTTAAAGTTACAGTTGAATACAAAATACTTAATTCTCAACCACCGACAAATGCCAATCAGAATTACATAGATAGAGAATTGCTCATATTTAGACATCGGTTGGGTATTTGTATCAAAACTGAAGGAAAATATCTCAAGATCTAGAGAATGATATCAGATATACCTCGCAGTTTTCTGTTTAGATCGGCTTTCTGCCTTTCAAGTTCGGTTATTTTCTTTTCTTGATTTGAACTATCGCCATAACGATCATTCATTGCTATGGAAAGAAACTAAAGTTACTAACATTCATAAGATACTTTGGGAAGGAAGATTGGTATTAAAAGCCTTATTACACGTATGGTTAAATGAAGACCACTCCGAATCAAGTCAAGAATATTCAATTCCAGCCTCTAAATTTAAGAATGGTGCAGCTTCCAGCTAAATAACAAGAACTGATCCCCTATTGAATCGGATTACCAACAGCTGTGCCCCTTTAACCCTTAATGTCATAATAGAAAAGAAATAAGATGGTGTCAGAAGATCAGTAATAAGCAAGAGCAATTGGTGTCTTCGAAAAAGTGATCCATAGAGCCTCCTTATTTCTTCCCACTTAATTTTGAGTTGATCAAGTCTCTACTTCATATCTGTCTTTTCCTCGCTTTTTAGCTAAAGATCTCTACCAACGATCTTCATTCATGCTTCAAAAAGCTGGATTCAAAACCGTAACGCATTCAAATAAATTTTTACGAGCACCCGTGAATCTCTCTGTAAAATGATTAAATTATTCAAAAACATGACCAAATTGATCTCAAATACGTACAAGGAGCGCCCTCCGGATCATGCCTTACTGCCTCTGGTGATCTTATTTGAGATATCTGTAAATCCGTGCTCCTGGAAAATATAAATCCGTGCTTCATGAAAATGAGCAATAAATATATAATCTTATTTCTCGTGGACTTCAAATTAATAGCTACATTACATCAAAGCATTCGGTAAACTATCTTTTAAATGACTGGATTGGACTCAAAGATACAGCCTACATCATAAGAAAGAAAGGGTCAAAAACGAATATATGTGGGAGCTCAAATACATCTCCTGGTATGATGCTTGTCACTAGAAATGTATGCCTACTTTTGGTATGCTTTCTCTATATTTGATTCTTCAGCTAGGTGATAGGTTAGCGACCGCTGCGCTGATTGGTCAAAAACCATGAAACCAATCTAAAGCAACATTCCCCCTCTCAGGACACTTTCGATCCCCAATTGGATATAAATTTTCTGCTTACTTTTCGTCATTTTCTGACGATTATACTCTCAGGAGTGGTATCATAATACCAGGCTAATACTGATGGTGAGTTTCTGTCCTCCAGATACAAAGCACATTAAAGTGAAAAAGGCCATGGTTTAAACCTGTTGGGATTGTTTTTAAATAAGGTTCCTATAAAAACAAGTCACTTTTGCTTAGTGCATTGGTTAGGGTTTCTTACCTCTCTCCAAAATATGTGAATCCAATAAATGGGAGGTGATGGCCGGTAAATGCTTGATGGGTCGGCGGCGGGGCTGATTCCTACAAAATGAGATAACGTCATAAAAACTCGGCGATGACAGTTTGAGTGCAATATCCTTACATAGTATTCTTTAAAACGTTCCCTTTACGTTTCCATTTCATTCTTATTCTTGTAACTCAGAAATAAAAACTCAGATTTGGTCATCATCAGATTATTATGAACTAGCAAAAGCTGTCAGCAAATGTACAAAAATTGGCAGAACAGCACATACCTGCTTAATATTACGAAATTCAAAGCGATATCATATCACATTAAAAGCAAAGGCACCAAATCCAAAAAAATTTCAATGGTACAAAAAACCAAAGATAATAACAGATTTCGTTACATCGATATCATATCACATTAAAAGCAAAGGCACCAAATCCAAAAAAATTTCAATGGTACAAAAAACCAAAGATAATAACAGATTTCGTTACATCGTAGCAAAACCATTACAATATTATGAAATTCAAAGCTATAAAATATCACATTAAAAGCAAAGGCACCAAATCCAAAAAAATTTCAATGGTACAAAAAACCAAAGATAATAACAGATTTCGTTACATCGTAGCAAAACCATTACAGTGAAAAAGATCTGGTCAAAAAACAATCGTAAATGAGGGAAGATGAAATCAAAAGCGAACTTCATTACCGCAGCCCTGGGCTCCATTAGATCGTCTACATCAAAGTTTGAAACATCAGTGGGGCTACTGACTTCTGGCATGTAAGGCGGGGTACCTACAAGCGACAAAGGTGACATCAAACATACATGTTAAGAAGAATGCCATTATTGTAGTAGCCTCAAGGAAGGTTGGCGTACAAGAACAGGGATGTTTAGGGTATCCTTTGGGTCTAAGCGTAGGGAAGAAATGATTTTTTGGTAAATCGCGATAGAGTGTCGGCCATTTAATAAGTTGAGTTCATTTTCCAAGTTACAAAACATATTGTAATATTTGTCATATCTTGAAAACAGTTTACACACAAACCTAAAGATATAAACGTCCACCTTAGACCCTTTCTTGGAAACGCGAACATACATGCTATTTCGAAACTTCCTGTATCCTAATGGCATTTATATTCTTATCAGGTCATGACGAAAATAATTTTTTCCCTGTTATTTGTTGACCTTATTCACTGTACTTTTGCATCATTGATATCAACGGGGATTAACACTACTCCATACAGTATTAACTCAAACGATTGGCTATTTGTAAATTTTATTACATGATTCGTTTTCGCTCTGCTCACTACACAGAACAAGTTTGTTCATAAGAGAATTTCGCCACATCTTTAATACCCCATTACACATTTATATCTTTAAAGCAACAGTAAACATTCATAAATACTAATTTCTACCAGTGATGGCTATTAGCAGTAAGGTTAAAGATATGAAGACGTACTTTCTAGAATGTTTTCCCAATCAATTCCTTCAAAAAAAGAATGCGGACGGAAATCATCCACGCCATTGTTCCCTAGTCTCTCTGAAGATACACAAACAAGTCTAGAAAGAAACCGGCAAAGTTTGGATTTGGTTTCAATGCCATATCTGTGAATATCTAAAAACGGTCTAACAAAAACTTACAAGAGCAAACAAGCAACCGTTGATTAAAAGTCAATAGGTTGAATATAACAAGCAGGCAACATAAATGGCCTGCAAAAAAACAGGTAAAAAACAAATATGTATCGAATTATGCTGAATCAACGAATTATTCAGATATCAGAAGGATTCATAAATTGGCCTGTTCATCACACTTCTCATTTCGCTTAACAATATGAGATAGAAAAGCAGTGCCAAGCTTCCAACGTGAAAGAAGCTTTTAAACTGGATCATTGCAAATAAAAGCTATCCCGATACACGGGCTTTGGGATCATTTCACCACTGACAACAACACGCTTGTGGCTTATATTATCGAAGCACAATTTCTCGTTTATACTGCATCGCACCAATCTGATATCTTTAACGCCCATTCTTTACAACTGATTGCCTTGAAATTTTCCATTATCAATTGATTATATTACTACCGCTAGAACAATATTAACAAATTCTATATTTTCGTCAAAAATTTTTAAATGCAATTTAATTCACAGATTTTCTTAAAGGTTTTTCGAAGACTCGTCCAAATTTGAAAACGTCACCCTAGAACGTCTAATGCTAAACATAATATTATGCAAATTGAAAAATGTTTACAATTTAGCAAAACGCAAAAAATGTTAATCAGAGTCACAATGCAGAACACACACAATACCAGAATGAGGAATATTATGTGAATAATTAAGCAACTGTTTTCGCCATCTGCATGTCACCTGAACAGTGATGAACGCAGATGACGGTGACTCAGTCTAACTAGGAAAGGCTTGCAACACGATAAAAATGTGTTAACTGAACTAACATTGAACTGATTAATGCCATTACAACGTGTCATAAAATAATTTGAGAAAATGATACATTTTATAGCAAATACTCTCGATTTTAGCATGTAGTGATGAAAGCTTGTGAAAAAAGAGGTTACGAAAACAGCAGGTGCAAATTTGAATAACATTAAATTAAAACCAAAAATGACGACTTTACTACCAACTTGTTTACTAAGCGCAGTTGGCTTCATCAGATAAGAAACAAGATGGATGCTTCAATGTACATTTGGTTTCCAATGGTTAGTTAATAAGGTTTCCAATGATAAAAAGGGATGTATTTAGTCTATCAAGACACAGTGAATAGTCTTGAAAAATCGAAAACCACAGAAAAGTGCACGGAAGAGTGCTATCCGCAGGTCAACAACATAATGTTTACTGTTTCTTCGTGTTCTCATCCATAAAAGACAAAGCCAGGCCTTAAAAAACTTTGGTAATAAACAAAAAACGAAGGAGAACATTAACATAGACCAAAAGTCTCTCACTTCTTCATAAGGTTTTTCGCGTCATCTGAGATATCATAATCGTCAGGGAATTGAAACTTTGTCTGCAAAAGGGCAAAAAAGGTAGTGAATTAGCAAAACTTTTGAAATATTTTTAATGTGTTCGTCTAGGGCAATTCTCAGTGTTACCAGACACACAATTAAATCATTGGATAAAAATACTGATGTTTCTTAATTTTGCAATCTTTTGGGACGTTTCCTTTAAAACTTGGCTTAGTTTTCATTTTACGGCAATAAATTAAAAAAAACCTGCTAATGAAATTCAACTTAGTAATCTTCTGAGAAAGAAACTAATCTAATTTTCTTAATATTTATAAATCTAAGTTTTAGACCATCAGAGCCACAATGTTTAAGATTTTATAAATAGTTTCTGTGTTACGTAAGTTTTTATGTCAACAAAGAATACATCTGTGCATTCAAGCGACTCTATCAAAATAACATAGGATTTAAACCCGATTAAAAGCCAAACTTTCTGATCAAGGAGGAAGGTAAATAAGATATTTCTTAATCGCTTCGAAAGTACCGCCTCCTGAAATGTTCGAGATTAAACTTAAAAGACTTAATACTATTAGCATTACGGCTTGCATTTTGAGAAATCACCAGATCGAGGAACGATAGCCTACTGCAGCTGATTTCTAGAGTTATACAAAGAGTTGCTGAATTTTGGCACTGAATGGTCTTTGAAATTATTAACATTTAAATTACTCATCACCATAAGCCTTTACAGCTCTGTATAGACTTCACTGGGCATTTTACCACAGACCAGTAAACAGTAGCTTTCATCAAGTTACTGATCATGTCAACTTTGCACGCTAGAAGACCCTACCTTATGGTCCATGATCTTCCCGTAAGTCTCTACCAGCGATTCTGCATAAAAAGGTGTTTCCCCATACAGCATTTCGTACATACAAATACCAAGCGACCACCAATCACATTCGCGTCCATATCGCCCCTTGCCTTCCTCCATGGCCTAAAAAAGATATTTATCACTAGAAATAAATCCATATCTTTATACTTACTTGCGAAGAATATTTTTTGGAAAATTTAGAAAATTTATCGCGCAAAATCAAACCAAAACTGGCAAAAGTGTGTTACGAGAAAAAAAATTATCTACTTTGAAATAAAATACGAAAACTTTCAAACCCCCCAACAACATGATTTTAAGTACAACATAAACAATGCCATATCTAATAATCTTCATAATGCTGGATCTTCATAATATATTAGCATTAAGTCTTAAATTTCTTACGGTTTAACCTTTCGGTCGATTTTCTACGATAAGGCACTAATAGCCATGCGCGCTGGTTTCAATTTGACTCTGCCATACCGATATTAAATATCCATGCATGATAATCTTACAATGCAGATACAAAAAATCAGTTTATCAAAGGCTCTTGCGCAACCGGCATGCTTTGCGACTATATTTTCAAAACGGGCCTAATATCGTACTGCATGAAATTCAAAATATAGCCAATTTCTTCTCGTGTAAGAAAACAGGTACCGCAAAGCATGTTGGTTGCTCAAGAACCTTAAACCTATTGATTTTAACTTTAAATTGATGTTAGCTAAAATATAAGAAATAGTATGAAATCTGGTTATAAATCTTTATCTGCGCACGAAAAAGTCGTACAACAAAGTTACTTTGAAGATAAAAAGTATTTTCCAAAACAATGCCGTGAATTCTTTTAGTTTATGGACTAAAATTTACCAATCTCGCTCTTCCAGACATGCACCTTACAATACGGATAAATAAAATCGATTATCAACGTACCTGAAGAATTTCTGGGGAAATGTAATCGGGAGTCCCAACAGCAACAGCGCAATGGACCTGCAATTTGAAGAAATATTTTTATAGCAACAGTTTAAGCATCTAAAATTCAGAAGAATAATTCAGGCTAATGTCCAAAATGTTATTGGTTACACCAGGATTTAAGTTATTAGCTACAATGTGAGAAAAATTGAATTAAAAAAACCGAATTTATACATATATTGGAGAAATTTGGGGAAACCAAATCCAGAAGTAGAAGCTAAGATAAAGGAAATCTTCGTATAAAAATAGTAATGTTCGGGCTAGGTTTGATGAACAGTTTTCCATTGAGTAAGCATGGATAGCCAAATGGATTCCGTTTTCAAATGCAAGATCACACTAATGTCGTACTGTATACCGTAAGGCTTTTCTATCTAACAGTGATATCAACAAGGACATGTTTAGGGAGATAAATTAAATGAAATACGTTGCTTTTTGGAGCGGTAAAGAGAATTTGAAATTTTGGAAGACTTAAGTGTGATTTGTTAAAGCTTTCAAATGTTCAAATTTCAAATAAAAGACATGCTCGTGAATTGAAATAGGAAATTAGCTGATAATGTGACGGAAATTTAAAGAAAAGTACATCGATTAACACTTATTGAACACGCTGACACATTGCTGCTAGCACTGTTGAGATAAATATTTCATGAACATAACAAGGCGAGTTTTAACGGGTCGCGTTATTAAATTTAATGATATCGATTATATGCATAAATATTTAATTACATTTTCATAAATTCATGGTTGTCTTTTGTAAAAAGCATTTTGAGGCATGAATTTAAAAGTTCTAAAAAATAACAGTACGAACATATCCATCATCGCCAATTTTTAGACAAGAACCAAAATCTGCCAAGCGGATGTTCCCAGATACATCAATAAGAACATTATCAGGTTTGATGTCCCTAGTTTGGAAAAACAGAAATTGATAAATTTAAAGAAATGAGTGAAAAACGAGGAACAGGCAGCATTAGCAGGGCCAGTTTAACCGTACATAAAGCAACCAAATCCTCTTTTATGATAATGATATCAAAACACGCCATTGCCAAGAATAAGAAGGTACTTGCTAGATGTATGCAAACAATCCCTGCAAAAGTCCTTATACACTGCACCCTATCTCCCCCGAACAATGTTGACAGTAGAGTTCAGATTTATCTGGTAGGAGTCCATTGGAACACGCTGAGCCTCTGAACTGTTCGGAGTGGGAGAGGGGGTGCAGTACAAAAAATCAAAAAATTTATTGTAGTATACCAAGGCATTTGGCAGGCATACGAGAACGGGCAAATGATAGAATGGAAACCTAAGAAATTTTTAAAGATATCCTTACTACGGCTAACAGCATTGTGATACTTCAAGAATTATGATTCACCAGGCCTTGATCAGAATAAAGTAACAAATTCGAAAAAACTATCTTATTCATTTCCAAGACTTCTAATATTTACATTCAACATGGGTATATTCTTATTTAACATAAATATAAAGTATTATTAAAAAACCAATCATCTCTTTATAGCTAAGGCATATATTTGAACGGAAAGTATGTTATTGGCTTAAAGTGGCCCGCTTAAGGAGGTCAGCTTAAGGAGGTAAACTTAAGGAGGTGATCTGAGGATCACTACGGAGGGAAGCTAAAAAAGCTGGACAAATTCAGACTTAATCATGACCTTTAGCGGAGAAATCTTATTCGCGAAAGCAACCGCAAGCCTTTAAGAAGTATTAAAGAGTGACTATCGATAACATTTTAACAATTGAGCTAAGGCTCTGGATCCGAAAACCTTATCAACAGCGTAACCAAAAGATACGGAAATGACGATAACACTTAAAGCTTTCTTACATCTGAGGGCATAAATTATAATTTCGTTACTGTTGTTCGGGCCTATTTATCATAGATGATTCTGGTGTACTTCCTGTTTTTTGTTACTGCTAAGTGTTACACGGAAAAAAAGTTAAATCGATTATAAAAAGCCACCAATAAAAGACATTGGTCTAGAATCTAGATTATAAATCCAAAATAAGATGGAGCAAAGGGTTATAGAAGAACCAGTGTGAAACTAGTGTTCTTGTGGATTCCAGGTACCTTAATATTTGAACAGCATTGAGGTTCGTCAGACTGCTATCAGTTCAAAAAAAGGCTGATCACTAGGAAATGTTTTATTGTCATAATTGTCAATTGACACGGTCCCATTCAACAGGGCCCGCACCACAGGGCGGGCTAGGGGGCAATGGCCTCCCCATTTTTTTCTCAATATAAGAACAAAAAAACCTTAAATCTTTCACAGAGATAAACCTCAAATTACAACAAATACATTCAACCAAAGTACAGAAGTAAAAGCATATCAGCAAAATGTTTGTGACAATAGGGGCAAAAAGGGGTAAGAGGAAAATTTCTTTACATTGGTACCCCTCCACTTTAGGGGCAGTGGCGCGGGCCCTCTTCAACCACCAATCAATCTCCCCCAGCCCATTCTACCTCTTAAAAGGAAGTATGGTTTTTTATTAAGTGACTAATTGTGTCAAGGAAATTAATTTTTCTTGGGACCTCTGTTATATTTACCTTCACAATCAAAATTGTTTCTGGACAAGGTAGACCTGAAGTTGCAGTATTCAGAAAAAAAAATTGAAAGTACAAAAACAAGGTAGTCGCTGGATGCGCCAAGAAATTTCGACAGCCATTGTGGCTTCAAAAAAAACAGTTGCCTTCGATTCAGAAGCATTATGTTTGAATAAAACAGTGTTCTGAAAGCACCTCTTTATTGATCTTTTTCAGAAAAAGAAAACGCAAGTCAAAATGATAGTCAAACGTACCTATGTACGTAGCTCATCTTATGCAATGAATCTATGGCAAGTATCATTTCAGCTAAGTAAAATTTTGCCATGTGTTCCGGAAGATGATCTTCGTACTTGCTTATCAAGGTCAGCAAATCTCCACCACTGTAGTAGTCCATTAGGAAATACTGTGGACAAAAAACAGGTCTGTTTTGAAATCGCAAGCAACAAAATGCGGTTTGAGATTAACCTCCAAGACACGAGGTAACAAAAGTACACACAGACTTGGTGCAAATGTACATACAGACTCAGACTCAAAACTCGGGGATGCGACTGGTGAAGAGGGTGAAAATAGTCAATTTCAAAGTGGAAGAATGCTAAGTTGCTTAGGGTGTCTACTTGTCCAGCTTAACGAATATCAAAGCAGCTGCAACTGAACAACCGATACAGAACTTTTCTAGACTGGAGACATCTTTCAAAGTAGAAACCTGAATCGAAGATCTCACACGAGTACCTACTTGAATCGGAATTCTTAAATCATTTGAATATTCATTTATACTTTTATTGGCAAGCTTTGGCAAGCTTTGGCTTGTAGAGCAGGACGGTTCTAAGGGGCTACTCCAAGTTTAAGCTTAATGCGATCATCAGGAAAATACACGACTAGTACTTGCCGAAATAACAAAATATGTTGAAATCATATGGGGGAATCCGAGCATGGCGGAAAGACGAAAGGAAGATAGTCCTAAATCTCTTAGCTGGATAAGTAGGCTGAGACAATCGCTTAGGATTTACTTGTATTTGGATTGGAATACGCCTTTTATGGTTACAACGTAAACATAGTATATCTTTTACATGAGTTTCCTATTCTATTCTTATAAATTTTGTAAGTTTTTAGTGAAAGGTAGCGAGGTTTTTAGCTATAAAGGACATTTTCAGCATGAAACCAGTGTTAACTATGGCGAGAGTCATGTCAGTGACCTTTCTTGGCAAATACCTATTTGCATGGTCAAGTTACCTTTTAGGCACATATTGAATTGTTTCAGCCCTAAGCACCCTACCAATTTTTCTAATTCGCTCACTGTAATCAGCCAAAAATCAACTTATAGATTGGCAAACAATGGTTGCAATCTATGGCTACTGGCAAGCCCTAGCACTGTATTACCAGCTACAAAATTCCACAAAAGTTAAAAATTTGATATTAATAACATTCACTCATAAAGCAACTTCCTGAAATGTTGTTTCTAAATGGGCAACATTAAACAAAAATAAAGTGATGGAAACAATCTAGCAGCAAGCCTGAAATTTACAGATTATTGTGAGTCAGTTATGCCATACAAGCCATTCATATGAGAGAGGAAATGAGCTCTTTTGCAAGGGTGATTCATAGAATTAAGCCTCATACTGAGCCTGGGATAAGATGCTGCTTTATTGTAAGATTTAATGTATTACAATTGATTACAATATGCTCAATACCCTAAGACGCACTTTCACCTAATGATATCGGCAAGCTAAGCTGGAAAATTGTTACAAATTGGAATTGTAATCAGAATTGTAGATGAAAAACTGTAGCAAAATCTTTACATCCATTTAAATTTAAGGATGGTTTGAAGAAAAATAAATTACAACCTTTTATATATTCATATAATTTTCTAATGAGCCTTTATATATACACCTAATTGCTGTCATAAAGTGAAAACTACTTTTACTGTTCTGATGCCATAGAACCAACATCCTCAATACACCAAATAGCATAATATGTTCTAACTACATTCCAATCAGATAAGGAATATACTCAAGACACATATATTTATCATGTGTAACAATTTCTAGCTAAAATGATTTTTTTAGCTTAGTATCATTTATAAAACAATACACTGTTTGATGCATAAAAATCATTGACAAGTGCATCTGGAGAAGCAAACACAGTTTCTATTCAATTTCATACAATTTATAAGAAAATATAACAACTTACCAAATTTCTTTCGTCTTGAAAAGAATAATGAAGTTTTGTGACCCATCTTTTATCACCAAAAGCAAGCACATCTCTTTCTTCTTTGAAACATGCAGTCTAAAGAAAATAGAAAAAAGTTACAACATGATTATATATCAACACCACTGTAATTATCATAGGAAATATCATTTCAAAATGCATTGTATTTGTATCCCAGATTCTGCTGTTGAAAATTCATGGATATAATTCATGTAGTCATTGATATATACAAATATAACTCATTGAATGAGCATGCATGATTTTCCAATCACAAAAGTGTTCTTAAAGAAGAAGATGGACATTTATATACCTAGCAATCAATACAATTGGTAAAATCCATTCCAAAAATATATGTTGGTGCTAAAGAAATGGCATTGGTAGAGATTTAACTTTATGCCAATGCTAATAACATAAATTAGAAAAACCTTAGTCCTTAGAAAAATCCCATGAAAGCCTATTTAAAATCCCAAACAGAGCAAAATATGAGAAATCCCAAACCCCCTACAAAAAGTAGAACACAGCAAATATATATGAACTATTTCCATAAATCAAATACCTCTTTTGACAGTGCAGTTTCCCAATAAAAGTAAATTTAAACAAAGAGAAATGAAATAAAATAAATTTATATAAAAAGAGTAAAAAGGTTTTCTTAAATAATGCTTGATGCATGTCGGATAATTATTCATAAGATTCAATTTTTCAGAAAAGTATCAAAGCAGCTGGCAGAACAACTGGCAGGGAAATAAAAAAAACATGATTGAAGGTTTATTGCATGTACAAATGGTACTTGAAAGGGTTTTAATCCCCCTCAACGATTGTATCCCATTATTATTAATCATTAACACTGGTGATGAGATATTTACACAATGTAAATCTGAAAAATCAATGCACCAAGACAGTATTCTTCACATTAAAGGACGATCACAAAAAGAGAAGAAAATCTTTACAGAAATTAGTACATGATCTAATTTAGTTTTGAAAAATTAGACACAGTACTGAATTAGAGATGTATATACAAGAAGACATCAGATAAAGACTAATTTCTGTGAAAAACAGCCTTAAAAAGGAAATAATCACCTTCTAAACAATTCAGTGAAACCCCCAGAAAATTAAATATATTTCTGAATTATAATTGAATAACAAATAGAGAGGTTAAACATAAGAAATATCAACTTCTAGCATTTCTAGACCCTAGACCAAACAATCTTAAGAATATTAGCAAAGAGTTATTTAGGCAAAAAAATGGTAAGCAGTAACCAAATAGGCACAGGCATCTTCCCTTCAAAAACATTGTAATTTGGTCTAGGGATCAGCATTTCTCAACAAGTAAGTAACAGATTCAATTGGTTTGGCAAACTTATCAATATTGAATTGGATTCTTTCTAATGATATGGTCTGAGTTCATACAAATTCTACAGTAGATTTTGACAATGGAATCATTTAACCATGCTGTTTCAAAAGCTAAGATAGATGCAGACAGAAGTCACCAGTTCCATATAAACTCACCTCAGCACGTTTTAACATTTCCCATTTGTTCAGTGTTTTCATTGCATAGACCCTCTCAGTAGATTTCAGCTTCACAAGGGAAACCTGGAAAATAGCCATAGGTTAAAACCAGTCTAGAATCTGAAGCTAATTTTTAAACAAAATCAATAATCAATAATGGAATTAACCAAATTTTCAAAGAAAAACTGTCTCTGCTTTTACTAGTGCTAAACTTTAAATTCTTATAAAGCAATCTAAAATAAAAAATTGTTAATCAAACAAGATGGTGCTATAAAATAACATTGCACATGTTGTCACTTCTTTTTTTTCAAGTACAATAAACAACCTGCTTAACTAAATTGTTTATTAAACATAAAACTATAGTTTTTAACAAAAAAAGCCATCGAACAATGGTTCTCCTTTTGGGTTCAGTTTTTTTCATCCTAAATGATTAGATATGCATAGTTCAAAAAATCTCATTCCTAGCCCAATTAATAGGACACACCCTTTATTCTATTATGCTTCAAACTGCTACAAATCATTTGAATAACCACAATCCTTTTAATCTGACAGACCACAACAATTTAACATCAGAAACAAGAAAAACAAATGTCAACTTTGACAAGCGTTATATGAATACTCTTTAACTTCAAATTTATGTTATGATATGAAGATATGATAGAAAACTCAAACGGTCAAAAATATTTCGGAAAGTTATCTATCTAAAGATTTATAAAAATTCTAAAGATGAACAAGAAGCTCAAAACAAAATAGCATTTACAAAAAAGCAAACTAACGTTTTGAGCATTAAAATGCATGATGTTTACAGAATTGGTACCATTTTATTCTTATCACATTTTATTATAATGAATAGCTTAGGACAAATAAAAATCAGACCAACAAGAGCAGCCAGAAATCATGATAAAAGTCAGCCATTCAGCCATATTCAATATGAAAATAGAATGAAGCTTGCTGCTTTGCTTTAAATTTCAAAACAGCCTATTTCAGATAAAGAGCTCTGATCCATCTATTTTAACGGGTTATATCTTACATGGTTTAAATTGCTTGAGCCCCACACCAAGGAAAAAGTCAAAAATGTTTATCAAATGATTACACAGCCAATTGGACATAGGCAAATCAAAGGTATTTAGTGAGATTGGGATAAACATTTGTATTTATGGTAAAGTTGCGCTTCAGTTTTTGTAAAAATTATGATATAATATAGTAATAACAAATAATTCACAAGTCTCAAGAAGAAAGAACTTTCAGTAAAAAAGTAAGAGATTGTAAGTAAAATATTATCCAGTTTTAACTTGTTTTAATATGTGGCATTTGCAAAATACATCTGTACACAATATTCCACTTTCTAATCTTAAATTCCATCATGTACCCCTGGGATTTTGCTCTGCCACATTAGCTTATAGACTGAAATATTCTTTGTTTACAAAAATTTGACTTGTGAAAAGACATCATGCATAGCATAATAAATTGTTTATAGAAGTGCTGCAAAGCAAAGAATGGAGATTCCTAAAACTCTTCAGGAAGTTTGTCATCATTATGGATCTCAATAAAAACCACTGTCTATAATCAATCATCAGCTGTTGCACCATGTCCAAAGGGCGTGGGAAGGCCTCCTTACAACTACCGTCAATTACTGCAAGTTTTTAATGAATAGCAGGCAATTAAAGTGATATCCTCCAAGGCACGGCGGAAACACCGAGCAACGGGTCTTTGATTCCTCACAGAAGATCACCTCCTTAATCCTATTGTTATGATATACTGCTCTGAAATATGAATTTGCAGTTGTTATCATACGCAACATTTTGCGGTTACCTCTACTTTTGACATTTTGGTAAGGTTTAAGTCCAATGAGTTGTCATTCATCAAAACATTACAGTATTTGCACAGTATGCAGGCATTTTGAATGGAGGCCGGTCTTTATCGCACTTGAAACGTAAATCAAAACCAACATTGTACATTTTCAGTATTCTGGCGTTGTACTTAGGCATAGGCCTTTTCAAGCATAACTGCTTAAAATTTTATCTTGTATTCGTGTATCAGCTACATGAGACGCACGGTACCGGAGACAAAGTGGTACTTCCTTGTTTAATTATTCATCAAGCGTCTAGGTATGAATAAATCAAACGTTATCATGGAGTACTAAACATAGTTTATGCTGCTTGAGGCGTGTCATTTCAAAATAAAGCTCGCACAAAGTATTGTTTCTTATTCCCTAATTGCCGAATCTAAAAGTTGATTTGAGAAATCATAGAATGAAGTTCATACCTCACCAAAGGCTCCCCTCCCAATTACATTTAAGGTTTCAAATTCATCTCTTCGAAGCAGCAGGCTTTTTATCTTCTCTGTAACCGGTCTCGCTGTAAAAAAAACCAAATTATGTATAAAGGAGTAATGTAATGTCCGTAATTTTGTCCTACAATTAACCTCTGTAGAAATCGCTGTACCATAGGTTTTGACACTTTAAGGACCTGTATGAAAATGAAGGGTTTTCAAGAGCTAGATCGAAACTGCGATATTTATCAGACATATCTTCAATATATCTAACGAAAAGAATGAAAAATATATATATATATTTTGTATTCAGATGCTCTCAGAAGTCTAGCGGCCTTTGCAATTTCAAATTAAAGATTCATATTGTTGTCTTCTTACCGAACTCAAGAAACTCCAGCACATTTTTTTCACGACGAAGAACCGACGAATTACACTCGTTATAAAGGACAAGAAGTGTATCTAAAAGCGATTCCCAAGCAACAGCTGAATTCTTTCCATTTCCTGCAGTTGCAAATAACTGCTGCAGTTGTCTTATTCGATCTTCGGGCCTCTGCATTTCCATTATTTCACCGAATGATATATCCCAGCCAGTAGGCCCAATACAACAGCAACTTTTGTTCCCTTAGATTAAGCTCACATAGCTATTTCAAAATAAAATATTCACTCAGACTTTGTTTCACAATGATACCAATGTTCCTCTTTACTTGTCCTGCTCATAATATTAAAACCTGGTCAACAATAACAACTCGCCCATGGAGAAATCGCCATTCCTCAAGATTTGTATTAGGTTACTGAACGATCGATATAGAGTCCTGGGAACTACCGGATGTAAGGCAGCCTAGGAGGAGACGCCAGAGGAGTCTTGATAACGCCCTTCAAGTATGGTTGTAAGGTTGGGACTTTGGAGAACCCCCTCCCCTGGGGGAAAGATTATCGATTATTTAATTAATATTTTTGCCAGCAAACTTACAGGTTGTACGACATCCAATTCATCTTCCTTTTTAGAATCTTATGATTATTCCTTTCTCACAAAGATACCTAATTGTGTTCTTCAAATCATTTAAAAAGTTGCCGGGAAATCGCGTAAAACTCTGCATTGCAAATAAGTACCGTCTATTTCTCAAACTTTCCTCTGTCTATAAAACATCGAGTTGTATCTAATACTACAGGCACGCCGGAGCCGGGAGGAGATAGGGGGCTGTAAAACTGCCTCCAGCCAAGCACGAAGCCAAGAGGGCACGGACATTGCCCGCCTAACTAGAACTTTTCACCCCTCTGTGCCTGTCCAACAATTTTAGGATGAAAACATGTTTAAAATCTTAGAAAAACGGCGTCTTCCTACGTGACTTTCGAAAAAAAGTCGGTCTCAACAAAGTCTGTTGATTATGAAGGCATCTGTGCATTCATGGTGAAAACCAATATCGACGATACACCAGTTCACACAATGCTATATCGAGTGGATCCAACTGCTGATAAACTTCAGCCTGCGTTGGATGCTTGTTTATGACTTTGTGCAAGGTAGATGCTCCCAACGAAGGCACCAAGCTGCTAAAACGAGACTCAAGCTTCCTTCATTTAGAACCACAATCTTTGATGTCACTGCAGTTTGATGACTTTTTAGATGTTTATGAGTCAAAACCTAGAAAACTCTCTTTCAAGTAGGCGAAATGATATGATCGTCGCACCTATCATTATAGCTTACCTCCCTTTTACAGTTAGTTTTTGGATTTATTATTTGAAATACGTAATGGAAAACAAAACTTCTCTTCAGATCCTTGCGCTTCTAATCATCAGTGAAAGAAAAATACAAAAAGTCTACAAAAAAATTAATTACATTTAAAAGTGCAAGATAAATCTGTAGCAAATTCAAGATAATAAAATTTTGAAGGTTCTTCAGTACCGCTATTTAATATATTCGATACCGTTCCTTATGTGCTTGTCTCCAAATAACAAGAACGAGTCCCTTTGCTTCGGTAAATTAACAAGTCGACTTTAACTCGGCATATGGACTTTAACAGGGGTGTCGCTATAATCTTTAGTAGTATAATTATAATCTTTTTGTAACAGTCGTAAGATTTCTGTAACAGCTCAACTTTCAAAGTATGGCACTAAAAATACTTGAAATTTTGGAATTCTGAACACTAAATAGATGCACATAAATGCAGCATATAAAATTACTTATCTTATGACTACAACCAAAAATAGTGAGACACGCCCTTTTTGTTGGTAAAAAGCAATACTATACTGCTCCGCAAAAACTCTTTTTTAAAATCAGTGGTTTCGCCTCTGTGGCCCGCCCACCTTCTCATAGCCTTGGTATCAGAGCCGCAAATATTCAACAGCAGCAAAATAAATGAGAGCTGCGCCTTTTGAGACATTGTCGTCATTTTCTTTTAAAGAAACGGAATCCCTCAGAGCATTTTTTAACATATAAAATGGTGGGGAAATTCCCCACCAGCCCCTTTCATTGCCCCACCAGTGGAATATGTTTGCCCCACCACTTAAGTGCCCTTATGATTCGGTGACTTTTTTACTTTTTACTTTATTTGAGATATTTGTGGATGAAATCTTCATTGAACAGGTTTCAAATCTCAATTCATTTTTCCCTGGAGCTGCTGCTTCTATAGGTGATTCTCCTTCTAATTCACAAAGTCTGAAATTTGGAATAGTCTGGGCTCTTAGCACAGTATTTGACTTGAATTGTGCAAATTGTGATACCAGCATGAAAATGGGTACACTGGGGTAATTTCACACGTTGCTGATTTTCTTGCTGCAAAAGAACGAAGAAACCGAGAACCAGACTTTGAAACTTATAGCAGACGTCAATTTGTAAAGAAATTTTTCAGAAAAGATGGACACTTTTAGTTATAAACAAGCGATCAGTGATTTTGTTCTATGGTCTATAGCAATGTTTTAAAAATATTTTTGAAAGCCTGTTTACCTGTAAATTCTGCCTTTATCTAAATGCCCTTTACTCAAATGCCAGTGAAAAATTCTTAAAAAATGCCCTGGAATCCCTGGTAGCTGGGTTATTGCAACATTATGTTTTTCTGTTTTTCTGTGTTATTGCAACAAACTTCAGCCACTATGTCATAGCGTCAAGCGCAAGTTGCTTATTGTTGATGGTCGTTATTCAGAGGCGCCGGAAGCTTCATGATGCGGCGGGGGCAGAAATGATAAAAAGCACCTTGGCGATATCAAGATTTGCTGCTAAAACAGATCAGGGATCGTCGTTTAGCCAATAACGAAACCTGGTTTTAGGGAAAGGCCCTGTCAAGGGAGAGAACGTAGCCCGCAGGGAAATTATACGTTGTTACGCCCTAAAGACTTACGGGGGCAACACCCATAAAAGTACATTTCAATCAGGACTATAGTCAAACTTCATTCTCGAAATTCCTTTCACTCCAACATCAGCCATCAAGGGAGGCTGGACCCAATCCTACATCTGATGACCATCTACATGGCTTGATATAACTTTTGGATACAACTCATCTGAACATACTGTTTTTTCTTTATTTGAAGACTAATTTAAATTATTAACGCTAGATATGATTAAAATCAAATATAACCGATGTTGCATAAATATTCCCATATTCCTTGCAAAAATTACAAGTGCAATTGAACGATGAAAATTCTGAGCTTATTTTTTGAATATTTGTCAAGTTGGGAGAACTTATTTCGTTTTGAACTGAGTTCCATATTTGGCAACATCTGTATGACAAAGATCTTGAGTGCAAAAGGAATCATACCATTCTATCCAGGGCGAAAAAACCGGGGGGGGGGGTGACCCCCCCCCAATCTTAAAAATAGCCGATTTCGCAGGGCAATCGAAGATCTCGCAGGGCGCCAAGAAGAGCTTTATCACCACGCAGAAATGCCACCTCTGAAGTTCGAAAAGGGTCGTTTACGAATTTTGAAATGGAAATATTATATTTGTTATAAACCTCCCTTCCTGACATTGCATTTTAGAGAACGGAACAGGTATGTCAGGAAGAGCTCCGTTATTAGCAGAGCGAAAGTATTCCTTACCGAAAGTCATAGCCAATGGATGCAATGATTGATGCATAAGTTTATGAGGGCAAGGTTGAGTCCACACAAATTAAATTAAGTTGTAAATTATTTTCATGACAGGTACGGCGCCACTGGGGGGAATAAGGGGCTGAGGGCCCCCACTTTGGTCAAGATAAGAATTTGTTATCATTTTTTCTATAACTGTTTAACAGTGTATGAAATGAAAAGAGAAGAAACGTTTAAGATGCCGATTTTGTTTGATCTAATTGCTAATTTATTCACGTATATTTTTTATTATTTTTCTTTTATTTGCATTAATTCAGTAAATCACTTTCTATGTCATTGCAATGTTTTCATTTTGGAAGTGTAAACATGGCCTTCTCGAGATAAGAAACTCCACATTTCTGTTCAGGAAATAAAATTCTCCAAATCAAAACAACATTGCTCTGTCATTCACAACTTTGTGCAATCTGAAACGAAAGGTTACCGTTTCTTTCCTTCCACAACGTTCTATCACTAGAGTTTTAGCATACCATCCCTCCTCCCTATTTTTCCAATGAACAATAATCAGTTTTTCAGCACAATAGTATTTTGCTAAATTTTAGTCTGGGAGATGCTTTTTAGTCCTTTTACAAGGTATAATTTCAAAATTTTTCTTCACGTCGGTCCCAACCATGGTGGGTCCTCCTACCTCACTAAACTTGATATGCCATGAAATACAAGCTTTATTACAAAGGAAATCAAATTTTGCATCAATTTACGCTCACGTAAAAAAATAGATATTTCATAAGCAATGAAGTTTCAAGTTTGTTTTTATTGCTTAGAAGTTTGTTCTTGGTAAAAACAAATTAACACTGATAAATCTTTCACTAGTAACCTATAGACAAACCTTTGCTACGAGGTCTGCAGGGCACCACTCATTTTCGCAGGGAAGAAACCCTTTTCACCCTCCCCCCCAAGCCTATCGGCCAAGTTACGCCCCTGATTCTATCATTGTTACTTCTGAAGCGAGACAATTTGGCTTCAAAAAGGTTTAAAAAACTCGTTTTTGAAATTTCAGATTGCTCCAGGGTTCTCATAGGGATCTTATGAGAAACTCAAATCGCTCAAAATCTTTAAGAAGCTTTTAGTATTGGCTCATAAAAATTCATGTGCATTCTAGCACTGCTTACCAAATTCAAGCCAAGTCTTCAAGATATCTTTTAAGGTCGCCCACTGGGACAAATTTCCAACCAGTCAGTACGTTAATAGCGTCGAATAGGAATACCGTGCTGCATGAAAACTTCCTGATTCAAAAAAACGTCTTTATAAAACGTCTTGAATTCAAGGACTTAGTAAGCCTTATGAAAGTGGGGGACACCTGTTTAAAGAGGAACCCTAACGAACACTCTGTAAAGTTTAAAATCCTGTTTAAGGGGCACCCTAATGAAGATTCCAGAAAGGTTATAAAGGTGTCACATAAAGTCTGCTTACAATGAAATAGCCCTTTGCGAGCGTAGCGAGCAGAAAAATTCTGGCGACCATGCCCTTTAGATTAACTAAGAATCCATTCGAGACTATTTTTTGCAGTCATTTTCTTGCAATCGTTTAAAATATTGTATAATTTTGTTTTGACTTACTATCTGCTTTCACAAACTTGAAACCTAGAGGGCCCCCTGAATCTCAATGCCCAAGACCAATTTGCCATCGCCACCACCTTTTGGTAACCCTGATTGTGAGCTTGTTGTTTGGTGTTTCTAAAAACAGATCGAATGGAAACATTTTGGATCATCACCCAAAAGGGGCACCCCCTCGTTCATTTCGTATAGCACCTCAGCATTTCAAGGGCATTTTTGGATATGCAGTTGGCAAAAACAGCAACTTGATGAGCTGCAAAGGGGTAGGTAATCTGAATTTTGGAAAGAAGGGGGCACTTACCCACTGTGCCCCCGATTCCTACGCCCCTGCTTGAGTAAAGACGTCATTAATGCCTTGACTGATATATCGAGCAAATGCGAGCCGCCATTGGTAGCAGTCTAGAATCTCTTCAGCATGATCATGAAGGTTAAAGAGAACTCATCAACGAAAATTTTTGTAGTCAAATTGCTTGGCAAATCGATTTTGCAGTTCTCATCAAAATGTAAAATAATGACTTTTCTCTTGCACGTAGGTACCAAGAGATACCTGAAACCTAGATTTCAAAAGCATTCAAAATATTGCTATGAACTGATATTGCCTGGATATCAATTTCATGAAAAGGGCACTTTGCTGCCCCCGTGTTGCCCCCGCACCACAAGGGAAACGTGGGCAGCTGCCCTGGTGGTGCTGAGTCGGTGACTGCATCCAGGGTGCGAATCGTTCCAAATATCTTATCCACCTCTTGAATAAATCTCAAACAATCTGTAAGAAAAGAATCGTTTAAGTCGGCATAAATCTCGATAAATGGACAAATTTACATTACACGAATATTCATTGCACGCTTTTTTCGTCAAGTTCCTAGTTTCTGGACCTCCTCTATATTAATCGAATTGCGGCCCCGGAACCCCAATAATAGCTCCTTCATTCTAAGTGATAATCTAGGAGAATTCCTAAAAATTGGATGCCTCTGAGCCTGTACATTGTTTTAAACAATATTTTTATAAAGCAATGTATTATAAACAGAGACAGCAAACAACTCAATGAAAACCCTGATGGATGCATAGCAAACTTTATGCCAGTTTTGACTGCAATTGAATAGAACTGACGTTCTAATTCTCAGTTATCTGCATTGATAAAAACATTCAAAATTTAAAAGTTCCTATGAATTTTGCTTTGATAGTACAAGTTCTTAACTTTTTCGGGTCCTTATGAATAAAGAAATTTTTTCCGTCCAATTATAAAAAAATCATTAAAAATACTAAGGAATATCTGTAAATACCTCTAGGGGAAGCTGAACAAATCTTACTTCATCAAAAAATGTCGATAGTCGTGGTGCCATAACCCATTGCACACTCTGTATTCATTCGTTCTGCTGACCCCCCCCCCCCCCCATTGACATAACTGATTTACGGCCCTGCCCCACCCCAAAATGTGTGCGCCGGCGTCACTGTACTATACAACAGACTGTTAAAAGATATTTTCAAGAAGTATATTAGACATCTATTGCTTTCTGTATAACATTAAATTGCAAACAATAGTGAATATCTGTCTACTAATTTATATTTTTTCCTTGAAGCAAAGCACAATTTAAGCAAAGATTCTAGTTTCTCGGCAAATACAAAATGCCAATTTGACCATTGCTCGTTAGCAGTAGCAAGGCGGGGAGGAGGCAGGAGGGGGCGAATGTCAAAAGGGCATTTTTTAGCCTTCCAAAGGGCGTGGATCCCAGTTACCCTTGCTCAACTCGTCTTTGCCATCCCAATTTTTTTCACCCTGGCTACATATGCTACGGCTCGTTAACATCTTTTGGTATTCTGTTCTTGATAGTCGCTGCTGCTAAGAATTGACAGAGATGCAAACGTTCAAAGTTGAACCTCTGCTGCCAAACCGCGCCGTTAAATTTATTTTAAAGCTCTCGAAAATAGCTGTTACTTTTAAAACCCTAAAAACAGGCTTTGGAGTATAATTGTTTACAGGCTGTTTCATAATTATTTCAGCAAAAGATGCTTTTTGTCAACTATAGCCCAAGTCGACAGAACTGGGCTCACCGGTCCATTTTCTGTCTAAATTAGGTATTCACAAGATTGGCATTCATACCTCAATCAAATCTTCATGAAAGACAGGCCCTATATCATACATACCAGTTGAATTATGCTCTCAAGACTAAAGAGCAATAAAGGAGAAACAACGAAACGAGAAGATTGTACGCTTTTCAAGATTATTCCTTTTATAAAATTGCACAGAAAGCTAAATTACACTATACCATAATATACAGAGGAATCTTGATGGCCGTAATGACAATAACAGGCGTATCTGCATATCCAAAAGTAGACCCAACGGCAGATGGCAAATTTGTTCACATATCGTTAAACTGGAACAAAGTGACTTAGAGTTCGGTGCAGCTGAAATGTGACGTAAACGACTGGGGCCTAACTAGTTGCACGGAAACAGGTACCGAAAGGTTTGATTTGAAAGAACCAAGGACGCGTAGAAGGGAGAGCAGCACAGAAGCCCTGGTTCGGGTATGTCGTTAACAAAGGAAGGGCGGGCTAAATGCGATGAAATTGCGCTTGGAAGGGCAACAAAAACTTTCAGGATGGTAATGTAGCACAGTCCAAATTAAGGAAGGAGAAAAGGACGCATCTTTCTGAGGCTTTCAATGAATAGTTCTAACAATTTAGGGAACAGTGGGGTAAGAGTAGAAACAAGTAATTTCATATCATTAATGGCGAAATTCATAGCAAATAGCAGACAGACTTTCTTGGGTATCCTCAGCAGTTTAAGTGATTACAAATTGTTAAGAAATAAGTGCCGGTCGGGATAGAAGGAATATCTTTCTCTCGCTTCTTATACTCATAAAGGGCAAGAAAGAACAACGAAGAGCAAATAAAATGACTAACAGGCTGCTTTAAGAGAACTAGAATGATCAATAATACTGACCAGCAAATATTTCGAAAAGACATTTGACGCTTTCTAAGGTAACAGATATTTCAAAATTTATGAAAGCTGCGGGCGAAACTGTGGAATAAGGAATATTGAAAGTGCTGTGCTTAAGTCTTAGATTTGAAAGCAGCGATCAATGTTAAACATTAAAGGCAATCGATAAAAAGAAAAGTGGGTTAAGCCATCCGTTAATCAATATTAGCCAATCGATGATCATGGGAGTGGAGTCACGCTCACTGATTGGTCAATTTTTGATTGAAAATGGCTCAAGCCCCTTAAGTGTTTGTCGATTGCCTTGAAATCAGATAATCATTATTGAGCCTTATATCATTTATGATCACTGGTAATGGCATAAGCTAGGGACCAAGCATTTTCTATGAGTTTAACATTCATTGATACAACTTTATTCATTACATAGAACTTAATTATTTAGCTTGTGAACCATTGTATGCGCTTTATAGCAAATTAGAGAAATTAGAATAATTCCATATGGGAATACAGAAGGGGAAGTTGAAATGGGCACAGAGGCAATTAGAGACGATTCATGTAATAATAGGTGATTTTACCAAAAAGGAAAAAGAAGGACACAAAATTAAACGGGCCACCAGCCGATCACCCATGCTCAACTATTTCCATATTTAAAATACTACAGATCGAAAGTTTGAACAAAGAAATGTAACTAACATTTAAGAATCGGCATAGCGAATGAGATACGTTAACGATAATGTTTTGTATCTATTTATGACGCCAATGAATTGATATGTTTTGGAACAAAAACAAACAGGTTCGTAAAATGGGTTTAAACATTTTACTTACGCGATGACTATTCTAAACATTTGTCACTTAATTAAACTAAACCCCGTAGCATGAAGTTTGGGCAAACGATTTGCAATAGAGAAAGATGATTGTACATGTTTGAGGATAGCTGAAAAGACAAAAAGCGAGTATGCTGTCTATTTACAATGGGCTGGGCTTAGGAATGTGCCAAACCGATGGAGAGTACGTCCCTTTTAAGAAATTGTTACTTTGATAATATACGGGATTACTTAAGTACTATCATGCAGAGCAAGGTTTTTGTCAATAAAAACAACCTCTAATTACCATTATTGCCATCATAGAGGATTCTCAGAATGTGAACCGAAAAAAGGCTGTGATGATTACAAGGCTCTAATAACCAGTTTTGCTTAACAACAGCAATCGCCTAAATCCGGCTCAATCAGATACAAGGGACAGGTGACGGAATTACAAAGACATCGTCTAATAACAATAAGGAATAAAAAAAGCTTTCAATGTAAGCCAATAAAAAAACTTTCTGTGGTCCAATGCCAACGAAACACCATCAACTTGACTGCCAGCCAAGTGTCACGATTACGCAGCGAAAGGAAATATCAGGAACAAGGACCACAAAAGAACCCAGCCATATCAAAGTGCCAATGCGTAATTTGTAAAAAGGCACTTTATTTCCAATGCTTAACAGTCTATATTACCTAAGATTGCACTTCCCTCCGATCAGTTTTCACATCCCTTTTCTCCGTCCTTTGATCCGTCCCCATACGATCCGACTTGGAATCCGTTCGGTCGGATTTCGCTTTCAAATCTTGTCGCTCCAACCTCGAATCCTGACGCTCTATCCTAGAATCCTGAAGACCCTCGACTTGATCCAGCACCTCCCGGACGCAGCTGACCCTACAGAAGGTAACAGAAATCCTGGCCTTTAAAAACAAAGTTTATGGATCGGTAGAATCTAGATGGCATGTAAAAACTAAAATTGAGCAATTTCTAAGGCCACTATGAATCGATGAAACTACAAAACAACACTGACAGCATAAGTGGCCCCAGAACATTATTGCTTATATCATCGCAACAATAGAGTGTGTAATGAATAGAAGCTTTTCGCAAGATAAAGGTTTATCGGTTCGAAGATGGGCAGCGCTTCTTCGCATGAACTTTCTTTGGCATCCAGCTTAGTAACTCAACTGTGTCCATAACAGGTTTGCATGAATCTAAACACCGAGGCATAAATTTGAACGGTTTGAGAAATTAAAATTTCGCATAAATTTTAAGTTAAAACATTTTTTGTAATGTCACTAAACATTTGCTCAGCTTTAATAAATCAGTAGGATACTGGGCAAAATAGTCCATAATTCAACCAAAGCTTATAGAAGGTCCTTCTTTTGGCAAAAAACATTACATATGACAAAAAGATGAAGTTATCAATTTCAAATGGCTGATCCACTGATCCACAACGACCGGTGCACGGGACATAAAAAATCCATAAAAAGCTAATAAGCAGCAAATACAATCATACCTTGAATTGGACACTTGAAGCCTTGATTCAGAAATTAACGATACCATATTTGAAATCATAAGATTCGCTTTTGATCTTTCCCCTGCTAACGCAAGACAGGAATCTACTTCGATGCAGGCAACAGCGGCCTAAAAACAAAGAAATAACAATATATTAATAGGGAAACACCAGCACAGTCGCGGTCATTTACGATGATTAAAAGCTTTTGCAAAGGAGCAACCATTCAAACGTTTGTCTTGAGTTAACCGAACTGTCAAATTGATTATCTTGAAGATCCATATTGTTTGCCTTCTGCGTTCGATACCTGTTTCGAACATTAACAAAAGATCGAATAAAGGTTTCCTTAGCAAGAACTGCAAAGTACCAACGACAAGTTCCACAAGGTATTGGCCAAGGTGCAGATGAAATTTCTTCGTCTTTGAATACTTAACAGGCATCAAACGCAGAAGATAAGCAATATTCTTATGTTTGGGTCCTTTCAGCACAAGGACAAAGCACGTAAGACAACTTTTATTGGTCTTGGTGTGGAAGAATGAGTCGGAAAAGCAATGCAGACACGCCCCCCCCCCCCCCGAAAAAAGTCAAGACTCTAGTTTCGTTAAAGGCCCCCCCCCCCCCTAACAGAAATTCATTCATTTAATGTGTTTTGCAATTTATAATCAATGGGTAAACTGAGTCTGCATTTCACATATATGATGAATGGATAGAGATAATATATCAAGCCTTTTCGCATTTTCAATTCCCATTTTCAATCATACAAATGTCCAAACAAGTGACACCATACCGTGTCAGGACTTTATTTTAAAATACTTTATCTTTTATAAGAAATCCCAGTTAAATCATTTTACGTTTCATTTTCTAATTCAATTGCTCAATTATCTTTTTCAATGATTCTCTATTACAACAAACGTTACAGATTTGAACAACTTGTGCCAATACTATCGATGACTTGAAACAATTACTGGTGCCATTACGGTTTATGGTGTTAGGGAGCAGTTACCCTAAATGACCATCCAGGAGGGTACATCCAAGTTTTCTTTATTCGAAGAAAAAATTTTTAAGTAGATGAGATATTCTGAAAGATGTTCAGCAGACTGTATACTGCCAGCTTTTTAAAGGCATGACTCTTAAAAATTTTCCAATATATTATTGCTTGTATACTCGCGTATCTGTCTTTCAAGTGATCAACAGAATTTTAGATCATTATAACAGAAAAAGACCCGAGAGGCCTATAGCAAAGTTTCACCAAGGGAAAGGAGGGAGAAGCTAAGAGAGAGAGGAAGGTGAGATCAAGTTTGTTGAGTTAAGAAAATAAAAAGACAGGTTTTAATAACCCGGGAAGCTAAAAGACGGTAAAGTGTTTGGCGGCTCTGCAAAGTAAAGGTGAGCTGGAAGACAAAGTTCGTGAAATTGGTATGAAAATTTTGAAAGGGTGAGCACGGGAAGGGTTTCTGGTGTATCTGACGCGTCTCAGGGGACAATAAATTACGTACTCAACACTTACACGTTTAGAATGACAAACCCTTTCGATACCCAGTATTGATTAAACAGCCGACGGTTGAGAGAATAGTTAGCTTGACTCTTAAAAAAATATTCTGTATGTCCCTGGACCCCTTTTTTTTCTTAAGTATTGGCATTCTATTTCAGTCAGCTTTTTCATCCCCAAATATTGCTTAAGGAGAAAAAGGTAATGATAGTGAAGACATGCAAAACGCGGATGTCGTTTACCACGACTTCTGCAGGCAATGCACGTAGAACGATGCAGATGCAAAGGCATTCGCACAAAATACCTCCGTGGATAATAATTGACTTGGCATTCTATAAATGAAACTAAAACAAAGCGCTCACAAACAAAAATGCATACCTGACGTTCAAGAATGCTGCCCATCCATCCGGCCACATCCTCGTATGCCTTCCTACAACAATACTGGGCATATGGCGTCATATCTGGTAAGTCCGGAAGTGGTGTCTCAGGTGTTTTTGTGTTCCTTCGAGAGCTTTCCCAATTACCACCGTTATCCAAACCGCTAGCTGCCGAAGACGATTCGTAAGAAGGTCCATAAGCAGACTTACTACCCGATCGCGGATCTGATCTTGGATCACGATATCGCGAAGTGGTTTGACCCCCTGGCGTCACTGCGCTAGCCTCATACTGATTCGGTGGTGGCGGCGGCGGCGGAGTGGCAACTTGCTCGTGTTGTTGTGGAGGAGGCGGAGGGGGGCCCGTATCAGGCCGATACTTCCGCTCAATAGGTGTGGTTGCCTGGCCTAGGTACGGAAATATCAGAAAACTTAGCAACATCTATGAGGTCTCAATTTAGTAAGATCTATTTTCGCTCTGAAAAACTTTTTTCTTTGTCAAAGCCCATTCGCTCCCAAATAAAAAAAGCTACTTATAAACGAAAATCACAATGGCGTCTGAGAATCACGCAATAAAATAACAGCAAAAGGAAACTCACTATATGACGCTGACACAATGTTTGCTGTTCCATAAATCGATTGCTGAAATGAAAAATTCAATATTACAAGCCAGGTTGAGATATATAAAAAAGTAAAAAAAGCTAGCACCGAACGATCGCTCTTAATTACAACAGAATAATTGCTAACTTTATAAGTTTCTGAAAAAATATATCCCCATGCAGTAAGAATTCGTCAGGGGGGGGGGGGGGGGGTAAGAAAAACATATTTTGTATGGACCGTCAGTGGTAATGGGTTACATATAATGAGATGCAGTTCCAATCCAGGTCCTTTAAAATACAAAACTCTTAAGCCATTTCTTAAAGGCAACATTTTCTTTTGATGCCTTTTATCTTAAAAAGTAAATCCACAATTAGAAAACCTGAAAGCAAATCCATAGATAAATCGTATTTTTATAGGTTTAAATTAAAGCTGGAACGATGAGCTCATTATAATTGCTCTAGCATCCAGCTTCTAGTCATTTACAAAAGGCTGCAGCCAGAAAAGAAAATTTTTTTGGTTATCTTAAGGAAAGGACTTAGCACCCTAAAGAGATTAATAGGCATTGGGTGTGGTTCTTTATTTCCATTCATATCAAAGGCATATATCGAAAACTTTGACTTGGCCTCATTTATAAGTTGTCATGACATTTCATTTCCCTAAGTTGCAATAGATTCTAGATGACACGTACCGCTATTTGCTGTTGCTGCTGTTGTTGCTGTTGCTGAAGAAGCATCGCTTGTTGTAACGGGTGGAGGGTTGGTGTAGGTGACGTCATGACACTACTTTCAACAGATGTCTGAGACAAGCCATAGCTGCTTGAAATCGGGTTGGCCGATGATTGCGAATTGGGTGTTACTGGCTGCACTTTCGGTTCGCTTGAGGAGTAACGATAAAAGTTGGCATGGGCTGATGATGAGAGATGCGAAGATTGTGAACTGATTTGTGCTACTGATGAAACGCCAGGGGAACTGGTAAAAACGTGAGGTGACGTCACATTGTTTCCTGTTGATGAATTGACGTATGGGGAAAGGGAAGAGATTCCACTGTTCGATGGGGTGCTTGGGGGTGATATATCTTGAACACTGCCAATAGGGCTTCCTAAAGGCAAAAAAGTGACATCATGAAAGATTGTAAAAACTTACAATTCGACGTAAAAAATCATTTTCTGCTGAAGATAATTTTACATGCTGTCTTATAGCAACTTTGCAATTAAAATCCATTTTACAATAAAACTCAAACATATTGAGGAGGCCGCAATTGACAAATTATTGAGCAAATGATTCCGGCTGGAGTCGACTGGTTTAATTCTAAACTGTCGGTAAAAATATCCTGATTGGCTTCTGGATAAAATGTGTCATGAGAAAGTCGCGTACACTAACAATATTCGTGTCTGTACAACTTTATTTGCCATATCTCATATGGAATGTAAACGCTTTGAAAAATGGCAAATCTACGAGGGAAAGAAGCTAACTTTTAGTATGCCTTACCGACTGTGTCCGGTGTGGGGCAGCCACTTGACCTACAAAACAAATGATCTTTGTAAAACCTACCAATTTTGTAAAATCTTGGAGCTTTATTGACCTAAATTTGTTGTAGATGATAAACAGACAGTAATCTCATTAAGGTGGGCTTGTATATCGCCTGTGCTTGCAAATCGAGGGCGTCATTCCAGAAAACACGTTAAGATTCTGACTGCTAGGATTTTTGGCCTTTATAAGAAAATACCCCGAGTCCTCGAATAAGCCCCCATCTTCAAATAAGCCCCCCTCCCTCGAACAAGCCCCCATGGGCCGAGATGCTGCCTCGACAGCAAATGGTATATCCCAATATATTAGAATTTTAAAGCGTATTGACCAGCCTCAAAAAGAACAAGAGAATTTGCCCTATTAATATTTTGGCTGCCGCTAGATAGGCCCCCACCTCAAAACATTTTTTGCGAAATAAGCCCCCCGGCGCTTATTCAAGGACTAGCGGAGGGAGGAAGCTGGTAAGAGGAATATACTACAAATCAGAAAACCATTCGAGAAAAAGAAGCCTGATAAATTAGAATCATCAAACAAAGAGACGAAAGGAAATTGCAAAACTAAGGTAAGATAAATGAGACTTTCACTTGGATAATTCTTGACTACCCAAACCAATAACTCATTTTTATGTACATAACAAATAATAGCTTAAATGTGTTTAAAATAGCAGCTAGAAAGGGCTTAATGAATGAATCCAATAATAAAAATGTTAATCGTAATGGCACTCCATCGATTGAATTTTTTGTATCTCTAACTAGATTATGCGTGCCCGAGAGAGCATTGAAATGACCTAAATGCTTTTATAGGGACTCTGCTTTGTAATTTGTTCCGCTTAAAATTTATCGCTTGGAAACTGAGGCTGCAGCTTCAATGGCTCGCCTTTTTAATATATTTTAAAGAGGGTTGCCCTTCAACAAGTTGATTTTCAAGGGACCCTCCGATAAAAAAAGCATTAATGCCCTCGGATAAAAAAACCTCAATTACAATATAATTTAAAAAAGGAAATAGCTATTAATCAAAAAAACTTTAAAACCTTATTTACAATATTTAAAACTTTATGAAGAATGAAGTTCAAAATTACAATGAAAAACAAAAGGAAAAGCAGTATTTCTCCTGAATACTAGAAAGATTAATAGTTTTCCTGAAACTATACAGAGAGGTTGCTGCTTTGGTTCGGTTGACAGGCTATTCCATAGCTTAGCACTTCTATAAGAGAAACCTTTCTGGCCATTGGATGACCTTTTAATCGTTAATCTCAAATCGGTCCCCGTATTACGAAGGCCATATGATGGTCAGAGCGAATTTTGGGTAAAGAGACAACACTGCTATTATGGCGCCAGCTCACTTAGGGACTTGAAGACCATTGTCTTAGATTCGCCAGTGATCAGTTCGTCAACAGTCTTCCATCCCAGCCCTTCAATAAGTGGTCTGCTTGGGGCATCCAAGCTGCTGTTCGTTAATATCCTAGCAGCACGCTTTTGAGGTTTTTGCAACCGATCAATTTCCGTGTAGCCAGCGCACCCCTAGACAGAACAGCAGTATCGAAAGTGGGACTCTACAGTACCTGTATATAGAGTTTGCAAAGTTTCTTTCGGAAGAAAGGATTTGACATGTTTTAAAAATCCAACTGCCCCCGAGACTGGCAGAAACTTCCTTGATCTGCTCTTTCCAATCCAAAGAACAGTCAATATGCAAACCTAGGTATGTTGTGTTTTTGATTACTTCGAGCTTATTATCACATATTTTCAGTTTCAAGTGTTCATTTTGACTCTTGAGAATGTTGTTTTTCTGCTTGGTAGAAATAAGCATAGAATGGTTTTTGCAACGTTCGGGGAAAGCTTGTTGCCTTGTAGTCAAGTATCCAGTTTCCTGAGATCGCACAAATTGGCATCATTAGCATACATGGACACAGTAGAATATTGGACTGCTTGTGGGAGACCATTGATATGGACAAGAAAGAAGAGAGCCAAGACAAGAATCCTGTGGAGCACCAACTTTTATGTCCCCAATTTAGAAATCAACCCCTTTTACTCTGCAAAATTGTTTCCGGTTTGTTAGGTAGGATTTAAACAACAGAGCTCGCGTTGTTGTGCACCCTAAAGCTCGAGCTTTTTACAGAGAATGCTACAAACATTATTGTAGAAAAAATGTAACACGGATACTTAGCATTGAGATTATTTACTGGATTAACATCATGACCACCATGTCATTTCTGTCTCTTTAAAGAACTCAACTGGTCTCACCTGCTAGACGTTGTGCTGACAGCAGAAGTACTAGAGCCATGAGTCTGCACAATTTTAGGCCGGTCAATTTCTGCGTATTCATGATTTCTTCGGGCTTGGCTGTTTCCTCTACCCTGTGAGTATTCTTTCTTGAAAGGGGCTAAGGACGAAAGAATACCGTAATTTCATTTATAGTCTTAAAGAGTTAAATCGCCTAAAAGAAACGCACGATTTGCCTTTCGAACTACATTAAGCATCTTTTAATTTTCCATGGATCCCTCTATCAGTGCCGAACCAAGTCGCGGGCGACATCAAAGGGAATTTATTTATATCCATCCAAATTACACAAAAGCAACAAAAAAATTATAGTACTGTAGACAAATGAGAATTGTATTTGGCTAGAACACAGGGGCATCTTTTTTTCTAAAAGTTCTTAAAACTAGCGCATTTTCATGTGAATTAAAACTAAATCTTTGACCAGGTTCGACTGATAAAGCAGATATTTCATTCATAAATGTACTGGTGGTTTGTTCATTTGTGACAATTTGCCTAAAAGGGTGCTGTGTTTAAGTTCCATCTTGATCACGTGTAAGTTAAGGTTAATCTAGGTACGGCCAATAGAAATCGTTTTTGGAATTCAAATAGACGAACAGTAATAAGAAAAAGCTACTTATGCGGATTATTTGCAAAGAATTGTTGAAAGCCAGCTTTCCATCGTGTGTTGCTTTCTCAGCCACTAAGTTCGAATTAGCGTAATGTAACAGTAAACTAACAGAAGGCACGCTGGTGGGTGTGACCACATTGACCAGCATGGTCAAAAGTTCTTAAGCGAGAGCAACGCAACAGGGAAACGCACGTGGAATAAAATCAAAGACAACAAACAGAATACGTTATGAAAAGCACAATGTAGTCTGGAAAACTAATCCTGGTTAGAGATTAAATTTAATACGATGACCAAGAAACGTTTAATCTCCAGGATGCAAATATATTTTTGACAATGCAGATGAAAGGTCAGTGAGATGACAAGTCTTGTAGAGCGAGAGAAACTATTGGCCTGAGAAAAAGGGCTGTCCCTCTTTTAACAACATGTATATTCTTAAACCCTGTTAACAAACACTAAAACTCCCTTTATTGCAACTGACCCAGTTTAAGCGTTTAAGTTTCACTTTTTGGCATAAAACCTGGTCACCAAAAAAAAATGTAAATTTTTTTGTTTGGAGAAGTGTATTGCTCCTTAGGTGAAACCATTTTAAGTGACATTATACAACATTCAGTGGATTATGGGCCTAACTTTGTGTGGCGGTAACCACAAAACCACAAAGAAAGCTAGAGGGTAGACAAAGGCGAGAAAAAAAACAATTTTCTGAAATCTAGATTTTGAAAGTACCGTAAATCCTCGAATAAGCACCCGGACGCTAGTTTACTTTTTGAGCATTAAAGGGAGCGATTGTTCAAGCGGGGGGCTTATTTGATTTTTTTGGATATCAGAGCAATTCAAGTAAAGACAAAGAAGTAAAAGAGGGATTTCAGTAGAAATTTTTAGTAAAAGAAAACGTTAAATTGGTCTGGTGGTTCCAACCAAATGCAAAGCAATGAAGAACGACAAAAAGTTTGCCGAAATTTTGATGGAGAGGCTCGAAGATAAAAAGAAGAAAGCCGTCATTATATACTTGAGAGCGTGTTAAGAAAGTTTCCTTGTCATGAAAACAATTAAAATAAAGACCGACGAGAAGGAAAACTAAAACAAACTTTGCTAATAACATCTCAGAAACTTCTGTAAAATAAAATTAGAAAACGCATCAGAAACTCGTTATAAGCGCCCGTTTTCTAAGGTGGAAGTAGCGGGCGTTTATTCCAGGAGGGGGAGCGGCTTGTTTAAAAAATTTTCCTGACAGGATTGGCGATTATTTGAAGTGGCGCTTATTCGCAGAGTTACGGTATACTTAGGCCGGCTGCTTTCACATGAAAATCTCACCAGTCGGTTTCCGTTTTGAGGTTCGGATGGATTCGAGTCATAATTTGTTCATAATCAAGGAAAATAACTTTTGACTCAAGTTTTAGAACCGCCTAGCCAACTGCGCTACCAATCACTATTCTTCGGAACTATTTAATGCCTAAATACAAATGCCTACAATTTCTACATACTATATAAACTTACAAAATAAGATGCCGTAATTGAGAAAACTTACAGAGCTTGGCATACTTGGACTGCTCCCTTGACTCCCTGTTGCTAATTTCCCGAACTCTCTTGTCTCTTTCCCTCTCTCGCTCCCTTTCCCTATCTCTGTCTCTAACTCTCGCCTTGTTCTCCCTGGAAATAATAAAACGACACCTTCAATGAGTCACAGTGTCTAAAACATTCCCAAACTCAGAAAACTTTAACTCTGATACCTTCAGATATATAGAGGATCTTTACATAATCCCTTCAAGCTGCATCCCGTAACATTGTGCAGCAGTAACATAGTGAAGAAGTAGATAGTTTGCATTCATAATTTATACGCTTGCCATTAATACAGGTCTACTCTTAGTGTCCATATATAATAAAAGCACAATGCCTCGTAAGACTACTACTGTCCATATCAACGGTCAGAATTGAGAAACCGGAACGCGGAGCACCGATTGGACATAAAACAAGAGCTTATTTTATAACTCAACCACTAATGAATTAGCTGCTCACCGTTGTCCTGTATATAGGACTGGTTTCGTATCGGATTACTTTAAATACTATATAGCCGTTTTGTTCACACGACAACGCCTGAATCCGCTACGCCCCGTATCGTTTATTTTCAAAAGAACTTACTACGATGTGAATGTGGTATGGAACCATATCAGTTGATTTTTTGGCTAGTATGAGCCTTTGAATCTAATATGATTTCCCTCCGGAATCTTTTTTGTCCTAAAATGTGCGCCGCGGCTTTACAAACAACAGTCATGATCTGCAATGCAGAGCGTTGCTTTGCTATGTGGGCAGAAGTTACAATTTAATCCGTTACTATTTTCATTTCCTTTTATTTTTCATATAAAAAAAATTACCCTGGCAAAAACGTATTTTTGTATAAATTGCTTGTATTACCTAAACATTACAAAATATATATATATCAATATAAAATTATATAAAATTTTCATAATAAAACTACCAAAAGTAAAAAATAGCCATTATAATCTTACAGAACTGAGTCTAAATTGATATCTTCACAGGGACACAGTGCAATTAGTCACCAGCGATGTCAGTACTACGCTCCGGCACAGAAGTACAAAGGAGTGCTGTTTTCAGCTTTAATGCTGGGCCATTCAAAGCAGTCACTCACCTTTCAATCCATTCCTTTGGCTTTTCCCACTGGGACCACTCTGTTCTTTTGTTGTAATAATAAGTCTTGCCTGATGAGCTTGTGTGCATGGTCCATTCAAAATCGTCCTGCAAATACATGCAGTCAAGCAACAGCTTTAGTTAATTCTATCGTTTGTTGTTTTGATATAAATCATTTTTTATGTGAAACAAACAGTTTATGGAGAAGCATTTTATTGACATGACTGTGCAAACTTGGTGAATCATGACAATGCAGTTCAATATGAAATATAATTTCAATTTCGAAAATCCAACAAAGATTTAAGAAAAATATTTTGGATACTGTGAACAGATGATAGATAAACTTATGAAGCCACAAGACAATGCAAAAAGCTACAGAAAAATCCTTTTAAATTTTATCTAATATTCTGATTATTTCAGTGTGATAATTTACCCAAAAGAGTAATGAAGTCGATACTTGTCTTTTCAGGCCAAAAATAGGAAATTTTTATATCTAAGTCAGTAAAACAAATAAAATTTAATAAGAATTGAATTCTTACACTAGTATTGTTCTCATAACTTTTTCCATAACGAGAACTGCTACTGTGTCTATCAGCAGAAGGACTATCATGGTCTACACAAGAAAAGAGAGATCCCAGATGAAAACATGTGTCAAGAAAAAAACAAAATTTGAACACATAGGAGGGGATGAGCTTAAGGCAAAAAGGGGCATTTCTGCAAATAGGTATATACTGCACTTCTCTTTCGGAAAAGTGGGGGTTCCAACATCTATTACTGAATTTATTGACACGTAACGTCTTTTTAAAGTTAGAAGAATGTGGCAGGATAATTTTTTCTTCACAAAGGCAGGTGTTTATTTCGAAATAAAAATCACTTTCATGTATAAATAAGATGAGGTACAAGCTTCCCCTTTAACCCCTTTAATGAATGCATCTTCTGTTTGGATTTATTTGGGTCAAGGGGAGAAGAGGCAAAAGTGTTCCTTGAGGTTGATTGTTTGTTCTTCTCAAATAAAAACATAATTAACATTTACTATTCAACTGTTAAGATTAACAGCCAGAGGCATCATTAATTTTATGGCAGATATGTAACCAAAATTCTGGCAAAAGGATGTGTCAAATATTGTCATGTTATGAGTTTATAAACAATAACAAATATTGAATTTATAAAAAGGGACTGTAAATGAAAACACTTGTAGCGCAAATAATGTGTATAATTTAAAACTCAAAGATTCCATAACTATACTATATTGCGTGCGGTACAATATAAAGCTATAATAACGATCAATGTAAGTAAATTTTTCCTGGTACAATTTACTTACATTGATCTTTATTAAAATTCTAAACGCAATTTGAGATGATGCTTAGGGGGACAGACACTTATCCTAGCCTCTTAGCCCCACCATACCATAGTTGATGAGCAAAATACAAGTTATAACAAGACTGATCAAGTCAATGTTATAACAAGACTGATCAAGCAAGGTAATTTTTTCGTGTTAATTTGTAAGACTTGAAATTCAACTGATGGAAATCACTAAAACCAGCTTTATTTCTTTAAAATAATGCTTGAACATTTACTTATTAACATCTAATCTTTATTTTAATCTCTATCCTTTTATCTAATGATCTTTGATTCAATTCTTGATTTTTTGAAGACTCATCATAAAACATGTGAAAGGGACCCTTAAAGCTAGGTTATTCTGTTAGACTTCTCCATGTAGACTTCCTCTTTTAACAATGAATGGGATCAAACTAAAAGCCATAGAAAACAGTTTTTTTCTTCTTACAGATTTCTGAAATCTGGTAACTGGGAACAAACCACACTCCCTAGGAGGTATTCTTCACAAATCCTGGAATTTATGATTAATGAAAATGGAAAGACATTTAAAACAACAAAATAATGGCATTTTTAATGATATATGAATACATTGAAGATTAGATATGCACCCATGAGCAATCTTTGATTAAATACCAAATTTATTACAGAGTTACAGATAGTATACCCGGTCAAATATGATTCAAAATAAAAAACTGTTCACCAAGGCTACGCACAACAGGAAGATTTCTTATTTCTGTTTAGCATGTGAGCATGAATTGGATTGCATGAATTAAAAAATCAAAGACAAACGAAAAATAAACTAGACTTGACTGAAGGACATGATTAAAACTGAATGACAAGCATATGAGATACATGTAAAGAAACTAATATAGAATGGAAATTTAGCCATGAACCCTTTTGAAACTACAGAGTAAGTTGATTTCAGCAAACTTCTATTTTGCAAGCTACCTTAGTTCTTCCATTCTTTCAAAAACTGGGAACTTTCTGAACAGGAATGCCTTTACAAAACAGAACAACATTGTATCTTTACACTGAAATATGCTTTAGATTACAAATAAAACTTCTAAAGGCTATTAGAAAATAGATTGATGAGATTTCTCTAGTCAAAAAAAATTATTCATGCTTTTTTAAACATTTATTCAATCTGTTATTCTGCCACAGAAAAACATACTTCAAACAAAATATCTACCTCTTTGCTTCTGTCCACTACTTGAATGGGACGACTTTGAGCTGTTTTTGTTTTGGGTTGAAGTATAATCGAGTCTTTTGCTTGCAGGGCCATTATAGTTGCCATGAGGAGAGCTTCTTTCCTTTGATGACACCAAGTCATTGTACACGGCTTTTTGATGTGATTTTGAAAGATACTTATCATTCTGTAAGCAATGAAAATCAATGATGCAATGAATTGAAGCTGGCATTTTTACAGACAAAACGACAATATTAATTGGCTAAAAGAAAATTCTGATACAAAACCATTTGTTGACATACAAAGCTGGTTCAATTTCCAATTAGAGTAGATATAGATTAATTTAAATCTTTAAATCTTAAAGGTTAGAGATACTGGAATATTAAAAAATAATTATAACAGAACAAAATGTAATTTTACAACACTAGGCACATAATAAGACCAGCAAATAGATGAGATAAAAAGTAAAAGCTATTTTATTGATCAATCAAATAAGACAAATGGCCAATTCCTGGACAACAACCAATGCTTTGTTTTCATATAAACAAGGGGTGTTTGAAAATGCACAAAATACTTGTCTAAATCTTCAATTAGTGATTAGTTCAGCCTTTTTTCTAATTCATGTAAATATGAATGTAAGCAAACACATTGGTCTGAAAAACAGAACAAAACTGTGATGATGTTTTTGTATTTGAATGTATGAAGACAATTTGTAATAAAGAAGTATAATTTAAGAAAACTTTTGTGTGTTAATCATCCACAATCCATGCCAAATAGCTAAGCCTTGACATGATGGCTTCACAATCAACCCCCTCTCCCTACACAATGTAGGCTTCCTTACTCTGTGCCTCTGTACACATTTGAATCATTCAGTGGAAAATGTTCTATTTTTTGGCCATAAAATCATTAAATAAAGAAAACTGATTATAGGGAATGGCAAAACATCAACGAAAAATTTTCACTTTTAAAAAAATGTACAAAATGTTTTAAAGGATGGCAGTTACTCTGCCTAGTCTTGGATGACTTTAAAAAACATCTAAAAGGAGAAAATAAAAAAAAAGCAATTTCGTTATTTCTAATAACCCTAGTACTTTTCATGAGAAACTGCTTTCACCAATTCAAAACTACATACTGTCAGAGGAATTCAACAGTTTTTTTTCAAAGCAACATTAGTTTTGATGTTGATATTCTTATCAGAGATTTTTGAATTTCATAAATTTAATGTTTATTTGGATGATGCAAAAATGTTTTCAAAAGAATGATAAAAGCAACTAGCAAATGAAAAAAGAGGTGATATAATGAACAACTATCCGGTTAATGTTTCAAGAGAAAAGCATAAATTGTCATGAAATGAGACTAATTGCAAATTTTGAATAATTCAATGTCTGTGTAAACTTTAAATGAATTGACCAATCCTACTAATAATTAGCATAAATGCAGGAACAATGAAAAATGTCTGTTAAATGAAAAAACAATAACTGAACATAAAACATTATAATTTAAAATGTGCCAAAAAGTCATACAACAACTACACTTAAAGTAAATTACAACATGTTACAATACATCACAATGCTACAAACCATATCAAAACTTCCTTGAATGAAGATTGAATGAGTTAACACACATAACTGGATGCATTGTGTCAATGTAATTGTTCAAATAGCTTTTTACATACAGTTATATGAAAACTATGATATATAATTAAATAAAAAATCACATTAGATAAAAATCTGATTAATAATATTTTTTGTACTAATAATTTCTAGCCAATCAAGAGTTGTATTTCTATAATTCTTACAATGAAGCTTGCAACAAAAGTCAGACATGCGGTACTTCAATGATATCACTTCAAATAAGATGCAATATACCCACTGAATATGATGACTACCATTAAAAAGAATAAACCAAAGTCACTTTGCTACTTTTGGATACTTTGTAATTCTGTGACCAGTACAAGTTAAAAAGTGAGCAAAAAAAGGGAAATTCATACTGAAAAGTTGCATGTCATGAAAAACAACACTTGAAATCTAGCACATCAAAAGTATAAAACGTTTTAACCCAACTACCATCAAAATCCCATTTTCAACAAATTTCATAATTTGACAAACTATATCAGATTATGGTTTGTCATATTATATCAGATTATATAAACATTTAGGGAAAAAGTCTGGCTTTCAATGGGGTTTGATTCCAAATTGTTCAACCAAACAAGGTAGATTTTAAACTGTTTGGAATTTCATTCAGTATCTTAAAAAAACATTTTGCTATTGCAAGGGAATCATTTCGTACAAAGCACAGTTATTAGCATGAAACTCACTGGTGAAGGGTGAAAAAATCATACAATATCTGCAGAAACATATCAACAAAACTCAACTGAAAAGTGATAAGAGTCCAATGACTGATTTACATTTGAACTCAAATAATAGCACAGAACTGTGTCAATAAATGAGGATTTCTACTTAAATTAAATCAGTTATCTTGAAGTACTTATTATAAGGTTGCTGCTTCTTGAATTTTCTTAACACCTGTATATAAGAACTTACATTCTTTATTTCAATCTGAATTGGCTCTTATATCATTGGGGTGTTAGAAAAATTAGGCTTTTTGGGCCTTATCTAAGATTGTTTTGAAAATTTTAGCTCAGTTGATACTCTATAAACAACCCCTTCAAATGTTTTCATCTTGAATTAAATATAGCATAGTTCAAAAAGCTAGATACACAGCCTACACAACTCATGACACTGAATTATATCAGCTTTTTAGAATATGCAGACCAAAACTGCAATCAAAATTTGCACTAGCAATAGAAAAGCAACCTTAAGTTGAAAACTTTCGAAATTTTGGGTTGACAAATTGAAGTTCAGGATGCCTGAGATAAATTGTTATTTAACATTAATCTTATAGGTTAGATAGACTGTCATTATCCTAATTAATAAAATATTGGATGCTTCTTAACATTTGGGTTTTTAGCATTGATACGAAAATGTACTTTCAAATCATTTACATTGAATGAGACAGCAGTTTCAAGTTCCTATTCAATTTGTGTTTACCATACGTGCATTCGTAACAGATAGGGTTGATAAAAAAATGCCACCCAATTCTACATTAAATGCTTAAACAGAAAACAGACCTCTTCTCAAACAAACGACATTTTAACCAATCTTTCAGCACATGGTACAAAATCCTGTCGACCATTGACACCTGCCTCCAAAGTTTGGCTAGGCCGATTTTACAAATGAGCATAAGGCATCGAACGATATAACTTCAAAACAAAAAATAAGACACTCCATGCTTCTAAAAAAATACTAATACAAGGAAACTTATATTGTGATTACTAAAACACATCGTATATTGAAAATGCATCTTTTGGCACGGCGCATACACGGCTCAGCCAACGCGGATTTAAACTTGGCTGACCTGGTTTGCAGGGAAGCAAAACAACCGAGCTTTATTCAAACTCTTCATGATAGCGCGTCGGTATTAACCAAAATGTTTTTCCTTTTTTACTTTTTTCTTGATGCCTGCTTTCTCGTTCATTCTATGATAACTTACCATTCGGATAATCGAATTCCAAGACATTCGAAGGGCCGTTAAAAACAACCATCTCCCTGCATATTAAGCGAAGTCATTGCATTCAAAACAAAGCAATTTACAGCAGCATATGCTAAAACTATTCATAAGACTTACCTCATTTGTTAGGCATATCTTTTCGTAGTGCCTGCGTATTAAGAGGAGGAAAATGAAATTAAAAATAGTCGTTATACAACCAATTCAGCATTGTAAGATGAATTAATAACAAAGAAAGAAAAACCTCCCCTTCAACACCCAGAGAATAAAAAACAGAAGAAATGCACAAATACAACATCTACAGACTTGTCAGCAAAATCTTTAATTCAACATTCTATTTCAAGAAGACTTCACAAGTTATTTTTTTGCATTTCTGGGTCTGTGTGCCATATTTTTGGTGGGCTAACTCACAACAGAGGAACATAACAGACCCTAACCCTTCAGACTGCCGATTGTACTTTCGCACAGACATCAAAATTGCCAGATTGGCGTCTTCTGACAACAGCGTAGCAACATAAAAGCAGAATTTCTGTCTTGATCTTTCTTTTAGAAACGTTGGAACACCACTAGAAATGCATTCAGCAATCGACCTGTCGCCATACTTCATCCGGGATCTTCATTACGTCTTAGTGAGGCCTCGATTGAAAACTTTCGATTTCTTTTAAGAAATTTCCTTCACAGGGGCGACTTGAAATCGAGACACGCCTCACGAGACACAGTCAGGTTATGGTTCCTGGGCTTGTGCCACGCCTCAAGGCAGGGGTGTAGTGCTAGGGGGACTGAGCTTCCCTCGTTGATGTCGAAAATTGGCAACTTTCTACTTTTGCTATTGTATTTTGCAACATTCTGTGCAAGAATCCCCCTTGCTATTTTAATAGGACTACATCATTGTCTCAACAACTTTTTGTGATAACTGCGTACGATCAAAATCCAATCGAAATATATTACCTTCTCCAGACGAATTTATTGACTGAGTACAAAATTGGACAGCATTATTCTGAAAAAGAATCTTGAAGCAAAATGGCTGACTTTGTACATCCAAATTCAGTTTCAATACAGGTTGTCATTCAGTTTGTATTCACGTTTAGCATGCCCAGATATTTTATTTAACGTTTTCAATGAATACCCTTTACTGTCTAGGCATGATTCAGATTCTGATTTTATTTCCCATTCAAAAACCTATTACATGATTTTAAATGTATGCTTACCACGCTACTAGTGAGAATCACATGCTGGATTGGTTACGAAGATCGTTGATACAAAGTGATAGTGATAAATTCTTATGATTTTGTTATGAATGAACCAATTCTATTATGCATAATTTATTGAGTAAATTATTAGCCTTAAGAACCGGTGCGTAACAATGCAGCAGATTAATAAGAGAAAAACCCGAGCCACTAAAGGTGACACAATCGACAATTCATTTACAGTGGAGCAAATTTTCACAGCCAAAAGATTAAAATAACCACCATTATCTTATTGTTCGAAACAATTCATTTTTTAAGTGCAATATGAACAAAAAAATGGGTAGAAATTAATAGATCTTGATTGAAAAATATCATCAGACTAGACATTTACGTAGAAATTTAAAACATACCATGCAGTTCACAAAAGGGGAAAGAATGAAGATTAGTGTCAATTAATTCGTCAATTCTTATTATAAGTTTGACAACTTAAGAACTAAAATACCAGACGAAAGTCTTGGAACAAAAACAGTATTTTTGTCGCTCATATTAGCAGTTTTCCCTCTCTCCTTTAAAAATGTTGGATTATTCTCTATAGAAATACACCCTTTGAATTTAACTGTAAATGTTGAAAAAAATGTGGTGCAACTCCAACTTTGTTTTGGGGAAAAGGGGCAACTTAAGTGTTTCTTTAGGCGAGAATAGAAGTTTATCGGGAATTCACCAAAACTGCTCGGGCGTTGCAAGTACTATTGGCAAGCGTTGAAATACTTGGGACACATCCAAAAATTTTTTTGAACAGGTTTTATCTGCATATCCGTATAGAAATCCAAGAAGTGTTCACAGTTGGGGTCATGTGGAAAATCGCCAAAAAGGGGCCCATCAGACCTTTAAAAATGGGGTTTTCCTTTATATCCCCGTAACCGTGGAATCGAAGCAAAACTGGTCAGGGAGAGAGGGCTCCCTGTTAACCACAGTAGGCAAACTGTTTTAAAGAAACTCCATTAACTAGTTTTCTCAAATAAAGGAACTATTCTAAAAGGATTGGATGTTCATTAGAATCTAGGGAACTGCTCGCATTTTGTCACTTGAACATTATAAGTTCTGATTTGATTTCGATGAATTATAAACATCAGAACTTATAATGTTATATTGAATTATAATCCTTTTGGATCTTTTAATAAATGTGAATTACGAAAAATTCATACTTCATCTGCTTACACTACTGCACATATTCTACACAAAGGACATCAGAGTATGCAAAGCAGGGAATGAGGGATGATGCCAGAAGCCTTTAGTACAACCAATGACTCAAAAAACCTTCGCTCATTACACACTCTAAAGCAGCTTTCTATAAAAATGACTGTGCTGTGTATGTGTATCAGTAATGATATCAAGATAGGAATGGACTTCAGTTTTCTAAAAATATATGCGATGTAGTCTGTTTGATACATTATTTGAGAAAATCTTGAGAAACTTCAGAAAAAAGAGAAAATAGAACAAATTAATTGCTATGGTACTACAAATATGATATCTTTTACTGAAACCAGTAGGTCCCTGTACAATGTTGAGCTTGGTTAAATAAAACTTTCATTAAGATAATGTTAGATAAGAAACTTCTTAGCCTTAAATGTCCTATCTTTTCATGAACTGGGAAACTGAAAACATATCCACGGAACATAGCTGAAATTTTACTAGCAATTATTGCCTTCTGCAAAAGCGGGACACTAGCTTATCAATATATAATAACATTAGTCTTGACAAAACAGAAATCAAATTCAAGATTCGTTATTTTAAAGGAATTGCATTGAATTTCGAAATGTGCGAAATGAAAATGCAGTTCCACTGTGCTCTCTTGACAGCTTCTTGGAACTTTCACTTGGCATCGCTTCTACTTCATATTCTTCATAAAATTGTTTGAATTCTCCGCAATGGTCAAATAGTTGAATTGGCCAGTTGAAACATAATTGCATGCATCCAGATGATAATTGACAAAACGTCATTTTTATTATTGTATAAAATTATAGCGCACTGAAAAAAAAGAAAGTAAAGGTCAGTATTCAAGCTTTAAATAGAAAAAATATGTAAACAAATTAAATGGTAATAATAAATGTGAAAATAAAACTAAGAAAAAGTAATAATCAAAAAGGACCCGGCGAGATAGAAAAAAACACAGCTTTGTTAGAGACCTATATAAATGTTTGTTAAGGTTTATGTAAGTATTATTCAGATCCTGAAAGTTAAAAAGCAACAAAAACAGAACATTTTGCTTGATGTATTTTGAAGTTCAATCTTATGAGGTAAATATCTTTGGTTTTTAAAGCCATTCCAACTCTAATTTTTCTGGATCTTAAAAGAAGAGTTTTCATTTGCCACAACAGTACCCAAAATATTCTCGCAGCATCCTTAATAGCAACATTCGTTTGTCTCAACGATTGGGTTAGATAGCCTATATAAGGTAATAATTACGTTCTTTGCAAAACCTTTTGGCACTGTGCCAAAACATGAACAAGGATGATACAAGGCCAAGGCTGACAATCATTTTTCATCCGAAGTGAGAATGCATACCTTTGGAAAATACTGTTCTTTACACTTCCCATCCTACCTCCTCATAAGCTCTGTAGAATTAAAAAAGCTTGTTTTTGACAAGGCAGTTTGCAGGTAAATTCGAGGCAAACAATTGTCAGCTTGCACATGTAGCTTGCACGTGAAAGAGTTTTATCAAGAGGCCTTGACATTCTTTTCAATGAAAACCATGTTTTTATTTACATTTAAAAAGAAAAAAAGAAAATCGGTTTGTCGATTGTACCTGGTTCTCGGTGATTTCGATGGCGATCTTGATCTATCCTTCGCTAAAAATAAATGAATTGCCTAGGGTCAAAAAATGTGTCACACATTTGATACTAAATAGACAGAGATATAAAAGAATTACTCTTAAGACAACCTAGAATATTATCTGGAAAATATATGCAATTATGCATAAAAAACTGAAAGCACAAATTGCTCCATTTTAAGGAAGACAGCAAGAACAAACAGTCATAAAATATCTTCGAGTAAAGACTCAAATCTTAGTGAAATTTTTAACATACAATAAAGTGTTGGTTAATAGTTGAAAACATAAAAACCAAAGTAAATTACACATAACAGCTTGTTAGAATTAAGAAGCTAATTAGCAATGGAAAATGAAAGGAAGTCTGTTTTTAAACAGGTTTTCAATACGAACGAATCTTACAAATAAGAAAACATGCTAAAATTGAAAAGTAAGTTTCATAATTTCAGTGAAGACTTTGAGAAGACAACGTATACAAGGACTGTACACATAAAGCCAGAAAGAAACAGTTAAACGTTCTTCATTCCCCCTGATTTACAGAACAGCAAACGAGTTTTGGCTCACTTGCTTCTACAGATTAATGCTTTGGCTTAGAATCTGTATCCTTAGAAATTCCTAATTAATACAAAATATTACAAGGAAAATGCTCAAAAGGAAAAAGTTAAAAAGGAAAATGCTCAAAAGGTAAAATACTAACGTCCATAGGAAGAGGCCTTTGGCGACGGAGTCCGCTCTCTGGGATGATGATAATCATTTCTTGGGCTGAGGAATGTAAGAGACGGGGGTAAAATGGCGTTAGAAGCAAGGGCGTGGCTTTAATTAACACTAAAAGGATCTCACCAAACATACAAGCTCTCTCCCCTCTTGATATCTCATCAACATGAGTGCTAGTTATGACAGCAAAAAAAACGCTGCATAATATTTTACCAATCAAAACTTTACTGAACTGATGCTCGTGATTTTGAAGCCTGTTAACGAAACAATCATTAGCCGAAACCTCAACGGGGAGGTAGTTACCTTCGACTTTGTGGCATGTCCCACGCCAAATCGTTTCCAAATATCTTGAAATGTATGTAAATTTCATCTAGCACTAAAAACTTTAACTAACGAGCAAATAAAAATTAGAAAAAAGACGTAAGAATAATGTACTAGCTTTTTTGCAGCTTAGCGACATTGCAGCTTTGTTGTGAGGATAAAAACAAGATTGGATAATAATTTTTCTTTTTCTTACCGATACCGTATTTTTCTCTGCAATTCATAGATATCATTATCCCGATCCTAGAAAAAATTACAAGTTTTTTACATTCAAGTCCAGAATTAGAAATTTGTTACCATTATTGTGATGATTGTACCCTGAGGAATACTTGAGTGTGTGTTACCGATGAAGAATTATGCCCGAAACATTCTATTGTAACATTTATGGCTATACACACTTTTTTTAATAATCATCTTCGAGTTTTTCTTTTGCGATTATATAATAATGACAATAATCCGATCAAATATACGATGCTAGTGGCTGAATAGAAACATTGACAAAAGAGGCAAATATGTGACAAAGAGGCAAATATGTGACAAAAGAGGCAAATATGTGACAAAAGAGGTTGAATAATTTCACATTCTAGAAAAAAGGACATCCCACTGAATTGTATATCTAAGGAATTATAGTCGCACGTACAAGCTACGGACATATTTATGTTATAATGTTCGATTTTTATCAAAGCTTTTATGTTGTCTATAATTTAATTAATCGTTATCCCATCTCTCCTTTACTAGATTCAACTTCTGGATCAATTTCTCTTGGCTGCACAGCCCTATCATTCATTACCATGGTTTATTGCATCAGCTTGGAAACACATGGCTTTCGACACACCTGTAACCATTAGTTCCAAAACAGTTCGAGGAACATTCAAATCTTCTGATTGGATTTAAGCGCTATAGAAGTGAATGGCAAGAAATCTCGCATAAGCCAATGAAAAAGTAAACCAGCTTATAACAAAAGCTTTTTGCACTTGAAAAATCCAGTCAATGAAAGTAATATGATAATAACTGCTTAGACAGGTAGAGAGAAAGGGATTTTTGGTTTTGAGAACACAGCTTACAATTTAAACGAAAGTCTGGGTGTTTTGACGAAAGTCGGACAGAGTTATTCAGGGATGTTCAAGGTTTAAAACGCATGCAATGTGAAAGGTTTTTTGCAAAGAGATTAAGAGCTTTATCATATTTTTCACTTCCCGGTAAAATATTTCTTATGCTAAAATATCCGGCACCTCACTGGTTAACCAGGAAGATTAGAATGGAAGATTCAATGTAATATGGGCGATATAAAAATTTCTTAAAAATGGCCAATCTTATCGATTGAAAAACTTCAAATTCTTACCATTCTTTCTTTTTCCTTGTCATCTTTCTTTTTTCTCTCAACTTGCTTATCCTGTTTTACTAGAAAACAATTGGCAATGTAAATTCAAAGCTTTTAGAAGATGGGGATGGATATAACGTGCATAACACAAGTTTCTTAAAATCAAAACATTGTAAACAATTGCCTATTGGATAAAAACAATTGCCTACTTAATTTACCACCTCTCATTAAGACATTAAAATTGTACATACATGAGTTAAAACAGCTAATATTTTTGCTTAACGATATACTCTTATATTGTACGGCTTAGGCGTCGGGATACTAAAGTCTCGATTCTCATTCGAAAATATTACGTCAGTGAATATTAGTGAGTGGTGATTTTGATATGGTGAATGGAGCAACTAAAAAGCTCTGTTCATAAATACTTTCAGTGCAACAGCTATGCATAAGCGAGAGAAATAACTGAAATAAGCCACTTCATGCTCTATATAAGCAATATCTTCAGCCACATTCTCAACTTAAGCAGCATTTCATCTGTCAGTAAACTTTGTGAGTACAAAATGCTTCTCTAGGTGTACTGGTAGATAAGTACTTGGTTTCAAAGTCAATACTAGACAGCGACCAGTCATTCACAGACTTTATCAGTGCAAACAGAGGCTTAATTACAGTAAAACCTGGACCTACAATTATGACGCCAGACACCGCATAAAAGAATAGGTTTTAACAGCGACTTGTAAATATTCAAACTTTGCAGTAGATTAAGAAACTCACTTTGCTTGCTGAGCTGCTTTTGCATTCGAAGCTTTAGCCGCTCTTGAGGTGTGAGTTTTGGCTAAAATAAAGACGATTTCATTTTATCTAGACGTATACTGCCTTAATTAAATATTCCACGAGAAATTCCACAAAGACAAGGCTTTGGCTCCTAATCAGTGCCTACCCACTTGTTCTTTTCTGTTCTTATGCAACACATCGCGCCTACGCAACAAGGTGTTATCTGTCCTTACGCGACAAGCTGTACTCACGAAAAAGGCCGTCATATCTTCTGCTACGTGTTTCAATCTACATATGGTTGCTGCGGAATTCTTAACAGAAATAGCTATAACAAAACCAGGTAGAACTAGTCTTTTTAGACGAAGCTGAGGATACTGCTTCGCAACATCAGTTTGCATCAATTACAAGACACTGAAAGCTTGTTTTACCTTTTCACCAGTCGCTATTGTTCCCGGAACCTTTTTGGGTCCTCTGTTTAGCAAGGAAAATAAACGAAAAAACAGAATTAAACTAAACCATTGTAAGGAAGCAATATTTGCCAGCATCAATAAAATACAGAAACATATTGGGTAGAAACAGAAACATACTGTTATTTTATTGCAGTGCTACCTGCTAATTTTCAATACTACGACCTTATTTTACAGCATCCTGGATATGACTAAAAAGACTTTGATCATCAGTCTTGAGACTACCAATTGAATGCTTTAGAGGCTACAATAATATTGATGTTATGCCAACAAATAAACAATAAACTGAAAAAGAGTATCACAAAGCAAAATATATGGTAAAAACTCACTGGGACTCTAATTTCCGTGTTATAGAATGAGTAGATGGCCTTGGCGACCTCGATCTAGACCGTGATCGCGACCTCGATCTTGATGATGACGAAGATCGCGATCGTTCTGAGCCCTTCTGTACACGCTTATCGCCACTTGAGTTTCGTCTTTTTTTATAGTTATCCTCGTGTGACCTTGACCTCGACTTTGACCTTGACCGAGACCGCGACCTTGAGTGTGACCGACCTCTGTGATGTGATCGAGAGCGCGACCTTCTTGATGACCTCGACCGATGCCTCCGCCTTGATCTGGACCTTGAACTGTGCCTTCGTCGGGAACGAGAATGCGACCTGCTTCGAGAGCGATGACCTCTTGAACTTCTATCCCTGGATCTACTACGGTCGCTATGCTTTCTATGCCGATTAGACGTGTGACTTGTCGTGCCATCCCTACCTTCACGTCTGTGTTCTTTGCTAGAACTGCTTTTCTCTCTGAAGTGCGCGGCCAAACAGAGAAGTCGGAAACAATTTAAAATTTAACATAAATAGAAGTTCAATAAATACATACCAGTGAAGAATTTTGAAGATGAGCAAAGGAAGATGTAGCCAATATGAAAAAGAAAGAAAATGAGCCAAATGAGTTTATAATTGTTTACCAATTGACACCGTAAAAGAATCTTTTGCATTCAAAGGGAGCCAACTCATTTTTAGATTTTAGAGGGCCTTAGAGCTTAAAGAAGCACTGACGCAAATGTTTGCATGCGAAGATTCCAACGATAATTTATGCTCATAAGGTTGGGGGCTCATAGTACCTGAAAATATCTTTTGTTTTTCTGTACTCGCTGTAGAAGTTAAGTTTCGATTTGAAAATTGGGATAAACATTTTTGATATCTCACTTCTTTTCTGGTCTGTTGCACAGAAACAAAGGGTTTGACGTCATTTGGCAGTTTTCGGTCGGGCTTGTTGCCCCGGCCGTCGTTTTTTCCATTCGCTTGTAAAGGTAATGGAGGACGCAATGGACCGTTGTAGTGGAGGTGGAAGTAAAAGAAACGTTTTCGATGTTTGTCGTCGGTATAAACGAGCAAATCTTTTTCCTGTGTTACGACCTGTGTGCACCATTTCTCGTTCCATTGCATTCACCGAAATCATACCCCCATATTTCTGTCCCCGTCTCGTTTGACACAAACTTGTCCCCACAAAGTACATTATCTCTACATAGACCGACCTCCATGCATTCTGGAAATTACTGAATAATTACAATTTTTGCGTTAGTGCCTCATTAAGCCAGAAAATTCAGGATATCTGGAAACACTTAGATATAAAAAAATTAACTGATTCCTAGAAATCACCTTAAAGATTGAAAAACTCTCTTACGGTGTCACCATACAAGAAGCCTTCAGAGCTCTGATTTGCTCTACAACAGGCACATAATTTCAGTCTAGCGAATCTTGCAGCCGCATTGTAATATAAATACCAAAAACTGTAACCCAAGCTCAGTTTTTAACCTAAGATATGTTATTTAGCTGCCTTATCTTTACCAGAAAAATAATAAAAGGATTCCAATTTTGTGTATACGTTAGTTTATTTTGTGACATTAATTGTAATGAGCTTAAGTTGGGAGGATAATACAATGGCATGTATAATATTGCTCGTATTTAGTTTGATAAAACTGCCTAAATAAATGCCAGAATTCTGCAAGATTTCAAAGAACAAAATCAAATTATATGGTTTTTGCCGCATCGTTAAGTACAAAGAGCTACAAATTTTCTGAATTTGCAATTTTGGGCATCTGCATTAAAATATGAGGGGCTACATGAACTTGATACGCCCCCAACTGGATCTCTGCGATGTAAGGATAAGACCCTGTGGATAAAAAACCAGCAAACAAGGCAAGTCACGGCCAGGCCAATGAGCGTACCATTTTTGAGTAGGCCAATTCCTGTGTCATTTTCAAAATCTTTTGTTTCTATCTGTTTCCACCGAGGCCTTTGCCACCGCCGGAACTTTAATCGAGTGCTTTTTGAAACAATGTTCACTTGAAAAGACAGGGTCCGTGCTATTTGCGAAGGACTACAACTGTTCAAAGACATTTGTGTCTATACAGTGACAAAACAAAACCTATACCGACCGGGAGGATGCGATTTTTGGTTTCTCTGCTTGAGAGTTACTTGCACCACCGAATTCTGTGATATACTCAATTTTGCCAGGATTGTCAGGTGACGGCGATCGAGATGACGAAGAACGAGTATGTCCATGTCTTGGTGGGCTGCAAAGCAAAAAATAGCATGACATTTCCAAAATACAATTCATATTGCACTGAAAGCAGTTGTAAATCTTGCAAAATAAACCATGCAAGAATCAATAATGCTGAAAATCCAAAGATGGATTTTTAAATAATGCGCACCTGTAGGGATCATATGTTGGGCTGCCTCTCATTGCATAACTATGAAAATACAAAAATAACCAGTGGTTAGCTACATGGTTTAAGCAAGTTTAGAAATATTGGTTTTAATTTTCAAACAGATACTGCATTCATACATCGACGTTTCCTATTGACCAAAAACAACTCAAGAGTCAAGAAAATATCAACCGCCTAATACAAGAGATAATACTGAGAGATAAAAACTCGGAATAACCCTTCAAGATGAACTTCGGGCTCCTGAAATACAAAATATGATAGTTAGCTCAAACAACTGTACCAAAAGCTCAATCTACGAGTGAAACTTATACCTGTTAAAATGATGCTGCTAGTATGGACATGATTTTAAATTACTCAATTAAAGGCTATTTAAAAGTTAAGCATTTAAAACTAAAAGAAAACTTTCAGTAATGCTAGCTTTGCTTTTTGCAAAACGTAAGTATAAGGAAAGATAACGCTTTTTGCGTCAAGAGAACGGTATGTATTGCAAATTATGATTCAAGATCCTTAAAATACTTCAAAAGGGGAACGAAGCGTATCAGAACCTGCAAGTAAAGATGGGAGCACTAAAGTCAAGTGTTCTAGCTATTTTGAGTCTTTCCTGGAGAATTACTTTAACTTCTTTAAATCATGCTACCGGGGCTTCAAGCAAGAATTCTCACCTCGGTGGTGAAGTGGTTCGAGTTGCTTTCTGTTTCTCCCGTAAAGTACGTCGAGCACGCTTTCCTCTTCGACCCTAAAACAAAACAATACTCTTCGTCTGTCTCTGGCAGAACTGGATAATTTCTTTTAAAAAATCATGTAAGTTTGCAGCGTTGTATCTTAAGGCTACATTGAAAATAATTTCTACTATCAGCCGAAGGCAGAAAACTATAAATAACTTATAACTTCATAACTTACAGATAATTTTGACCTTTCCTCCTCTTCTTCTTCCAACTGTTTAGCAAAATCAAATTCCTTTTTCTCCTTTAACAGTTGCCTGGTTAGGGATAAAAAATGCAATCTCAGCAAAATGGTGAATCACTGTATGAGAAAGTATGAAAAAGCTTTAAATTTTCATTAATATATATCTAATTGCCATAATAATATATAATATATATATATCTCATTCATATATACATACTGCGGGGTTAAACTGCAAATTATGAAGAAATGTTATATGTGAGAATACTTAAAGAATGCAGGAAGTCGTGACAAACACTTACCGGCAGTAGTACTGGTCTGCAATGCCGAATTGTGTTGCCAAACTATCCATTGACGTTTTCTGTTCTTCTGATAAATCATGGATATTAACAGAAATGTCAATATCACTGATATCAGATTCATCTTCAGATTTATCTGAATCTTCAGAGAGCACAGCACTCCCTTCGTATTTGTAACCAATGGAAGCCTTCTTCTTTGCCCTAAAGAAATTATCAATATACAGATGTTGCTAACGATTAACATTTTTTGGAAAAATAAATCTAGAAATTCAAACATTTTGAACGTCAAATGAATGTTTCTCAAGACTTTTAAATTTACACATGCATTATGCATAGGTACGACCGCTCGCTGGGAGGAATCTACGGACCATTATTATCAAGGTGTGTCTTGGAAAGTAACGAAAAATAGTTCTATTTCCCCTATTTAAAAATGCAACTGAAAATTGCAGACGCCCTCTATTAAAAGTATCTTCCTTCTATTCGTGGTTAAAATATTAGAAAAAATGTTGAAGGTAAATAATTTGGCTTACAATGCCTCTTTTTCTGCCTTATGTTTTTCAGCTTGCTTTTTGCCATACCACTCTTCGATCGCCAATTGCTTCAAATATGCTTCTTCTGTCACTAAACAAAGATTGTGAAGATATAAACAATGTGTATCAAAATTTCAAGTAAGACCAAGGGGGTTGTACTTTGCCTCTAGATTAACATTATGTTTCAGTCAAATTAAAACTACAATAGAAGTACAGAAAGACTAATTGCTAGGGTAGCCAGGGTGATACAATTGGGAGGGGCAAGACAAAACGAGTGATAAAAATGGAGGTCCACACCCTTTGGAACATCAGAAAACGTCTATTTTCAAAAGAAAGTCTTGCCATTGGGGGCGTTTGCCCCTTTTGTCACCTCACCGATACCATTGCCACGCTCAACTTTAGTGAAAAGATCACCTGCTTAATTAAAAGTATGGAATGCATAAAACCAGCAAAAACCTCTCTAGTTTATCCCTTTTCACTTTCGAGAAAACAAATAAAAAGTACAAATAAACACACTTTAACTAATCGAATGATTGGTTTTTTGGGAATCAATTTTTGGAAAAGAGCAACAATTTTTGTATTTTGATTTGAGTCTAAGGGCTTCCTTAAACGAGGGGGACCACACATGCATCTAACAAAATAACAATTGCTGCCAAAAATCACAAAGAAAATGTGTTTGAGAACAAAATAATTTGAGTCATTTCTCATTGCTCAATAAGCCTATAACAAATCTTAACATTTGAAAGGTGTGGTGAATATTTGGGATCAATTTTTTATACTTTTCACAACTAAGACACCAAAATTATAAGAGCATTGGCAAAGTGACAAAAATTTCAGAGAATGAAATGAAATTTGAAAATAAAAAAGAAAGAGATAAACTTAGGAAGAATGAGCAAAAGACATGAAAACCTATGACATGTCTGTTCTTCTTGTGATAGGGGAAGTGACATGTTGCTCATTTTGAGCAAGTAAAGTGATCTGGGTAGCATGCAGTATAGATTGCTTGCCTCAAAACCTGATATGAAGAAAATATAGATAATTCATGATTCTTGAAATTAAATGCAAATTTACTAAAAATACCTCCTGTTGCTTCAATCTGTACCAATGTCCTATACCTTTCATAATTAAAGTCATACTCTTTATCATCATCAGCACTAAAAATAAATTAACAACTGATGAAAACCTTTGAAAAACAGGATAAATCTTTAGCATACATTGTCCACTATCCATAATATCAAGCCCATATTCAAGCAATTTCTAGCTATGATAGTAAAAAGGGAAGAATCAAAAAAATTGTCCAGGCCTCTTCATTTTACTGGGTCCAGGCCTCTTCATTTTACTGGGTCCAGGCCTCTTCATTTTACTGGGTCTAGGCCTCTTCATTTTACTGGGTGATCAGTGATCACCCTACCTGATGATCCAAATTATTGGCATGGGCTATTGACTGCTGTTGGAAAAACTTATCTAACTCTCAAAAGACAGGAAGGGCATTTACAAAAATTTAGTCTTTATATCATGGTATTCCTGAATGAAAGTTCAGGTAGCTAATGAAAACAAAGCATTATTGCTTTATTATTCATATTACATCGAATAGCTTTTGAAAAACTTTCAGTAATCAGGCATTAAGAAAATCAAAGGCAAGGCAGTAGCTGGGAGGTGATACCCTAGTACCCCCTTCAGATTCTGGAGGACCTCTCCTTAAACAAATATTGTTTTACAGTTGTGATCACCCTTTGTAAGCTCCTACAGGCAGTTTGCCACCCTTGTTAACTTTTTTGGCATAATTTTTTGTCACAAATTTGTGACATGAAAAAGTAGCTTGTAAAGATGTTTTCATACAGATCATCCTTGCGACATTGTTAACCTTAGGACTAGCGTTTTCTTAAAATATATGACATGTTCTTTTACCTGTCACCAGGAAGTGTGTTGATCTTTTCAGGGAGATAATCCAGGTGGGATCTTGCATCAAATCTAAAAAACAAAGAGTTTTTTTAAATGCTTTCTTAAATCAAAGTAAATTTGTCTTACAAAATCTTACCAATATTTTCACCATTGCAATTACGAACAATATAACACTTCTTATTCACTACTTTTTATAATAAATTTTTTTACCTGTCTATGAGGATATCTGGATCACCTTGCCAAGGAACCCTTTAGAATAAAAATACAGAGCATTAGAAAGTTCAGTAAAACCATTTTTATGCCATATGCCTTGATACTGAACATAGTTATGATGAATAGGTTTCTAGCCAACTGATACTTTTCTGAAAATGCCAATCACAAAAATATCTATGTGGTGAGATTTATTCTGTCAGGGAAGAAACAACTCAAGGGTTAAAGAAAGCAGCAAGTTATCTACAGATCTAGATACATCAATTATGTAACTCACAACTGGCTTTCTTCCATTGGTTTGTCCAGCCGACTGTCAATGTAAAGCTTGCATTTTTTACCATGGAGTTGCAGTAGCTGGTGAGGATCCTCTCGCTACAAAGCAAATTAAATAGAAAAATAGTTACTCTATTTCTAAAAAATATACGAAATCTTGGCCACCAAACCATAGATAGAAAAATGGCAAATAACCAATAAGATTTGACTTGTGGTATGTAAAAATATATGGGTAATAAAACAACTGAAGGGTAGGCAAAAAAATGCATGCAAACAATTTAGTATCACACCCTCTTCTATCAAAATTTTCCAGAAACATCCGCAAAAATGAATAAAATTAAAAACTTAGTAACCTGCAAAATTACATTTGAACATTTTTCTAAAAAATGAGCAGTTTGAAGATATAGTGGTTGGAGTCTTTACACATCTGGATTCTGGATGAGATGACAAGGAATGTCCATGGCAGCAACTCATGACATACACCATGATACTTCACAGTAAAATTTATTGTGTGTATGTATAACTACATACATGCCAACATTCTCATATGAGATTGAGGGAGCTTTACGAAAATATAATTGATAATACCATACAATACTTCAGTGCAATTTTTTAATCTGAGAACATGGTTCTAAACAATTTTCCAGCATGATCTGCTGTGGCAATTGGGTGATTGTGTACACATAAAAGAACCTGTAAATAACAGCCTTTGTGACCTTTTCATCTATCACAGAACTCCTAGGAAGAAAACTTATCATTCTTTGAGTTGACTTAGAGGCCTTAACTGTTTTTTCATGTTTTTTTTAACATCAAATGCTTTGTCACATCATTTCCCCCACCATGGCCTATAAAGAAGTAGGCATTGAAGATTGTGAATAGCACGTAGCTTTCATCTCTTTTTGAAGCTTTCAAGAATGGATACTTGGTGTTCTACTTGTCTTTTTGACTTTCAAATTTCACAAGATATTTCTTCACTTTCCTCTATGGTTCACCATTGCCCTCATAGCTTGCCATTTTTAGAAGAAATGCAATAAACAGTGCCCAGCGTACATGCCTCAATGACAGCACTTGCGTAATGTTTTGATGTCAAATGTCAATCAAAAAACATTTAAACAAACAATATATGTTGTTTCAAACTGTGGACCATTCATTTCAATTAACAATTCTGACCTCATCATCAAAATCGAAATATCCTTGAGATTTATCACAAGAATGCATTCAGTAAAAAATATCCCTAACAAGAAATTCAAGAACTCTAAAAATTTAGGTTTTTCTCTGATATGATTGTAGCATGCGGGAGGTCATTATTGAGTGAAAATATCAAGAGACTCCTGCAATATGCGGGAGTGTTGGCATGTATGATGTGTAACCAACACCAAACTGGCATCATCGTTTAGCTGTATATTTTATCTTCATTGTTCTATGTTGTTTTGCACACCATATTAATCATCAAACAAACTAAAAAACTATGTTAGAATACATCTCTGCTTTGCATATGATGTGTAATGCAAACAAGACATAAAATAATGCATTTTGATTTGATGGAACAGTTTTCTTATTGTAAGAGTACCTCTGTTTGAGAACAATAGAAACAAAAGAGATTACTCAATAGAAACATCAGATTTTTATATTTCATGGGGGCACAGACCTCCCTAGGAACCAAATTATAATGCCCTGAAAAATTACCAGGAGTTGGTTCTTAAATAAACTAAATGAGAACTAAAATCCTAAAGACAAAATTACATAACTTGTTAGTTTTCTTTTACATTTTCATAAAACCATAAAAAAGAGCTTGAAGTTATCAATTTGAAGTTATTTGTTAAAAGGTAAAATTGTGTTAAAACAGCCGGAAAGAAAACTTCAATAAAGCTTGATTAAATGAAATTAATCACGTTTAATATGTGAAAGGGTAACCTTTTAGGTGCCCCTTGGGCTTTTGTTTTTTGGGCACAGATTGCACAATTGTGGAGTTTGTGTTTGATGAGAGAACACCGCCTTCAGTCTTATGATTGACAATGGTAAAACATTCTGAGGACCATCTTACCCTTATTTGCTAATGGTTTTTGTTTCGTAACCTGGAACAAATATTAACAAAAAGAAACTATTTCAATCCAAAATGCACTGTTTTCTCTAGTATAGCTATAGTAGCTGTAGATAGACAGAACTGTCAATAGAATAAGCTTCATCTTGGTTGTGTAGTTGTCAGGCAGGGATGATGATTTCCACTATTACAACAAGTTAATACTAAAAAAATTTTTTAGAAAAATCTCAAAAAAGAAAGCGTTTCTATGTGAGCATTTTTTTGCACATATGTTTACATATTTTCTGCAAAGAAATCCAAATTTGTAAACTTTGTGAGAGACTTTGTCTACTAGAACCATAAAATTCATGGGCACCATAAATTGGTAGTTGGAAAATTTCAAGAATTTTATTTACTTTTTCCATTGTGGGTTAAAGTAAATGTGTCAGATGTCCTATTTTCAATTTGATGGGCAACTCTGAATCACAATTACATATCTTTTTGTGACCTTTTAAAGAACTAGGTAAGGTCATAAATGCAGTCTTTGTAATATGAGGCGTGCGATCGCACGCGCACGCCTCCACACACGTGCAAATTGTCCAAGGCGTGCTAATCATCGCACGCGCAAAACAAAGAATTTGCCACAAAATTTTTTTAAATTGCTCAACTCAAAGTCGCCAAAGTCGGTTCTTGTTGGGGAGACGAGCGAGCGAAAGTCTTCAAATGAGTGAGGCAACCCTCCGTCCTGGATTCAGAGAGCATGCGTAATAATAACTTCGTTCTGTGCGCATGCTCTTTGACTCCATGACGGAGGGTTGCCTCACTTTTTAAAAAACTTTCTCTTGCTCGTCTCCCCAACAAGTTCTGTCGTTATCCAAGGTGTTGTTAAAGTATTCCAAAAAGGGATCTAACAACAGCGTCAAAAAGATCGCTTAACAGTTAATACGACAAGATCGCTTAACAGTTGACCCAAGGGGGATTAATCTCTAATCAATACCTGGTGCTTACTGTCAAAACCCGGCAATTTAAATTTTCGATCCAAGAGATGTTTTCACTGTTCGATTGATTATTCTGTTCTTCGGTAATCATGGCGAAAAGAAAGAAAGTGGAGCTGGCAACATTCATTGGTTGAGGAAAGAACGAAATTTTCGGTTTCAAGTCGGAAAAGGATGATGCTACTTCGATGATGCTGATGGCGTGTTTAGTACGATGAAGTTGTTTGATCGAAAGCAATGGAACGACAACAAGGATTACGGGGTCCCAGAGATCACTGCTTTTGCAGCTATTTCCAACCCCCCCCCCTCCCCCCTCAGCGAGACGAAGTTTAACGTTTCGAAAGCTCTCAAGGAATGGAAGTCATTCAAAAAATACGTACAATATAATGCTTGTGGGATTGAAGCAAGAAAGCTGTGGAAAAATACGCTTTCTTACAGGGCAGACGAGTACCCCAACCTGTGCATTCTGGCAAAGATAATGGTTGCAATATCTGGCTCCAATTCATCGGTAGAGAGAGCATTCAGTATTCTCAGCATATTATTGTCAGATAATGTCACACAGGGTTATGGAGATGAGACTTCGCATCACAGTCAATGACATTATATGGACTGACGAAGAAAGGGAGAATATTTTGAAAAAGGCAACGGAGATCTTTCTTTCGAAAAGCAGAAAGCGAAAGCTGGATAATTACAACAGTTTATCGAAGAAACCAAAGCTAGATAAGGAGGAGGAAGCTGAAGAAAGCTCTGATGAAGAAAAGTGATGGTGACTGTACTTATTTTCAAATAATTTTAAACTTGTCTTTGTGCCCAAAAAAAGTGTGTTCATTTCGACGTTTGTTCTTTTTCTACCTTCTCATTCGATTGTTAGCTCAATTCCAAAGGAATACCGATCTAACGGTATGATATTTTTTATGAATATCCGCTAAGATATTCACGGGTAATAGAATTTGAGTAGAGTCTACGGGTAATAGAATTTTTTTTCAATCCAGATTTCTTTAAGTGACTAATTAAATTTAACATCTTTAAAAAGAACAAGAACAGTTTCTCCATCAATTACTTTGGTTTCCGTTCAGTTTATAACACAAAAGGTCTCCTTAAAAGCAGCACCCAGTTCTTGACAACAGGGATGAGAAACAACCGATAAAAAGCGGTTCGCATCGCACGCCATCGCACGCGCAAAGTAACCAAGGCGTGCGAAATGCCGCACGCGACCTATTTTCATATTACAAAGACTGTAAATGGAAAGATTTCATTACATGAAGGGTGCTTCAACCTCACACATTTATTTTCATTTCCTAGCAATGTGAATATCCTCGGAGTTGCGTATTTTCAACTGTCTTTTTTCAGCTACCTGGACACATCTTATTTCAATATTAGGCCTATGGCTCTCAGTTGTTATTACTTGGGTCCAAACCCAAGGTCCTAGTTTAATTAGGTTTAATCATCGGTTTAGCTTCATTCTTCAAATGCAACTTTATACATCCTCGATTGTAGCTGTATAATATAACGATAGAAATATTTAAGAATTTTCAGCAGATGAGTTTCTCAAAGGTGGAGTTAGCCTCTTCAGTAGGGGCGATCGAGATCAACTAAACAGAAAAAATTAGGCTACCATTCTCTCGTAAAATGCAGTACGGCGCTCAGCCCTTCTCCGGTAATCAATCATTATCCCTCTGATCCTTTTCTCTATTTTTCTTGCTTCGTGCCACATGGTTATTGTTCAAGAATTCCAAGTTAATTTGTTATTTATTAATGCTCACTCTGTCCTGCCCTCCACATTACCTTCTTTGCGAAGTGCGTTATGATAACTTCACGAACCAATAATGGTAGAATACGGTGCCCCACAATGACATACAATCCCGGACAAAAAAGTTGAGACAAAATGCAATATTTGTAATTTTCTACTTTACCTTGCACCTGTTTATTCAAATCCCCCCTCCCCCCCCCGAAGCAATGTTGGATTTGTAGTTCTATCATTTTTGCTTAAAAATCATGCATTCAACATTGAATTGGGGAAGGGGAAAAGCTATTTTTCAAAGCAAAGAGAAAACATAAATTTTTCTTGTAAAGTCTCAACTATTTTTGTCCGGGATCGTAGGTATATCATCGGCACCACATTGATTAGCCTTCAAGTTAGAGAAAGGTATATACATTTATAAAGAAGTAAGATAATGGATCAATAGATAGCGGTGCTCTGTTTGGGTTACAAAATTTTATCCCGAAGTCAACTTTTTTTCGATAAAATTCAAAACCAAAAAAAATTATTACTGCTTACCTTACATAACAAATTATGCTTTTATGTTGGTTGATTTCACGATTCTTACACTTTAATAACTTTTTAAGTAGCTTGAAATTATTCAATAAAATGACGAAAGTATGAAAAACAAGAAATGCATCACCGGGTTTTTGCGATTTATTTATATTACGATTGGTAGTGTGACTGAAAATTTCAGTCATTTCACCCGACAAATATTTACAGAAAAATTGTATCTAAATAACCTACGTCTAACTATAACTAATGATTTAAACGTAATTCCCTTTTTCTATTAATTAAAAGCTTATTTCTATCACGAGACCTGTAAACTAGCTCAAAACCGGTAAGAACCATTTAATTTGTTGTGAATGTCGCTTTCACAATATCATACTTCAACGAAAGTTAAGAGATCGATAAAAGCATAGGCATAGAAGATAAAGGGGTGAGAAAGGATGCAACCCCCCTAATCAGACAAAATTGATCACATATTAGGCTCCATTTGTGCAGTTGTCTCATTGACGGAATAATGTCCAGGCAAGGTCGATACTAAGCCCCTTCCCCTACAAGTTTAGCATCTGCAACACCCCTGGGTAAATGAGGCCTTGATGTTACTTCATGATGAAGTATATGAAAGAGTTGACGTGTCTTGTTTTTGGTAACAATTTACAATAATATGTAGCTTTTTGTTGGCTCACCACTTGCAAAAGGAGTCACCCTTGGATCATGAAAGCGTATGGGCGTGAACCACAAAAATTAACATATAAAATTTAAAATATCACGCGGCTGATGTTAGACATTTTGGCATATGTCAATAAATAAGGGTGAATACTATGATTGTCAAATATATGAAGGCAGATTAATTGCGATGAATGTAATAGGGCCTTTACCAGCCTGTATAGTAAGCAGGGGGGGGGGGGGGGGGTGACCAGTGCAAACATTAGCTCTAAACCTTTTAATACAAATTTGACTGCAATCTGCACTTCTACCATTGCACTTAAACAACATTTTTCATCACATTACAAATAGTCTTATCTAAGAAAATTAAATAAACCTTGCAAATAAATCACCTATACAGCAAACAATTAAAAATTACAAATGATTATTTACAAATTCTACACCGAGATTGTTTGTAATTAAAATGCATTTTAACAATTAAAATGTCAAGACTGCTTGATTTCGACTTCGCCAAAAGATCCAGCTTCGTTTTCTATAAGACTCTCGCTTTGTTCCTCATTTTCTCGGACACTGTAAGGTAATTTGTATGAAAATATGATACACATTGTTCACCAACAGAGGTAAATATAGGTCCGGTTGTAGTGACGTGCCAATGAAAGCAATAAACTATAATGGCGATCAGAAAACCTACAGAAATTGAAAAGAATCATCC